CTAGCTTGTTTTGTCTGTCTGTTTGGGGATTTTTGTTGTTGTGTACTGTTGTTTTGTAGGGGGTTTCTTTGGTTTAGTTTTGGCTTGTCTTTTTTGAGACAAGGTTGTACTATGTACTTCAGGCTAGCCTCAGCCTCCCAAGCAGTGGGATTGCAGGACTGTGCCACCAACCTTGACTTTTCTTTTTGGTGGCAGTACTGGGGATTGAGCATGAGGCCTTTGCCCCTGAGCTATATTCCCTGCTCTTACTTCTTTTCAGTTTCAGCCTGGTCTTGCTAAATCAAAGTTCCCAGGTAGAATTTGCAATCTTCCTGCCTCAGCTTCTCAAGGACCTATAATTATGGGTGTGTGCCAGTGAGTGAGTGCAAAAAAGGTGAGAACACAACAGTCCACGTCGGTTTACTGCTTTTTTGCTGTTTTTGTTTCTTTGAGCCAGGGTCTTGCTATGTAATGCAGGCTGGCCTCGAATTACAAGCTGATCCTCTTGCCTCAGCCCGAGTGCTGGACAAGTGTGTACCACCACATCAGCCAGGGAGGTTTCGTGCTAAACTTGAGAGGGACTTCTGCAAGGAGAACAGTCTCTCACAGGCCAACAGGCTTTAAAAAAAAAAAAAAAGCTTTTTTCTGGGCTTTTGAGGGAATGGTCGAAGTCGCAGACTTGTAGCTTGCTGACGTATCTTCTGGGGACTGCTCATGACCTAAAAAATGAGACCTAAGATGACAGGTAGGCTCATTCAAACTGGCAATGTCCCTGTCTGGGCTGTCTGCCACCATGCCAGCTTCTTGTGCAGATTCTGAAGCAGTAGAAGCCCTGGGGCTTGAGCCAGACCCCAAAGTGTTCCACATGCTGGCTCCCATGTCTCTCCCAGCTCACCTCCCATCCTCCCCCTAGATCACTGGCCTCACTGATCCTCCAGCACAGCAGACACTACTCTTGACTGCAAAATCTTTGCACATAATGACAAGTGCTGATACTTGGTACTGGGGATTGAATGAGGGGACTATACACTTATATCCCCCCCATCCCTTTTTGTAGTACTGAGTATTGAACTCATTGACCTCCTGCATGCCAGGTAGCCACTTATGTTGCTGAGCTAAATCCTCAGCATGCCTAGCCTCTTTTGAGACAGGCTGGGCTCAAATTTTCCACCCTCTTGCCTCAGCCTCCCAGAGTGCTAGGATTGTAAGTATGGGCCACCACACCAGGTTTGGCGACAGGTTCTTTTTTGTGTGTGCATTTTTTGTTTTTTTCCTTTTTTATCGGTACCGAGGATCGAACTCACGACTGCCTGCTTGCAAGGCAGGCACTTATGCCGGTGAGCTAAATCCCCAGCCCCTGGCGACAGGTTCTTATCCCTACCACACTTTCTCCCCAGATTCTGGGTCTCCATGGCTCACAGCCTTCTTTTCCTGCAGGTCTCCTCAGAAATACCACCTGTATGGTGATATCCCTGCCCACCTCATATAGAATAGCATCCTGATCAGAGATCACTGATGGGAGAAATAAAGTGGGCTCAGCAAGACAACTGCATCATGTTCTCCCTAATGGGATCTGAGGAAGATGAAGACGGCACGGAAGTAGGAAGGAGACCAAAGACCAAAGAAAAAGAAAGGAATAAGGGGGGGCAGAGGGGAGTGTCAAGAGCACCAAGGAATGGAAAGAATCAAAATACACACATTAAACCCTAGTATTTTGTTGGTAGCACATGCCTATAATCTCAGCACTCTGGGAGGCTGAGGCAGGAGGATCCTAAATTTAAGCCTAGTTTGAGCAATTTAGCAAAATGCTGCATCAGAAAAAGTAAACAAAAAGAAGAGCCAGGGATGTAGCTCAGCAAGAAGGCTCTGAATTCAATCCTTGTACCAGAAAAAAAGAAACCTTGTACTTTGTAAGGTTAATAGGAACTATTATATTAATACAAGGAAAATAAAGATTAAAATAGGATCCTCGGGCTCTGGGCATCTCAGTGGTAGAGCTTACCTCACATGTACAAGGCCCAGAGTTGAAACCCCAGCACTAAAAGAAAAAGAAAAATCCTGGCACAGCGGTGCACACGTGTGATCCCAGCACTTCAGAGACTGAGACAGGAGGTTCACTGCTGAGTTCGAGGCCAGCCTGGGCTACAGAGTTCAAGGCCAGCCTGAATTACACAGTAAAACCCCATCTCAAAAAAAAAAAAAAAAAAATCCCTGTACCTTTGTTCACAGTACTTATCATTTAACATTCTGGTTATTTGTCCTATATCTTATCTGTTTTTTCTGCAGGCATTTCAGCCTCTGAGGGAGGGGGGCTCTTCCACTCACCTGTGTATCCCTACCTCTGAAGCAGGTCTGGCGGAAAGAAGCTTAATCAATCCTAAACAGATAAGTGAATGAGTGTAAAACCTTGGTGTGAAATTGGTTTTTGCAGTGCACGGGACTGAAGACAGGGTCTATAGCATATAAGGAAATGCTCTATCTACCACTGAGCGACAGGCTGGATGGACCCAGAACTTTTATTCTAAATGCAATGGGAAATAGGGTTTTCAGTCAGAGGGCTGGATCAGGCCACTTGAGGGGACAGCGGTATTAGTGGGCACATCCCTGTGAGGCTGGAGAGACGTGTCCTGCCAAAGCAAGTACCACAGGAAAGGCAAGCTGACAAGACTATCCCGAATGATTGTGGGACCTGGTCAGAGTCCACAGGTACACAGGCTGAGGTCTGAGGTGGCCCCTCCTGCTGGGCGTGGAACCCCTTGCAAGCCTGGGTGCTGGGCCACCAGATTTCCCCTGTGAATTCTGAGAAACTTCCTATATCAAAGGCACAGAGATGGCGGCAGCCCCAGCCAGATTAAAGGGCTCCCTGTAATTGCAACCTTGACGCTACTTCCTGGTAGCCATCCAGCATGGTGATAACTGACATGTCTACTGAGGGTCCAAAGGAAGAGGGCAGAAAGGGACCAAACGGACTTTATTCTTTTTTTCAGTTGGGTGTCACTATACATCTCAGGCTGGTCTTGAACTCAGCAATCCTCCTGCCCATCTCCCAAGTGCTGGGATCACAAGGTGTAGAGAAGCCTGGCTACATGTACATTTATGTCACCATTTCTGTCTACCACTGAGCCTCCAGTCAGAACTAAATGCTGTATCCCATGGTTTTAGTTTTAATCTGTGTGTGTTAGGGATGGAACCCAGGGCTTCATACATGCTGAGCAAAACTTGTCCTACCCCTGAGCTGTGCAGCCTCCTGCATCTGTTAACACTACTCAGGAAAGACAACTGGTGCCAGGTGTGGTGGTGCACACCTGTAATCCTAGCACCTGTGAGGCTGAGGCCTGAGGACTGCCACTGAATTCTAGGCCAGCCTCAATTACACAGCAAGACCCCATCTCAAAATCTGGGGTGCAGAGGGGAAGAAAGGTAACAGACTGGAGAGGGCTGTGTCCTCCCAGATGGGACAGAGAACAGGCTCAGTACCACTGGCTGTGGAAGCTGCTGAGCAGCGGTGTGGAGGAACAGCAGGTTTACAATCTCTCATCGTATGTCAAGCTGTGTTCCAAACTCTTCACAAGCATTAATTCACTTTTTTCCAACACAGGAGGTTGAACCCAGCCCCCACCCCATGCTGTGCTCCTACCTCAGGCTCCCAGAGGGCTAGAATTACAGACATGAACCACATCTGGCTTAGAATTTAAGGGTGTACAGTTGTGACTCTCCTCAGTGCCAAAACTGAGGCCCAGAGAGGCAAACTAACACACCAAAAAGCCACAAGGCTGGGGTTTGCACCTACAAGTCTTCCCCAGAAGACTGGGGAAGGCTGCTCAAAGAATGGGCCCCTTGGAGTAAAGGCAGGCTGCCAAAGCTGGACGAGATGCCACCACCAGAAAGGATGGGCTCATTCCTAACCACACAGCAGTGATAGCAGTGATAGCCAGCTGTACAGGGCACACCTTACACCTTACACCAGGGACAAGGTAGTGCCCTTGTCCCACCCAGAGGAATGGTGGCCTGCCAATCCCAGTCCTGCAGTGCTCTACCAGAGGAGCTCCTGACAAGCAGCCACATTCCTGTTTTGCCTGGGCTGGGCCACTTCCTAGTTCCTGGTGTCTAACCCAGGGCAAAGGTTGCTGGCTCCACCCTGCAAGGCCTCCCTGGAATGCTGGGCGGCACAGGGAGCAGGAAGGAGCCCACAGCGGTGCTCAGAATGGGGTATAACGTCAGAATGCCATGCAATGGCACTGCCAGGACACACCTGGGCAGTGCCCACATGCCATTTCACCTCCTTCTCTGTCACTGCAGTGACAGGCTGTGGGGAAATCATCAGCACAAGGTCAATCTGCAATGCTTCCTGAACTCCCATGAGTGAAAGCCACCCTGCAGCCAGGTGTGGTGGCGCATGCACATAACCCTAGCACTCAGGAGAGGCTGAGGCAGGATGATCACTGAAAATTCAAGGCCAGCCTGGGCTACAAAATTGAGTTCAAGGCCAGTCTGAGCTATATAGTGAGACCTTGTCTGAAAACAAAACAAAACAAAACAAAACAACACAACACAACCAAAAAACAAACATCGATCAAGGGACAGACTTGAGAATGCTGTTCCTCTAATACCTAGTTAATTCTGAGAGAAGTCCTAATTTTCTGATCAAAGTCTCTGCCTCCTGAGGACTGAAGTCCAAACCACAACCTGGGCAACACGTGGCTCACGATCGCAGGACACTCTGTCCTCACCAATCCAGAGGAGGAAATGGAGGCTGAGAGGGGCTGGGGCCCTGGACCAAGGACACAGAATGGAGCAGGATGTGGACACAGAGCCGCCCTCCACTCCTGTAGAGCCACGCTCCAGGCCACACAGCCATTCACAGCTTCTCCTCCTGGCTGACTCACTGCTGCCCTCCCCACCTGAACCTGCCAGGTCAGGAAGGTGGGTGATGAGGGGGAAAGCGGGACTCCAACCTGGGCATAAAACCCAGCTCCTGGGCGGCCTCTGCTGGCCGAGGGGAAAAAAGCAGGAAGCCTACATGGAACTGAGCCAACAAGTCTTTATTGAAGGTCTGCAGCTACTGGGAGGAGGCCATGATGCTGGACACACCTGTAGAGAAGAGACACAGGGTTAACCTGGGAAGGCCAAGAGATGAACCTCAAAACACCTGCCCTGACATAACATCAGATCCCCGAAGAGTGATCACAAGCCCTTCCCATACCCACGTTACTATCAAAGGTAGTTTGCATCAGTAGATTGGGGGATACCAGGAATCAAACCTTGCACTTGCCAGGCAGGCACTTGTGCCACTGAGTTGTATCCCCAGCCCCTAGTTTATTTTTTTAAATTTATTTTTTTTGGTACCAGAAATGGAACTTAGGACCTTGTGCTTGCCAGACAGGTGCTGTGCCACTGAGCTACATTCCCAGCCCTGCATCAGTAGTTTAAAAACAAAACAAAAAGCCTCAAAAAGCCTGGGACTCTAAAAGGCCCAAGTTACTCAACAGTTCTATGCCTCAGTTTCCTCATTTCCCCTATAGGGCAACTGGGTTAAGTGCTTAGAACCATGCCTGGCACCAAATACATGGAGTTTGCAATTATCACTATGGTAGCTTGGAGCTTCTTCTTGCTGGGCTAGAACTTGCAATCCTCCTGCAGCCTCCTGGACTGCTGGCTGGGATTATGGGTGTGCACCACCACATCCAACTTCCTGTCCATTTTTTAAAATGAGAAAACTGAGGCACAAAAGCTACAAAGTTCAGAACTCAGATTCCTACCCACTAACTGGACTTCAAGGCCTGAGAGGCCCCTGGAGCCCTAGGATAGAGGACAGCCAAAGGGACAGAGTGTCTGGGACAGGTAAGCATGGTGACACCTGCCAGCCCCACTAGCCGTGGGATATCTCATTGTGCATTATCAAACAGGACACCCAGTATACCCCCTTTTCCTCCCTGGCTAGGTACCCCTGTGATAGGCCCTGGAGTTTAGAGTGCACGTTTTCCAGCCCGTCTCCATGGAGAGCTCCCCCCAGCCCCGGCCCCACAGCCCGAGACCTCAGCCAGCACTCACTGTCAAAGTCAATCTTCTCCACAATGTTCTTGGGCTTAATGCTCTCCTCCTGACTGCAGATAAAGATCTGCCCCGACTCATCTGCACTCCAGCCGTATTTGCTCATCCACACCTTCAGCTGGCTGTCTGCAGGTGACACAAGCAGCACAGGGGCACGAGTCAGCTGAATCCTGTAGCAGTGTGGTGTCAGGGAGGCCAGGGATCAAGATTCAGCAGCCAGGACACCCTCCTCGGCCAACTGCCGCTGCTATCTCATGCCTGGAAAGCAGCAGCAGCAGCCAGATGGTCTCGCCTCCTTTGTGGCTCAACACCGCCACCAGAGGGCGCACTTAGCACTCTTATCCTTCCTAGACAGGGCTTTTATCTCTACCTCGGTTAGTGTGGTATCATGGATAGAACCCAGGGCCTTTGCACTGAGACTCATCTGCAGTCCCATTTTACGATTCTCTAAGTCATTTAATTGGCAGGAACCGGTTTGACTGTGCAGTCGTGCCTCAGCCTCTCAGAGCACTAAGATTACAGATGTGTACCTCCACCTCTGGCTTTCCTTAGTTACTTGGCTTTTTTTCTTTTGCAAAAATAAGCACACAAACATTCTGTTTTTGGAGGTCTTTTAAAAGCATCAATCTGGTCAGAACCTTCCATGCTCAAGAGCCTTCCTATGGCTGTAGCTCCCTCAGGGAAAAAACGTCCTGCAGAGACACCCCTGAGGTCCTGGAGCTTCCCTTCCAGCCACCTCTGCCCACACCAGTCACTGCTCTGCTGCTATGGCACCCAGCCACCTGTGAACCACAAGCAAGCCCTGCTCCAGATCTTCTCAGGTACCTATCCTCAGGACCCCGCCTCAGCCCACACTACTGTTCAAACACCACCCTCTGGATGCACTGACTTGCTGTCTTTCACACCATCAATCACGAGACATGAAACTTGTAATGTTTGTAATCTCTCTTTTTTTTTTTTTTTTTTTTTTTGGCACCAGAAATCAAATTCAGGACCTTGTGCTTGCCAGGCAGGCGCTTATGCCACTGAGCTATATCCCCAGTTGTGTTTGTAATCTTCTACATTTTTTTCTGAGGTTTTCTCTTGTGCTCACTGCCCAGAGCCCAGAATGCTATCTGGAGTGGGGTCAGAATTCAAGTAGTTAGTTGGGCGTGGTGGTGCATGCCTGTTATAGAACTTGGCAGGCTGAAGCAGGAGGATTGCTATGAGTTGAGGCCACTCTGGGTTACAAAGTGAGTTCAAAGCCTGCCTGAAATGCACAGCAAAACCCTGTCTCAAGAAAGACAAAATAATTAGTTGCCACAGGAATAAATCATAAATGGTGCAAGGACTCTCCCCAGGACTGGAGCATTCGAAGACAAACCCGTTTCCTCCCTGGGCTTGCCCCTACTGACAGCCTAGAGGCTGGGATGGTCCATCAGAGAAGCTAGCAGAGGCCACTGTCCCTTACCACCCCACCTCCCAGACTATCACAAGGAGCCCAGTGGCCTCACCTGACAGATCCCCGAGCATCTCAGCCAGCAGCCAGCGGTCTATGTGCTGGTACGTGATCCCCACAACATGGCAGATAACTGTGGAGAGAGGGAACAGGCAGTGGTGAGGGGCTGTCCCCCAGGACTCTGATCCCCATCCCAGCCCTCCCTTGAAGAACTCAGAGGGACATACATTTTCGGACGGAGTCTTCAAAGCCAGTTATACCTTCCAGGAGGTCCAGATTTTCATCCAGGGCTTGCTGACAGGGGAATGGTGTACTCAGTATTGCAAGCATGACATTCATGACACTAGTATTGTTCCCAGCAGCCAACACGTGACCACTCACCCACACATGGTACATTCTGTGTGTGACCCTATGACATAAGTTCCTGTGACTGTGCATTTTACAGACAGGGACATCAAGACCTACAGCAGCTAAATGATTTGTGGTTTAAACCCAGCTGGCAGAACAGCAAAAAGCAGGGACAGACATAGATCAGACAACCGCGCTCGGTCATGGAATCTTGATCGTTTCTATCTCAGAGAAAAGGCAGACCTCTGAGCAAGCCCCACAAGCTGGTCTGTGTTACCTGTCAGTTCTGCTCAGGTCCAGTCACAGAGGCCTCCCCAGCTCACCAGGCCCTGCCCACCCCCGGCCCTTTGCACTGCTATTCTGCATCTCATACTCTCCTCCCCCAGGGGTGGCACCTTCAGCTCTTTCAGGCTTCTGTTCAATGTCACTCTCAGCGAGAGCTCCCTCCAACAGGAGCAGGGGACGAGAGCACACTGTGTGGGGCGAAAGCAGCTAGGCAGGTGGGAGAAACCTCAACAGCCACCCAGAAGCTGAGTGATGGTGGCCTGGTAGGGTGGGTTCAAGTGTAGAGCACGGACAAGCTGTCTCCGCAGGCTGAGCGACTCTGGGAAGGGAGCCTCCCGTTTTGTTTCACTTAGTGGAGAGCCATCTGACGTCTCCAGCATGGATGAGCAGGACAAGTCCTCAAAGGGTCCAATGTATCCCACCAAACACGGCAGGAACGCTCAGGCCCACTGCAGACCCCAAACCCTGGTGCTGCCTCTAGTCTTTGAGGTTTAGGATACGCTTTTTTTTTTTTTTTTTTTTTTTAAATCAGTACCGGGTCAAAGGACTTTTCGAGGTTTAGAACCAGGAAAGACTCAGGCAGACTGAGACAGCACATCCCCTGGCCAGAAGCACTGCAAAAGGGAGTAGAACGGGGAGTGGTGGTGCTTGTGGGGAATGTGAAAGTCTAGGGAGGATTTTTTTATTCTCCATTTCTGTGGTAGCAGAAACCACTTAGGAAAGGAAAGCTTTTCTTTTCTTTTTTTAGCTTTTTTTTTTTTTTTTTTTTTCGTGAGACAGGGTTTTGCTATGTAGGTCAGGCTAACCTCAAACGTTCAGCAATGCTCCTGCCTCAGCCTCTTCAGTGCTGGGATTTTGAGTGGGGAGTTTTTTTTTATAAAAGGCGTATTTTTGAGCCTGGTATGGTGGCTCATGCCTGTAATCCCAGCCTTCAGGAGGCTGAGGCAGGAGGATCACTGTGAGTTCGAGACCAGCCTGGGCTACAGAGAGCTCAAGGCCAGCCTGAACTGCATAGCAAGACCCTGTCTCAAAAAGACCAAAAAAAAAAAGCATGTTTTTGATATGGGGCAGTGATGGTGAACTTAGGGCAGGTGTGCCACAGCAGCTTACTTGTATCACTAAATTCTCTAAAAGGTTCACCATCACTGACGTAGGGTCTTCCGAAACAACTAAGTTGTTCAAGATGGGGTCAAATTTGCAACCATCCTGCCTCAGCGTCCAAGTAGCTGGGATTACAGGTGTGTGCACCATCACGCTCAGGAAGGGAAGGGCAAGGTTGATGTCAGGGGAAGCGGGGAAAATGCTGTGGTGTGCCTCACTGGGAGCGAGCGAACGGGCAGCCTGAGACATTGGCCCCTGCTGAAACAGAGAAAGATGCAGGGCGCTGCCCCTAAGACATGAGGGCTTGCAAACACTTAGAAGTTCTGCTCGTTTCCTGGTTTCTCATAAAGCAAGAACCCTGGTTATAAGTTGAAGTAGGAAAAAGGGATGAGATAAGGTATGAGGTCTACCCTGGAGCATGTGGGAAGCACTGTGGGAGCACATGGCCAGGAGGACAGGGCCTCTGTGCTCTGCGGCCCCACAGACAGGTCTGTGGGGAGGCACACAGGTCTAAGGAGGAAGCACAGTCCAAGGGACCTGACAGAAGCCCAGAACTGTGCTCAGGCTCAAGAAATGACAAAGTAGAGGATGCTCTGGACTGGGCTTGGGATCTAGAAAGAGCTGGGGTAAACTCAAGGAAGAACTGTGGTGAGGACGGGGTGAAGGCAGTGGCTCCCCACCTTGGTTCAATGCCAGAATCACCAGGGCTAACATGTTAGAATCCCAAAGCTGGGACCACACACAACTACATGCACTGAGTCCTGCACACGCAGGAGCCCAGTACTGGCATCAGTGCTTCTGAAACCTCTCCCAGGCCAGTATGCAGGGAGCCAGCCCGGGATACCTGGTACTGAGGGGCTCAGGGCGGGTGGAGGACAAGCCAGCTGCACCAGCATCAGGTCAGCCTGGCTTTTCAAAATCTCAGAATGAGGGCAGGAAAGCATGGTAGAAGGAAGAAAGAAATTATTCAAAACAGCTAGGCACAGCCACCTGAGGGCTGGGACCCACAAAATGGTATAGGAAGTAGCGGGCACAGGAGCTCCAGATTGGGAAGAGGAGCTTTCGGGAGAAACAGGAAGGTGGCTTTGGCAGGAGCAGTGCAGACCGAGGAGGCCATGTGGTCTCCCACTCAGAAACAGCAGATGTGAGGGCTAAGCTCCAGACAGAAGATAAGGACAGCATTCCTAATGGCTGGTGACAAAGGATGGGGTCAGCCCGAGTTTGCAGGCACAGGGTCACTTATGAACGCTGGTGCTTCCTGTGCATGAGCACCGAGCCCAGGGAAGTCAAAGGTGCACCACATCCTTCTTTCCTATTAATATGCTGCACTCCATGGTCACCACCCTGTCCCTGGAACTAAGGGAAGTTACCCAGAAGGCCTGGAAGTGACAAGTCTCCAGCAGGTCCCCGAGGTACAAAATCTGACGAATAGGTCGCTCTTCTTGCTGGTAGGGGAACTGTTAAAAGAAAATGGCCCCAAACCCATAGAGACTTGGGTTCCCTGTCCTAGATCACCTCTCTCCACCTACCTTCTTAGTCTAGGCCCTCTCTTCCAAAAGTTCAGTTCAGAGAAAGGGCTGGAGGCCGAGGGTGTGGCTCAGTGGCAGAGCAGTTGCCCAGCAAGCATCTAACCCTAGGTTTCATTTCCAGTGTCATAAAAATAAAACATCAAATAAAACACTGGAAGAAAAAAAGAAGAAAGACCTGGGAACTGAAGCCATCTCACATCTTATTTTCCCTGCGGCCGGAGGCAGAAGAAAAGCCATTTATCACAGCACTGTCCAAATGGCCAAAAGTAAGTAACAAGCTACAAGTCCAGGGATGGGGACAATGAAATAAAAGGTAGCCCAACCATATACTGGGATCCATTCAATACTTGGAACCCCAGTGGACACATCTGGTAATGTGGGTTCAATCAATTCTCTGGTATCTCAGTTTAGCAACCAATGGGCAGGCAGGTGTGACACCCCAGCCCAATCGCACCTGCTTTGCCAGGCACGTGTGGGAGACTGCTGAGTCTATCAAATGACTGGAAAAAAGCTGCGGCTCATCTGGACCAGCCACAAAAGACCAGATTAAGTTAAGGGACTCAAAACCCATGGAAGGCCAGCTGAGGACACCCATATATGATGGATCCTGCCCTGGCTTAGCTGACGAGCCAGTTCTGCTTTGCCTGGCTGCCCCCACAGCCTCCCGCCTGGAGGCTCTCTGTTCAGCTGGCAACCTTAGAGGATTCTTTCTGAAGCACTAATCATGGCCACAGCCTGCAGCCCTAAAGCTTCTCAGCTGCCCAATGCCTTGGAGTCTAGCTGCACTGCACCTAAGACACCTGTGACCTTCATATGCCATGTATGGATCCCCCTCCCTCTCCAGCCCTGGCTTCCCTGGGCTCCCCTTCCCTCCCTCTTCTGAGAGCCTTTCCCTAACCCTACAGGCAGTCAGGGATCTGCCCATCCCAGCTGTGACTAGTAGGGAAACCTGTGCCTCCTTACTAGATCCTGAGAGTTCCATGAAGGCACAGACCCCACCCCTGCCAGCCACCCCCGTGCCACGATGAGCCCAGAAAGGCCCTTGGTGCTGTATCATTAGCCCTGCCTCAGCGCCCTCTGGCCCTGGAAGGATACATGCGCCTGGTCGATCATGCACTTGCACAGGGTGAAGTCTGTGTGGGGCAGGTTGGTGAGGGCCTTCAGCAGGATCTGAGCAGTGACTGTGGTCTGAAAGAAGGCTGGGTTGAACTGATACCTGGGAAGGGCAACAGGAGACATAGCAACAGTGACCCCTTCACATCCCTGACTCACTGGGTAACGGCTGCTGCTTGAGTCTGGAACTTGGGCTCCAGCCCCACCCACATCTTCTGACTGTGTAACCTTAACCTCTCTATGGAGATGGGTACAGTTCATCCTCACAACTGTACAAGAGACACTATCAAGTGATTCTTAACAGAGGACAGAAACAGCAGTGGTAAGGTTCTGGAGTAGGATGCTTAAAACTTTCCCCTGAGTAACCTTGGCCTGCTTTTTTCTTTTTCCCCATGGTGCTAGGGAATGAATTCAGGTCTTTTTGTACTAAGCTATATCCCAAGCTGTTTTTTAAAGGTTTTGTTTTGTTTTGTTTTTTTGTCTTTTTGAGAAAGAATCTCACTATGCAGTGCAGACTGGTCTTGAGCTCACTGTGTAGCCCAGGCTGGTCTTGAACTTACAATGATCTTCCTGCCTCAGCCTCCTGAGTGCTGGGATTACAGACATGTGCCATCATGCCCAACTCCTTTTTTAATTTTTTATTTTGAAACAGGATCTTGCTAAATTGCCCATGCGTGGCTCAAATTTGTGATTCTCCAGCCTCAGTCTCCCAGAGTGCTGCGATTATAGGCGTATACCACCATGGTTGGTTTGGATTGCTTAAGTTTTTAATTAAGTGCCTCAGTTTCTTCCCTTTCTAAAGAGGAAGTATAGATCAGTGGTAGACTGTGTGCTTAGCATGCATGAGGCCCTGGGTTTGACTCACAAAACTCACATCTGCCATTCAGGGGCAATATAGCAATTGAGATAACATACACAGAGCCTGCAGCATAGCAGGCATCACAGACACTTTTCTCCATTTTACAGATGAGAACCCAGAGGCTATGCAGTTGACAAAAACTATACAGCTGGTAGTGTCAAGAAAGCACCCAAAGGGGAAGAACACAAAAGAAACAGATAGTAAGAACAGAGCCTGCTATTCCTAACACTTTGGAGGGTGAGGCAAGAGGACTGAGGCAAGTTTGAGGTGAGGCTGGGCTACAAAGTGAGTTCAAAGCCAGACTGAAGTATATTGCAAGAGACTGTCCAAAAGAAAAGAATAAGCAAATCCACATAAAAAAAATTGGATAGGCATCACAACCCAGAGGCAAGTGGAAGATATTTTATGCAAAAGAGCTCATGCTATTTGATTACAGTTGTGTCAAGTTCAAAGGAGACAAACCTGAGCTAAGCTAATCCAGATGCAAGTACGAGTGGTAAACAATCACGAAAGGCCAGGCCATGAGTATCTGCAGTTATCAGCATGGTGGTTGGTCAGGGACTGAGCATATGGGTATAGGGCCTAGGGTGCTATTAACGCTTTTGCAAACCAGATGTGGGGTAGCAAGTACGTGACTGTTTATCTATAATTACTTGTTAAAATACATTTTTATGCATTTAAAAATTAGTTTTAAGCTAGACATGGTGGCACATGCCTGTAATTCCAGCTCTCAGGAGGCTGTGTCAGCCTAAATTGCATAGTGAAACCCTGTTTCAAAAAGACCAAAAAAAAAAAAAAAAAAAAAAAAAATCCCCAACTCTCTTGGCTTCCTAGTTTTGCATACCAAAGACAAGGCACATCCTGCAGGCTACCCCAGCAACCCTCTTCCATGCTGGGAGTGGCACCTTGCTAATTGTGCAGGCACAAGGGGTAGGGACAGACTAGACACTCACAACTTCAGGACAGCCAGGTTGGCTTCCAGATCATAGGCATTCTCCTTGGCTTGGGTCTCCACATAGCGCTCCAGGGTGGCCAAGTTCTCAGGATTGTACCTAGACAAGCAGGAAAATGGAAGAGACAGCAGCTAAAACCCATACTTTTAGGGTTCCAAGGGGGTAATTGTGACCTGTTTTTCCCTTCTTTCTTTTGCCTCTAAATCTAACCCAGCCACGGGGGTTCTCAATAGTCAGCTCTAAAACCTCTTACAAAACTTGCTCACACCCAGACCTCTATCCTAGGCTCTCATCACGTTGGAGCTCTGGGTTTTAACTAGGATGCCTCCCAATCTCAACCAGTCAGTGCAGCCTGTGTACATGGCCTCCTGAACACAACTGTTACCTTCATCTTGTAGGTCTCCACACGGGTCCAGACTCATCTCCTGTCTAAGTCAATGCCTAATCGCCCCTCCCCACGAAGTCGTTCCTGAATTTCCAGGCCTTTGCTTGCCCCAGTTTGGCCCGGACACCTCCTGGCTACCAGTCTACTATCGCGCTTGTCTCCCTTTTGAAAAGGGAACTCTGCCCATAAAAGCCAGACTCGTGGCTTGCCAGGCACTGAGAGTGGACGTCAATGAACCTATGTTGAATGAATGACATGTGGGGCAAAGAAACCATTAAGAGGTTTCTTTTTAATGAGGAGCTGAGCGAGGGGCTGAAAAAGCAAGGAACAGAGAAACAGGCAGTTGATTACAGAAACAGAATGGCAGACGCTCTCTTGCCTCTAAGCCTTTACCGTGGGGTCTCCGTAAACCTGTCCTCCAAGACGACCTTCGGCCGTACAGTGACAGAGAAACCCACCCCTTGGCAAGCCCAGCCCCCCCCCCTTGCTGTCTGCGGAATCCCTCTTCTCCACTCCGCTGGGCCTGAGCGCTCCCTTCGGCCGAGCTCGGACCTGTCGATACCCTTGAGCAACTTGCCCACGTTCGCTCTCATCTGCTCAAACATCGCCATGACTACTGCCTCCTTCCACGACCACTGCTAGAGCAGAACACCAGCCAGGCCCGCCGTCCTCGAGGACCGGAAGAAGAAGAAGAAGAAGAAAAAAAAAAAAAGAGTAGGAAGCGGAAATACGTCATTATTGGCGCTACGGCTCGGGGCGGGGAGGGGGACGCTAAAGGGGAAGGTTCTTCCCGCAGCTGCCACGCTTTCCCGCTGTCACGTGATTTCTTTTCAGGAGGCGTAATTGGCGCGTGCGCATTCGCTCCACCCAGGGGAGATTTCATGGCGTGAGAAAAGGCTAGTCTACCGCAATGCGCAGGCGCCTTCTTGGGGCTATGGGCGGGGCTTTCCCGGGTTTGGCGAATCCCCTCCCCTAGCCAGAGTGCCAGTTGTCAGAGCCCCCTCTTCTTCCTGGAGAGTCCGTATGCACGCGGGCGCTCGCGTTGTGTTGCGCATAGTTGTGAATGCGGACTTGTCTGGGAATCCACCTAGTAGCACGCACTTTGGTACTCGACCAAGATCCAAGGGAAGCGCGCTGTAAGGTCCTTGCTTCTGGCCTGGGCTCCTGATCCAGAATCCAGGATGCTCCCTTCATCAGTTTCAAGTCTTTAGCTTTGGTTGTCACCTCTCATCCCAATTCCTTGAACAGAAGCCGATAAAAATATTGCGTTCTGCGGTGAAGGAAGTGGGTAGGGAGGCGAGGGGCTCCTGGATGCCGCCCTAGAGGCCGAGGGCGAGCGCTCCATGCGTACCGCCATGGGTTATTCGTGCACACTGCAAGCCTGCGTGCACAGGCATGTGCCCCGCGTGTGGAGGTGTATGCTGTGAATACCTCCGCACGTGTACACACAGGTATCACAGCACAAGCACCGCACCTGCACTGTAGCAGGCATGCAGGAGTTTTAACATTTTTGAGACAGGGTCTCACTACATAATTCATGCTGGCTTCGAACTTGCAACAATCTTCCTACTTCAATCTGACGAATGCTGGGATTACAGGCGTGCACCACTACCACACCCTGCAGGAGCTAACACTGAAGTGCATGTTTGTGTCCCAGTGAGCAGGAATCTATACTACATAGTCATACCTGTGCAGACCTGCAAACTGGGTTGTAGCCAAACTCCCAAGCACCCAACAGTGGTTTAGTTAGGGGTTATAGTCTCGCCCAGAACGGGGGAGAGGTGCTGGGACACCCCCCAGTATAATTAGTATCGTTTACATCTCATTTACATCTAGCACTGAGCCTTCGGGGTGCAGAGGAGTCCCACGGGTGCCAAAGCAAACTGCCCCCCCCCAGCCCAGGGGACAGGAGGTGGAGCCCATAGCACAGCTCTGCAGCTGGGGCAGGAAGCGAGAAGAGGGGGGAGGCCACAGCCCGCAGAAGCAAGGCGGGTGCAGGGCTTGTGGGGAGGGAAGGAGGTGCCAAAGCTCGAGCCCTGAGGCCCTGCTGGCCCCTGGGCGCAGGCCCAGCTCCTGCCTCCAGGAATGGACCTCGTGGATCCTGACATCTTTAATAGGGACCCTCGGGACCACTATGACCTGTTGCAGCGGCTGGGTGGCGGCACCTATGGGGAAGTCTTCAAGGTGAGAAGTCCCTCTGTCTCCATCACCCTCAGAGTAGTGACTTTTAGAGTGAACCCCAGGAAGAAAACAGGCACCAAGAGGGTCCCAATCCTTAGCATGGCTTGGGGATACTGACGAAGGATTCAGACGAATGGAGCCTGCCTGACACCAACTTCCCCTTTACAAGGCTCGAGACAAGGTGTCTGGGGACGTGGTGGCACTGAAGATGGTGAAGATGGAGCCTGGTGAGAGGGAACCCGGGAACTTCAGCACCCTACTTCTACCCTGTGGGACATGAGGAGCCAGTCTCCCGTAGCTCCCTGCCTGCAGCTACCCTTTCTCTCCTGTCCCTCCTTGCAGACGACGATGTCTCCACCCTCCAGAAGGAAATCCTCATGTTGAAAACCTGCCGGCATGCCAACATCGTGGCCTACCATGGCAGCTACCTCTGGTGAAAATCAGCAGCCCACCCTACCTCCCACAGTCTAGTTCCCAGCTCAGAACACTCCTTTTTCAGTGGGCACCCCTAACCTGACCCCCAATCTTGAACTTTCACTTTTGACCCTGACACCCTGTCCTGACCTCCAGCTGTGGACCCCTATTTTTAACTGGAGGATTGCCATCCCGATCCCCAGTCTACTTTCCCACTTTTCTGACCAGATCTAACTTCATTTCTAAGGGCTCACCAAACTGACCTTCATAGTCTCCAAGTCCGAAATGAACTTTTCTGATACTAATCTCTCTTCATTCTGTCCTTTGGGTTCTCTCATTTTATCAGCTTCTTTAATACAAATTTCTAAATTCTCTGATCCCCAGAATAATTCCCAGATGCCCTTATGATGACCTTGTTCCCTAGACCATGCACCCTGGGCCCCTCCTACCCATCCAGATGCTGAAACGTGAGATCTCCACTTCATACCCTGGCTTAGCCTGAGATGACAGAGGAGTGCTCTGGATCTGGAATCCAGAGATCTATGCTTAAGCCAAGTTTCCCCTCAATATACATTTTCCGGCAGAGCCTGAGTTTCCTCCTCTGGGAATGGAAGTCTTATTCTGGTGGGCAAGGGGAACGAGGAAGATAAGAGCTAGTACATCAAAATTTTTACCAGACTAGAATAAGACAGTGAAGCAGGGCTATCACATAAAAAATGATATATTGCTCTGCTGTTATTATTATGATCATTATTCCTCTTGGACCTTTGTAGGTTGCAGAAGCTCTGGATCTGCATGGAATTCTGTGGGGCTGGGTCTCTCCAGGACATCTACCAAGGTCAGACGACAGACAGGGAACCCTGGGCCCCCTTGCCCCTCAAATCTACCCTGCCTGTCTCTCTCTCCCTCTCTCTGTGTCTCTGGAAACTGTCTTCCTGGTCCACATTCTCATCCAGCAAGCCCCTCTCTGGGCCTGGACCATGCTAGGGACCTCATGGTGACTCTGAAGGCCCTGGGCCCTGCCTGCCACCACCCCATGTCCACGCTGGTGTTCTGCATGCAGAAGCCTGCTCTGCCTCCCGATTCATCTCTTTGATGAGATCTATTTGTGTGTTTCTGGATTTTCTGGTACAGAGGAGGTATCCAGACTTCTGTTGAATGCATGGATGAATTTCTGATTCTGTCCCTCAGCCTGTCTTTTTAGTCTAGGGGAACTTTATGTGTGTACATGGAGAGGGGAGCATCTCTTTGAATTCTGTGCTTTTCTTCTGTTTGTTTTGGCGGTGCTAGAGATTGAATCCAGGATTTTTGCACTAAGCTACATTATATGCCTAGCCCTTTCCTTTTTCTGTCTTGTTGTTCTTCTTCTCCTCCTTCTATTTTTTATTTTTTGTGATTGAACTCATGGCTGTTGCACTGAGCTACATCTCCAGCCCTTATTTTTATTGTGAGGCAGGGCCTTGCTAAATTGCTGAGATATAACTTGAACTTGAGATCTTCCTACCTCAGCTTCCTGGAGTGCTGGGATTACAGGAATATCCACCATGCCTGGCTCCTTTCTAATTTTTATTTCGAGACAATATCTCTTTAAGTCACTGACTTCCCCAGGCTGGGCTGGAACTTGAGATCTTCCTGCTTCAGACTCCCAGAATGCTGGGATGACAGGCATCGGCTATTGTACCCTGCTCCTCTCTGATTTTTTTTTTTTTTTTTTTTTTTTTTTTTTTTTTTTTTTGCTTTTGCTCACTGAATCACTGATACCAACTTCTGTCTTCAGTCATCTTCTTGACTGCCGCTGGTCTCTTCCAAGACCTCAAATGTCAGCAGGAAGGGCTTCATTAGGAAGGGTCAGTCGGGGTTGGATGTGGCTTAGGAGTAGTGCACCACTTGCCTAGCATGCTCAAGGCCCTGGGTCCCATACCCAGCACTGCAAACAAACAAACAAACAAAAAAATGCAGGGGAGAAACTGAGGCCCACACAAAGGAAGTGACTCACCCAGCCTGTCTGTGAGATCTGGTCTCTGGGCACCATCATCTCTCTGCTGTCCTCTCTCCACCCATCTATCTCTTCTCATTCAGAATAGAACTGTCTCCCACACTTTGGTCCCTGTGTTGTTTGGCTCTGATCCCGTTTCCATGTCTTCTGGCTTGGCCTTTCCTCATTTGCAAGCACCGCTCTGCCATGTTTGGGTCCTCCCACGGCCAGGTCTCCAGTCTGCGCCCACCCAGCTGGCCAGCCCCTCCTCCCACACTTTCCTCCCCTCCACCCCTGCACTTGCTGTTCCTCTTCTCCCTACCAGTGGGACTCGACCCTTCATGTCCCCAGCTGTTACTTTCCCCTCCTCCTCTTCCTCCTTCTTTTTCATCTGCAGTACTGGGGATTGAACCCAGGGCCTTTGCACCGATTTATATATCCCCAGCCCTTTTTTAATTTTATATTTGAGACAGGGTCTGGCTAAGTTGCTCAGACTTGCAATCCTCCCACTTCAGCCTCCTGGAGTAGCAGGATTATAGATGCTGGTCACCAGGCCCAGCCTCTGTCAGCTCCTTAGTAGCCTTGCTGACCATCTGATGTAAAATGTCATAACCCTTCCCACACATATTTCCTGTTGTCTTTTCTTACCACTTATTAGCATCTTTCTGCTTCTTTATTTGCGGTGCTGTAGTTGGAACCCCAGGCCTGGCATGTGCTAGGCACGTGCTCTACCACTGAGCCTCGGCCATCTGGACACACTGTATTTCACTTGTGACCTTGCTTACTGTCCCCCTGTGGACTGTCTCTCCAGGAGGGCAGGGATGTGTCTCTTCTGTCCACAACCATATGCCTAGCACCTGCCACACAGCAGACAGTGGAATAGTTGTCTGCTGAATGCCTGTCTCCCTCTGGCTTACTGCCCTGCATGGCCACCTGTCATCAGCATCCCTCATCTCCTGCCCACTTCTCCCACGGGGTCCCCTTTCCTTTGGGCTCCTCTCAGCTGGTATGGGTGGGCCAGCTTCCTGGTCACCATCCAACCTTGGCCTGGCCCGGCCTGATCTTCACAGTGACAGGCTCCCTGTCTGAGCTCCAGATTAGCTATGTCTGCCGGGAAGTCCTCCAGGTGAGGAGAGGCCTGGGGCCTTGGAGGGGTGGCAGGGTCCTGCTCCCTGCAGCAGGCCTTATGGTGGCCCTTGCATGCTTCTCCCCAGGGATTGGCCTACCTGCACTCCCAGAAGAAGATTCACCGGGACATCAAGGTGTGCTAGGTTTGGGGGTGCCACAAGGAGTAGGAGAGTAGCATTTGAAGGGCTCAGGATTGAGCTGTGGGGTGGGGTAGCAGTGGACTGGGGAGAGCTCTCTGTCCCTCCTCTTGTCGCCAGGGAGCCAACATCCTTATCAATGATGCTGGGGAGGTCAAGCTGGGTAAGTACAACTGGTGGGAGTGCACAGGGGGGGTGACTGGGGTTGGTGGGGGAGACACTATATCACTCCCTCTGTCTCCAGCTGACTTCGGTATCTCAGCCCAGATTGGGGCAACGCTGGCTCGACGCCTCTCCTTCATTGGGACACCCTATTGGTGAGGGTACTGGCTGGGATGGGGTAGGGGTAGGCAGTGATTTTTCCAACCTTGGCTCCCTGAGAATTTTAACTGAGACTTTTTTTTTTTTTTTTTTTTGGTGGTAATGAGGCTTGAACTCAGGGCTTTGTGTGTGCCAGGCAAACGCTCTACCACTAAGCTACACCTCCAGTCCCCATCCCAGAACCGTGTCTAGCACCTCTGTCTTTGATTCACTTTGACTTTATCTGGTCTCCCTGTGCCCTTTCTGCCTGTCCTTCTCAGTGTTTGTGTTAGTTTTTATCTTGATCTGTCTCTCGATATCTGTCTCTTCTCAGCCTGTGGCCTTCTCATGCCTCTGTTTCTATCTCTCTCTGATAGAAGTGGAGACTTCCTAGTAGGGGGGACTGAACCCAGGGCCTTCACACTGAGCTGTATCCCCAGGCCTTTTTTACTTTTTATCTTTTGCTAGACAGGGGCTTGATAAGTCACTAAGTTGCCCAGGGTGGGCCTGAACTTCTGATCCTCTTGCCTCAGCCTCACAGAGTCGTGCCTGGCACTTTGTGTCCATCTTTATTTCCATGTCCCTTTGCATCTAGCTCTCTTAGGACCCCATTTCCCCTTGCCATGATCTCCATCTTCCTCTCCCTTTCCCTGTATCATCTCTGGCTCTCTGAGGGTCTCTGTCCCCAGGATGGCTCCAGAAGTGGCTGCAGTGGCCCTGAAGGGAGGATATAATGAGCTGTGTGACATCTGGTCCCTGGGTATCACGGCCATTGAACTAGCTGAGTTGCAGCCACCACTCTTTGATGTGCATCCTCTCAGGTAGGCAGGTGTGACAGGTGCCCTGGGTGCAGGGGCTCTGAAGATACCACACAGCTTCCCTGTACGAGGCCTCCCTGTGCTCCCAGAGCAGCAGCCTTGGCTGCAGCCTTCCACAGCAGAAGCCCTGGCTTGGGGACCCCAGCTTGAGCCCCCTGCTGCATTGACCATGCTCTAAAGTGTGATAAGTGGCTTCCTCTAAAAGTGGCCTCCTAGCACTTTTGAGTCCCAACCCTGCTCCCACTCATCCCTCACTGCTGACTGCTGACCTCAGTGCTGCTGGAACCCCCGCGGCTCTGGACTCCATGCTCTTCCCTTACTGTTCTAGAGTTCTTTTCCTTATGACTAAGAGTGGCTACCAGCCTCCCCGGCTAAAGGAAAAGAGCAAATGGTAAGGGGGTGACATGGTGGGGGAGGGTCCCACATTCTAGAAAGTCTCTGCTCCTCTCATCCCTGAACCTGCCTTCTTCCTCCCCAGGTCAGCTGCCTTCCACAACTTTGTCAAAGTCACCCTCACTAAGAACCCCAAGAAACGACCTGGTGCCACCAAGATACTGAGTGTAAACCTCCCTTCCCTGAGGAGCCCACCCCCCCTCTGTGATCCCCTAGAACCCTCAGAATTTAGTTCCAAAGAACTCCTTGCCCCCTTTAAAGCCCTTGTCCCTCAGATTTCTCCGGATGCCCCCCAGACTTTTACATTGTACCTTTCTGAGATCCCCAAATTACTAGAACTTGCACACTCCCCAAGGCCTCAAGATCCATTCCAGAGAGTCTTCTCCAATTCCAAGGAAACCTCTAGGCCACCTCTGAAATTCTCCAAGCCCCCTTCAGAGGGTCCTGAATTCTTCTAATCCCTTCAAGCTTCTGAGAATTCCCCAGGTTCCTGAATTCCCTAGTGCCCTGCTCCCTCCCTCGCTGGGCCTTCCACACTGGAAGCTTGTTCCCGCCCTACCCCAGCCTTCTGTCTACTGATCCTCCCTCTCTTCCCCTCTCCAGCATCAGCTGGTGTCCCAGCCTGGGCTGAACAGAGGCCTTATCCTGGATCTTCTTGACAAACTGAGGAACCCCGGGAAGGGGCCCCCCATTGCCGAGAGTGAAGATGAAGAACACGAGGTAAGGACCTTGACTCATCAGAACTTGGGAACCTCCAGGCCTTTGCTCAAACTGTGTCCCCCACTCAGCCCCCCAGGGATGTCTTCCTGAAGCCGCTCTAAGCCACAGCCTATGGAGGCAGGGGTGCTGTGGGGGAGTTCGGGGTGAGAGGAAGCTACAGGCTGCAGGGGGGTTGCCTGGGGCCATGAGTCCTGATGCTGCTGCCCCTCTGCCCAGCCGCCCCCTGCCATCCCTCGCCGGATCAGATCCACCCACCGGGCCAGCTCAATGGGGATCCCAGATGCAGACTGCTATAGTGAGTAGACATTCCTACCACATGGGGACACCTGACCCTAGAGATCCCTTCCCCTTCTGACCACCAAGGACCCTCATCACCATCTAATCCTATAAGAGACTCCAGAGAACCACAAAATTACCTAAAAATGATTATAGAGCCCCAATCTGTCCTGAACTGCAAACAGACCCCTCTGAAAACTTGTCACTGCCCTGACCCTCACAAGAGACCTCAGAAATCTCAGCAGCCCTGGTACCAAGTGGACTCTGAAAATGAACTGACTGCTCTAACCATCTCCATCTCTCGATCCCAAACCTTGACCCTCAAAATGAGACCCCCATGAACCAAGACCCCTCTTGTTAAGGGACAGTACCAGTCTCTTAAGACCTTAATTCCAGAGCTCCCAAGTCTGTTTCCTCTTCCCCAATCCAAGTTGCTGCCCTTGGGTCACTGGGTTGTCACTCTCGAACTCCAGGGCGCCACATGGAGTTCCGGAGGCTCCAAGGAGCAGAGCCCAGACCCCCCACTGACAGGGTAAGATGCCTTCCTGCTCCCCCACATCCCCTTTTCGCCTGGGCCATCGCTGAGCCCTTCCCTGTCCTGCAGGTGTGCTTACAGCTCCCCGGTGACCTCAGGAGCAGCAGTCCCAGGTTAGGGACCCCGGGGGTGAGGGTGGGGCCCTGGGATATAAGTGGGGCCACTGGAAGCTCATGCCTGTCACTCTTCAGGAGCCACCTGTCAGAGTCTGATGACGACTATGATGACGTGGACATGTAAGAAGCCAGCCCTTGCCCTACAGACTCTCACCCTAGCCCCCCATTTCTGACAGCCCCCCCACTTGACTTCACTGACACTCCAACCTCTCCCTGCCCTCCTTCCATCTCTGATCCTTGAGGCCCAGCCTCACTCCCAGTGCAGCCCTTCCCTTCCTTCTGCCCCAGCCCCTGGTCCCTCACCGCAGCCACCCTATATCCTTAACCTCCAACACCCGATGCCCCACTCGGTCCCAACCCCAGCTTTCACCTTTTATTTTATTTATTTTTTATTTTGGGGTTTTTTTTTTTTTTTTTGAGGGTCTTACTACGTAATGCAAGCTGGCCTTGAACTCACTATGTAGCCCCGGTTGGCTTTGAGCTTTAGAGATCCTCCTGCCTCAACCTCCCGAGTGCTGGAATTATAGGTGTACACCACCATGCCCAGCACCACCTTTTTTTTTTTTTTTTCCCGGTATCAGGGATTGAACTTGCGACCGCCTGCTTGCAAGGCAGGTGCTTATGCTGCTGAGCTAAATCCCCAGCCCCTAGAAAGTGTTTTGTTTTGTTTTGTTTTGTTTTGTTTTTTTCTGGTCTTTTTCGTTTTTAGCGGTACCAGGGATCGAACTCATGACTGCCTGTTTGCAAGGCAGGTGGCACCACCTTTTTATACCTTTGATTCAACCACCAACTTTAGCCTCCACCTTCCCTGAACCCAGACCTGACCCCAGTTCCCTCCAGAATGTCCTCCTGCTCCAACCCCAGATCTTTCCCAGATGTTGTTCCAACCTCCAAACCATCTCCAAACTTCTGCTTCAGCTTCTTCCCAAGCCAGCATCTTTTGTCATTTTGCTCAACCCCAGAATGCACCTCGGCTCCTAGAAATGCTAAGCAAATACTCCACCACTGAGACATAGCCCCAGCCCTGGTTCCTGAAAATGTTCCAAAAGCCAGACCTCCAGCCACAGATCCAAACCTTCACGACGGCAGCCACCATCTTTCCCATCCCCTGGCCAGGGACAGCCTTGAGGTCCCCTCCTCATTCATTCCTGCATGTCCGATGTGAAAAGTGAGAATGGAATCCCAGAGATTAATTACCTGAGAGCCTGGAGTGTGAAGACTCCAGCCCAGAGTTGCTGTTATTGTAGTCACCATGGCAATTTGTCCTATAAGCCCAGCTCCAAGTGACCCCTTCCTCTCCAGCATCCCAGTCCCAGGCCTCAGAGCCTGGCTACCCCATCTTCCCCTGTCCTTGTTCCCCACCTGTTTACTCCATCTTTGTGTTTCAGCCCTGCCCCAGTAGAGGACACACCTCCCCCACTGCCCCCTAAGGTAGGCCCCAAGGCCAGGTCCCCAGAGCCCAGGACCTGGTGCTGGCCAGGTCCGGGAGTCTGGCAGTCTGGGATGCTGGGTACACTGGGACCTGGAAATGGCATCCCTTAAGCCAGGGGTAAAATTCCTAGGAGTCCTCTGCTGGGTCCAGTATTAACCCTTTGGTTTCTGACTGTGCTGATATGGGGGAGTGGTGTTGGGAAGCCTGAAGGGGAGGCAGGACTTTGTGGGTGGATCAGAGCCAGGGCTGACTCAAAGTTCTGGTGGAGATAAGGCTTGGGTTGCAAAGAGTGTCCTCTCTCTGAGATCAACTGATGTATTTCTCCTTGCTCCTTGCTTGTCTCCAAAGCCCAAGTTCCGGTCTCCCTCAGATGATGGTACTGGGGGGCTGGGAGATGAAGGGCAGCTGAGCCCTGGGGTGCTGGTCCGGTGTGCCAGCGGGCCACCCCCACGTACCCCTCGTCCAGGGCCTCCTCCAGTCACCCGCAGCCCCCATCTCACCGCCCACTCAGGTAACAGGATGAGCTGGGGTGGAGGCTGGGCCAGGGTGAGGGGTCTCAGGCTGATCACCTCCAACCCCTCTCAGAACCCTCACTCTGGAACCCAGCTTCCCAGGAGCCTGACCAGCCCCCACTGCTGCCCCCTAAGAAAGAAAAGATGAAGCGGAAGGTGAGGCCGAGCGGTGTCCCAAGGGGTGGGTAGGGCTCGGGAGGGGAGTTCCCGGGTGTCAGACACAGATGTCTAGCTTCATGTGGCATAAGTCCTTAACCTAGAAACAGGCAGCACAGCTGGGGAGTCTGAAGCATAGAGAGGCTAAGAGGTTTGCCCAAGGTTGTATGTATAATAGTCCCCCCTTATCTGCTCAGGGCACGTTTTAAGACCACTAATGAATACTTGAAACCAGCTACACATACACACATACACAAATATATGTGTATGTATGTGTATTTTTTCCTATACATGCTTACCTATGATGAAATTAAATTCATAATTTTGTCACAGTAAGAGATTTACCCTAATAACTAATAATCAACTAGGATAATTATAACGGTGTACTATAATATTTGAAAGTTAGGGGTTTTTTTCCTGGAATTTTCCATGTAATACTTTTGGATCACAGTTGACTATACATAACTAAATCCACAGAAAGTAGAAGTGGGAATGAAGCAGGTGACTATACAGTTTGGAGAGGCAGAGGCAGGATTTGAACTCAGGCACTCTTGCTCCAGAGTTTTAACTACTGTGCCTTTCTGTCTCCTGCCCTCCTTCTCTGGATCTGCTGTCCGGCCCACGGGGCCCACCCAGGGATGTGCCCTTCTTGTGAAGCTGTTCAATGGCTGCCCGCTACGGATCCACAGCACGGCCGCCTGGACACACCCCTCCACCAAAGGTGGGCCTGGGCAGGGGAAGGGCATGAGGGGCTCAAGAAGTTGAGTGGCCCTGAATCTGGGCATCCAGCAGAGATAAAGGGAAGATGAATTAATAAAAACTAGGGAAATTACAGTGTGGGGAGAGAGGTGTCCAAATATAACATTGCCTAGAGTTTGGCAGACAGGATAGAAATGAGTGGCTGATAGCTGGAGGTTTATGGTAGAGAAACTGGGATCAGCATTTTGGGGTCAGAAGTTTTAGGGATCAGGCTTTAGGTGTGGTGATGCACACCTGTAATCCCAGCACTTAGGAGGCTGAGGCAGGAGGATGTATAAATTTCAGGGCAGCCTGGGCTGCACAGTGAGACTGTGTTTAAAAAAAAAAGTTTTAGGGATCAGAATGCAGCAAAAAAGGACAGAAACGAGGGGCCAAAGGTAGACAAGGTAAATCAAATGTCAGTGCTAAAGGAGGTGTGTCAGAGTTCAAAGGCCACATTGCACAAAACAAGTTGTGTTTGAGGGTGTCTTGAGTTTGAGGATCAGTGTGAAAACAGGAAGTCAGAAGTGGGCAGAAAGAAGGACAGAAATTAAATGGCTGTTTTGAGTGGCAGGTTGAAAGGTAGGGTGACCTCTGGGGAGATGAAGGGCCAGGATTTGTGAGTTAGAGTCAGAAGAACCACCAGAATCTGGCAAGTTGCTGATAAGGGACACTAAGACCGGCCTATGGGACTGGGCAGCATTTGTAATCACATTTGGGGAAACAGAGGCTGAGAGTAAATCAGTTTGGGCTGAGAGTTAGTGAGTAAAAGGTCAAAACTGAGGGCCTGAGAGAGAGAGGGGGTCACTGTTTGGACCCAAATTGGTGGAGACTGGCCATCCCAGGATGAAGTGGGTCCTAGTGTCCTGCTTGTCTGTGCCCTGCAGAACAGCACCTGCTCCTGGGGGCGGAGGAAGGCATTTTCATCCTGAACCGGAATGACCAGGAGGCCACGCTGGAGATGGTGAGGCCCTATGCCTGGGTTACAGGGTCGGTGTGGAGTTGGGGGACAGGGTCACCAGATGCCATATGACTCACTGCCTCCATTCTCTGCAGCTCTTTCCTAGCCGGACAACTTGGGTGTACTCCATCAACAACGTCCTCATGTCTCTGTCAGGTCTGGTAGTGGGCTGGGGAGGAGCGGAGGGTTAGGATTTGGGAGGTGAGTGAGCACAGCTTTAAAAAAAATAAGAGGAGCTGGGGATTTAGCTCAGCAGTGTAAGCATCTGCCTGGCAAGCATGAGGTCATGAGTCCAATCCCCAGTACCAAAAACAAAACAAAACAACCAAGTTTCCTTATCCCAAGCTGTGGGTTCAAATCCCAGTCATCTTTACAAGTAAGGCAATGGACTTCAGCACTCTGAACCTCAATTTTCCTGTCTGCAAATTAAATTGGGGCTCACAATAGTCCTCACCTCTCAAATCAGCCTTGAGGTAATTTCTATGATAAATTATATAATTTTGATGTTCAGATGACCATCAGACTTTATTCCACTTTGCTAAGACAGGGTGAGAGAATTACAGATTTAAAAATCTAGGGCTGGAAAAGCTCAGTGGCAAAGTACTTACACAGTATGAATAAGACTCTGGGTTTCATCCCCAGAATACCAAAAAAAAAAAAAAACGTATGTCATTTTTTAAAATGTTTTGCATAAAAGAATTTCTAATTTTGAGGTACACAACAAGCCCAAGAAGAACTTCTGGGTCTTTTTAGTACTGAGGATTCAACCCAGGATCTTGCACTGATCTGCATCCTCAGCCCTAGTTTTTACTTGGCAATAGATCTTGCTAAGTCATTAAGTTACTCTGGCTATGCTTGAAGTTTTGAGCCTCCTGCTTCAGCCTCTCAGAGTACTGGGATTATATGCGTGCACCACCATGCCAAGCACCCTACTCCCAAAGTCTCAGTATGAGTCCAGACTGACCTTAAACTCAATATGTAGCTGAAGCTGCCCTCGAACTCATGGTCCTCTTGCCTCAGCCTCCTGAGGGCTGGGATCACAGTCTTGTGCCACCATGGTTGACCCCAAATAGGATTTACGAGCCAGTTAATATCACATCTGTAATGACAAACTTCAGGAGAAATTCGAGATGTTTTTTCTTAAGCTTTAATATGTGTAGTATGTAATCCATGTAACTTCATCTGTCCCATGTGTAGTGTGTATCAGTGGTAACTCCTTGTGTGGCTATCTGGACTTTGAGGGTGGGGGAAATATTTATTTTGGTCACCTTTGTTTACCAGAGCAGAGCACAATACCTGGCCTACGCTGGGTCTTTAAAATGTTTGAGAGAGCAACCACTGAACAAAGAGGGCTTGGCACTGGCAGGCTTGGGAGTTTCAGAGGTGGGGGAAAGGTGGTATCCAGGTCACTAACTGCTTCCTACTTCCCCCCACATGTGTACACACTGCAGGAAAGACCCCACACCTGTATTCTCACAGCATCCTGGGTCTACTGGAACGGAAGGAGGCCAGAATGGGCAGCCCCATCGCTCACATTAGCCCCCACCGGCTGCTGGCAAGGTACCTGCTTCAGAACAGCACCAGTTCCTCGAACCTCCCCTCCCTCTACTGCCGTCCCATCACCCCCTCACACCTACCTCTTCGCCAGGAAGAACATGGTCTCCACCAAGATCCAGGACACCAAAGGCTGCCGGGCGTGCTGTGTGGGTGAGAGTGAAGCCCATGGGTGTACAAAGGAGGCAGGGCCAGGGCTTGGGCAGCGTCCATTGGAGAGGGATGTGGCATTAAGGCTAGGTGTCCCGAGCCCAGGGAAAGAAGGGGGCACTTTGGGCCTCTCTTCGGGGAACAGGCCGAAGAGAAGGACTGACTCTGATCCATTCATTCTTGCCCACACCTACAGCGGAGAGTACAAGCTCCGAGGGCCCTTTCCTGTGCGGGGCCTTGGAAACATCGGTAGTTCTGCTCCAGTGGTACCAGCCCATGAACAAGTTCCTGCTTGTCCGGGTAAGGGCACTGGGACAGGGGGTGTCCGCGCAGTGCTTAGGGCCTTGCACCCTTGGTGTGACCCTAGAGAGCTCCACCAAGGCAAGACCTTTCAGGAAGAGGCCACGCCCACTGGGACCACATCCCACTGGGACCCACCCGAGGTCCGTGTAGCAGTCTCACTTCCTGACCTTTAAGCTCCTCCACCTCACACCTGGGCTTGATTATGTCTCACACCCTATACCCAGTTTCCTACCCTCCCAACCGGTCTCTAAGGAGACTCCATTCAAGCGCTGTCCCTTTGAGTCTGAGATTTTGCTGTCCTTGAAGCCCTGTAGTTTGTGGTCCCTGCCTTTCTGTCGCAAAGGGGGCTCCCCTCGAGCCACACCCACCTGAGGCCACACCCCTTATCGGTTAAAGTCGCACCACCTAAATCCTCTGAGGCCTCTGACTACCTTGTGTCTAGAAGTCACATCCTGAGACCGAGGGCCAGGAAAGTCTCAGGCCCCGCCCCTCCCCATGGGCCCGCAGCAGGTGCTGTTCCCGTTGCCCACGCCTCTGCCAGTGTTCGCGCTGCTGACCACGCCAGGCTCCGAGCTGCCGGCCGTCTGCATCGGAGTGAGCCCCGGGCGGCCAGCGAAGTCGGTGCTTTTCCACACCGTGCGCTTTGGTGCGCTGTCCTGTTGGCTGGGCGAGATGAGCACCGGTGAGTTGGGCGGTCTCGCTGAGGGGCGGAGCTTATGTTTTCAAGAGGGTGGGCCTGAGTGACTGGGCAGAGCTTCCCCTGAGCCAATCCTGAGAAGGGCAGAGAATAACGGGTTTATTTTAATTGGTGAGTTTGATGACAGGGTGGGGCCTGGATGGTGGGTGGGGCTTAGCTTCCTTGCTTGGAATTTGAGGGTTGCCTAGCAGAGACAGACTTCCTGGAGCTGTATGGGGAACCTGACAGAGTTGCCCTTAACTAACTCCACCTCTCTCAGAGCACAAGGGAGCAGTGCAGGTGACCCAGGTAAACGATGACATGGTGATGGTGTTGATGGATGGTAAGAACCTTTCTTCTGCTCACCCTATCTGGTTCCATGCCTCTTCTGCCTCTCAGAGTCCCTAGCCTCTTTAGCTGGGGAGGAAGGGTGGTATAGCCAGGACTCAGGAAGGCTGAGACAGGAGAGTTCCAAATTCAAGCCCAATCTGGGGAATTTAGAAATTTAGCAAGATCTTGCTTCAAAATGTACCAAGTGGGGCCAGGGATTTAGCTCAAGCGGCATAAGCGCCTGCCTTGCAAGCATGAGGTCGTGAGTTTTTTTTTTTTTTTTTTTTTTTGAGTTATATAAAAATGTGAAAAGAAAGTATCCTGGGGAGGTAGCTTATCTCAGAGGCCTTGTGTTTGATAATACACCAAAATTAAAAAATAAAGAGAACGTCTGAGCGCCTCTAAGGCTCACTCCACTTCTCTCCCTTTCTTTTCAGCTTTTCATACTGAATCTGTTGCCCTGCTCCTTAGTAGCCCTTGCAGTCCTATTCACAGTTCTTAAGTCCCTCGATGTATCCACTTCTAGGCTCTTTGAAACTGGTGACCCCAGAAGGAGCCCCAGTCCCGGGCCTTCGCACCCCGGAGATCCCCATGACAGAAGCAATGGAAGCCGTGGGTAAGTGCAGGAGTGGAGCAGGGTTTGGGCAGAGGCAGGAGAGACCCTCCTGGTAACAGTGCTGCTTTCTCCTCAGCTATGGTCGGAGGTCGGCTTCAGGCCTTCTGGAAGCATGGAGTGCAGGTGTGGGCTCCAGGCTCTGACAGGGTAAGCCCTTCCCCTGCAGACCACCACTCTGCTCCTCCTGCCTCAGTTGTCCTGTCTGACAGATGAGCACAGAGGTCTCTTGAGCTGAAAAATCCCACCAAATGCAGCAACGGGTCCCATTCTCTGCCCCAGTCTTAGCCTGGGCCGCTGTGTGACCTTGTTCAAGGGATTTTGCTTTTCCAAGCCTCTTATTATCCAGCTGCAAAATAGGGATCACCATAGAGGTAGATAGGTGATTAAGAGCAGGAACCTAAGCTGGAATCTGGCTGGATGACCTTAGGCATGTGACCTGCCTGTGCCTCCCAGTCCTTGATTGGAAAATGGAGAATAAAATAGAGTTTCTTTCACAGAACAGTGTGTCAGACTCTGCCCTTACACTGTCTTTTTTTTTTTTTTTGGTTCTGGGGATCGAACTCATGACCTCCAGTTTGCCAAGCAGGCGCTTACACCACTGAGCTAAACCCTCAGGCCACACTTTTAATATTTTATTTAATTTTTATAATCACTTGTTAGGTACTAAAATTTTACAAGTCATAAGGTGAGGCACAGTAAGGTTAAGTAACTTGCTTCAGGTCATGCAGTTGGTGCATGGTGTAGGAAAGATTGGTTGCCTGGATATTCAGACTTTCCCTTGTTTTGAAGGGACCCATGCTAGGGGCATGCTGCTTCTTGACACTGACAGATACACACTTTTCCACAGCTACTACAGGAGCTGAGAGACCCCACTCTTACCTTCCGTCTGCTTGGCTCGCCCAGGTATGGTGTTGGGGAGGGGGACAGAGGAGTTGAAAGGGGCATCCTGGAGTGTCTGCCACCACTGTATCTTTGCCTGTTTCCTGCTTGCATCTCTGTCCTCAAAGGCTGTTCTCTGCATAGCAGCCAAGAAGCCATTTGCATATTTTAATTTTATTTCTATTTTAAATTGTTAAAAATAACATTACTTCATAAAGTTTTACAATACTGGGGATTGAACTCAGGGCCTTCCTACTTCCTACATCCTCAGCCCTTTTTATTTTGAGACAGGGCTGAGAAGTTGCCAAGTTCCCCGGGCTGGGCTTGAACTTGCCACCCTCCTCCCTCAGCCTACCTTAGTGCTGAGATTGCAGCCATGTTTCACTGGCCTACCGTTTTAAAATTTTTAAATTTTTCTTAGTGTGTATTTGCAGTGCACATTGATTACACTCACTGGAGGGCGCTGGTACACGTACATAATACATCTTAATTCTTTATATTCCCTTTCCCACTCCTTCTTCTCCCTCCCTCCATCTCTTGGTCCTCTTCTCATTTGCAAAAGACCTGTCTCCTTTTGCCCTATGATCTACTTTTTATTCTACTCTTTATATTTTGGGTTTTTCTTTTTTTTTTTTAAATCTTGTTCACTTTATTCTTCTTTCCATTATGTCTTCTCAGGTATTGTTTTATTTTGGTGCCAGGACTCAAACTCAGGATCTTGTGCTTGCTAGGCAGGAGCTCATGCTATATACCCGGTTTTGAGTTTCTTGTACAAGAGAAACTATACAGTATTTAAGTTTATGTGTCTAACTTCACTGAACATTAAGGTCTCAAGGTACATCCATTTTCCTACAAAAGATGCAAATTTATCTTTTCTTTATAGCAGGATGGTACTCTATTGTATAAAAATACCACATTTTTTCTGGGTGTGCTTATACACACCTGTAATACCAGCACTTGGGAGGCTGAGGCAGGAATATCATTGTGAGTTCAAGACCAGCCTGGGCTACAAAGTGAGCTCAAACCTGAATTGCATAGCAAAACCCTGTCTCAAAAAGACAAAAAAAAAAAACCAACCCATGGATATGCATATATCACTGCGACATGATGACTTTAACTCTTTGGGGAAGATACATAGAAGGAAAATTGCTGACTCAAATGGAATTTTTATTTTCAGTTTTATGAGGAATCTCCATACTTATTTCCATAATGATTGTAGTAGTTTACACTCCCACTAACAATGTAAAAGAGTTCCTTTTTCCCCATATCCTCTCAAGCTTTAGTTATTATTTGATTTTTTTTTTTTTTTTTTTTTTTTTGTCTTTTTGAGACAGTCTTGCCATGCAGTTCAGGCTGGCGTTGAGCTCACTTTGTAGCCCAGGCTGGTCTCAAACTTGCAACGATCCTCCTGCTTCAACCTCCCGAGTGCTGGGATTACAGGCGTGAGCCACCATGCCCAGCTATTATTTGATTTCTTGATGATAGCCATTCTTTCTGAAGTAAGATGGAATCTGTGTTGTTTTAATTTGCTTTTCTCTATAGCCAGTGATATTGAGCACTTTTTAAATGTATTCATTGGCTCTTTGTACTTTTTCTGAAAAGTGTCTGTTCATTTCAGTTTCCTGGGTTTTTTTGTTTTTGCTTTTGTTTCTGTTTTTTGGTACCAGGGAGTGAACTCAGGACCTTATGCTTACCAGGCAGGTGCTTACGACACTAAGCTAAATCCCTGGCCCCCAAGTTTCCTGTTTTTGATTCAGTCTTTTATTTTGGGGGGTCTAGTGTTTTTATTCTTTATATGTTCTAGATATTAGTCCTCTGCCCAAGGTACACTGTGCAAATTTTGTGTTTCATTCTGAGGATTGTCTCTTTACTGTTGTTTCCTTTGATGCACAGAAACTTATTTTTAGAAGCTTGTTAATTGATGTACTATAATTCCATTTGTTGATTTTGATGTTATTTCTCATGCAATTGGGATTCTGTTCAGAAAGCCCTTGCCTATGCCTATGTCTTCAAGAGTTTTACCTGTTTTGTCTTCCAGCAGCTTAAGTGTTTGTTTTAATATTTAGATCTTTGATTGATTTTTATTTTAGGTTTAATTTTATTTTATTTATTTGAGGCATAGACTTGCTACATAGTTCAGGCTGGTCTTGAACTCACTATGTAGCCTTCTGCTTCAGCCTCCCCAGTGCTGGGATTACATGTGTACACCGCCATACCCAGCCCATCTTTAGTTTAGTTTACTACATGGTGAGTGATCCAGCTTCATTGTTCATTTTGACATGGTTTTAGACTCAAGTTTCAAAAGTAATACAAAAGGGGCTGGGGATTTAGCTCAGTGGCATAAGCACCTGCCTTGCAAGCAGGTGGTCATGAGTTTGATCCCCAGTACCGATTAAAAAAAAAAAATGTTTGTGTTCCCTTCACCTGGATTCCCCAGATGTTAACCTTTCACTTTGGTGCTGGGGCTTGAACTCAGGGCCTTGCACATGTGGAGAAGGTGTGGTGCTGTGTCCTCAGTGCATCATTTCTAAGGCACATGATGTCAGCTTGATCTCTTGGTTAAGGCGCAGCCAACCAGTTCTCTCCACTGTAAAGTTCTCCCCTTGTAAAATCAAGTATGTCTGCGGGAAAATTTCACTGAGACAGTGTAAATGTACTCTTTCATCAGACTTTATTTTTTAAACCCCATTAATGTTTTTGTTTGAATCTAGTATTTTAGAATCAATTATGTTACCAAGAGATCTCAGTATTTCCCCATTTGTGGTACTAGGGATGGAACCCGTGCTCTCAGACACGCTGAGCATGCATCTTACTCCTGTCCTTCCTTCTGCATGTATTAGTGGGCATTCTGCAACAGCACCTCGCCTTTTTCCTTTTTTTTTTTCTCCAGTACTGAGGATTGGTGGATTGATTGGTTGGTTGATTGGTTTGGTTTGCTTTTTGAGAAGGGTCTCACTCTATAGTCTAGGCTGGCTTTGAACTAGTTTATGTAGCCCAGGCTGGCCTGGAACTCATAATGATCCTCCTGCCTAAGCCTCCTGAGAGCTAGGATTACAGGTGTGTCCCAATATGCTCAGCTGATTGATTCAGTTTTGATACAAAATCTCCTTGAGTTGCTACATTGCCCAGGCTGGGATAAACTTGAGATCCTCCTGCCTGCACCTCCTAGAATGCTAGGATTACAGGTGCTTTTTCACAACTGCCACCTACTACTTCAGCATCATCTCATGGGTTGCTATTTCATTCTATAGAGTGTAATTTGTGACCCTCATTATTTACGTTGAGGCACAAAGAGTCTCAGATTTAGCCAATGGTAGCCCTTTTAAGGATCTCATATGTCAGTGATAGCGAGCCTTTTGGAGCTTTCAGTAATACAGCCCACTACAGCACAGGTACTGTAGGTTTGCCACCACTGTCCTATGTCCTTCTGACATCCACAGGAATCTTTAAAATTCCAAGCTGATCATCTCCCTCTGCTTAAAATTCCTCTATATCCTTAAAAAACACTCAGTTCTGGCCATAGCCTACAAGGCCATGGCAAGCCCCAGCCTCCTTCCACTTCAGAGCCTTTGCACAGGCTGTTCTCTGGCCAAAACAGCCTTCCCTATGTTTCCCTGACTTCCCTCCTGAGCTTCTTTCAGGCTCCATCACGCATGCTTTGGTGCAGGCGGGGCTGACCTCCCAGCTGCTTTCCTTGCTTGCCCCATGCTGCTTTGCACTTCTGTAGCTCACTGGTCTGTGCTGGTCTCCCTCCAGCTGTGAGCTCCCCAAAGGCCAGGACTGTCTCATGGTTGTGCCCCAGCACTGGGCTGGCAGAGTCTCTACTTACCAGTTTGTGAGTGAATGAACAAATACATGAATGAATGAACACATGACTTAACTTCTCCCTTCCCCAGGCCTGTGGTGGTGGAGACACGACCAGCAGATGACCCTACTGCACCCAGCAACCTCTATATCCAGGAATGAGCCCTTAGGAGGGGTGTCAGGAACCAGAAGACCCTGCTTCCTCTCTCCAAAAGACACACTAGTGGCCATGTCACATCCCAGTCTTCCAATAAACATGATGTTAGCCCCTTGCTGCCATCTTGTCTTTCTTTCTTTTTCTTTTTTCTTTTTTTTTTTTTTTTTTTTGGTCTTTTTCCTTTTTATCGGTACCAGGGATTGAACTCACAACTGCCTGCTTGCAAGGCAGGCACTTATGCCGCTGAGCTAAATCCCCAGCCCCCCATCTTGTCTTTCTTGAGGGAAGGCAAAATTTCTGAATGCCCACTCTCCCAAAATTTCAGCAGTGATGGCAGGTGGTGCAGCACAGACTTTATTTCTCTGGTAGGAGGTTGCCTCTCTCCCAGCTGCCTTGGCGGGGAGGGGCTTGGGAGCTCAGAGGCTTGCAATGGTAATAAGGCACTTGAGGTGGGAGTGGAGGGCCAGCTGGGGGTGTCTCAGCTTAGCTGGTCCTCATACTGCTTTCGGAAACAGTCGCCAGCCGGGAAGAAATCCCAACATCTCTCTTGGTACATCTTCCAGACATACGACTCCTACATTGGGTATAAGAAGAATCCATCGGTCACATCTTCAAATGCTTGATATTGACTCCAGCTGTCTTCTGTCATCTGCTGAGTAGCCTTATATCAAACTTTCATGACCCTGTCCAAGTCCTTTATTAACACCCTCTTACCTGACCCGTGTGTTCTGTTTCATCTTTGTTTATCAAATACATTAGGAAGAACCTGAGAGAGGCAGGGAAGAACCATCCTTATTTTCTGTTTTCATTTGTTTGCGTTAGTATGGGGGATGGAACCCAGAGTCATCTCTTTATCTGAGCCACACCTCCAGCCCTGACCCTTACCTTCTGATTGGCCATCTGGAACCCACCCACAGGTACACCACATGGTCCACTAAGTAGCCAAGACTCAGTAGCCCCGCCCCTAAAGGTCACGCCCCAACTTCCTGATTGGCTAGTTCCCCTCCCCCCCACCGTGCTCACATATAATTGGCCAAATTGTGCTCCTCTAGTGTGTGGGTTTCAAACCCATGTGGTGTCGAATCAAAATAGTCGCTGCCTATTCCGCAGATGAAACACTTGGTCTGTGGGTAGTGAAAAACATCAGTCAGGCTTGTTTGGCACCCCCAGGCCCCAGCATCCCTCTGGGTCACTCCCATACATGACACACCTCCATATCCTCCTTCACTTGCTCTTGTTGGTCTCGGAGCTCACCAAAAGCATCGATAATCAGACCTGGAGTAGCAGGAGGCAGATTAGCATGTGACTTGGACCCACTTCAGACTCTTTCTTCTGGTTACCCAGCTCCGGGCCTGGCTTTCCATCCCTTATCTCCCCAATTTCACCCTGCTTCCTAAGAAGGATGAAACTAAGGGTTTATTGGGCACTTATTACGAGACACTCAAAGGTATGAGTTGTAATCCACATGATAACCCCATGAGGTTAGTACTAAAACACCTCCATTTTTGCAGAGGACAAAGCTGAGGCCCAGAGAGGCCACTCGGCTGAGGTCTCATGGTAAGGGGAGGCCGAGCTGGGACAGGAATCCAGCCCTCTCTTAGCTGTGAAGCTAACTCCTGCCTCTGGGCACTGAGTGCACCCGCACCCACACCACCAGTGCTGACCCTGGATGATAGCCAGCAGGATGACAATGACAAAGAAGAAGAAGGTGATGTCAAAGACCACTCGGTAGAGCTCATATTCATCGCCCGCTGGGTCCTCAATCTCATCCCCGATGCCTCCACCAGCTCGGACTCCCACGTACATGTGAAACAGGTAACACTGGGGAGAAGGAACAGATTGACCACTTAGTCCATCATCCCCCTACTGATAGCCCTGCATCAGGTGAGGCTGGAGACACAGCTGTGAGGGAACAGCCATCACCCCCGCTGTCTGTCAGGGATCACAGGTACAGCATTGGCAATAAGAGCTCAGAAGTGGAATGGGGAGGCCTGGTGGGATCAGCACAGGAAGCTTTGAAAGCCCAGTGAGGCATCTGAGCCAGCCCCAGTGATATGTGATCAGTGAGGCTTCCTGGAAGAGGCTGTGTGTGTGAGCTGGAACTTAAAGGGGGTGTTAGGTGAATGGGTAGAGGGAAAGAGTTCCAGGCAGAGAAAACCACATGTGCTACATTACCACTAGGGAGGAAAGAATAAATCTTGCAGACTGGGGATGCAGCTCAGTGGCAGAGCATTTGCTTAGCGTGCATGAGGTCATGGGTTTGATACTAAATACCACACCAAAAAAAAAAAAAAAACACCCTGCTCCTGTGAGGAACTGAAAGAAGTCTGGTGAGGCTGAAAAATGGAGCTTCTGTGAGAACTGCCTGAGATGAAGCAGGATCTGGTTCTATGGGTTCTGCAAGGCCCAGCCCAGACATGGTCAGAGAGCACTTCCTGTAGGAGGCAGCAGTTAAGTTGGAAGAGAAGGTGTCTGGTGAAGGGAGTGTGTGCATGTCACGCCCCAGACTGGGGCAGAGAGAAGTCAGGTGCAAAGGCCAGAATCAGAAGGAAACACATGGTCTCAGAGGAACTGAAAGAGGACCAAGCAGCCAGAGAGCAAAAAGCAAGAGGGATTGTGGTTAGACTTAGAAAGGTTAAACTCAAATAGCATCAGCTCCATCCTGGTTTTGTAAACCATGGCAGGTGATTCAGTGCTATCCGCTGGGTGTGAGAGAGGCACAAGAAGGTTCTGAGCAGAGGAGAAGGCAGGGCTTGGGCCACCCGGCACCTGGGAAAGACTTCATTCTTGCTCTGTGTCCCCAGTAAAGAAGCAAACCCAGTTGTCTTGGGGATGAGCTAAGGCCAGGGACCAATGGTGGAACAAGGCCGTGGGCGGCGGGACCAGCCCTGGCAGGCCTCAAATGTCAGGCTGAGGGGCTGGACTCTTCTGAGGCAGGGACCCATGGAGCTAGGTTACAGGTCCCTTTCTGACATTCACTCCCTGAAATGACTTCTTCATCTGTAGCCTCTGCCTCTAGGAAGACAAAGTTGTTAGAGTTAGGGTCACCATTGTTAGGTGAGGAGGAAATATATACAAGAACTGCATGCTAGGCTTTTGTGTTTGTCTATTTTGGTACTGAGGGTTGAACCCAGGGATCTTTCACTGAGCTACATCACTAACCCTTTATTTTTATTTTTATTTTGAGACAAGGTCTTGCTAAATTGTCCAGGTGGGCTTGAACCTCCAATCTTCTTGTTCAGCCTTCCAGAACTCTGGGATTACAGGTATGTGTCACCACACCTGGACCTCTGAAACTTTTTAAATTATAGGTAATGTAATTGACATTTAAATAAGTTTTAATACCCATCAGGCACTGTTCTAAGACTTTTTTTTTTTTTTTTTTTTTGATGGTGGTAGTGGGGATCAAACCCAGGGCTTTGTGCATGGTAACTACATGCTTTACAACTGAGCTACACCCCAACTCCCATTCTAAGCCATCAGCAGCCAGGAAGAACATTTTAGTCCTACAAAAACCCTGTGAAGACAGCAGTATTTATTTATTTTTGTGGTGCTGGGGGTTGAGCTCTGGGCTTCATGAATGCTAGCTGAACTACATCCTCAGCCCAAGAATTTTTAGTTTAAGCAGCTCAAACAGTACTGGAACAATAGCTAACATTTAGAGAGCACTTATTATGTGCCTGGAACTGTTTAGTGTAGTGTAGATGGTTCAGCTCACTGAGCCAATGAAATAGGTATATTTTTTCTGTTTTATTTGATTCTGGGGTTACTGGGGATTAAACCCAGGGCTTTAACACTAAGCTACATGTCCAGATTTTTCCTTCTTTTCTTTTGCTTGCTTGCTTTTTGTTTTTTTTTGAGACAAGGTCTAGCTAAGCTTCCTAGCTGGACTTGAATTTGTAATTATCTCAGCCTCTCAGAGTTACTGGAATTAGAGCTAAATGCCACCATGTCCACCTGGCCAGGAGCTGCTACTATGAACTCCCTTCACAGAGAGGAAAGACAGCCCAGTCAGCTCTAGGAGAGGGGCTCACCGTCATCATGTCGTCACACTTCATGTCAGGCTCGTCCTCATCCTCGCTCTTGTTGTAGAACTTGCGGAAGAAGTTGAAGGCCACCACAGTGTACAGGTAGACCACCACAGCCAGGAGGCCCACGGTCATCACCAGCTGTGAGCAGGCAAGGGTGCGTCAGCTCTGGTTTGGTTTGGTTTGGTTTGGTGACACTGGAGATTGAAGGTGGGGCCCTCCCATTGAGCGATATTACCATCCCTTTTTAAATTTTTCATTTTGAGACAGGGTCTGGCTAAATTACTAAGCTGCCAGGCTGGGCTTGAACTTGCCACTTTCCTGCCTCGGGCTTCTTTTTTTTTTTTGGTATTGGGGATCTAACTTATGACCTCATACTTGCCAGCAAGCCTTTGTGCCGCTGAGCTAAAACTCCAATGTCTCAGGCTTCTTGAATGCTGCGATTACAGGTGTGCAAGACCAAGCCCAGCTCCCTGCCTGGGCCTTACCCCATTTAGCCACAGGGCCCTTGCCCTGTCCTCACTGCCCACTGCACTCTGGCTCAGTGCCCTGGCCCCACCCCAGTTCATCCCAGATGCTTGCTGCCTGATTACCACAGCCCCCCTGCCAGGTCCCCTCCACACCTGCTTCCCATTGTGGGTGACAGATGAGAGGATGGTGCGAAGCGTCTTGACTCCCATGGCGATGTCCAGGAGGTGAGCAGCGAAGAAGAAGTTGTTGTAGTGTCCCAGGAGAGACATCACCATGTACCAGCCCAGGTACAGGAAAGACTGTGGGCACACAGGGCCCAGGGTCAGGGATACACAGGGACATACCCTGGGAATAGGGCCCCAACTCCTAAGGCTGCACCCTACTGAGCCCTCCCCACCTATGGGCCCCTCCTCACGTTGTCCGTGAAGATGACCCCGAACTTCCAGATCTGGTACTTGACATCAATGGACATGAGCCTGTACGGGAGAGGGGGAGATGGTGAAATGCCTGAGGGCCATGCCCTGGCCACCTCCCCTGCCTGCTCCAGGCCGAGGGTTGTCCCCAGCTCACCAGGTCAGCAGCCCTGGTGGAGGGTCAGGCTTGCGCTCATTGTGTGCCGTGATCTCCAGTGTGGCCAGATCCATGCCCAGCAGCTCAGCAATCCGCTCCCGCCCGTAGATGTCCCCATGTTTGTCTAAGACCTGCCCACCCAGGAGAGTGTCAGGCCAGGCACATATGGCTGGGGTTGAGGGATGTTATGGCCTATATGGGGGTTCTGGGGACACTATGTGTTAGAAGTTGGAATGCATTTTTCTGGGGAAAAAGGGTGGATCTTTCTTCAGATTCTCAGGGAGGCTCCAAAAATGATAACAACCTAGCTGATTCAGTAGCCACATTAATTGGGCTAATTTATTATTTTAGGTAGGCAGACAAGGCAGCCTGTAGAGTAGGGCCCCCTGTCATCTATAAACTCATCTCCTCCTCTTCACTCCCACTCACTCTGTTCTAGCCTCATCTGCCTCCTTGAGGTTCCTCAAACACATCAGGCACATCGCTGCCTCAGGGCCTTTGTAACCCCTCAGCTCACTCTTTTCCTGGATTTCCACCTGGCTCACTCCCTCATCTCCTATGACCCTTCTACAGGAATAGCAACCTTTCCAGAACATTCCCATGTGTCCCTGCCCCCCTCATTGCTTAATTTTTCCCCCACAGACCTTATGACTGCCTGCATGCTATAAATGTATTCATTCTGTGTCTTTCCAATCTGAGCGGCAGAATCACTGTTTTGTTTACTGCTGGATCCCAGACTCCTGAAATGCTTCCTGGCACACAGGAAATACTCAATAATTGAATAAGTAAGTTTACTTTATCTATTAAGTGATGGCTCCAAACAACAGGTAGCTAATGTTCTCTTCCATGTGTCCCAGTTCTGTTTACATATGAGGTCAAATAATTCTTCCAGCAACCCTGTGGGGTTGGCCCTATTATTACCCTACTTTGAAAATGAGGGAAACTGAGGGACAGAATGGTTGAAAAGCTAGGAGTAGAAAAGCAAGCAATCCTTAAATATGTGCCTAAAATAATGTCCTCACATATTCTCTCACAACCACTATTATTTATTTATTTTATTATTTTATTTTATTTTTTATTTTTTTACCATTTATTTATTTTTTTTTTTTTTGTCTTTTTCATTTTTATCGGTACCAGGGATCAAACTCACGACCGCCTGCTTGCAAGGCAGGCGCTTATGCCGCTGAGCTAAATCCCCAGCCCCTACAACCACTATTTATTTATTAGCCCTTTTTATTTTTTGAGACATGATCTCTCTAAGTCACTGAATTGTCCAGGCAGAGCTCGAACATGTAATCCTCCTATCTCAGCCTCCCAGAACCCTGGGATTACAGGCATGTACTTCCCTGCCCCTGACCCCCAGGCTACAACCACTCTTAATGGACTGTTTGTCCTGGGCCAGGCATTCTGCTCTATTACATGTGTCATCTCTCTACAGAGGGAAGGTGATTATGCCCATGTACTCATGGGGAAACTAGCAACCCTCTTGCCCAAGGTCACACACAAAGCAAGGGCTTGGCCAGGCTGGGATGGCCCATTGGCATCAGGGGACCTGGCAGCAGGGGACCCAGTCCAGTTATTTCCACCCTCTCCCCACCCTGCCTTACCTTCCGCTTGACAAACTTGTCCCAGTAGTTGCTGGGGAAGGACCTGCCAAGAGAAGCCCCTGTGAGATGTTAGGGCGGGAAGGAAGAGAGGTACATCCAGGCCAAGGCAGCTGGAAATGTCAGTGCTTTCTTCTTTTCTTTTCCCTTTCTTCCCCCTTCCTTTCTTGCTTTCTGTCTGTCCCTGTCTGTCTGTTTGCCCCTTACCCCTTTAAGGCACTATCTCAATATGCCATCCAGGCTGACCAGAACTCATGGGCCTCCTGCCTCAGCCCCCTGAAAGGACAGGGCTACCGGTGTTGGGTACAGATTTATTTGGTTCAATATCAGGGTCCCTGCACTGTAAGGACCTTGCTGTGTTTGGTGAGGCAGGGATCTTGCAGTCAGAGCCAGCAGTGAAATAAGGCACCAGAACTGTCCTTAACTGGGAAGCTTTGTGCGCAGATAGCAGGGGGAACCCGTGCAGCAGCCTGACCCAGGCCAGCTCCATGCTGTTTCTCACATGGCCAGCAGGCCAGCTAGCCTGCCTGCCTGCCTGCCTTCTTAAAGTGCTGGAAATTGAACCCAGGACTCAAGCACTCCAGCACTAAGCTGCATCCCCAGCTGTTTACTTGATTTGATTTGATGATTCTGGCCTTGGACTTACCAGTTTTCCCACTAACAAGTTGGTGGCTTAACATCTTGGCAAGGTAGCAAGGAATGGAGGAGATTTATTAGGAAGCCGTGGATTGAGAAGGCTTGGAAATGTTTCAGTTCCCTGTACTTCCTACCCCGCCTGGTGCCTGGACTGTCATTGATTGGTCCCAGGGAGCCCCTCCTAGCAGGCTCCTTGTTCCCTTCAGCATGTCACTTTTCATGGAGCAAGTCTACTTTCTGGCTCACCTGGCTCATCCTGTAGTTTCCTGCCCCAGGCCTGAAAACATTTATTTCTCCAGGGAGCCTGCTTCCCCTCTTTTTTTTTTTGGCGCGGGGGGGGGGGGGTTTCTGAGAATTGAACCCAGACTTTTAGACTGAGCTACACCCTCAGCCCTTTTTTTATTTTGGGATGATCTTCCTATCTCAATCTCCCAGAGTGCTGGCATGATAGGCATGTACCACCATGTGTAGCTTTGTTCCTTTTCATGGGAAATGGTATTTCAGAGTACAGATCTCAGACAGAAACTGTTTTAACTCATTCATTAATATTTTTGCAGTATGGAGATGCCTTGCACATGCCAGGCAGGTGCTCTACCACTGAGCTGCATTCTCTGCTCTAGACACTATTTATCTATTTATTTATTTTGATACTGGGAATCAAACTCACAATCTTGCCAGGCAGGCGCTGTGCCACTGAGCTATATCCCCGGCCCCCAGACACTGTTTTAAGCAGTTCGCTCTCCCTGTTTCTCTGCTAAGCATACGTTCTTGGAAGTGGGTAGGTTAAAGGTAGCTTTGACCACTACAGTGAGACTGTAGGATGTGCTTATTTCTCTTCCTTGCTGCGTGAAACCTTTTACTGGGCAAGACCTCATAATAAGATGCCCCACATGGTACAGTGCCTCTGTACAAACACATGAACTGGGCCTCCATCCTGGTGGGGAATGGAGAGGGCTGGGAATGCAGGGTGGGGTCCTCCTGCACATTTTTCCTTTAAAAACCTAACATAGTCTTGTTTGTTGCTCCTGGCTCCTAGGTAGAAATCATCCCCAAAGGCTTTAAACACAGGTTCCCAGGCCCCACCCCAGCCTCACAGGCTCAGAACCTCTAGGGTGGGGCCTGGGAACCTCCCTCTGAACCTAGCATCCTTAGCAGAACACTAATGCTCAGGAAAGGGGTCTGCTTTGTGGAAAGGATGACCAAGCTTGGAGACAATAAGTCAGGGCCGCTGGGGGCTGGAACCCTGCTGTTGTGCTCTGGGATCCAGACCTAGACTGGTTTGGAAACCCAGCCCACCCCCTCCACACCGCTGAGGTGCAGCTGGGTCCTTACGGCGTGTTGAGCACCAGGCGGTCCCACTGCCCCTTCACGTCATCGTCCTCAGGCTGCTCAGTGATATACAGGCCATCAAACTCCAGCTTTCGGGCCAGCTCCTTCTCCCGCTTAAAGATCACCAGGGGCACCTGGATTGAGGAGGGGGCAAAGGGTGAATGTCAGGCACCTCGGTGAGGCCACCACCTCTGCAGAAGCCACAAGATTTCTTGGAGCCTGTGTGAAACCTTATGTTAGAGGAGCTTCCTCGGGGGTCAGAACAAAATAGGGACACAGGCAGGGAGTCAAGGGTAGTCACTGGCAGAGGGTCAGACCAAGATGGGAGAAAAACAGCTGTGGTACACAGTACAGGCCCGGGACAGGCTGGCACTTCCCAAGGCATGGAGGTCCCACATGAAACCCCGAAGAAGGCTAAAACAAAAGCAGGCAGAAGACAATGGAAATGCAGCAAAGCACTGCAGGCAGTGGGCACAGCGTGTGCCAAGCTCAAAGTCAGAAGAATTCTGCTCATTGTACAGTAAATTGACAAAATTTATTTCCCCAAACTGCCAGAATCATGGAACCTAAGCTAACACTGTCATGCCAGGTCTATGGGGTATCATAAACCTTGGGCCTGTCTGATATCAGAACCCACATCGCTGTTAGCATCCAGGTTAGGAGATCACAGCACACCTGAGAGATCTTAATTCACCAAACGACTAACATATAGAAAATAATATTCCCAATGACAGATTTGCCTCCCAATCTAAAAGTTAACAGTCACATGTGCGTGGCACAGAAAGACCTAGACTTGGCCCCTCAGATCACTTCTGCATCAGTCCCCAATTTTTTTTTGTGTGTGGGGATCCAACCAGGGATCCAACTCACAACCTCACACTTGCTAGGCAGATGCTTATGCCACTAAGCTAACCTGGAATATTTTCTTGCTGAAACTCCCAGTCCTTATGTACTGCAAGCCCCTGCCTCAGGTCCCCTCAGCCAGTGCCCAGCTTCCTGCCCTCTGAGTCTCTGCCCTGGCACACGGCCATGACCCACCTTGAGGCAATTGTATCCGATGATGCAGAGAAAGGCCACCAGCGTGTGCAGCAGGCTCAGGCACCGCAGAGCAGGTTCCATATAGCCCGTGCTCTCCTCCAGGAAGTAGTACACCATGTTCTCATCCTCATCGCCCTCTGCCTCCTCACCAGCACCTGAGCCCCAACCTGAGCCGCCACCAGATCCTGCACCTGACATGTCCCCAGCTGCTGAGCCCTCCATATCATCTTCCCCTGGTGGAGAGTCTGAGACCTGAAGTAGGGCAGAGATGAATCAGGGCAGGGATCCTGGTGTCCTGGCACCTGGTCTCCCTACCTAGGATCTATTTGCATAATTAGCAACCTGCATTCTTTTTTTTTTTTTTTTGTCTTCTTTGAGAGGGCGTCTCGCTATGCAGTTCAGGCTGGCCTTGAGCTCACTTTGTAGCCCAGGCTGGTCTCGAACTCACAATGATCCTCCCACCTCAGCCTCTCGAGTGCTGGGATTACAGGCATGAGCCACCACGCCTGGCTCTCTGCCGTACCAGGGACTGAACTCACAACCTTGCCAGGCAGGCACTTATGCCGCTGAGCTAAATCCCCGGCCCCCAAAACCTCGATTCTTGAGCCTGGATACAGCCTTTCTCAGATACATAGGCTGGAGAAGGCTGTCAATCAAGACTAGCACCAGACCCAGGACCCTAGTTAGCCAATCAGACTCTGTTCTGGGAATCTGCCCACTGAACAAAGAAGGAGGACTGAAAACAGAATAGACTGTCTTAATAGTAGGGCCCTAAAGACAATGAGCACTAATAACAATAAAACTATTCATTCATTGACTACAGTTCAATTTATACAGTATGAACTTAGTTTTTCGGTAGTATTGGGGATTGAACCTAGGGCCTTCACATTGAGCTACATCCCCAGCCCTTCCCCCTTTATTTATTTATTTATTTTTTGTATTTTTACCGGTACCAGGGATTGAACTCACAACCACAGGCTTGCAAGGCAGGCGCTTATGCCACTGAGCTAAATCCCCAGCCCCCTCCTTTTTTTTTAAATTAGGATCTCACTAAGTTGCTAAATTGCCCTGTGTGGGCTCTAACATATGATTCCCTTGCCTCAGTCTCCTAGAGTGCTGGGATTACAGATATGCATCACCCTACCTGGCTATACAGCAAGCACTTCTTAAATGTCTAAAGTTCCAAGTGCTTTGTAGTGTTAACCCTTTTTTTAATCCTCATGGCTCTAAGAGGTAGACATGGTTACTACCCCATTATGTAGGTGAGGAAACTGAAGCACAGGGAGGTTAAGTGCCTTTCCTATTGATGAATGATGGAGCCAGGACCTGATCCCACAGAAGTCAAGATCTCTGTCTAGCCTGCTGCTGGTCCTATTATCTAGAATCCTGAGCGTCCCTTTGTCCTTCTGATGCCGAGTTCTCAGTCCTTTCCCTCCATCCTGTGAGTGGTCCACTTCCTCCTCCCCACGGGCCTCTTTTGCTGAGGCAAAACAGTGTGGTGTCCTGGGGGTTAAGAGGCTGCACCTGGGCACAGGGCTGGCAGGTGGCAGAGGTGGGCAAAAGCACAGCTCCAGCTTCTGCTCTAGTTCCTGCAGACTCAACCATCTGTCCCAGATGGACGTGAATACCCCCAACCCAGATATCCAGCCCAAAGCCTCCTAAGAAGCTGAGCCCAACATCTTGCCCCTGAGCTGCAGCAGCTTGGGATCTGAGACTCGCCCCACAGCCTGGATATGGGTTGATCCCTCCAGCCCCACGTGATGAGCACCTTATAAAACAGCAAGATGAAGTTGATAGCAAACGCCAAGAAGAGGGCCAGGAATCGCAGTGTGTAAAAGTTTCGAGACAGGTAGTTCTAAGAGTGGGTGAGAAAGACAGAGATCATGGTCTGGTCTCTTTCCTAGAGAATCCAGCCCAGCATTCAACCACAACCAACACACCTGGTCCTCAATACATGGTCTACAACCTCCTACGTCATCACCCCCCATCATCATCTTCTTCTTCTTCTTCTTCTTCTTATTATTATTATTATGGTCCTGGGGATTGAATCCATGGCCTTTACACAGAGCTACATCCCCAGCCCTTCTAAAAATTTTTATTTTGGGACAGAGCTTTGCTAAGAGGGTTAAGCTGCCAAGAAGAGGGCCATGAATTGCAGCATGTAAAAGTTCCAGGACAGGTAATTCTAAGAGTGGACTGGGCTTGAACCTGAATTGCATTCCTTCTGTCTTAGTCTCCCAGAGTCCTGGGATAACAGGTCTGCATCACAATGCCTGGCTCAGCCTCCTACTTATTGAGTGCCTACTAATAGCAAGCCCTGGGATAAGCACTTTATATGCATGAATTTGCTATGAAGTGGGTGCTGCTGTTACCTTGCAGATGAGGAAACTTAAGGCTCAGGGAGGTGGTGTCTTGCTTGAGGTCACATAACCAAGGAGTCGTGGACCCAGTGTTTTGTTGTTTTCATGTGTATGCGGTATTGATGGAACCCAGGGCCTCGTGCATGCTAGGCAAGTACCCTACCCTGACCTGTGTCCCCAGTCCACATTCATTTGTTTTTTAAATTTTGAGACAGGGTTGACACCATTGTTCCCCTCTGTCCTTGAAGCTGCTTCTCCCCTTGGAGAGGGGAAGATTTTACAGATCTTCCCAAAGGCCTTGTTTCATTCCTCTTGTATATGCTTAATACAGACCCATTAGCTTTTTCTCGTTAAATAGAGAAGGAATCATAATCTGTGCTGGGTTTCTCTAAAACTGAACTTAAAAGGACAACAAAAGCAAAAGTATAATCCGAGTAACACATTGCTCTTGTACTGAAAACGAATACATTCTAGGTTAAAGACTGCCTAATTCATTACTTGTTCTCCAGAGGCAGACTTTGTCTGCTTGGAGTGCCTGTTTCCTAAATTTTCTTTGTGTCTACTGTACCTGTCATATTTCATGGAAGAACCAGAGGTTAAGGAGGGTACTGTCCTCTTTGTATATTCTTTTTTTTTTTTTTTATCTTTTATCTTTTTATCGGTACCAGGGATCGAACTCACGACTGCCTGCTTGCAAGGCAGGTGCTTATGCCGCTGAGCTAAATCCCCAGCCCCCTCTTTGTATATTCTTGAGAACTGTCACTTCTAAGTTAATTCACCAGGTGAGATTTTTCAATTTTAGTGTATCTGTTCGTTTTTAGTGCTTCAGAAATTCCACAGCACGCCTGTTACAAAGTGAATGTGACTGTTTCCCTATTTGCACACATGCAGATTGCTTTCAACTTTCCACTTTTGTCAAACCAGATTTTGAGACAGGATCTTGCTAAATTGGTCAAACTGGTCTTGAATGTGTAATCCTCCTGCCTTTGCCTTCCAAATAGCTGGGATTACAGGAACATGTTATCACACCCAGCCACAAACGAGCTCTTGCACATGAATTTGAGTTTGAAGCGAGGGCTGGGAGGACCAGTGTGTGTGTATATGGGGCAGTTCCCCCCAGAGAAGAAGTCTCAGCACATGTTGCTGAGGACTCACCAAGAACTTCACCCTCTGCACTTCTAGCTCTCCCCAGAATTCCATGCCAGCACCTCCAGCTTCTTCTTTCTTTGGAGGAGGTGGAGGTGCTGTCTTCTTGGGGGGCTCTGGTGGGGGCTCAGGGGCTTCTTCCTTCTCCCCGTTTTCAGCACTGCACGGTAGGATACAGAAAGAGGTCAGAAGGCCCCAGGGTGATTTACTCAGGGCAACTCACTGGGCCCACCCCTATGCCCAAGTCTAGATGTTCTAGGGACACAGGATAGTACGAAAACCTCAGGCCCTGGCCTGAGGGGGCTTGAGTCCAGTGGAGTGGAATGGTCCTGGCTGGGGGTGGGGTGGGGTTGGGGGAACCCGGAGGAGACATCTGCTTAACCTAGGAGGGGCTGAGTATCAAGGGAGACTTCCTGGAGAGAGACACACAAGGACGATGAAGACAGACGTGTGGAACACAGGGAAGGTGTTCAGGCAGGGGAATGGCACAGAGAGAGGCCTGGTTCTAAGAGGACTCTTTCGGTCTCTGCTGTGCCCAGTCTGGACCAGGTGGTGCTGAAGTCACAGGTGACCAGCACAGCTTCAGGCCTTGACCTCAGGGGTCTCCCAGTCCAGGAGCAGGCAGTGACAGGGGCCAGGCCCTTTCTGTGCGGAAGCACTCACTCAGCTTTCTCGGGCTCAGGCTCCGGCTCGGGCTCTGGAGGCAGCTCCTCCTCCTCTCCATCCACCTGGGAATAGGGCACATGGCTAAGCCTTTGGGGCTGACCCTCCTCTTCCTGTCAGTTCCCCTTCTTCTTTCACCCCACCCATGTCCCACTAGAAAAAAGTGGGGCTATGATTCTCCTTCTACAGGTGGGAAACTGAGGGTCAAAGAGATGAGCATGCACTGGGGAGAGTCAGGCTGACTCCAAGGTAAGCTTATGTCTCCCCTGGTTTCTCATCATCTTAACACCTGCAAGCCACCACGACAGTCACAGCACCACGGGCCTAAGAACACTTCGGGGCATTTTTCACATAGGCTGCTGAATTACCCACAACCATATGTGTCTCTGACAGTTTTTTCCTTGACAGAATCCCTGAACCTGTTTTCTTGAGTTTATTTATTTACTTTCCAGTGGTACTAATCCTATACTAGAGATTGACTCTAAAGCTTTTACACTGAGCTACATTCCCAGTCCTTTTTTCATTTATTATTTTGAGACAGGGTCTCACTAAATCACTAACTTGCCCAAGATGGGCTCAAACTTGAAATCGTCCTGTCTCAGCCTCCCAGAGTGCTAGGATTACAGGCCTGTGCCACCATACTCCACTTCCCTGAGTCTTTATAGTTTTGATCCCTTCTCTCACTTGTCTCTGGGTCTCAATGACTGGCTCCAGGCCTCTCTCTCACACACTGAAGCCTTTTTCCAGGGGACAGTGGTCTCTGTCTCTGTGTCCCTCTGCGGGTTGGTCTCACAGCTCTTCTGTCTGCCCCCTTTCTGGTCCTTCCTCTCTCTGCAAGCATCTCCTCCCACCCCAGTCTCCTGTTCCCTCCTACTCTCCTCTCCACACTCTGACGCCCCCATCTGCTTTCTCACCCCCAGCTTCCTCTTGAGTATTGGGGAGCCCTCGGGCGTGGGTGGCTCCACTGGAGTGGTGTCACCCATGTCCCCAAGGCCACCAGCCCCTTCGGGCCGGAAGGGGCTCCCGTCGGCCACTGCCACGGCCCCCTCAGGGCGGCCTGGCCCAGCTTCATCCGACGCGACCTCCTCGTCACCGGCGCCCTCTGCGGCATCGCCCTCGCCTTCAGCAGCGCCCTCGCCGTCCGCGTCGCCTCCGGGCCCAGTCGGCTGCTCGCCGTGCACCTCGTCGCTGGTGGGGTCGGGCATGCCCGCCAGCAGCTCGGTCACGGTCACTTTCTTGGCACTGTCCACGAGGCCGCCGCCGAAGAGCGAGCCCCAGAGCAGGCGCAGCGCGCCCACCGCCGCCCCCGCGCCCGCCGCCCCGGCGCGCGCCAGCACCGCCCAAAGGAGCGCGGCCACCGCGGTGGCCGCCTCGCGCGCCGTGAGCTTCCGCAGCCGCCGCACGCGCCGCCGCAGGCTGCGGTAACTGAGGCCGCGCAGCGCTCGCGCCGCCGCCGCCGCCAGCCGCGCTGTGGCCCCCGCTGCCACTGTGCCCGCCGCGCCCTCGGCGCCCCCGGCGCCCTCCTCTGCCGCTTCGGCGCCCGCCTCGGCTGCGCCCTCGTCCTCGTCCTCCTCTGGCTCGCCCTCGGGCTCCGAAATCTGCGCGGCGATCTGCATCTCGAAGATGGTGTCCTCGCAGAAGCTCACGAAGAGCTCCATCTTCTCTGCCTCGCCGCCCTCGTTCACCACGTCAAAGATGAACTGGCGCTTGGACTCCTTCACCTGCAGCGCGCGGAGGGGCGCGAGGGAGCACCGTCAGTGGGTCGGAAGGCTACACCAGGGCGCGAACGACTAGGAGCAGGCACATTCCGAATGCGTGAACATGATCATGACCATTATTGCTATTGGAAGTTCGGGTCTCTGTGTTGCTCAGGTTGACCTCGAACTGCTGGGCTCAAGAGATCCTTCTGTCTCAGCCTCCCAAGTACCTGGGACTATAAGTGAGCCACCACGCTCAGCCTAAAAATTACTAATAGCAAACACATATAGCCCTCGCTGTATGTGGCTTCATAAGCTGTAATCAGGGCAGATCCTGATTCGAGCATTTTTTTTTCTTACATATAACTCATAAATTTCCCAAAGCACTTTTGGAATAAGGGCAATAATCTCTACTTTTATAGACAAAAATGATGGCCCAGAAAGTCAGAAATGATGTGCCCTGGGGCTGGAGATTTAGCTCAGTGGCATAAGTGCCTGTCTTGCAAGCAGGCAGTCGTGAGTTCGATCCCCGGTACCAATAAAAAGGAAAAAGACAAAAAAAAAAAAAAAAAAAGGAAAGAAATGATGTGCCCAGAGTGACACAGATGAGAAGTGGCAGATGTAGGAGTCAAACTCAACACACTGGCTTTAGAATCACGTTTTTAGTTATTTCCAGATCACACACAGAGTGGCTGAGAACAAAAGTTTTTGCAGCCAGGGTGCCAGGGTTCAAATCCTAATTCAAATTCCTAATAGTTGGGTGATTTTGACTGAACTCTCTGGGCCTCAGTGTCTGCCTCTGTAAAATGGACATAATAGTGGCCCCTGTGTTAGAGTATAAGGGTACGATGCCGAGTGAGTGGAAGGGCACTCCACATCTAATAAATGCCATGTGGTGTCGTCACTGTGAGCACAGGCCTGGATGGCAGCTTGAGGATGGTGGGAGGGTAGGAACGAGAAGGGGTAGCAGGAGGAGTGGGTGCCTGAAGGAGTAACAGGAAGGGAGAATGAGGGGCAGGGGGAGGGGAAGGTTTCCCATGCTGTGGCAAGCACGGATGTGCAGGGCTTCCTGCAGATGTGAGGATGTGCAGACTTCCTGGGTGCGAGGATAGAGCAACCGCACAGGGCCCAGAAGACAAGTGAGTGTGCAGTGCTGCCCAAGGGAGATGGGGAGCGCACACTCCTGAGGGCTCCTGTGGAATATGAGGGCAGGAATGAGTGTGTACAGAGGACAGACATGCAAGGCCCTGGGATGCTTGAGGATGGGGGAGTGTGAGTGTGCCAGGGAACCAGGAGCCGTGTAAGAGGGCCCAGAGCACAAGGACATGGCTCTATGTGGGACAGAAGTCCATGTATGCATGAGCCAGGGTCCCCTGAGGAGAGCTATGAGGGGCTCAGTGGTTAAGGAGGTAATGAGTGTGCAAGCCATGTAGGCCATGAGTGTGACACAGGAAGGAGTGTGCATGAGCATGTGTGCAGAGAGGATTTTACAGATGCTAGGGCATCCGAGGAGCAAAATGAGTGCAAAGACTTGTAAGGGGGTGTGCAAGTATGATGTGCTGGGTACCAGGGCTACCAGAGTGACAGAGTCGGGTGTGTAAGGGCTGGGGGGAATATGAGAGAAGGGAGGCGGGAACCACAAGTGAGCCAAGTGCACAAGGCCAGGGCCATGTGAGTGCACTGTTTTCGCAGTACTGGGGATTGAACCCAGGGCCTTCACATTGAGCTACATCCCAAGCTTATTTTAAAATTTTTAAAATCAGCCAGGCGTGGTTGCTCACACATGTAAACCCAGCACTTGGGAGCCTGAGGCAAGAGGATTGTTGCAAGTTCAAGACCAGCCTAAGCTACAAAATGAGCTCAAGGCCAACCTGAACTGCATAGTGAGACCCTGTCTCAAAAAGACAAAAAATTTTTTTCTTTAAATCCTCTAAAATTTTAAAAATTTTGACAATAGGTGTGGTGGTGCACTCCTATAATCCCAGCCATTGGGAAGCCATGGCAGGAGGATCGTTGAGAGGCTGAGGCCAGCCTACTCCACAGTGAGGTCAAGACCAGCCTGAACCACATAGTGAGACCTGGCCTAGAATAAGTGTAGATGACACCATATATTAAAACTTCAGAAGGAATTTGGAGCCAGCATGGTGACGCATGCCTGTGATCCCAAGACTTAGGAGCCTGAGGCAGAAGGATTGCCATGAACTTGAGGCCAGCCTGGGCTACACAGTGAGTTCAAGGCCAACCTAAATTACATAGGTAGACCCTGTCTCAAACAAAAGATACTCGGGAGTACATGTGGTGCCTGGTGTGGGCTGGGCCAGCATACCAGGGCACCCCAGAGCTCCAAAGTGTGTGTGTGTGTGTGAAAAAGTAGGCACCAGGCCAGATGGAGGCACACTGGGAGATCTAGGGAGGTGAACAAGGAGTATATAGCCACATTGGTTCAAGTTCATGAGCAGTTTGCCATGGCTGATCATGGCTCTAAGAGCACGCCCGGGGTGAGTGTGTAAGAGGCAGAGCATGTGAGCAGCCAAAATGAGGGCACAAAAAGCTGTTGCTGCATGCACAAGGGGTGTGCTTCCATGGGTGGACCAAGTCTACAAGAGGTGGGCATAGTGAGTAGGGGACAGGCCAGGTCACCTCAAGAGTTTTTCAATCTCTACGAAAGGTGGGCATAGGCTTGCCAGAGCAGAGCAAGGGCTCACCGATGTGCAAGGCATATGCGGCCCAGTGTGGGGTCCAAGAGTGCAAGGAGTGAGCAGTCTCCGCAAGATGTGCATGCGCATGCGCAGGCCTACACACCTGGGGCATCTCCCACTGTGCTCGGTTGGTCTCTGAGATCTCGAAGTAGACGCGCTCAATGCGGCGTGAGGCGCCCATGATCTCTATGCGCCCCAAGTAGGGCCGGAAGTAATCAAGGATGCTCTCGGCCAGCTCCAGGAAGTTGCGCAGGCGCGGATCGTGTGGCACATGCTCTGACAGGTTGGTCAGCAACACCGCCACGTTGAAGCCTATCTCACGGGCTGGCTCCTGGAAGCGGTTGGCAAACTCCTCGCAGTTGATCATCTCGTTCTCATCTGCTTCGGAGCACGAAAGCAGGAATTGGATTTCCGGCCCAGTGAACTGCTTCTGGCTGTCCATGGCCTAGGGATGGGCAGGGGATGTCAGTGCAGTGCCTCAGAACCCCAGTGCTATTCTTAAACTATCTGTGGATTTTACATAGAAAAATCCAAAATCGAGTATCTGGTGCCTGATGCTGATACGCAGCAGGACGGCACAGGGGAGGTTGTATCAACTGTCAAGATACTGAAGTGGAGCGGGGCAGGGCTTGGTGGTGCACACCTATAATCCCAGCAGTCCAGGGCTGAGGTAGAAAGATTGCAAGTTTGAGCCCAGCCTGGGCAACTTATGCAAAACCTTATCTCAAAATAAAACGGGCTGGGAATGTAGCTCAATGTGAAGGCCCTGGGTTCAATTCCCAGTACCTTAAGAAAAAAAGAAAGAAACAAAGAAAGAAAGAAAAAAGAAAATCTGAGCGATCATCCACTATATGACACATTCTGTTTTCACAGATGGTAAAATGTGGCCAATGGCCATTTGTTTTGTTCCATTGCTTCATCCTCCCCACAGATAAGCACTATTCTGGTGTGAAACATCCCAAACGTGTCACCAATTCTCCCTGTCTCTAGTCATTGCCCACAAAAAAAATATACAGCAATTCTATGCATATTTTTATTTAGAGAATCCTTATGATTACATAATTTGACACTTGCTTTTTTTTTCATTCATGTTTGAAGTGTTGACAGACACACAGAGCAAACGAATTCATTTTCACTGCTGTGTAATGTTCTCATTTTATAAATATAACACTACTATCCTGGTGACAAACAAAATTTAGGTTGTTGGTAGCTTTTTGTGTGTTCTGTCTTTACACACAAAACATTCATGGAACATGTAACACTGTTCATGGAACATTTCTGTGCTGATGTATCATGCATTTTGCAAGTGGCTGTCAAGGCAGTTTTTCAAATATTCTTGACCACACTGGCAGTAAGAATGCATTTTGTAATGTGACTCCAAAAAAAAAGGGGGGGGGGTTTCACAACACAGTTTTGACTTTTGCTGTGCATTACATTCTGCAGTGTTCTCCTTTCTTTTTAAAGATACTAGTCGCGCTGGGTATGTGGCACGTGTCTGTGGTTCCAACTCTTTAGCAGGTTGAGGCAGGAAGATTGTCAAATTCCAGCCCAGCCCAGACAACTTTGTGACTTAGCAAGACTCTCTCAAAAATAAAAAGGCTGGGAGTGGAGGTTACTGTGAAGGTCCTGGGTTCAAGTCCCAGTGCTGTATAGAAAACGACAAGCAGAAAAGATGCTGGTCGTGGCTTACTAAATTAATTTCATGACCTACAGATGGGCTGCAAAATGCAGCTTGAGAAATGCTGCTCTGGGGCATGAACAAAAGGGAAATGCTCTGGCTCTAAGGAGTGCTTTGTGAAAAGCCTGGAGGTTTGCAAAATGTTTTCTAAATGAGTAATATGCTTTGCAAATCATGAAGGGCTCTAGAAACCACAGAGAGTGGCGACCTAATCACACAGGAACTTCTACCCTCGCTCACTTGCCTGCCTGCCCCCATGCTGAGAGGTGACACATACACTCTCTCTCAAAGCCCACCCGCCCCAGGCCTGAGATCCCTTCCTCCATTCGCCTCTGACTGTGCTCTTGTGATCTGCTGATCTCTGTCATCGCCCTTGTGCCCGTGTCCTTCCTTTGAAATGTCTTCTCTGACTGCTCTCCATTTATTTTGCTGGAGTCTCCTCCTCTTTCTTCTCCAGATCTCTAAAGGCAGGGGTGAGGTGGTAGAGGGGAGGTTAGGTGTTACATCCCCTTTCTGGGAATTGAACTAAGGGCCTTTGCACTGAGCTACAGCCCCAATTCTTTCTTATTTTTTATAAGAGTTAGTAAGTTGCTAAGTTACTGAGTTACTAAGTTGCTCAGGTGGGGCTCAAACTGCTCACCCTCCTGCCTCAGCCTCCCAGGTTGTTGGGATTATATGTGTGCATGACCATACCCAGCTGCATCCCCTTCATGCAATTATCACTGAGCCTCCAGGCTGTGAGAGCCACCCTACAGTGATTGTCAAGTCTATACTTAGCCCTGAGCACTGCACAGAACCCAGACTTTTTTTTTTTTTTTTTTTTTTTTTTTTTTGTCTTTTTGAGACAGGGTCTCGCTATGAGTTCAGGCTGGCCTTGAGCTCACTTTGTAGCCCAGGCTGGTCTTGAACTTGCAATGATCCTCCTGCCTCAGCTTCTCGAGTGCTGGGATTACAGGCGTGAGCTACCACGCCCAGCTCAGAACCCAGACTTTTATGGTTGAAGCCTAACATTTCTTTATGAGTATCTCTCCCCAGACAGAAATGGCCACAATTCAACTTCTGATTTTAAAATCTATCCTCCCACAGTCTTACCCATCTCAGGAATCACATCCTCACCCACCGGCGCTTCAGTTAAAATCTTTGAGTCACCCCTGATTCCTCTCCTCTGTCTCACCACCCACATGTGACTCAGTACATCTGTTAGCTCTGCTTTCAGAATAGATCTAGGGCCCACCCACTCCGGCCTCTTCGCAGCTCCCACCCTAGTGCCACATCGGCCTCTTCCCTAGACTTCCCACTGTCCCCACACATAGTGAGAGGAACCCTGGAAGCTACCTGCATCAGGTCACTTTCCCTCTCTTCTCTAGACTTTTTGTCCTCTTGAGACAGGGTCTCATTACATTGCTCAGGCTGGATTTGAACTTGCAAACCTCTTCCTCACCTTCCCGGAGTGCTAGGGTCACATGTGTGCGCCATCATGCCCACCCATCAGAATTCTCCCTTTGCTCCATCTCTTTTGGGTTAGAAGTCAAACTCCTCACTGAAGCCAGCCAGGCCCTGCATGTGCCACAATTTACTTCTTCCTTGACCGCCTCCCCAGCCACAAAAATGGGCTTCTTTTCTGCTCTTGTTCCCACTTTTCAGCCTGCACATTTGCTGTCCTCTTTGCTTGGGACCCTCCAACCTCCCCAGCCTGCATGGAACCTCTGAGAGCTCAGCTTCTGCCTCCCACCCCCAGTCCCCACGCTCACTCGCTGCTCATGGCCAGCCTCTGCCACCCCCTGCACACTGCAGATCACGGCCAACATGTGTTTAATTGGAGTTATTTTCCCTCACCTCCCCCCACTGGACCCCTACTTGGAGGTGGCAGGTGTCTAGCTCACTACTGTGCTCTCAGGATGAGAGTGCACTTTGACAGCTAGAAGGTGTGCAGCCAGTGCTGTCATTGGGTGCCTGTCCTCACAGGGCGGTGGATTAAAGCCTGGCTCACAGGTGGTACTATCAAAAGGAGCTGTAAATCTTTGGGGAGAGGGATGGCTAGCAGGAGGTCCATAGGGGAACTGGAAAGTGTGTGCCACCATGCCCAGCTGAAATAAGTTTGGACATACTAAGTTATATGTGTTTCTTTTTACTTTAAACATGTGGCTACACTGCTGGGTATGGTGGCACATGCCTGTAACCCCAGCACTCGCAGGAGTAATCTCAGGAGGCTGAGGCAGGAGGATCACCGCAAGTTCAAGGCCAGTTTGGACTACATAGTGAGAACCTGTCTCAAAAAGAAAAAAAGTTGTGGGCCAGGGATTTAGCTCAGTGGCACAAGCACCTGCCTGGCAAGTTCGAGGTTGTGAGTTTGATCCCTGGTACCAAAATAAATAAATAAAAATAAAATAAGTGGCTACTAGAGCACTTTAAATGATGCGTGGTCCTCATTATATGTTTCTGCTGGGCAGTGCTGCTTTGCGGGGTCACTAGAAGATAAAGTGCAAGGACAGAGAAAAAGTGGAAGTGGAAAGCAGTGAGTTAAAGGACATTTAAGGAAACATCTACCAACTGCAACGGGTGGACTTTGTTTGGATTCCGATTCAAAGAAACTGCAAAAAATAACCACAGGGGCTGGATCTGTGGCTCAGTGGTAGAGCTCTTGCCTTTCATGCACAAGGCTCTGGTTCCATCCCCAGCACCACAAAACAGAAAGAAAACTATGTGACAGTTGAAAATTTGAATATTATCTAGATATTTCATGACTTAAAGAACTGTGGATTCCTCTTGTTTTGTTCCTGTTGTTTTGTTTTTGGTCAGCTGTGACAATGCCACTGTGCTTTGTCACATGGAAGGAAAGTCATGGAAGACCGCGCATCCATGTGAGTGCAGCTATGAAGCGTGCAGATCAGGTGAGTTCACAGACACGGCGGGTAGACGGTGGCTCCCAAGGGCTGGGGTGGAGAACTGGAAAGTGACTGCCGAAGGCTATGATGGCTCTTTTTGGGGATGATTAAAATGTACCAAAATTAGACTGCAATGGTAGCAGTGCAACTTGGCCAATACACTGGATGCCACTGAAGTGTACATTTTACATGGGACTTTAATGGAATATAAATTTTATCTCAGTGAAGATGCTTTTAGTAAAAAAGAAGCCATAGTTGGCCATGGGTTTATAATTCCAGCAGGCAATCAACCACAAATTTGAGCCCAGCTTGGGCAGTTTAGTAATTTAGCAAGTCTCTGTCTCAAAACAGAAAAAATTTAAGAAGGCTGGGGATGTAGTTCTGTGTGAGGGCCTTGGGTTCAAACTCCAATATCACAGTAAAAAAACAAACAAGTTTTCTTTTTCTTGTTGGTGCTGCGGATTGACCCAGGACACTGCACATGCTAGACAAGTGCTCTGCCAGCACATCCTCAGCACTTAAAAAGAAATCTTCTAATTAAGAGATGCAAAGAAAAATATTTGCAGGTTAAAAGAAAAAGAAAATAAAACCTTAAGAGTGCATACTAACCAGGAATAAATTAGTAAGTTAACATATGGCTTCAATCATCAGAAAGTTTCGTTTTGTTTGGTTTAATGCTGGGGACTGAACCCTGTTCTCACACATCTGGGGTAAGGGCTCTGCCACTGAGCTCCACAAAGGGCTCTCGAACCCACAGGACCTGTTTCAGGCTCTCTAAAGACTTCACCAATGGAGAGATGCTTTGTGCACTGTCAAGAAATCCCGTTGCCCTGGAAGAGCTTGTGGAGTTAGAGAACACTGGTGTACCTTTAATGAAGATTCACAAAGGAATGAGACGCAGAGAAAACACCTGGAGAGAAGTCCTGCTCTGCATGGTGGTGGCAGCCTTCGGAGAGGCTGGAGGACAGCAGGAATAGGGATGGGGCCAAAGTGCCCTCAACCTTAGCCATAAAGTCTGAACTTTAGCAAGAGGAAAATACTCATATTTAAGTAGTATTACCTATTAATTATTCATTATTATAATTAGGTTCATTTTTAGCTGATTTTTAAAAGCTGGATATAGTGGTGGATGCTTATAATCTTAGCTATTTGGGAGGCTGAGGCAGTAGGATCACAAGTTCAAGACCAGCATGGGCAAGTTTGGAAGACCCTGTCTCAGAGTTTAAAAAGGGCTGAGGATGCAGCTCAGAGTGCATGCCTGACATGTGAAAGGGCCTCCAGTACTGGAAAACAAAAAATAAAAATAAATAAAGTGGATGTACATAAAAATCAAGTATTCTGCATGACTAGACTATCATCATAAAGAAAGTCAAAATGATAAACCAGAGCAGAGCATGGTGGCACAGAGCAGAAGCTGAGGCAGGAGGATCACTGTGAGTTCAAGCCCAGCCTGCTGGACTACATAGCAAAATCCTGCCTTAAAAAAAGAAAAGAAACAGAAAAAACAGGTGCAAAGCCACAGATCTTAGCACTAACAAAGCTTTAACTAGCTTAATGTATGAAGAACTCCTAGAAATCAAGAAGAATACTAGCTTTCCAATAGAAATAAGCCAGGGAGTCAGGCATAGTGTGCATGCCTATAATTCCAGCACTTGGGAGGCTGAGGCAGGAAGATCACCACGAGTTTGAGGCAGCCTGAGCTATATAGTGAGTTCCAGGCTAACCTGAACTACAAAGTAATACTATCTCAAAAAAGTTCAAAGTAAATAAGTAAATAAGCAGATGAAGGATATGGTCAGTTCACAAAACAAGTAATACAAAAGAACTAACATGCAGAGACGCTTAACTGCACTCAAAATAGGAGAAATGGTAGTTAAAACTACACCTTAGTACCAATTTTCACCAATCAGATTGGCAAACATGCAAAGATTTGACAATGTGGTGGCCATGCTATGGGGAAACAGCCACTCCCACACATTACTGAAGGGAGAAGAAATGGAAGGAAGTATCTGTCTAGATGACAAATGCCAGTTGCACTTCTAGTGTTATATTATTACAGTCTACATTGTAGTCAAGGCTACCAGGGACAGTCATGCAAGTTGCATACTGCACAAAGGTATAGATTACAGCAGACACAATGCATGTTTGTACATGTATTACTGCAGAGTTCCAGAAAATGGAAGTAAGTTTTTTTTTATTTTGTATCAGGAATTGAACTCATGACCTTGCATTTGCCAGGCAGGTGCTATGCCACTGAGCTACATCCCAGGCCCAGAAATAAGTATGCTGAGGAAGGCTTTATACGGGCCCTTAGAAATGCCAACTATCCATGCAACCAATACCACTATCTACGCAACAAAGCAAGCGTCTATCAACAGAGGGAAGGCTGTAAACCATGACACACACATAAAGTGGAATACCAGACACCTGGGGAAAAGAATGAGAAAGCTCCTGTCTCCAGAATGTTATTAAATAATACAGATGAGTGATACAGTACTCAACCTATAGCATGAGAAGGGTCGGAGGGGATGAACATTTGTATTTATATGAAAAAATGACAGTAATGTGTTTTTAAAAACTTCCTGGAGCACTGGGAATATAGCTCAGCAGCACAGGGCCTGCCTGGCAAGTGTGAGGTCCTGAGCTCATCCCTGGTGTCAAAAACAACCAGCCAAACAAGAACTCCACTAGAAGGGTTTACAATAGGGAGAGTGAGGGAAAGATGGGTTGGGAAAGAGAGGGAGACGACTCAGTTGTCAAAACTATACAAATAATTACATACTGAACAATAAAACAAAGGTATGTTTTCAGGTTGCAGACTGAAATTCCATGAATGCTAAGGTGTAGCATTTTGTGTGCGACACCAAACCCCGTGACAAGGGAGCTCAGGGGAGGCACTGCACCATTTAAAATGCAAATGACGTCAGGTGACTTCAGCTCCCCCACAGGGCGTTGTTTCTCTTGCAGCCCCACCCGCACCTCCACCTCCTCCCAACCTCCTCGCCAGAGCCAGCCCCAGGAGGTGCTCACTGCCACAGTACTCCCTGGAGCGACTGACAGGTGAATCTGGGGAGGGGCAGTGTATGCTGGGGCTCTTCTGTCTGCATTCTGATTCATTTTTTTCTTTGTGGTAATGGGGGTTGAACTCAGGGCCTTTGCACTGAGCTATATCCCCAGCCCCTTTATTTTGAGACAAGGTTTCCCTATGTCACTAAATTACCCAGGCTGGACTTGATCTTTCTGCCTTGGTCTCCCAAGGTGCCAGGAATTACAGGCCTGTGGTACCGTGCCTGGTTATGGGTGACCTTGAGCATGTCACTTCAGCTCCCTGTGCCTCAGCTTCCACATATTTAATAGTGAATTGAAAGCAGTTCTTACCACCTAGGACTGGTACAAAGATCAAGTGAGCTAGCTAGGTATGCTGGTGCACACTTGTAGTCCAAGCACTCAGGAGGCTGAAGCAGAAGGATTGCCAAAAGTTTGAGGCCAGCCTGAACTATATAGTAAGACCTTGTCTAAAACCAAACCAAACAAACCGCCCTCAAAATCAGTTGAGCTAATTCACTTCCACACAGGATCTAGCACAGAAAGAGAATATCAAAAATATGTGCTCTAGGGGCTGGGGATTTAGCTCAGCGGCATAAGCACCTGCCTTGTAAGCAGGCAGTCGTGAGTTCGATCCCTGGTACCGATAAAAAAGGAAAAAGACAAAAAAAAAAAAAAAAAAAAAAAAAAATGTGCTCTTCCTCATGAAAGCGAAGGGCTTAGGCACAGTGACATATTCTCTTCCTCTGTCTGTCTCTGCCTCTGTCTTTCTGCCTCTGTTTCTGTCTCTTTCTTTCTCTATCTCTCTGCCTTCCTGTCTCCTTGTCTCTTTCTCTCTCCTCTCTCTGGGTCTGTCTCCCCTCAGTGCAGGGATGGAACCCAGAGCCTGCTGCATGCTAGGCAAGTCCTGGACCACTGAGCCGCAGTGATACTTGAGAAGCCAGAGAGCTGGGCTGCTAGCTAGGCCCAGGAAGGTGGGGGAGTGGGAAGGTCCTGAGTTGTCTTTTGACAAAAAAAATCTCTTCAACAAGTAAGTGTGTAAGATGTGAGGATTAAACAGCAGCACTGTATTAATGTTCGTTCCCTGATTTGCATAATTGCTCTGCGGTTATGTAAGGGAATGAACTTGTTCTCAGGAAATGCACACTGAAATATTTAGAGGCGATGGAAATCACGCTGGAGTAAATGTGAGAAGTCAGGCAACATGGGCGTAGGGCACTCAAAGGTGTATGCGCAGATTGTGTGATCCGGTCTACGTTCCCAAAGTTATTTCCAAATACAGAGTTAAAATGATGATAGCAAAGCCCTGGCATGGGTAGGGGGCAGGGACAGAATGTGGTTCATATGCATGTGGCCCTCGGTGCCAGCCCAGCATTTCCCCCTTCAAAAAAAGATTTGGTGCCAGGTGTGGTGGTGCACATCTGGAATCCCAGCTACTGGGCACTGAGGTGGGAGATCCCAGATCTGAGACAAATGGAAGTAATTTAGCAAGAATAAGGGCTGTGGATGGAGCTCAGTGACTGAGCACTCGCCCAGCGTACACCAGGCCCCAGGTCCTATCACTAGTGCTGCACTTCAAACAAGCAAGTATCTGGTAACAAAAAGGGTAAAAGCAATATGATGATAGTAGCTAACACTGCTCTCACGTCTTCTCCCCTTCCTCCTCCGGGTGTTCAACAGTGAGCTATCTCCCCAGCCATTTTTCTTTTCTTTTCTTTTTTGAAACTGGAGGTCAGCAAGTCACTAGGTTGTGCGAGATAGGCTACAATTTGCAATCCTCCTGCTTCAACCTCCCTTAGTTTTGGGCTTACAGGCATGCACCACTGTGCACCTGCTAGCTAAGACCTCCTGAGCACTTACTGTACACCAGGGACTCTGCCTTTCCCACAGCCCTGCTATGAGAAGTCTCTGTTATTAGGTTACCCCACTTCCCAGAGAACCTAGAATGCGGGAAGACTGTGACTTCCCAGGTGTGTCAGGTCGGATAGCAGAGCTGGGGTGGGGAAGGGGAAAGGAGGGCCCAGCTCTCAAATGAAGCTGTTTCTGGCCTTCTCTCCAGCCCACCTCATGACAGCCTAGTCAGTGACTGTTAGAGGGAAAGAGACACATTCCTGGATCCATCCCTGGTCCTGGGTTGGGTCCTTGGCAAAGAAAAGCTTTCTTCAACAAATGAAAATTGAATGCAGCTATGTTCAATTAGATTCTGAGCCCTGTGAAGGCAGGAGCTATCTGTGTCTGGATCACTGCTGGGCCCAGGGGCCAGGACAGAGCTCAGCACAGAGAAGAAACCTAGTAAATGTTTATCAGTTGAATACTGAGGATCATGTTATGACTGTTAATAACAATAAGAACATAACAGTTCTGATGTTAATGCGTTTCACCCTCCAAACTGTTTTAACCCCATTTTCCAGATAAGGAACCTGAGCCTCCTATTGAAGTCTCCTGCCCAAGGTAGGCAGCCAGGAAGGGCATGGCTGGCACTTGTAAGCCCTCCTGGAACCTAGGCCCCCCAGCTGCCCTACACCCACCTTTTGGAAGTCCTTCTTGGAGATGAGGCCACGGGGATCAGTGACGTAATCCTGGAAGGCCTCAGAGCCCACGATGTCTTTGAGCTTCAGGAACATGTCGAAGAACTTGAGGATCATCTCCACGTTGGAGGAGGACTCCACGAGCATGTCCACCATCTGCCGGGCAATCATGCCGTTCACCACGTTCCCTGCAGAAGTCTCAGGTCAGTGCGGCCCCTTGTGTTCCCCAGCAGAGCCCCCTTGCTGGAGCCCTTCTAGTACAGTCTTTCTCTCCAGCTCCAAAGCCACCCTGGCTCCCCAGGATTCCTCTGTGCCCCTGGATCCTTCCCTGGCCAGCTCCCAAGCCTCCCCGAGGAGGGTCGCTGTGGGGTGTCTGTCAGCACTGTTCACCAGCCTGCTGGCTTTTGTCTTTGTGCACCTCTCTCACTAGCTGGGGGAAATCATCAGTAAAGGCATTAGTGACAAGCTGGGCATAGTGGCACATGCCTGTGTCCCAGCACTGAGGGAAGCTGAGGCAGGAGGACTGCAAGGTCAAGTCCTGCCTGGATAATTTAGTGAGTCCCTGTCTCAATACAAAAAATAAAATAAAATAAAAACATCTAGAATGACCAGGGATTTAGCTTAGCTTGGCAAGCATGAGATCATGAGTTTGATCCCCGGTACCAAAAAAAGTACCCAGGATGTGGTAGAGTGGTCCTTGGTTCACTCCTCAGTGCCACCAAAATAAATAAATAAAAATAGTGAAGCCTGAAAAACAAAAAAAAAAAATAGTGAAGCCTGACATAGTGGCGCATGCCTATAAGCCCAGCACTTGGAAGACTGAGGCAGGAGGATAACTGCCAGCTAGAGACAAACCTAGGGTACAAAGTGAGCTCAATGCCAGCCTGAAGTGCATAGTGAGACCCTGTCTCAAAAAGACAAAAAGAGCTGGGGATTTAACTCAGTGGCATAAGTACCTGCCTGGCAAGCACGAGGTCATAAGTTGGATCCCCAGTAATATAGGTAATTAAACAAGCAATAAAAGACATAAATAAATAAATAAAACAATGCTGCCCTGGCATGATCCTGTGACAACCTTGCAAGGAAAATGTGCCAAGTATTTATTTCTACAGAAACTGAGACTCAGGAAACTGAGACTCAGAAAAAATCTCACACACAGCTCATGCAGTCAATAATGGGGCAGGGAGGGGACTGGAACCCAGAGCCACAAGAGCTCAGAGACACACAACCTGACCCCTGTAGCAGTCCGGAGGCCAGGCAGTGCCTAGGCAGGGAGGTGAACCAGAGGTGAGACAACAGGGCGGAGCAGACTGGCGCTAGCTGCTTCAGTACCTTTAACTGTCAATAAATTTCAAAATTTGCATAAGAGCTGCAAGAATAGTGCAAGCAGTCTGGGAGGCTGAGGTGAGAGAATCAAAAATTCATGCCCAACCCAAACAACCATGTCTCAAAATAAAAAAAAAAAAGAGTTGGAGACGAAGGTCAGTGTGGATATCCCAGGATCAACCCTCTATACAACCAAAGAATCTTCTAACTTTTGAGAGCTAATGACTAGATATCAAAAACCTTGAAAAACTGAAAAACCATAGGAAGATTGCTCATGGCAACACTGTTGGTAACAGCAGAATACTTTCTGTTAATTTTACTGGTGCATTTTAGATAGACCAAAATATTTCTTAAAGCACTTGAGGGTGGTCTCCATTGTCTGCTGCGTCCTAGGGCTACTGACCCTGTTTCCTTCCAAAGGAGCAAAACAAAATGTGTTTCTCAGTTTAGGCCCAAAAAAGACACAAAAATGAAAGTCCTGTGGGGGCAGAGGGGGTTTCTGTGTGCTGAGACAGAACCTTTTTTTTGTTTGTTTTGTTTTTTGTTTTTTACTCTTTGTGTACCTTTATTCCTCCTCAGAGATGGAAGATCTTGTCATTTAATGTCTGGGGCAAAGCTGCAACTTTTTTCTTTCTTTCTTTCCTTCTTTAAATTTTTTTTTGTAACAGGGTGTTACTATGTAGTTCAGGCTGGCCAGGACTCACTATGTAGCCCAGGCTGGCCTCAAATGTACAGCAATCCTCCTGCCTCAGCCTCCCAAGTGCTGGGATTACAGGCATGTGCCACCACACCCAGGTAAAACTGCAACTCTTTGAAACAAGGCTTTCCTAACAATCATAGCCCTAGTGAGTGTTCTATTTCTAGATTTATGAGAGAAGCAAGGAAAAACAATGAGAAAGGCAGGTGTGAGGGGTGGAGGGGGCTTTGAACTCTATGAAAGATAATCACTTTGTTTGGATTCATGCGCCTGGAAAAAAAAAAAAAGATAATCACTTTGTTCTGATGGCAGCTACTAGAAAATTTAATATTCAGTAAATTTAGAGAAATGCACTATCACTGGCCAATAGTTGCTATTTTGAATGCCACACACACGGTATATAGTAACAACACTGTCAAAATATCTGATGCTTCAGATATATTATAAAGTGCATACTCCAGCTCTTTAGAAAACTTTTTTTTTTTAGAAAACTTATTATAAACGTGTGCCAGGGATATAGCTCAGTGGCATAAGTACCTACCTGGAAAGCACAAGGTTTTGAGTTTTATTCCCAGTACAAAAAAAAATTAGAAAATTCTATAAGCATGTTAAATACCACATTTACATATTAGTAATATTGGTGTATGATGGCTATAAAAGAAAAACTCACTAACCAGTTACTTCCAAAATTAGATTTTTTTTTTTTTTTTTTTTTTTTTTTTTTGAGAAAGGATCTCACTATGTAGTTCAACAGGCCTTGAATTCAGGGTTATCCTCCTGCTTCAGCCTCCCAAGTGCTGGGATAGTAGGTATGTGACACTATTCCTGTCCAAAATTGGATTTTTAAGTTTCAGGAAATTATTAATAGCCTTGAAATTTTGATGGCTTTTCATTAGTAATATATACAGATGATGGTGGTAATGTGTTTGAATGTAGAACTCAGCGTCAACAAATTTATTTACAAGGAAATTAAATGAGGAAAAATGATAAGAATTAGCCACTATATTTATAGAAAACAGAATAATGAAAGCGATGACCTTTTTTAAGACTGATGGTAGTACCTGTGCTATAATAAGACAGCTATATTGATACTAATTATATTTTTGTTACTGCGCTTCTGCACCTGTTGGACTTTTTTTTAAACTGCCATTTATTTGCTGCCACATAATTAGTAAGCATTCTGCCTTTTCATGTTCTTCTAGTAATAGAGTTTACATCTCTTTGGGTAACTGTCACAGTACTGAACTAAACTTGTTTTTGCATTGTGGGATTTTTGGCTTAAATTAATGTATAAATATATCCAAAAACCAGTGTCTTCTGTGGTTGTGAGAGTTATACAAGTGTTACCTTAAACATGTATGCACTAGTATCATGGTTTCTCTGCGATGTTTCTGCATTCTGAATATTAAACACTATTTTTTCACTCCAATATTCATTTAGAAGTCATGAGTGTAATATTAATATGTATTTGATTGTTTCAGTGTTTAAACATGAAAATCCACTTCATCTCATAAAGACCTAAATACAAAAGAAAATGAAGGGGCTGGGGGTTTAGCTCAGCGGCATAAGCACCTGCCTTGCAAGCCGGTGGTTCTGAGTTCAATCCTCCGTACCGATTTAAAAAAAAAAGGAATGAAGGTACTCTGTGAACCTCTAGAGAGAACTTCTATATTAAAAATCTCTTTAACAGTAATGTTTTCTAACTGGACGTGATGGTGCATGCCTATAATCCTAGCACTTGGCAGGCTGAGGCAAGAGGGTCATTTGAGACCAGGCTGGGTTACGAAGTGAGCTCAAGGCCAGCCCAAACTGCATACTAAGCCCTTATCTCAAAAATACAAAAAATAGTAATGTTTCCTAATTGTTTATTAATTAGTGAAGAAAGTGGCTTCATTTGGTTAAGTCTGGGGGATATTTGTTATACAGCAAAAACTAACTCATACAGTTAAATATTAATATACATTACATCAGTACCTTTAAAAATAAATATTAAGTATATAAATAAATAGGTATCCAGGGCACTCATCCTATTATGATTTCTCTGGTGAATCAGTAATTACTATTCACACAGCCAGGTCCAGGCCCCCAGTAAGTGTTTGCCAGACTCATTACAGCAAAGCTTTCATCATCACACAGACCCTGGCCTGATATCAGATGGGACTGAGGGTTAGGGTCTCCTGGATCCCAGAGCCATGCGCTAGCTTTCGTGCTCTTTTTTTCATGCTCTGAACCTTTGTATGCCACCCCCACCCTCCAGGTGTTTACCTTCTAGTAACGACAGAAGCATCACCACCATGTCCTTCTGCAGATCCAGCAGCTCCTTCAACAGCTCGATCTGGCTGGAGTCCTAGGGTTCCACATCCCAGCTGTGTGAGGCTTTGTTTCTGCAGAGAGGCCTCCCCCACCTCCAGCTGCTTCTGCCCTCCTCATCTACCCAGCCCGGCCTAAGACCGCCTTCCACTCCCTTCTTTTTTTATTTATTTATTTTTTGTCTTTTTATCAGTACTGGGGATCGCCGCTGAGCTAAATCCCCAGCCCCTCCACTCCCTTCTTACCTCCGAGGGGACCCGAGTCCAGACATGTTCCTCGGAAGCAAGGGAGGGGGCAAAGAGACAAGATTGTGGGGGTGGGATTGGCACTTAGAGGGAAGGTGGCCCAGCAGGTGATGAGTGCACAGGGACTGGCATAGGACTGGGAGGCCTGGCAAGCAGACATTTGCTTGAGCAGAGAGGGGCAGAGGCAGACAGGGACAAACACCAGGCTGAGAATCCAGCGCCATGCCTGGCCTATGGCGGGTGCTTGACATACATCTATGGAATATGACGTGCGACGCTGAAAGTGAGACTCTTGAGCTCAGGAAAAGCTGGGGACTTGTACTCTCTGGTAAGCTACTGTGAGAGGGCTGGGTATATGGCAGCACATTACATCCTCTGCCATAGCGCCTCATGTAGGACACATGGAAACCTCCAGCACAAATGGACATTGTTGTTAGGTTACATTTGTTGTTAGGTTAAGTGGCATAGAATTACCACTGGTTGGTTTTGTTTTGTTTGAGGCAGAGTCTCACTGAGTAGTCCAGGCTGCGTCACAGTCCTGCCTGAACCCCTGCAGCACTGGGATTACTGACATGTGCCATCATGCTCAACAAGATAAGACTCTTTTTACCCATAGAGTGGTAATTTCATAAGGTTCCACCTAATAAAATGGAGAGGGGGAAGCAGACAGATAAATGGAATGTAAGCCTCTTTCACCTCAGGCTAGTTCCAAGGAGTTGATTCTGAGCCTAACACATTTCCACAGTTGCAAAACTCTGTACTGTTTATTGGTTGGTTTGCAGTACAAGAGACATCCCCAGCCCTTTCATTTTAAAATTTTGAGACAGAGTCTCAGTAAGTTGCCCAGGCTGGCCTTGACTTCACAATCCTCCTGCCTCCTGCCTCAGCCTGGAAAATGGCTGGTATGTCAGGCGTGCACCACTACATCCCGCTCAAAGCTGTTTTCTAAACTTCCAACATTCCCAGATCTGAAGGCTCTAGGGATTTGGGTCTGCTTATAATCTAGCCCCCTTTTCTCTTAGTACCTGCATTTTCAACTGGGAATCCCCAGTCTCACCCTCAGAGCCCTTGGGGCTACCCCTCTTCCAAATTGTAGGGGTGGGTGTATGACAAGGTCTGGCCAGTCAAAGTGTTTTTCCCTCTGGCTACAATAATTGGCTCAGGGATGAGCCCATCTAGAAGTTCAGTCACAGAAAACCTCAGGTCTTTTTGTGACTTTCAAGAAAGAGGTGTTCTCTTCTTCTGGACCTGTCAGTGGGGTGACTGGAAGCCAGAGGGCACTGTTTTTGCTTTGTTTTGTTTAATTTTTTTATTTGTATGGGGGATGGAACTCACAACCTTCCACTTGCCAAGAAGGCATTTATGCCACTGAGCTAAATCCCCGGCCAGAGGCACTTTGTTGTTGTTTTTCCAGTGGGTACGAAAAGCCTGCTTGAGAAGCCAAAAAGAAAGCATATTTCTGCTGATCTTACTCTAAACCCTAGATCTGTAATGTAAACTGATGAATCACTTTTTCCTTCTTAAATCACTACTTTGTGTTGGATTTCCATCCCTTAACCTAGATCTGGTCCATGGCTGATGAAACAAAATTGCATGATTTGGAAGTGTATTTTCACTAGCATTTTAAGACTATATCAACCTCACAACTCCAACTGCACTGTTACTGAGGAGTTAAGTTCCCAGGTAAACTCCAAAAAGTCAGAGGACACCAGATTAGGAAAAAAAAAAAACGGTCCCTTCCCTCAAAACGGTTTGTTGGGAATTTGTAATCCACGTGCAGAATACTTTACTGCCATCTGCCGGTAAATTACTGAAACACACACATAATAGTGTCTATGATGTCCATAGATGTCATGCCTTTTATGCAGTGTATAGCCCAACTGTATATGGTAACCTTAAATATGTTTACCGAACGCAAGCAGAGAAAATGAAGTGTTTGCAAAGCAGATGAGGCTGCAAAGGCACAAAAGTGGTAGGGAAAAGGGGAACACAAGGATTCTAGAAACGGGATTTGAGGCTTTGCAGGGACCTTACATCATGGGTGCCCGGCATGGGAGGAGCCATCTGCCGCAGGCAGGATAAAGAAGAATTTATTCAGACCCAGCCCTGATCTAGAAACCTGTGCCATCCCATCCTTAGGTCTGAGTCTGAGAAGGCCTCATTGGAGAGAAAAGAACAGCAACCAATCAAAGAGGAGCTCTGGTCAGAAGGAGGAGGGTCCAAAACAAGCTGATTGGTGGCAATAGGGATGGTGGGGTCATGCCAATAACCAATCCAAAAAGAAGATGGTTTGGTCCTGTAGAGGGAACTAAACTGGCACATGCTGGGAGCACTTGGGTGAGAAACTAACAATGGCAGAAGACTTGGAAACTGGGCAGCTAGAGAATGCCCATTAGCAGGCAGATGAAGGATAAAGGGACCCAGACCTGAGCAAGCTTCATCATCATGTGTGCAAACACATGCAGGAATCCCACGACGGCGTCCCAGAGGCGGCTGTGTGCCAGGCTCTGCTGGTTTCCGGTGCAGGGTCCCTGGGGAAGAGGGCAGTGTGAAGCAGGGCAAGGCTTGCGTGCAGGACTCTTTTGCCCTACTGCCTGTCCCTAGCCGGCCCTACCTGTATGTACTCGGTGAGGCTGTTGAACACTTGTTTAGCCACCGACATGGCCTTGGAGAAGTTCCTCTTGCCTTGCTCCTCAATGACATCCTTGCCAGAGTAGTACCAGTAGAAGTCGCTGATGGACTCCTGGCGGGGTAGGGGGGTAGGGGTGAGCGGAGCTGGCCCGGCCAAGGTCCCCCAGCCCACCTGCTCACGCCCCTACCTGCAGCCGCAGGAGGTAGTCCACTGTGCAGATTATGATGTTAATAGTGGTTGTGTTCCCTGTCTGTGTCCTTAGATAGTTCTGGAAATCTAAGGAAATTAAAAATAATTAATTCACTGAGCACCTAATATGCAGCGAGTGTGGTGGAGCACAGGCAGTGACATGTTCTTTTTTTCTTTTTTGGTGCCAGGAATCAAGCTTAGGGCCTCAAATTTGCTATGCTCATTCATTCTTTTATGCAGTAAGTATTTATTAAGTATCTGTTGTATGCCAGGAGATGTATAATAATTTTTTATAATATTTTATTTAGAGTCAGGTGTGGTAATGTACTCCTGTAATCCCAGCACTCAGGAGACTGAGGCAGGAGGATAGCTGCAAGTTTGAGACCAGCCTGGGCTGCAAAGTAAGCCCAAGGCTAGCCGGAATCACTTCATGAGACCCTGTTTCAAAAAGACAAATAAATAAATAAATATTTACCAAGTACCTATTAGTGTCAGAAGAAGGTAGAGGATTATTTATTTACCTAAAAATACCACATGGCTGTAATCACAGCACTTGAGAAGACTGAAGAAAAATGATGCCAAGTTTGAGTCCCACCTGGGTAACTTAACTTAGTGCAATCCTGTCTCCAAAAAATAAAGGGCTGGGATGTAACTCAGTCCAGAGTCCCTAGTTCAATCCCCAGTACTGCCAACAAAATAAATTATTATTGAAGGCATAGTATGTCTCAGATGTAATGGAGGGTCAATTATTTATTCCTTCATTTTCTCCCAGCAAATATTTATTTAGTGCTACTACATAGCAGGGGAAAATAGAGATTAAGTCCTCTATTTATTTCCAAAAATCTTTATTGACTGCCTACTGTGTTGAGGAAAATGGAAGCATGATCACTTATTCATTGATTTCTACAACAATATTGAGCATCTTGTAAAAAAACAGGGAGACACGGCTGGGGATTTAGCTCAGCATCGTAAGCACCTGCCTGGCAAGCATGAGGTCATGAGTTCAATGCCTGGTACAAAAAAAACCCACAAAAAACAAAAAACAAAAAAAAAAAAAACCAAAGAGATAAGGACTGGCCACTTATTCAACATATTTTCAATTGAGTATTATTATATGCTAACAGGAAGTGAAGATTGTCATTTATTCTTTGGTGCAATGAATTTATTACTTATTATGTGCCAAGCACAATTGTAGGGAAGGATATAGTATCGAAGTTCCTGTCCCTGCATATATTCTTTTTTTTTGGTACCGGGGATCGAACTCACGACCGCCTGCTTACAAGGCAGGTGCTTATGCCACTGAGCTAAATCCCTGGCCCCAAGCTTATATTCTTGTGCAATGATTTTCTAACTATAATCTACAGCAGAGAACCATTTTACACTGATGCCCAGCACACGTGTTCAATCTGAAATGAGAACCATACATGAAACAGAAGTTGCACAAACCCTTTCTCTGTGCCAAGAATTTTGGTGTTTTTTCCCTCTCCTGTACTATTAACTACAAAAGCATTCTGATCGCAGTTCACTTACTTTGTGGTCCTCAACCCTGGCTACACATCACAATCATTTGGAGGCTTTTAACTATCCCCAATACTCAGACCCCATACCAGATCAATTAAATTGGAATCTGAAGGTGAAGCCTGGGAGACTGCATCTTTGTACACTTGCCTTATGCCCCATGTTATGATGGGAACCTCTGATTTAGACTGATCCTCAAAATTTAGTGTGTTTATTTCTACTATTTGAAGAACACTGTTCTGTGGCAGGAAGTTGGAAAGTGGAGTGGTGGATGTTTGGGGTCATTAGACCATTGTACTTGGTGAATGGGAGGTCCTAGAATAATGACAGTGATGAACATCCTTCCTGGGGGTGGGCCTAGAGGGTACTGGTCAGAATGTTAGAGATGGGGGAAGCCCAAAGGGAGCCCTGAGGAGAAGGATGATGCAGCTCAAGTGGTCAGGAAAGGCTCCCTGGAGGAGGGGGCCTTTCTGGAGAGCTGAGATGTAAAAGATAAGCAGGAGTTAGCTGTACAAATTCTTAGCTATAACCTCAGGCAAATTATTGAACCTCTCTCTGTGGCATAGACTATGCTCAGTTCCTCTCACGTAAATGAGGATCATGACAGACCCTACTTTTAAGGAGCTGCTGTGAGGTGTGTGCAGAGGAAGTGCTCGATTAGCATTAGCTCTTTAAATTTTTCAAAATATTTATTTATTTATTTTATTTTTGGTGCTGAGGATGGAAGCCAGGGCCTTGTTCATGCTAGGCAAGTGCCCTGCCACTGAGCTACAGCCCTGGCCACAGCATTATCTATTCTTTGAGAGTCATAAAGTCAGTAAGAACTGTACTTCAGAGCCTTCATTCCCAAAGTGGAGTCCCAGGCCGGCAGAATCACATCTGGAAATGTATTAGAAATGTGAATTCCTGAGTTCCACCCAAAAGTCTAAGCCAGAAATTCTGAGGTGCCATTCCAAAACCTCCAGTTTAACAAGGCCCCAGGTGATTCTGATTTAAACAAGCAGGCTGAAGAACTACGGCACTGTACTACTACAGATCTATTTGCCAAATGACCAGTGCATCTAATTGTCAAGGCAACAAAAATGGGCATCAGGTGAGTCCTGCAGATGTTTACAGCAGGTGACATTGCAAAAGATGACTTTCATGCCCCTTGGAATTTTCCCGCCTTAACGTTTTTCTTTCCACCCAGCCTCACTGCCTCAGTCACTCATGTCATGTCCATCTGCCAGACTGCCCCTGTGCTTGGTCTCATGTCATAGATGACACATACATCCTCAAATAGTTGGGATTTTATGAGCAAATGCACAGGCTTTTTTGTCAGCTTTTTTCCTAACTCCTTTAGTTTGTGTTAAATGGCTAAATTGTGCTCATTTAAATTGAACTATATACATGAATGGTTAGATATAAACTCCTGTAAAGAATTCACACAATTATCCGGGCACGGCACCTGTAATCCCAGCATTCGGGATGCTGAGGCAGGAGGATTGTTGCAAGTTCGAGTCCTGCCTGGGCTACAAAGTGAGCTCAAGGCCAGCCTAAACTGTATAGCAAGACCCTGACTCAAATAGACAAAAAAAAAAAGTGTTGGGGGAGAGAAATCCCACCAATAAGAACATTCTCATTTTTAAAAAGTCATGGATTGCTGGACCTGGCAGTATGCTCTAACTCCAGAACTCTGAAAGGCTGAAGCAGAAAGATAAGTTCAAGCAAATCCTAGGCAATTTAGTGACTTAGACTGTTTCAAAATAAAAATTAATAAAGGGCTGAGGATGTAGCTAAATATGAAGGTCCTGGATTCAATTCTCAGTACCTCAAAAACAAAACAAAATGGGTCATAAATCTGGGCATAAAATTTATTTTAAATCCCAAAGGCTGATTCCACCTTCACTGAGATTTAACAATGAATATCTCAGTCATACAGTACAAGAGTATTTAATAAACATTGTAGAAAGACTAGTTGCAGATACAGAGCTATTGAGACCACAGAGCAATGGATCATATTTTTCTTTTGTTGAAAAGAGGGAAGATTGAAGATATTTACAATTTATGCACCTTAAAGAGTCCCATTAGCTAAATGGGGTGGAAGTTCTATAGAAATTAGATTTCTTGGTTTTTTTCTTTATTTCTTTTTTTTCTTTTGTGCAGGGTACTGAGTAGATGTTGGATTTCTTATGAAAGTTAATTTTCAAGTAGTCCATAATTTCATAAGCACCTGCCAAGTGTTATAACTACAACTTTGAGACTGTAGATGTCTATTATAGGAAATGGCATTGGGTAGCTCATTTGATACACACAAGTTTTGCGATCCCAGGACCTCATACACACTAGTAGGCTGTTGTACAGAATTTTACTGTTGCTTCAATGTTGTAAGCTTTGTGTGCCATAATAGGTAATATTTTCCCATCAGCAGTGTGTTTAATTAATTCACTGTGTCATCCTTGATCTTGTCAAACTGGCAGAACCAAACTTGGTCATATTAGGAAAGAATTTGTAGACTTTCCTTTTGCCAAAGTTCTTTATATGCTTTATATGCAAAATAATTGAATAAATCTAATAGATTTGTTTTAAAATGTCAGAAAATTTTTTCCCTTTATGGAACCAAAGTAAGGAAATCTAATTCATGTATTGAACTTTCACAGTCACTGCCAAACGCCTGTGGGAAAATGGAGTGTGACAGATCGCCCGCCTGGACACATTGATGTTCAGCCAAATTGCTTTTGGCAGATTGTGCCTGGGGATTGGATTGGCCAGGGAGGTAAAAGTGAAGTTATGTGGCTAAATTCCAAAAATTCCAGAGATTTGGGAAGGTGAGAAGACAGGCTGGCTGAGGCCATCACAGCTAATGAGGCCATCACAGACATAGGGAGAAGGGGGATTAACTCAGGCAACCATGCCAGATGCCCCTAAACCTCAGTATGCTCTGCAACCTACCCACCCCTCATCCTCACCATTATTGTGTCCCTCGCAGAGCAGTTGCAGGAATCGGAACAGGTCTTGTGTGAATTCATCATCTGCCATGACCTTCTCTCCTGGGAGAAAAGGAAGTGTCACATTTGCCAGGACACACCACACACATGCATACAACACGTGCACACTGCACTTACATGCACAAAGCAAGGGGTGCTGGGAGGAGCAGCCAACACTTAAAAGACACTATGAAGGCCATGAGCATCCATGACACCAGATGTCTCAATCTCAGACTCCATGGGATCAGAAGATAGAGACCTGCCAAGCCCTGAGTCATGAAGCTGGTGCTTCAAGTGTCTTTCTGCAGCATCAGTGTCCCTCTGATGCAATCTCTGGACAACACTTGGGAATGTCTGATGACATTCAGGCACATGGTATTGCCCTCAGCCCCCCTCCAGGCTGCAGGGGTTAATGGATTATATGGGTTGGGGTCACTTTCACACAAAGCCTCTGTGCAGGGGATGACTGGGCTGACATAAGAGATAGGAACTGAAAGCCAACCAATTGGCTCAGATGCCTCAACGCAGCCAATCAGGAGAAGCAGAGTAGTGTGGAAACATAGGCCAATCAGAACAAATAGGCATTTGAAAGAAGCTAATCATGGTTGGCTGTAAAGGAGAAGACTAGATCGTGAATGGACCAATCAGAGCAGGTGCATAGGAGGCACGCACACACCAATCAGAGTGGATGCTGGAGGCAGCCAATCTGATTGATGTAAGGGGACAACCATTGACCAATAAATCTGGGGTTGGGCCCACAGCGCAGAGAAGGTGGGAGTGGAGATCACCACATCCAGGGACTGTGAATCTGGGCCTGGCAATGTGAGAATTTCCAGCTAGAGGGAACCTTTGCTGTCTTCCCTAACCCACCCCAGGATGTTCACACTAAGCTGCATTCCTATCCCTTTTTAACATTTTAAAATTTTATTATTATTATTTTTAATTGCAAGATAGTTTTGCTACATCACTAAATTGCCCAGGCTAGGGTTGAACTTGCCATTCTCCTGCCTCAGGCTCCCAGAGTGCTGGAATTATAGATGTGTACTGCCAAACCTGGATCTTCTTTAACTTCTGTTTTACATATGGGGAAAATGAGGCTTAGAGAAACACACAGTTTCCAGTGGCTAATCTGGGGCCCAAATCTTGTTCACTGGATACTGATGATGGCAAGGCTTTCTAGTGGCGCTCTGCACCCCTGCAGGCTTCCTCCCTCCCCGGGATGTCCCAGATCCTCAGCCCCCAGGGGGAGGGGCAGCAGGGTTAGGAGGAAAGGGGCTGGCAGCAGCAAGCAATGGGGCGGGCGGGGTGGGGGGGAAATTACCGTTCTGGCGATTGATGACTGGGGCAGCCAACAGGATGGGAGGAGGAAGCAGGAGAAAAGAGGGCAAAAGAAACAGACAGCAAAACACACAGTGACACAGTCAGAGATAGAGACATAAACACACAGACAGACACAGCCGGCAGCGAGAAATATAGAACCTCCAGGAACAGAAGTAAGCAGATTAGCAAGGAAGACAGTGGGAAAGAAGGGCAAAGCAGAAGGGAAGGGAGAAGAGAAAAGAAAGAGAGAAAGGGCAGGTATAAGTGGAGAGGCAGGAGTGAGGATCAGATGGAAAGGTTAGACACGTCAAAACACAGCAAAGAGGAGACTCCATTAGCCCGGATTAGGGACATTAATGAGAGAACAGCAACCAAGGGTGTGAGACTGGGGTGTGGAAGGGCAGGGTCCCCATAGTGATGGGTGGGAGAACACGGGCCAGGTGACATTGGGGGTGGGGATGGTGAGGTGGGAGACCCTGGAGGAATGGGCAGGGCTGGGGGGGCGGTGTCACAACAGGAGCAGATCTCAGGAAGCTCCTACAAAAGGGCTGTTTTGGAAGAGGGGGTCTGGACAGTGGTGGTGGAGAGGGAGGTGGATCCTGAAGGAAGATGATGTCCCAGGGAGAGGGAAGCCCAGGAGAGGGCCTCACCGGTGCCATCCTCGTTCACCATGCCCAGCCCCTCTGCCTTGTTCTGTCTCTCGAAGGCATTGAGATCCAGGACGCTAAGAAGAAAGAGGAAGGTGAGAAAGATGTGACGAAGATGCCCTCTTCTCTTCCAGGGTCCGCCATGCCTAAGTCACAGGGCCACACCCAGCCTGATCCCCCACCCCACCTGCGCCTCTCTCACTCGGGCCCTGTGCAGTAAGGTAGGGCCAAGGCGAACCACGTGTGACCTGAAAGCATGAGACAACAGAAACCATCAACTAGCAAAGCTACAAAAGGTGGAAAATTTGGCTGACAGCAAGAGGCGAACAAAGGCAGAGCCTGATTAGCAGGGTCATCAGAGAGAACCCAGATTCCTGCTGTCCAGTTTTCCCCAAAGTTCGAAACAACCTTGTGACTCCATTTCCTACCCATACTACTGCACAACCTTTTATTTTATTTTATTTATTTGGTGCTGAGGATCAAACACAGGGCTTTCTGTATGCTAGACAAGTGCTCTACCCCTGAGTTCTAACCACCCCCATAATACAACTCTTTTTACTCACAGTGATCCTCTTGTCTCAGTCCCCCACAAGCATGTGCCACCAAGCCTGGCATCATACACCTCATTCTTAAAGCCTGTGACATTCTATCTCCCTGTTTTTCCATATTAACTTTTTGTTCATATTCTATTATTGAGAACCAAAATTCACTGAACTATATCCCCAACCCACTTTTTATTTTGGGATGGGGTCTCACTAAATTGCCCAGGCTGAGCTTGAACTTATGACCCTCCTGCCTCAGCCTTCCAAAGTGCTGGGACTATAGGTGTGCACCAGTACACTCAGCCACATGAATTGTTATAATAAACTCCATGGTGGCTGAGCGACTCTGAGTGGGTCTCTTCATGTATCAAGAGAACCAGAACTAGAAGAGGCACTGGGAGGTGGCATGTGAGCAAGAAGGATTTGAGAGCCTACCTGCATGTTTGCATCAGCGCCTGGATGCTCTGGAAGAAACCCACTTCCTTCTTGTCCTTCAGATAATCCAGCATTTTCTGCACAGGGAATGGCAGGGGCAGCCGGGAGTCACACCAGGAGCTTTGCATCTCCCGGGCCTCCTCCCGGGGCCCAGAGCCCCAGTCACCTGCTGTACATCAGCATTGCCTCCATTGAGGATGGAGATGCCCAGCTTCAGAGTGGAGGACACCATGGTGCCCGTCTCTCCTGGAGAGAGTTGGGGAGAGATAATTTGAAGAGCCATCCTGGCATCATGAGAGAAGGGGGTGAAAGTGTGCAAAGGCCTGCAGGCAGCATTGGGTACAACTGAGGGATGGTGGGAAATTGCAGGGCAAACGTAAAAGGGCAGCTTGGCAGGGCTTGGGTATGAGTGTAAACCCCGGGCATGCAGTGGTGGCAGAATGTGCCTGCTGGGCACACAGCAAACCACTACACCGAGGAGGGATAGGACAGAGTGGGTGCACTCCGAGCCTTGGATGCCTTGTGATGGACCATACCTTTGCAGGCGCTGATCATCTGGAGCACCATCTCAGCAGCACCCCGGTTATGCAGCCGAGACTGCTGGTATAGCAGCCTCTGCTTCTCCATTTCCTTCTCCTGAAACAGAGAGCAGATCATGAGCTGAGCTCCCTCCAGTGAGAAGCCTGGCCTTTCCCCGCCCTGGCCTGTTCCACTCTGGCCTTCCCTGATCCAGCCACTTCCTTGACACCTTCCTTTAATGCTGGGCTCCCTCCATCCCTGGGGACCTCCATCCTCAGTGTCTCTCTTGCACCTAGCACAGGGTTAGGCATGGAACAGGTGCAGGAATTGGGGCTGGGGATGAAGCAGCCTTAACCTGGAGCCACAGACCTCCAGGGGATCACTGGATAGAGCCTAGGCTATCTGTAAACTTGGATATGGAAAAAAGTTACATGCCCATGCACACGCTAGCCATGCATACTACTAGTGAGCTACACCCTATCCTTTTAAAAGTTTATTTTGGTCACCTTAAACCTGCAATCGTCCTGCAATAGCCTTCCAAGGAGCTGAGTGCTGAGCTGAGCTCCTTCCTTTGTGCCACCATGCCTGGCTGGAACACTTTCTGTTCTTCAACTGGCACATTCCTTTTAGCTTTCTGCTTGGACACCTCCTCCCCTGAGAAGCCCTCCGTAATGCCCTAGCCCAAGCTGGGCTCCTACACCCCACTGAGTTGCCCTTGTCCTGGCTCTGATCCCCCTGCCTGTACCCCACCACCACCACTACCATGGCAATGCTCTGTGCTGTTCTTGGTTGGTTTTATGTCTGGTTACTCAGTGGGCTGATCTGGTCACTGCTGTATCCCTGAGCACTGCTCTGTGATCACACACTGAACAGTAGGAGCTGACTAAAGCCAGAGGCTCCCAACCCTTCCTCCAGATCCTCCTGGTCCCACCTACCTCGAAGGACACCTCAACCTCCTCTTCTTGAGCTTCACCATTCTCCCCGCCCTCCTCGAGGTGGCAGCTCTGTGGAGGGGACCTCAGTTAAAGTTGGTGAACAAGCCGATACTCCTCCCACAGCCCTTGCAGTGAACAGGAAGTGTGGCCAGGAGCCAGGCAGGGCCTCACCTTCGCCATAATGTCAGCATATGCTATGTACAGGTAATCTTCATCTAGTTTGCTGAGAACGGAAGCAGGGAGAAGGTCAGTATGTAGTGAAGAGCACTTCCCATCTTTGTGTGTGGTCCTGGGAGTCAAACCTAGGGCTGCTCTACTGCTGAGCTCCATCCCTCTTTTAGTTTCTGATTTTGAGACAGGGTCTCACTAAGTCACTAAGTTGCCCAGGCTAACCTTGAACCTGTGATCCTTCCGCCTCGGCTTCCCAAAGTGCTGAAATTGCAGGCATGTGACTCCCCTAATCTTATAACAGCCCCTCCCCATGTTCAGCTGTGGGTGGACTGTACACTGTTCAGGTAGCAAGTGATGAAAGTGGAGCCAATTTATACTTTTGTCAGGTTGGCCACAGTGACAGCAAAGAGATGGCCAAGCAGCCCATGCTGGTCAGTGGAATTCATTCAGGGATTTTGTTGGAACCCCCTTCCCACTAGGGCTGCAAATGGAGTAATGGAAGATCAAAGCCTCCAGTGCCATCATAACATTGCCATCTTGGTTCTCTTAGCAACTGGCACCAATCACCTTCTATACAAATGGCTATACACTGCGTGTTTACGTTAGTCCCTGTTCTAAGTGATTTATATATAGTAACCAGTGCATTTTCCCAGTAACCCTATCAAGTGAGTACACTGTTATTCTCATTTTACAGGTGAGGGAACTGAGGTACAAAGATATTTTCCAGCCAGGGTTACAGAGCTTGTACTGATTCAATGTAGACAGTCTAACTCCAAAGTCATGAGTCACTCATAGAATGTAAAATAGGACACTCAACTTCCCAGTGTGCCTTGCAACTAGCAGTGGCAGGATGTCAGAACTTTGATATGAATAATGATATGTCAGAAGCCCTCCAGAGACAGCTTCCTTTGCTGTACAAAAAGCTCCAAGTTCTTGTTTAGAGGGATAAAAACCATTTCTGTTCTTTCTGTCCAGCATCTGATCACAATGCCTAGAAGCGTAGTGTCTATCTTGTGACCATAAGACACAAGCTAAGAACAGCAGACAGAAAAAAAGAGCATGAGGAGCCAGGTGTGGTGGCTCATGCCTGTAATCCCAGCACTCGGGAGGCTGAGGCAGGAGGATCATTGCAAGTTCGAGACCAGCCTGTGCTCCCAAGTGAGCTCAAGGCCAGCCTGAACTGCATAGGAGACCCTGTCTCAAAAAGAAAAAAAAAAAAAAGAGCATGGGGTCCTCATCAGTCACCATGTCATTGTCTAGCCGCACATTATCTAGCTCCTGACTTCGCAATGTGCAGAAAACAATTCCTTGTGCCTCTATTTCCTCATTCACAAGGAGTTGACAATAATGTTTGCTTCATGGCCTGATGATTAAGTCAAGTGTTTTGCAGAGTGCCTGATATAATAAACACTTCATAAGCTGGGCATGGTGGCTCACGCCTGTAATCCCAGCACTCAGGAGGCTGAGGCAGGAGGATCGTTGCAAATTTGCCAGCGTGGGCTCCAAAGTGAGCTCAAGGCCAGCCTGAACTGCATAGTGAGACCCTGTCTCAAAAAGACAAAAAATAAGAATAAAAATAAAAATAAACACTTCACAGATGGTGCCTATAATTATTATCATCATTCTAAATAGCAGAAATATCTCTATTATTATTTATTCTGAAGATCTCCTTTAGCTTGTTTGAAAGCTTGAAATAAACTAGAGAAAGTCACTACCGTCATCTGTTGGAAATTTATCATAGATATTGATTTCCCCCTAACATCGTAACTTTGCCTAGGCACATTTCCTTCAGAAAAGCCTGATAAATAAATCTACACAGCGATGAGACCCCGCAGCGGAGGTGCTCTTGTGAAGTGTTCAGTCTGTACAACAGTACAGGCGGCTCTGCCTGTCCTCGCAAAGTGACATGAGAATGTTAGCCATTCTGGAATTTTTTCCCAAGACGGGTTGGGGATGGGGACTTCTGACTGGGAAGGGTTCTCACCTCTTTTCAGTCAGGGCAGTGCGGCTAAAGTGCAGGACCAGCTGGTGCAGGGGGTCTGGCTTTTTCTCCTCCACTTCCTCTTCTTCTTCATCTTGCTCCCCAGCTTTCTGGGAGAAAAGGTGGGACTTGAGGGAGTGGTTTTTAGAGTTTTCTCCTGTCTCCCTCCCGGAGCCCTGATGGGCTGGAGAGGTGTTTTTCTTTTTCTGTATCCTGCCTCGTTTGTTGTTGATGTTGTTGTTTTGTTTGGCACTGATTTTTTTTTCTCGAACTAGGGATCAAACTCACAACCTCAAGCTTGCCAGGCAGCTGTTTATGTCACTGAGCTAAATCCCCGTCCCTTGGCATTGGTATTGAACACAGGGCTTTCTTACTGGGATATATCCTGAGCTCTTTCATATTTTTTATTTTTGAGACAGATTCTCAATAAATCCCTAAGTTGCCCAGGCTGGGCTTAAACTTGCAATCCTCCTGCCTCAGCCTCCTAGAGTGCTGTGATTACTGGTGTGTACCACCATGCTTGCCTCTGTGCCCTGTACTCCCCAAGCCAGGACTCCCATTTCTATAACTCTTAATGAGGAGGGCGCCCCCTCCAGCCTTTCTCCCACCTCCAGGCAGGCCCCAGCTCACTGAAAGGTCATCTATCATGCGGTCCTCAAAACTGTGGTCCTCACTCAGGAGCCAGCCAGCTTTGTAGCTCTCCAGAAACATGTTACATGCCCGGTGTCTGCAGAGCAAAAGTCTAGGTGTCACGAAGATCCTTCCTTCAAGCCCCACTTACCTCCCACGCACCCGCCACCCCCAAACCTTAGCAAGACCCTCCCCCACCCTGTTGGCCCTCCAGCCTGTTGGCCCTGCAGCTACCCTTCCTCCACGGCCCCTGGAGCCTCCCGCCTCCCTGGGGCCTTACGTGGGCAGGTTGTATAGAGGTGTCATGCGGAAACAGGCCACGACTGCCCGCCGACGCTGCTTGGACAAGAGCTTGTGCCACACAGCCTTCTTGGACTTGTAAGGGTGCTCGGTCTGTGGGAAGAGACAGTCATCATGCCTCTAGATTCCAACTCTGGTCTGGTTCCCAGTCCCAGCCCTGGGTGGACCTCGGATGTGTGCCCAGGTCGGTATGCCGATCCGCAGAAAGAATACCTTGATTCCAACACAGCCAAGATTCTACCTCCACCTGCAGACCTAAATTTCCATCCTTGGCCCCGGGCTCAGACTCCAGGTATCTCCAGGAAGCCCCACTTTTAATCCCAAAATTTCTGCCTCGCCCGCAGGCCCACCCAAAGACTAGATAAAGCACCAAGTACCCCCACTTCCTTTCATTCAAATTTCCATCCTGAGCCCCGTCTTACACCCTACCCCACTCAGACTCAATAGTCGTCCAGCTTCGGCCAATCAGTAACAAGAGCGCTGGGGCCCCGCCCACCTGGTCCAGGTGGTAGAGCACTGCAGACACTTCCTGGACTCTTCGCACAATTTTCTCGGGGTTATCGGCGTCTTCTTCGCGGCCCGGGACGCCCCAGTATAGAGCCATCTGCCAGCGCAGAGACGGGGAGCCCTCGACCTGAGGGAAGAAACGATGCCCAGCGTGAGGGCATCTCCTGTTCGCTGAGAACTCTCCCAGTCCCCGCAGTATCGGCCTTCCTGTCCATCCCCTTTCCATACTTGGTGAGGGAAAGTTGCCTAGTACATGTGAAATGCTCCACGCTCACTGTTATTATGGTAGTCTTCTGGGAAGACCCTTTGGGTTGCAGATTAAAGGGACTTACTTTTCCCTGAAGGTTAAGGTTGTTTTGCAGGAATTCCCGGACCTCCTCATCTGTGTCTTTCTGCAAAGACATGGCCCTCTGGGTCACATGAGAGGTCCCAACCTTCCCTGTGACCCACAGTCTTCTTCTAGGCCGCCCCCCCCCCCCCCCCGCCCAGCGACATGTGTGTGTGTGTGTGTGTGTGTGTGTGTGTGTGTGTGTGTGCGCGCGCGCGCGTGTAGAGAAGACTTAGGGGAAACTGAAAGGATCTACAAAAGTGGGCAGTGGTCAGAACGGGTCCTAGAGGGATAAGGAAGTGCCAGAGGCACCTTGAAGGCACCATGTAGGGGTTGGAAAGGAGAGGATCTTTAAGGGTCAGGCAAGAGCAAGGAGGGATATCCAAGGAAAGAGAAGGTTGGAGGCGCTATGAAGAGAATTGGCAAGGTCAGCAGAGGTCACAGGGGGTCAGGCAGGTCAATCAAGTCACTGGCTAACAGGGCCTGGAGTGTTCAGGTAATCAGGGTGGGGATTGCTTAGGGTCCCAGGAGAGGGAGTCCTCAAGGAACAAAATAAGAACTCTAGAGGACTCTTTGGGGTCCTCCGAGCAACTTGAGCTCCTAAAGGAAAACAGCCTTCAGAGTCCCAGGAAATGGGTCCTTGTGACACCAGGGCCAGTCATGGTCCTTAAGGCCCAAGGGAATTTCATAGGTTGTCAGTGCTTAGCAGAGTCCTGGGGAGGGTTACAGGAGTCTAGGGCAGAATCCAAGAGGTACTCAAAGGGTTCCTGAGGCTAAGAAGGATCTGGGGCACCCTGTCCTTGCCATTTCATAAGGAGCTGAATAGGGTATGGATTCCTTGGGGTCCCAGAAAGCTTGAGAGGTTCTGGGGGGCTGCAATCTCCAGGTTCCTTGAGGCTTCAGAGGTTTAGGTGTGTTCCTGGAGACAGGGCCATTGGGACTGGAATCCCAGGGGGTTATTTAGGGTCCCAGAGGCTCACTGTACCCTACAGTCCTTGGAAGCTGCCTAGTGTCAACCAACCTCAAGTAGAGGGGTCAGCAGGGTCCGAAGGCTAGAAGAGGTGAGCTGGAAGGCTCAGTGGGAATGCAAGACACTCAGTCCTGAGCTATGGGGAAGGGCAGGGACTCATGAGCTCAGCCAGTTCCCGAGGGTTGGGGTGGTCTTGGTGGAGAGCTCAAAGGAGTCTCAGAGAGATTCCTGGTGACCTGGGGGTATCCTCAGGATCTCAGCAGGCTTGGTATGGGACTGGAGGGGAGTCAGTGGGTCCTGCAGAGCTCATTAGAGTCCCAGGGTCTTACTAGCATTTTGGGGCTTCAGAGGGTTCCAGTTAAGAGGGACTGTGGGGCCCTGACAGTGTCTTGAGTGGGGTCCTCATGGTCCTAGGGGTGGGCAGGGAACTCCAGTGAGTTCAGTTGGGTGCTAGAGCAGGAGTTCCAGGGTCCTAAGGGACTCTATGTGACTCTAGGGGTTCAGGGAGTTGCTGGGCAGGGCTGAATAAGCACCAGGGCATAGCGGCCCTTGGCCAGTGTGATGAGCTCCTGGTCAGTGGGCGCACACATGTTCAGACCGATGGGCAGCATCTTCTTGAGTGTGGCAACAATCAGGGATGTCTGCACAGAGTACCGGTCCCCCCGGCGCTTCTTCTTGGTGCGTTCCTGGTCCGAGCCACCTGACTGTGGAGACACAGGGCTGAGTGCCTGCCTAAGAACTAGCTCCCTGACCCAGCCCAACCTGAAGCACTGTTCACACTCCAGCCCCAGGCACCCCTTTCCAACCTCAGAACACACCAGTCTACCTGCCCCTGCTGGTCCTGCAACTGTGACCCCCAACCCAGACTGGACAACCCCAGGCTCTACCCCACATCCCACATCTCAATAGCTAACTCAAGCCTTTTGGATCATTCTCATTTCTGGGTCTTAACCTCTGGAGGTATCTCCCAGAACTCCTTATCAAGTCCCAGTATGGTCCCCCACTCTGACATGCACAGCCGCACACTTTATATCCCAAGATTGAGTTCCCAAGAATAAAATGAAGATACAGACCCACAAAGAATCTCAAGAGACAAGAGAAGTTGGAAGAGGAGAGACACAGATTGGTACAAAGAAATGAAGAGACAAAAGATACAAGAAAGTTCCAGAAAGATCTGGAAGCGAAGACATGGGGCACAGAGTTCCACAGCCATGTTCTGGAGCCTTGGGTGCAGACCCCTGGCCAGGGCCAATCCGTCATGCCAAACAGAAGCCCAGTGACAAAGCTGCGGCCAGAACCACATCCACGCTGGCTGGCAGTATTGAGCATGACCCAGTGCCAAGCACTACTGAAGGCCACACATGCAGCATCTCGCAGAATCCTCAAAGACATGTGGGCCCAGGGGCCCTTGTCTGGATGCCGTCGGCAGCTCAGAAGGGTGCACTTGGTCACACAGCTGACCACCATCTCAGGATTGTAACCCAAGTCTGTCTGATTCCAGCGCCCAAGGCTTCACCACTGCATGTCAAGACTGCTGCCTCCTCCCCAACCATGCACCTTTGCACCCCATTCCTCTTGACTTCACCCCACAATGCTTTGGGGAAGCTGAGAGTTTTTTGTTTTTGTTTTTTGTTTTTGGTAACAAAAACCAAAAAAAAAAAAAGAAAAAGAAAAATCAACAGGTTGCCAGCTGAGGACTGGGAAGGGAATGGATGTTTCGGGAGGAGAAGAAAAGGATGGGAACCTAAGAATACAGGGCAGGGAACAGGAACAGGAGAGTGGGGGTGGGGTTTTGGAGGGAAACGGATATTAGCCAAGAGCCATGCAGAAGGTCCCAGATGTGGGGCTGACCTGTACGTCTCCCGCCTGCGTCATTGGGTCACAGACAGAGACAAGAAGGGTTACCCGAGCCCCACAGAGAACCCCAGACCCAACTCCACGCTGGCAACACCCCCACTCCTCTGACCATTCTGCCACCCATCCCTTGGCTGGCCATTTGCAGATCTTGGGTGGGGAGGGTAGGTTTGTTCCTTATGACCCCAAAGAGGGAAGGTCTAGGATGAGGGGAGGGGAAAGGGAGGACAATGGGGTAAGGAGAGCAGGAAAGAAATGGGAGACAGGGAGAGGGAGAGGACAAAAACCAGCTCTGAGAACTCCAGGGGATGTGACTGGCAAAGTTCAGGCTGTTTGGGTGGGTCGGGGGTCAGAGAGGAATCCCTGGGGGTGTTCCCTACCTCCCTCTAAGTCCTCCTCTCAGAAGAAAGCACCCACCTTGGCCATTTTGCTCTTGCTGTCAGCAGTCAGAAAGGACATGTTGTTGATCTCATTCTGGACCACAAAGTTCTGCTCTTCACGCTTGAAGTTCTGGAGGGGAGGCAGTGTTGAGGGTCAGCGGGGTGAAGGAGAGAGGCCACCTGTGGACAGCAGCTTCTCTGCTCATGGAGAGGACAGAGGCACCGGCAGGGACTCACGTGGGACTTGGACCAGTAGATGAAGATCTCGCCCACCATCCTGAACAGTTCCTCGGCGTTGGGGTTGGGTTCTGTCAGCCATTGCGCCCTGGGGTCAGTGAAGGGACTGGTGAGGGGGCTGGATCCCCCGGAAGGGGGCACCCAGAGAGCTTGGAGAGGGCAGGGAACCAGACTCCATCCAGAGATGGAATTTTCTATTGGAATCCAGCCATTCTGATAAACATTCAATATTTTATTGACTAAACCTCCTCTCAAATTTTTTCCTGTTTAACCTTTTTATGGAAATAAGAGTATACAGATAACAAAATATCAACTTGCTTAATTATCACAAAATGAACACACAGGTATAACTGGCATCCAAGGAGAACTTTTCTGGGCCCTCGCATCCCATTCCCACCACTCCCTTTCTTTCCCCCGAAAAATGACCCTCATCTGGTCGTGCATTTTTTTCATGCATTATTTTTACCATTTCATAAACATCACATAGACTCTAGACATAGGTACTCTATTTTTTCTGGATTCATTGAACCTGATGTTTGTGAGACTCATCCATATTGTTAGGTGTCACAATTTGGTCACTTGCACTGCCACGTACTATTCTGCTGTATGAATGGAACACAATTTGTTCCCTGCCTTTGACCCAGCACTCCCACCCCTAGAACTCTACTATAGCAAAACCCGCTTGGGAGCACAGCAATGGGTGTGCAGCACAGGTCTGCAACATTGTCGGTCACAGAGAAATCAGAAATAACCTAAGCAATCCACCCAGAGAAGACTGGCAAATAGCAAGCTACATGCAGCTACAGAAAATGTCACACAACCACCATGACAAAAAAGGAGGATCCATGCAGTTGTCCCCCCCTTATCAGTGGGGGGTGTGTCTCAAAGTCCCCAGTGAATGCCCCAAGCCATGGGAAGTGTCATGCCTTAGATACAGCTCGCTAAGGCCAATACTGTGGCCCGAACATGGGGTGTCAAGCAACAGAAGTGAGCAAATCTAAGGGGGCTGGATTTTGCTGGGCCAAGATGAGGAAAGTCCGAAGGGATAAGAAGGAAGGAGCAGAGGCTGGGTGGGTCAGCCAGGGGTTGGGAAGCAGATACAGGTTAGGTTGAGGGATGGCCCAGTGGCTCTGGGAAAGCACAGTCCAGATGCCTTACATGAGGACAGGCTGGGGACTGCTGACCTGTTGTTGTCCACGTATCGGATAAGCAGTGGGTAGAGGGCATATAGGTCCCGGCAGAGCACAGAGAACTCGTCCCGCACCAGGAGCTCGCCCTCCTCGGCTTCAGCTTTGGCCTCCAGACGAAGCTGCTCCTCCTCAGCCACCACCTTCCCAGCCCGCTTGCGCAGCCGCCCGATGGTGGGGATGAAATGGGAGCGCAGGAGCTCAGGCCGGGCACGGCTCACGATGGGTTGGGCAAATACTGCAGGACCGCAGGGCAGGAGTCACTGGTTCCTGACCTCTGACCTTTGACCCCCCTCACATCTGGTATACTCCTTGATCTTCATGCCCAACCCATGACTGCCAATCTATACCTCTGATCCGGCAACGGTCATGTGACCCCCGCCTGACTCTAGCCTCTGACCCTACATCCTCCTCTGATCCCACTCTTGACCTTGGTCCTGCCCCCCAAACTCTGATCCTAACCACAGTCTCTGAACTCAACCCATAACCCAGGCCTATCCTGTGACCCCAGCCTGTCATAGTCTCTGACCTCTGAGCCCCAACACCTGAATCCTAATCTGCTCTCTTACCCTTAAGTAGTCTGACGCTGACTCCACGCCTCAGCTTCTGACCTGGCCTTGCCAGATCCTGACCTTATTGTGTAATTTTTCATTCTGACCCTGATTTCTTAGCTCAGCCCCTGACCTCTGATCCGATCTCTGCTGCCACTCCTGATTCCCAGCCTGACTCCAGGCTAAAGCCTGATTTCTGACAGGAACTTTGTTTTCCTTTTCTTTTTCCTGCTAAGTTTAAGGGCTAGTTTAAGCCCAGGCTGGCCTTAAACTTGCGAATCCCAACAGTTTAAAGACCTATTTCCTGACCTCTGGCCCAGAACCCTAAATGTCCTGACCTGATCTCTAATGCCTCCTCTGCTCTTTTGCATAAGGAACTCAGGCTTCTGACTCAACTGTGAACCTCAGACCTAACCCTCTGCAAGGCTCCAGAAATTCACAGCCCATCCCAGAGGACTCCCAGCACCTATCCATCCACCCAGAGCCCTGTGATGCTGATTCTGACCCCAGGAAGACCTACCCTTGGACCCTCCTCAACTCCCAGGAGACCATGGACTCCCTCTGCTACCATCTGATCCAAGGCCCCCAGAAGCCCAGGGCCCCCACCCACCAGCAAGCCGCTTCATCCAGGAGGCCTCGTCAATGCCCAAGTTGTTGACGATGATTCGCAAGATATTCCCCAGCAAGGAGTTGAGGTGGTCAGAGGTGACAGCTGTGCAGGGTGGGGGGGCGCCAGCAGGCAGGGCAGGTGGGGGTGCCTCGGGCCCGCGCTCCCACCAGCGGGGCAGGTAGCTGCACAGCATGGGCAGTGTGATCTCAATGACGTGTGGCATCTCTGTGTAGCGGGCCCCTGACTCAGCCAGGCCCCCAATGTCTGCCATGAGCCGCTCCAGGACTGGGATGTCAGGACACATCTCCTCCACGCTGTTGGGGAGCCCCAGGACTGGGGGTGTAGGGAAAGGTCAGAGCATGCCAACCCATCACCCCAGGCCTCGGGGCCCTGACCCTAAACTAACTAGTCTCCCAGACCCCACTCTTCTGACCGCACCTCAACCCAGCCATGGTTGGCAACCCTGACACTGAAACTCAGTGGCCCCCCTAAACCCTTCATATCCCCAGGTCCATCTGTCCCCTGAGACTGCACTCAAATCCATCTCCCCTCTAGAAACCTTTGCTCCTATAATCTCACACACTCCACCCTGCTGTGTAGCAACTGCAAAAGGGACCCTTTCTCACGGGCAGTTCTGCCTTCTCTCTGAATCCCATGTCCCGATTTTGTGCCTTGAACATGAAATCCATCACTCCCTGGTTGTCCTACTGAGGGCCAGGCCCTGGGTGTTGGGAGCACACCAGTGACTAAAGGGACATTTCCTGGCCAAAGCTTTTTTTCCCTAAGACCCACATCTCTATCTACTCCCTGTCTCCAACTGGGAACTCAAGAGATTTCTGTCCATTCTGTCTGGTCACTGCTAAATCCCAGGACAGTTCATAGAGGTGCTCCATAGATGTTTGTTGAATGAATAATGAGTGAATGAATGAATGGACCCATGCTTTCCCTAATCCTCCCGCATCCAAGTAGCCCTCAATCAAAAATCCCAGACTCTGGCAAGTCCCTGGGTCCTCAAGCTTCACAGTGCCCTCACATGTTATTACCTCCAAAACGCCTCCAAGGCCACCCCTGACCTCACTGTCTCCATGTAGCCGCCATAACCCCAAATTGGGATTTCCATCTATGGAGCACCTGCACCCTAGGCGATCCTCAGCCCCTCACAGCCCAGATTTGAGGGCTGCATTATCCCCAAGGGGAGTCCTCCCTGGGCCCTGTGCTCGGCAGGATGTGACCCCAAACAGCTCCAGCCCCGCATGACTCACTGGCCCGCTCTCGGGGAGACTTGGTGGTGTAGACGGAACAGGCATTGTACTCATTCAGCTGTGGTTCCAGGAATGCCACTGGCATGGCTGCTGCCAGGCGGGCCAGGCACTCGCCGAGGGCTGGCCGCAGCCTATAAAAAGTTTACCTTTCCTGTAAATTATCCTCCGTTTGGGTCCTGAGTCCCAGCCCCATCACAGCTAGATGGCGCCCCTCCCGCTCTCCCAGAGTCCTCTGGGGGCAGAGCGCTGGCTATCGGGGCTCTGTGACCTTCTGTGCTGTTTGAAATGATCCTCCCCAGTCCTTCCCCTGGTTCCAAGCCCTGTCCTGTTTCTGTGTGTCCCCAGAGAGAAGCAACCTGGCATCCTGGCCAGCAAGTTTCGGGCTCCCACCTGATCCCCAGACTCGGTGGCTTCCACCGACCTTCCCCGGAGCGCCCTCACGTGGCAGCCGTGGGGAAATGCAGCTGCCCCAGGATTTTGGCAGTTTTAAATCCGAACCCTCTTTCTTCTCACCTCCCCAGCCCTGTGTCCGTCTTTCCTTACTTTTCCACGTAGGGGTTCCTGGTAGTTCCCAGAGAGTAGATGCTGCACAGCGTTCGGTAGCAAGAAACCTGGACGTCATCCACTGAGGGAGAGAGAGAGGGTGAGGGTCTGGGATGCGCCCACCGTGCAGCTCCTCCTACTCATCGCCCTCGTCTCAAGTAAATCAGCAAGGGGTGAGGGCAGGGCCGTGGAGCCACGATGCCATTGTGACACAAACAAGGCCCAAGTCTGTCTTAGCCTCAGTTTCCCTACCTGCAAACGGGAATGATTATAATACTTCCCGGTGGAGAGGTTGTGAGCAGTAAATGAGTTAATTATGGATGCACAGTTAGAACAGGGCATACAGCAGGCACTCAATAAAGGCTACTGTTTTTTCCCTTGGATTTCTTTGATAAAAGAAACTGGCAATTCCTCCAGAAAAATGCAGACATATACAATCCTGACTACACTTTCCGGTTGTCTTCACACCTCCCAGAAAGCCAAATTAAGACCCTCACTGACTTCACAAATGTTCTAAGGCAAAAAATAGGCAGGGGCTATTCTAGATTTAAAAGTGCAGCACAGCACCTGCCTGGCAAGTGCAAGGTCCTGAGTTTGAGTCCCAGAACCACCCCACTTCCCCACCACAAGAGAGAGAGAGAGAGAGAGAGAGAGAGAGACAGAGAGACAGAGAGACAGAGAGAGAGAGAGAGAGAGAGAGAGACAGAGACAGAGAGACAGAGACAGAGAGACAGAGAGAGAGAGAGAGAGAGAGAGAGAGAGAGAGAGACTATGGAGACGTAATCAAATGTAACTGGAGCTGTTGACAGTGTTGGGGACCACAAATTCACAATGGTTAATTTTGCATACTTTCCTAAGAGATAAGTGGAGGCTTACGATCATCAGTATCACTCTTTTGAGATTTCCCATTAACTTTTTAGGGTTAGGCCATCCTCTCCTACCAAGACCAAACTAAAATCACTAAGATTAAAAACACTCCAGGGAAAGATCCTTCTGTGCCTGGGACCATCTCTGCCCTCTCGAGTCATCCAGGGTTATCTGATCAACCTCTGAGTCCTCCACTGATCTTGAATCGTCCAGCTAGTCCTTCCTATCACTGTGTATACCCAGTAAGTAGCAGCTGGCTTGGAGTGTCTTTGTCTCCTTCCATCGTAAGGCACTAACTTCCCAGCCTCCCTTCATGTATTATTAAATTTGTCTGTTTCTTTCTTTTTTTTTTTTCAATTGTTCTAGTCATCTTCAAAAATTTGTCTGTTTCTTAATTCATTCTTTTTCTGTACCCCTAATACAAGCAGTTGGGAGACTTGGCCAGGTCCCTGGTAGATAGGATTCTGAGTTTTTGTTTGTTTGTTAGATCAAAGACAAACTGGGCATAATGGTGAATGTCTGATATTCCAGTTACTCAGGAGGCTGAGACAGGAGGGTCACCTAAGCCCAGGACTTTGAGACCAGCCAGGGCAACATATGAAGGCCCATCTCTAAAATAAAAACAGATCAGAATAAAACAAAAAGAAAAACAAATCAGACATTCTCTGGGCAATGAGGGGGACTCAATATAGTCAGGCGAGTTGTGATGGTGACATTGTGGTTGTATGAGAGAAGGTTCCAGTTCTAGGAGGTCCAGCCCAAACGTTTAGGGACAAGGGGCTCATGAGGGGTGGGGCTATGTCTTATATTCAAAAACTTGACAAAAATTTCATAAATACTTTCATCCATAGAGTAAAAAGTAAAGCAAATGGAAAAATCATTAACAATTCTTTCCTTTTGAGTGTGTGTGTGTGTGTGTGTGTGTGTGTGTGTGTGTCTGTGTATGGGATTAGAAACAAGCACTACCACACCTGGCAATAGAGTCTAATCTCAAATAAACAATAAGCTCAGAGAGGACCTCACTATCCCTTGGTCCCCATGGCCCACTGACCTCATGATGGTCACCCTCCCATGGGTGCCCCCTAGAAGCCTCACAACTACACTGTCCCAAACCAACTTCAGCATCTTCCCCAAACTACTTATCCCTATCTTGCAGAGGCCTCACTGCCCGCAGGTCCCCGGACGCAGGCTTCATTCTGGACTCTGCCCTTTTCCAACCACCCTCTCCCTTCCCCTCTTGCTTTCTGCTGACTCTGCCTGGTCCTGGCCACGTTTCAGAAGTCTCTTTTGGGTACCTGTCCACACAATGTCATGTTTTGTGTTTTCGGTGTCTCTGCAACGTCCCACTGCATGTCACATGCTCTGTGCCCTACATGGAGCTCCAGGCAGGGTCGCACTCCATACATGTCATGTGGTAAGGTCAACACGGTAGACCCTGCTCTCTGACTCCAATGCTCAGCTCCTACCTTCCTCCTGTTCTTTTCTTCTTTCTAGTAGTAGACCTGGCCCAGTATTTAGCCCAACACGTGACCTTTCAGAGCAAAAACTCCCTTCTCACTTGTCTTGCAGATACATAGGGCCATGTGCTAAGTTCTGGCCAATGGATATAAGCAGAAGTGACAGAGCCATATCTAGGTTGTCTCTTAAAGGAACACAAGTGCCCTCTTCTGCCTTTTCTCCTCTCCCAGCACCCAGAAGAAACAGACAGTGGTGAATCCTCTTGGATCACATGAGTAAAGGCAATGGTTCATCAATAGTAGAGCAACAAGACAGAGGGAACCTGGGTTTCTGACTCTGGCTCACTTACAAATGGATGGCTGCACAATGAAGAAGGAAACTTTCAGTTCGTTTGGGCTACAGACTTAGGGTCTTTGGTCCAAGCTGCGGAACTCATATCCTAATGAAGTCCCTGTTAGCTTCACTCATGGACAGAGAGCCACCACTCACAGAGCTCCCCATCCCCACACTCCGGCCCAGGAGCCCTTACGGATGACGTCGTCTCCAAACTGGTGCTGGGCGATGTGCTGGAAGAGGGTGGTAAGGACAGGCAGCAGGGCCACCGTGGTGTAGGTGAGGTTCTGGCCCACGCCTTTCACCTGCGTGCGTGCCTGGGACACCTTGCCAAGCCGCAAGTTCTCCACCATCTTCTCGATGTCCTCTGAGGCACTCTCAAAGAAGGAGCGGAGGCCAGCCTTCACGATCTCGGGGCCTGACTTCATCACCGTCCTGGGAGGGAAGCGGGGAGACACCCAAGTGGAGGGGCTCACTGTGGGGAATCTAGGACTGAGGCTGAGGCCACAAACAGCGTAGGGGTGGTCCTACCTGGCATCTAGGGAGCGTGCCAGGATGTGGAGACAGTTGACCACAGCAGGGGCATCGGTCCCTGGGAGTAGGACATGGGCTGGGGTGAAGGAAGGGCCAAAGGACTGCCCCTTCTCTCCCTGTCGGCATTTCCTGGCAGGGTTAGTGTGCTGCCTGCCCCTCCCCACACACCACCTCGCAGTCCTGACCACTCTGCTGTCCTCCATTCCAGCTCTGACCTGTCTAGAGACAGTGGAGCGGGAGCCCCACAAGGGCAGACCCAGGGCTTCTCAGTCCCTGCCTTGCCCCCAGGGCCACCAACCCGTGGCCAGATCCCCATAAAGAACACAAGGAGAACTGTTCAAATTAAGGCTGCAGCTGGGAAAATCGTTCCTCCTGCTGGGATTGGAGATAAGGAAGAGAGAGGTGAGGCGGGAAGGCTGGGAACAGCACTACTTACCAAAGAGAGAGACTCGGTGGCGGACCAGAGCCGCAAGTTTGCAGAAGAGGCTAAAGAGAAAAAGGGACAGGACAGGGAAGGGGGAGTGAGGAGACCGAGGAGAGGAGGGCAGTGGTGACACGAAGGTGTCAGGGAGAGAAAGGACGGGGAGAGAGGGCAGAAGACAGAATCAGGGGGAGAAAGGATGGGGTGTTGTACTCTAACAAAACCTGTAACACGGGCTTACTGTATGTGCTTTCCTTCTTATGTCTTTGGGTGACCTAATTGATATGTTAATGAATGCTCTTCTCTGTAAGGAATTGTAAAACCTTACCTAATTGATATGTTAACCATTGTTGCCCCTACAAACAACAGAAGTAGTGCTAAAACAAGCTAACGAGGGTTGTTAATCACTGTTAGGTGCCTCTATTCTCCGCTAAAGAGCTAAAGAAAACCAGGATGGCCCTCTAATTTACACTTGTTTGAAGTAACTTGCTTGTGTGCAGGGAGATTTGCTTATTAGCATAACCCTTTACCTGACCTTGATCCCCCTCCCCAGAAAGAAAGAAAAACATAACCTCCGTTTTCTGTTCTGTATGGCGCCTTATTGCCTCCCTCTCCCCGCACCTATCTATCTAGGCTAGGCCATAAAGATTTTGGGTTTCTGGTGACTTCTTCCTGACCCGGTGGTGGTCTGTCATAAAATGTGCCTTTGCTTCAAAGAAATTACAGGAAAATGTTGTGGCTTAACCCTAATGCACCAAAAGGGTTAAGTTCCATATCCTTGTGAAGGCTTAAGTTTCAGCTTTTTGTAACTTTCGACCCCTTCCCACCTGTTAGTGTTAATGAGCTGTCCTGAGATAATTAACTTTCTACTGTCTTCTCCAAATGATATTGCAGATGTGCTATTCTAAGATAATGTTTATCTGCAGGATGGGAGTAACTTGAGAGGCACTTAAGGCTCCCGAGGTTGTCAGAACTAAGTGGACAGCTATACAGTTTCCAGATTCGGGTCAACAAGTTTGATGGCTCTGTGGGTTTCTTTGTTTCTCCCCCACCCCCTGTTCCTCCAGCCTCTTTTTAAAGTCCTCCCTTCAGTCTCTGGCATGCAGTCTCCAAATTGGCTCCTGGAGACTCGTCACCAGGCCTGGCCTAATAAAGCCTTGGCTCCCTAAATTTCAGTCTCTTGTTTCTCTTGATTTTATACCAGGGTCCGAATTATTACAGAGGGGGAGGAGGACAGACAATAAGCAAACTGGAAAGTCACAGGCTATAACTGGCAAGTGGATGCCAGGGGTGTGTCTGCCTTTTGGTCAGGGTAACCAATTTGCCCCAGTTTATTTGAGGGTCCTCCATCTTGGGAAACCCTTCGGTCCCAGGCAAACCAGGACAGTTGGTCACCCTATCCCTCCCACCACCTCTGCAGGTAGAGGATAGAGCCCCCAAGGTCCAAGGTTAGGAGTAAGTGTCCCCAGATTACAATCCTGTGTGGTAGGGGGCTGGGTCAAGGTCACAGGTGGCCTACCTAGTGATCATTTCCTTCTCCTTGTTGGAGGCATGGCCACCACTGCCCAGCACTTTGGCTGGTGTGGACAGGAAATAGAGGCAGTGGTTGGTGAAGTACTGATTGATCAAAGGAAGCAGGATCTGGAGATGGGAGAAGGTGATAGGGGGTAAACTGAGGGGTGGAGAAACCCCATCTTGTCCTCTGTCCCTTCCAGCTTCTGAGCCCATCTCTTACCTTAGCAAAGAATTTAATCTCCTGTTCATGTGGGGATTTTTCCACACGTCCACTGCTGACCACAGCCTCTGTAGGGGAGGCCAGACAGAGGTCATGGTGGGTTCAAGACTGGGGAAGCCAGCATGTCCTGATGGCAGGGACGCTGATGGCAGAGTTAGGAAATGATGGGTGATAACGCCAGGTGTGGTGCTGCACACCTGTAATCCCAGCACTCCAGAGGCGGAGACTGAGGCAAGAGGACTGCAAGATGCACGCAGCCCAGCCTGGGAAACTAGCAACTTAGCGGGACTCCGTCTCAAAATTTAAAAATTTTAAAAGGGTTAAGGGTTTTAAAAGGGTTCAGTGCAAAAGACCTGGGTTCAATCCTCAGTACAAAAAAAATTCAATTTCAAACAATAATAGTGGCCGGGCATGGTGGCTCAAGCCTGTAATCCCAGCACTGGGGAGGCTGGGCGGGAGGATCATTGTGAGTTCGAGACCAGCCTGTGCTACAAAGTGAGCTCAAGGCCAGCCTGAACTACATAGCAAGACTCCATCTCAAAAAAGACAAAAAAAAAAACAAAACAAAAACAAAAAAAACAAGCAAAGAAAAGAAAATAGAAAAAAAAACAATAATAGTGATAGTAATACAGTTATTAATTTAATACTGCCTCCAGTTTTTTTTTTTTTTTTTGGTCTTTTCCCTTTTTATCGGTACCAGGAATTGAACTCACGACTGCCTGCTTGCAAGGCAGGCGCTTATGCCGCTGAGCTAAATCCCCAGCCCTGCCTCCAGTTATTAAACACTGTCATCCATGTAGTCTCCCAACTTGGAGGTCTGCATGGTTAGTACCTTTCCCCTGTTTTCCAGGTGGGGGAACAGGTGAAATAATTACTCCGGTCACACAGTCAGGAAGTGACAAAAGGGTGGCAGTTATAGTGAACAACACCCCCAGATGGCTGAAGAGGAAACTGAGGCTCAGAGAAGGGAGGGAGCTGCCAAGTGTGAGCAGCAAGGAGACTCAGCCGCAGGCTGATTTAAGTGAGGGTGAAACTTGCCCTGCTTCTCACTGGGGGTCAGGGGGAGTCCTAGGGGTGACTTTCAAAGGAAATGCTAAGACCTTGGGAAAACTGGAAGAGGCTTTAGCTGTGAATCTCAGTGACGCGTAAGAGGCATCTGGGGGATATCCCAACAGCCTCAGCCTTCAAAACAGCCAGCATCTGCCCGGGTCTCATTTCTGCTCCTGCCCCAGAGGGGTTCTGGACACCTGCATCAATATCCCTCTCCTACTCAGACCCTTCCTGTGGTTCCATCTCACTCAGGGTAAAGGGCAAAGTGCACCTCATGGTCTGCAAAACCCTACTTGATCTGCCCCATCACCCCTTTAACCCTATATCTGCTCTCCATCCCCTCAATCATTCTGTGTCAGACACATGAGCATCCTCCTAATAATCTGGCTGGAGATCTCTCAGGGCCTTTGCACTTGCTGCTCCTTTGCCTGGAGGGTACAGGTGTTTCCCAGACATGTGCACGACTCCCATCCCCTTCACATCTCAGCTCACATGTTGCATTCTCAGCCAAGTCTTCCTCGAATTCTCTGTATTTAAATTTACAGCCAGTCGCACACTCTCATTCCCCGACCAGGCTCTATAGATTTCTGCTTCCTGTAACTCTAACCACCTCCTACCATCCTAAATGGTTTAGTTATTTGTGACTTTAAGTTTCTGACTCTACTACAGGATAGAGGAAGACAGGATCTTTGTGCCATTCACCGCTGTAAATTCACCATCTAGACAATGCCTGGCACATAATAGATGCTTATTAGATGAGGGGAGGAGGAAGAAATGAACTGATCTTCTAGATGAGTCTGCAGATGAGGTGAAAACTGGGGAAGGAATTCTTCATACCGAGGTGGGCGATGAACTCCTGGGAAATGTCCATCCAGCGCAGCAGCTGCTGCAGGAAGCCAAAGGCAAACCGCTTCTCAATGGAAGAGGTGTCCAGTTCCATGTCCTTAAGGCCTCTGCAAGCAGAGGCAGAAAGAGGTCAGCTCAGATGCAGGGCCTGCCCTGTCTCCCACCCCTTTGCTCCTGCAGTCCTCCCTCTGCTAACCTCTGCCTTCTCCCAAGTCTTCGGTGGACCTTAGCCCCCGTTTAGCGGCCCTTCTGACCCCGCCTCTGCCCAGACCACGCCCGCCTGCCCATCCCCTTTAGGCCCCGCCCCTCTGGCCCGGCCTCTTCCGGCTTTTGCCGGTGGCTTCCGGCAGCTCTCCGGTGGGGCTCGGCTCGTGCCTGGTGACCGCGTAGCCGTTCATCTGCAGGAACTTGAGCAGTTCTTGGGCTTTCTCCCGATCTCGTGCCTTCTCCTTGGCCGTGAGCGTATCGTAGGGGACCAGCAGGGGATGGGACCCACCGCCTAGGGAGGCCAAGACCAGAAATCAGGGCAAGGGGAGACCCCAGGCGCTTCTGCAGTTGAGAGTGTGCACGGTGACCGAGATAATAATGACAGAAACACTGTCGTCCAACTCGCTCAGGACTGGCAAACAGTTATTAAAAGGAGGGGTGAGGCAGTTGTTCAAAAGTCACCCCATGGAACCGGGGTGACTCTGACTTAGGCCCTCAGGGCCCAGGAGCTGGGACTGCAGTGGAGAGCTGGGCTGTGTGTGCGCCCTCACCCTTGGCCTCCAGCTCTTGCTTCTTCTTCCGCCCCCACGTGTTGTGGTAATTTTCTGCCAGTTGTTCCGCCATGGCCTGCGAGTGGTTGCAGAGTTAAGGACCAGATTCAGAGGACGCCCTCCATCCACAGGCGCCCCGATCCGCCCCAAATGAAAGATTAGAGGGCTCGCCTGAAGCTCCCGGGATAGGGTAACTCCGCTGAGGTCAGGCGGCTGGGGGTTGTAGCCTTCTCTCGGATCGTAGGTCTGAGGGGGCAAGAGGGAGATGGGGGCCTCATGGGCTGCCAGGAAGCCCAGCATAGCCTCTGCCCTGCGCCTAGCCATTTCCTCCGTGTCCCCTACTGTCTGGAACTCCTTTGCTGAAGTGATCCTCCTGCCTCAGCCTCCTGAGTAACTAGAACCCTAGGTGTGCATTCCTGATTCCCCTCCTGTCTCTAAGCCACCCCCTCCTCTCCTTTGCCCTTGATTCTTCAGACTGCTGCAGCTCCTTTCCCAGGCCCCTCAGATTTTTTTTTTTTTTCATTTTTTTTCTTTTTCTCTTTTTATCGGTACTGGGGATCGAACTCACCACCGCCTGCTTGCAAGGCAGGTGCTTATGCCTCTGAGCTAAATCCCCAGCCCCATGTCCCCTCAGATTTCGATGAATCTCTCCTGGCCTTCTCCCATCTGACTCCCACCTCTACCTCTTGATCCTTCTCCTCTCCCTAGTTCCCCCTTAACCAGCCCTCATGGTCTCACCTGGGCAGTCTGGGATATCTTCCGTGTCTTCTTCTTCTCCGTCTTTTCCTCCTCGCCCTCCCTGGCCTTCTCTATAGTCCATTCCCAAGCAATCATGGCCTTCAAGGACTCCTTGATGGGCCAGCGATAAATCTCCTTGTCCTGAAGTGGACAAGAGGGAGCAGAGTTGGTGGAACCGGATGAGGGGGAAGTAGAGGAAGGCACTCGTATAGTGCAGGCCCTCTGTCTCCTCCCAAGTGCCATGAAAGGAAAATTCTTGACTATGTGGCTAGGAAGCGGTTCAGTTTGGATTCAAACCCAGGTCTCTCACCTGCTGTGTAACAGAGCATCCCAAATACAATGTCATCACCCCATTTCACCTGAGTCTCAGAGCCTTATGCTCGAGAAATCAAAACTTACTCTGATTCTTCCTGAGATAAGGGACATAAGGAATCCCAGGGGAAGCAACTCAGTTTGAGAGAAGGCAAAGTCTGTGGATGGGGAGCCCTAACCACTGATCCACCTAGATACAAACTTTGAAGCTGCTTTATTCTTCCCTGAACCCCCAAATTTGGAGATTTAATTTTGATCCCCAATATAGTCCCCAAGGCTTGCTTACCTTCTCTGAAAAAGTCTTGTAGGGCCTCAGCATGGGGTGGGTCTTCAGTTCCTCATCTATGTTGTCTCCATAGGACCAGTTGTTTTGGATCTATGGGTGGATGGGAGGCAGCAGTGATGGCACAGACAGGAAGGACCTTGGAGATGCCAAGCACTCTAAGGAAACCAGGGGATCTCAGGAAGTGGGGTGGCTCAGGGAAAATTGGGTCTGGAGGACAGCTTGGATCCTGAGGAAGGCCAGCAGAGATGGGGGCTCCTGGAACAGGAACCCTGATGCTAACCTTGTCAAAGGCCCACTTCTCATGCGTGTACTCTGCAAACTTGTTAATGAAGGAGTCGAGCTTCTCTGGGATGATCACGCTGTTGGAGGGGATGAGGCCAGCACATATTGGGATCGGGTCTCCTGCCACCTCTGAGATCCTCTTGTCCACCTCAAACCCCACCTTCTGCCATCCCAGGGTCTCACTTGAGGGTCTCCACAGGTCGGGGATCAAAGTTGCCTTCAGCGTCCACTGTGGCCTTCTTCTCTGCCTTGGAAGAGTAGGACGCATCCACATAGTCGGGAGGCAGAGCCCCTGCGATGGCACACAGGCAGGGCATGGCCATGCGGTACAGCTCCTGGTCATATTTCTGGGAATACCAAGGGCAGGAGTTGCGGGGGGGTCACATCAGGCCTTGCTGAGCCTTCCAACCCTGGAGGCTGAGGACCCCTAATTCACACTAATCATCAACTCTCCTTATGGTCCTCCTTGAAACAAAACTTCAGGCCCAACCTTACCCCCAAACCACTTCCATATTACCCTCTCCAAGTCCTCAGGCTAGAGGCCATGCAGAGCTGCTTCTTTCATGGAACCCCTCCAATTTGGGGATGTCATCTAAGTCCCTAAGGTCTTCTACACAGGCCTCTTTGGGGTCCCCTGGGTGGCCAGACCTTATGTGCCAGAGATTCAAAAATGCCCCAGAAGAGTTTGCGTGTGAGGTGTAGCTCTTCTTCCGAGGTGACGCCAAAGTTGGCCCAGCCGGTGGGGAGGCAGTAGTACTTCCAGCAGCGCTCATAATGGTTGGTGAGGAGCTGGGTGGGAGCAAGAAGGTACACACAGAGATAGGCATAAGCAGATGGAGGCAGTGCTTGAATTACGAAGGTGTGGACTATGCAAATGATATGCTAATAAAGGAAAGGATGGTATATTTACTGGAAAATGGCCCTGGACAGTGTGTTAGGTAAAGTTAGTGTTCTCATTTTAGAGCCAGGATAGGCATTAAACTTGAGCTAGATTTGTCTGTCATCTTACAGAAATAAGCTTGCTAATAATCCACAAGTAGAGTGGAGTACACATAGGCATATGGATAGAGTGATCTGTGCTTATGCAAATTAGCGTACCAAATAGAAACACAGGCAACAACTCATGCAAATATATGATAATTGAGAAGACAGCCTCTACTATCCAATATGCAGACAAGGTAGTGGCTAATTTAGGTATATGCAAAATAGCCAACATCTCCGAGTTGGGGGTATCTCCTTATGCAAACCAGCGTGCAAATGAAAAAACCGGAGAGACAGTGTGCAAATATTCAGAATAGCTGTGGTACTGTTTATTCAAATAAACGCACTCATTTGAATAGTGGAAAGCTGGTGGTCTGGGCATGCAAATAAAATGCTAATTATGGAAAGTGCTGTGCCCCATATAAATATATGCTAATTGAGGCAGGGGCTGGCTCATTTGGTTAGGCAAATTAAGAGCTAATTAAGAAATGTTAGAAGCACCAATGAAAGAAAGCGGAATGTCCTGGGAGTTCTGGCATGCAAATGAGGACGCTAATTGGTTTCCGTGAGGACATGGCTCTCCCGCACGAGCTGATTAGCTAGGGTGGGCGATGCTGATACCTCCAAGCGCCCTAGTCCAAGGCAGTCCAGGACAGTGGAGGGTGCATGCGAGTGAGCCTTGCCCTCACCTTCAGCGGCATCTTGGCGAACTCATTCAGGATGGGCACATCGAACACCAGACGCCGCAGCAGGTGTTGCAGCATGGATGGGCGGATGTACCTGCACGGACATGCAAAGGGCCACGGATCTCACCTGGAGGCCAGTCCAGCCGGAGACCCCGCCCACCGTGTAACCCCGCCCACCAACAGCTCAGCCCGCCCGAGCCCGGCCCACCGTGTAACCCCGCTCGAGTCCCGCCGACCTGCACAGCGCCATGAGGCAGTCCTCGATGACGTCTCTTTGTGCCTTAGTGAGCGAGCGGCCGCGGGACAGGCGGTAAACGGTGTGAAGCATGGAGTCCACCATGATGGCACGGTGCTCAGTACCCGCAAAGAGTGGCGCACACTTGGTGATGAGTGGTAGCACCGCCAGGCACAGGTAGCGGTTTAGCGCCAGCGCCATCTCTGTGGTGCTGAAAGTGGCCTGGGACACAGGGTGGGGACCTCAGGCCGGATGCACACCCCTGAAGTTGTTTTGACGCCCGTCTTGGACAACTCTATGTAAAGGACCAGCCTTCTGATCATTCCCCCAAGTGCTGCGCCTTTCCCATCTCTAACCTGCTGTCTTTATTATTCTAGACTACAAAATTTCAAACATGCACGTGAGTCAAACTGATGAATGAATCAGTGCCCGCGTGGCAATCGCAAGGTTCTGAGTTCAATACTCCACACACAAAAAAATCCTGATTAACGAGCCCACTACCCAAACATGTCTGTTCTACAGAAGTAGACATTTTGCCTGCTTATTTCTTCTCCAACCCTTGTCCTTTTTCCTGTAGGATTTTGTTTGTTGAATTGTTTTTTGAGACAGGATCTTGCTTTGTAGTATAGTCTGGCCTTGTTTTCTGTAGTAGTTTCATGCAAGCCCCAGCCATACGCCCTTTTACTCATAGACACTTAACTGTGTCTCTCCATTCCAACAAACACTTCTGTTTGACAGCCTTTGTTGCTATCATCATGTGACAGAATTAACCACTTCATCTTCATGATCAACTTCCTCCAACTGCCTCAAAAATTGCTTTCTAGGGGCTGGGGATTTAGCTCAGCGGCATAAGTGCCTGCTTTGCAAGCAGGCAGTCGTGAGTTCGATCCCTGGTACCGATAAAAACGAAAAAGACAAAAAATAAATTAATAAAAAAAAATTGCTTTCTATTTAGTTGGGCCTGTTTGGATCAGGTCCTTGGGAGGGTCCACTCACTGCTCTTAGTGGACAGATGTTTTAGGCTTTTTATCTATAATCATTTCCTTTCCTCCTCTTTTAAATGGTATTTATTTCCTGGAGAAACGGGGCCATTTGTCCAGTGGAATTTTCTACATTTTGGCTTTGGTTCAATACCTTCTTGTAGTGTCAGTTAACTTGTTCTCTGCACTCTACATTTCCTATAGATGGGTTATAGGTTCAAGTTCCCGCGTTCCTTTTCTTGCTCACCTCTTCAGCAGTCATCCTTTCCTGTTCCTCCCCAGCCAGCAACTTGCAAAGAAATCATCAATCATCTTTCCCTGTCTCCAGCTTCCCCTCCAAGCTCTCTTGCACCCCTGCCAGAGGCTTTGGCCCTGTCACCTCGATGAGACTATTTTTCAAGGTCACCATCATTTCCATTTTGCTAGATCAATAGTCCTATCTCATGCTCATCTTCTCTGGTCTAGGCATCTTCTGTTGTTACTTTTGTACATAACTCTTTGTGAGTCCATGGTGCTGCCATAACTGACATTGGTTAGGGGTGGGGTGCAGTACTAGGGACTGAACCCATGGCCTTTGCACTGAGCTACATCCTGGCCCTTTTCTTAGTTTGTATTTTGAAACAGGGTCTCACTAAATTGCCTAGGCTAGTTTGAACTTATGATAATCCTGCCTCCACTTCTCCCAGTGCTAGGAGTGCCACCATGCCTGGCTAGAATGATTGTTTTTATAACTGGAAGTTGGAGATTCCTCCATTAGAACATAAGTCTCTTCTGTTCGGATTTTTTCCTCCCTAACTTGATGGTGCAAGGTGGTGGAATTATGCTATATTCACAGTCCCAGGGCAAATAAAAGTGCTGCTGTTGCTATCTCAGGCTCCATCTTGTATGTTCTGTGGAGGCAGGAAGGGTGGCTAAGGCAGCAGAGCCGCTCACCGTGTCCAGCGAGGCTGCTGCCCTCATGTCAGGAAGGAAGCCTACATCCAGCACGTGTAACAGGAAGTCCTGGTTCTCGATGCCATAGACACGGTCCAGGAAGAGCACCATGGATGCCTTGTGGTCCGGCACAAAAGAGGCTGACATTTTTGGTTGTATCAGAGCCCCATCTACAGGGAAGAAGGACACAGGTCAGGGATGTCCTTGGGACCCACTGGCTCCCTTCCCAGCATCACTCCCATGCCAAGTCTAGCCATCTCATACCTTTGCCCAGGGTAGGGATCTGCAGTGGGAGGCTGATGATGCCCACAAGGTCATCCAAGGGCACAAGGGATCGGAGGATGGCCCGGATCCGCAGGGCCTCACCCTTGCCGGCTTGGATTAGCTGAGGGTGGCAGTTAGGGATGGGCATGTCATCAGACACCTGTGCTGCATTTTGAGTTTGCTCCACTGCATCCCTTCCTGACACTCTCGTGGGCATAGTGGAAATAACTCTAGAGTTCTACCCCTGACCCCTCCATGTGAGCCTCCTTCATCTCCACCCCGGCCACTCTGGGCTGTCACTGTCTGCCTCTCGCACTGGACTGGGAGCTCCTTGGGATCAGCACCTGTGGCTATGTTGATCACCATAGTTTCTCCAGCAATGCCCAGCCCAGGACCCTCATGGTGAGAGCCAACCAATGTCACCCAACACCCACATAAAGAGGTCAAGACTAGCCACCCATGCCCTCCCTCCTGCCCACCCTGGCCTTCCCATCTCACGTGCATCTCTGGAGCACAGCGTCCCAGCAGGTCAATCAAGGCCGCATAGAAGGACATGATGGCATGTCCCAAGTGCACTCGGTTTTCCTCAGGGGCCTCCTCACCAAAGCTGCAGGGGAGCAGGATGTTGTGGGGAGGCACCAAGGGGCAAGGGGAGGACAGGGTGTGCTAGAGGGCAGGAGCCAGGAAACTCACTGCTCACGCCGCCGGTCCCTGCGGACACCTGGACCATCCCGTGCGGGGTCTTCAGAGATGCGGATAGCCTCTTCGATAGCAGCCAGCAATCCTGAGCCTCCCTCACCCCGCAGGGCCGGCCCGAAGCACTCAGGCTTGCGGATGAGCAGCCGCACTACCACATTGGCGTTTTCCTCCACACTCTCGCCTGGCCCCCGCCCCCCCAGGAGGTCAGGAGGTCTCATGAGCCTCAGGACACCATGCAACCCAAACACCAAACACTCTGGGGTTTTTGTTTTTTTGTTTTTGTCTTTTTCCTTTTTATCGGTACCGGGGATTGAACTCACGACTGCCTGCTTTACAAGGCAGGTGCTTATGCTGCAGAGCTAAATCCCCAGCCCCCCTAACACCAAACACTTCTAGGGACAAGGTTGTTAGCCCCCAGCCCCCTGCCTCAGCCTCATTTGAGGGGATCCCTGACCAGGGCAGGCCTGAGGCTCAGGGACTAGATGGTCAAACTCAAGGAAGGTTTGGACAGTGAGCCTACATGTCCTGCCCTGCCTTACCATTGACGAAGACAGCGAAGCGCAGGAAATCCAGGTAGCGCTCACCGCCGCAGGGGTTCCAGCCAATGTCGGGGTACCCTTTGGCCAGCAGCATGGAGCAGCTTTGGAGGCCACAGCCTGCCAGGTAGGAGACGACCTAGGGACAGGAGGGGGCTTAGCCTGAGGCCAGACCCACAGCCCTTTTTGCCCAAGTCTCAGGCCTCTGTCCATCCCTGGAGCCTCTGGGCTCTGTTCATCTCTGAACCCTCAGCAAATAACCCTGGTCCTCTGCACAGTCATCTCTACCAGGACCATGGCAGCAGCCCCTTCCAGGGGCTCCCTGCTACCCTCAGTCTGCTCCACGCCCACTTGTGGAATACCCGAGTCAGGTCACATCCTCTGCTCAGATGATACAGCTCTCTCTCACTCAGGACAAAAGCCAGAGTCCCCCATGTGGCTCTTACGATCCCTTATGACCGATCATTTCTCTACCTTCTACAGCCACTCATCTCACTATCTCTGCTCCCACTGCCTTGGTTTCTGCTCAGACTCCCAAGGTTGACTCCTGCCTCTGGACCTTTGCGATGGCTGCTCCTCCCCTAGGTTCTATCCACCCTCACTTCCTGAGCCTTGCTCAATGTCTCTTTCTCAATGGGGCTTTCTCTGATCACCCTTATCTAACTCAGAGCCCGTCCTGACACTTGATATTTTTCTCCTTCCTCACTTATTTTCCCCCTTAACACCATTACTGGCTATCAGTTGGTGTGTTATTCATTCCTCTTGTTATTCATTCTTCAAATGAGAATGTCAGCTACGTGAGGACAGGGTTTTTTGACTGTGGCACTACTACTGCCTTGGACAGGTCCTGACATATGTGTGCATAATAAATAGTTATTAAGTGATTAATTATATGATAGCAACCAGCCATTGTTGAGTACTGTTTCACAAATGCATGAAGCTGTTTCTAAGACTGTTCATCATGGAGCCGAGGTTACGAGGTCTGGAGAGGCTGATGCTTATCCAAGGCTACCCAGCAAGCGAGCTGACCCTAAGTGCAGCACTCCAGAACCACACATGTCCTTGCTGTAGAGAAGCCATGGCGGAGGGGACCACCCAGTCGGGAGCACAGGGCATGGATGTGCTCACCCTACAGCACCTCATGAACGAGCTCCTGGGTATTGTTATCTCCCTGCAAATTATTCCCCGCTGGTTCAGCTCAGAATCGCCCTCTCATTAGGGGCTCAAAGTCAGTAGGGTCCCCGCAGCCAGGCAGGGCCAGGCCTCTCCTCCACACCTTCTCCAGGTCCTGCTCCTGCAGCGCCAAGGCCAGCTCATTGTTGTCGATGACAGAGGCAGCAGCCACATCCAGGGGCGTGGAGCCCTGCATGCCTGTGGTGGGAGAAGCGGGTGAGGACGCTCTTCCAAGGTGTGCAGCTGCCTGTCTCGCTCCTGAGTGTGTGGCCTACAGGAAGCCCATCCTGCCCACTACTTTTGCTTTCCCTCCTGTCTGGTCTATGTTTCCTCTATCCCAGGTCTCACCATTGCGGGCCTGTCACTATCTGAAACTGGGCTGTCTTCTTCACCATACTGTGAGTCCAGTGAAAGCCAGGCACGGCTGTCTGGCTCATTACTATGCCCAGTGCTACTCGTCACCCAGCCACACCATGATGGGCTGAGACTGAGCATTTGTTGAATGGCTGAATGAATGAGTGAGCCGGCGGGACGGACTGGCAGAAGCCGGGAGCATCCCTTGAGCTCAAGCTTTCTCACCCAGGCCGATGCCACTGTTTTCCAGCAGGTAGCTCAGGTGGTCAAACATGGAGCGCTGGTTCTGCCGGCTGATCCGGCAGAAGTAGCAGAGGAAGCGGCAGCAGCTTGTCACCATCTTGGGGAAGCGGATCTCCTGGGATGGCAGGGTGGGCTGGTGGTCAGTGCCCACACTCTGAGGTCCCTTTCCCCAGTTCCCAGCCCAGCTAGCAGCCTCACCTTGGATTCACCGCCCCCAAGGACGTTCACCATGACCTCCATGACTGTCTCGTGCATGCCCAGTGCCCTCATTAGGTTCGGGTGTTGGTAGAAGACCTTGTTGTTCATGATGTTCCTGTGGACAAAGAATGTCTGTGAGGTCACCACAGGAAAGGTTGCCCACATCCAGCGGTGCCACCATCCAGCCAATGCCACCTTCACTATAACAGCTTTATTTATTTATTTATTTATTTTACAGATATTGGGCCTCTTTTTATTTTTTAATTGTGAGACTGAGTCTCGATAAGTTGCCCAGGCTAGGGTCAAACTTCTGATCCTCCTGCCTCATCCTCCCAGAGTGCTGGGTTTAGCCAGGCATGTGTCATCATGCCTGATTGGTCTCTTACTCTGCACCCTGCACCTTTCCCTTTACAGACTTGAACTCATTCATCCCCACATCTGCTCTGGGGGACCCTAGTTTCACAGGTAAGGAAACTGAAGCCTCAACCTGAGGCAACTCTCCGAGGACAGAGATCTCTCATGTCGCCGAGTGTTACAGAGATCTGGCACACAGCAGGTGCTTAAGAAGTGTCTCCTGAGTGAATGAAGGAGACACATTTAACATTTAAGTGCTTAATACCACGATGACTATATTTTAGATCACTCATTTTTTCATTCATTTCTGTTTTCCTTGGTTTTGTTTTGTTTTGTTAAGACAGGATCTCATTCTAGTTCAAGCTGGCCTTAAATCTGTGCTCCTCCTGCCTCTGCTTCCAGAGAGCTGGGAGATCACCATGATGATGATGATGGTGGTGGTGATGGTGATGATGACTGGCATGAGCTCACCAAAGCCACACCACCATTCTGCTGGGTAGGCATGGCTCTTTCCTATTTACAAATGAGGATATAGAAGCTCGGAATGGGAAACCTCATGTCAAATGTCATATGTAAGTAGGAGCTGTTTCCCAGGGGCAGATGAAGCAGGAAGGAAGGGGTACTCTAGGAAGAGGGGACAAGGCATGAAGGACAGGGACCTGTTCTGGGAAGGGTTTACCTTGGATATGTCCTGCTGTATCCTCATGATGGGCCAGACATTAGGAGAAGGGGATTTTATCATATTCAGAGGACATTATACAGGGTGCTGGCAGGTAGCAAACACTTGCCTGCCTCTGAGGGACATGCCCGACAAAGGAGGGGGCCTCACCCGATGCTCTGGATCATGAGGTTCTCCTCCTGAGGGCCCATCTGCACAATGAGCAGTGAGCGGATCTGGCCCAGGCACTCGAGCAGGCTCATGGTGTCATCCACAGAGGATGGTGAGATGGTATATGCCCTCGGCAGGGCACGCAGCAGCTCACCGAGCCCATCATATTGCCGGTGCAGGAGGCTAAACATGGCCCGAACCAGCTCCGGGCTCTGCACAAAATCTTCCTGGGCCCAGCGAACCACCATTTGGGACACCAGTTCCTGCAGGGACCCTGAGAAAGGGACACAAGGTCAGAACACAGCCAGAATGATGTGAAAAGGCCCCTCTTCTCACAAGCCTCTTGGTTACCAACCACTCCCATTATCCTCCTACCAAGGGCTCTTGGATTCTGGCAGATTCTCCTCTGTTGCCCTGTTTCCACGGCCCTCTGGGGTCTGGCTGTCACTTCCCTGCCTTTATCTCTCATCACTTGCCCACTTAACCATGCTGCCATGGTCCCTGCCATGCTGGCTTCAGAGTGTTGGCACTTTTGTACCACCCTTCCTCTCCCAGATCTTTGCACACCTTGATCCTTCATTCTGGCCCTTCTGTCCTCATCTCTCTCCCATCCCTCTCAGATTTTATTTTTTCTTTTAGCACCGACGACCACCTGACATTTGTGTATCCATATATGTATTTGATACACTATTCTTTCTCTTTATTTATTTGTTTGTTTGATAGAGGTTCTTGCCATGTAGCCCGGGCTAGTCTCAATGTCTAGAGCCTTCTGCCTCAGCCTCCCAAGTGCTAGGAGTTCAGATATGCACCATCACACCCAGCATATGTTTGGTATAGTATGTTAATCTCCTGGAAAGCAAGGGCTTTGACTTTTCCATTGCTGTGTTTCTCAGCCTTATTAAAAGTGACTGACCCAGAGCTGGCCCAATAACTGATCTTGAATGTTACAAGATAAAATCTACACCCAGGCACTGTGTCCTTATGATATGAAGCTAGTACAGTATGTTTGCACAGTGACACCTTGGTTGACACTTGCTTTTGGAACCCTTCAACATGGTAACTGTCTCATCACAAGACAAAAGAAAAATAAAAGCCTGGGGCCTGGAGGCTGCAGTGGTAAAGGAGCGGCCACCACTGTGGGCTGGAAGTGCATCCTGGAATTGGGGCCACACCTCTGGCAGCCTCCTCCTCCTCCCCAGCTCCACCCCCTCAGCCCTGCTTTTCCATCGCCCTCTTGTTCCTTCTCAAAGCCTTCTTGGAGACCAAGCTCCCCAGGCAGAGCCACCCATCACTCCTTTTCTTGTCCCCATTGTCCTCAGTCCTCACGGGGCTTGGGCTCCTCTGCAGGTGTCTCCTCCTCTGGCTTCTCCTCCTTCTTCTTTACCAGCCGCACCTTCTCCAACAGACTCATCAGGCGGCTGCCCAGAGTGGTCTCTTCTTCTGGTTCCTCCTCCTCACCTTCCAGCTGAATTCCTGGTGGTTAAGGAAGGAGGGAATGTCGCTTATGTGCTTGCGTATTCACCTGCTCGATCATTTATTTCACTCATTCCTCATTCACACGCACATTCGTGAAATTTTCCGGTTCCTTCTCTCTCTCCCCCACCCACCTTTGGTTTCGTTTTTGAGACAGAGTCCTATTCTGTAGTCCAGACTGTCTTGAACTCACTATGGAGCTCAGGCTGGCTTTAAACCTGCAATGATCCTCCTGCCTCAGGCACCCAGGTGCTGGGATTACAGGTGTGCACCACCACACCCAGTTGTCTTTTGGTTTTTTGAGACATGGTCTCACTGTTTGGTTCAGGCTGGCCTTGAATTCACTATTTAACCCAGGCTGGCTTCAAACTCACAGTGGTCCTAATGCCTCCATTTATTTCTTTGTATGTTTATATTTTGTTCATTTATTCAGTCTGTGAAACATTTGCCTTTTAAGCTATTGTAAATATGTTCAAAGAACTAAAACAAAAATTCTGAAGAGTTAAAGAAAATTATTATAGCAGTGACACATCCTGTAAAAATTATTAATAAAGTAAATAACATTTTTTTTTTTTTTTTGGTACTGGGGATGGAACTCATGACCTTGAACTTGCCAGGCAGGTGCTTATACTGCTGAGCTAAATCCCCACCTATAAATAACATTTTTAAAGAACCAGGTTGAATAATTGCACAGTTATGCATCTTTTAACTTTTAACTATGAAAAAGAAAAACACAACATATTATGAGAGGTTTGGTAGCAATTTGGGCTGGCAGGAGAGAAAAGCAGAACTTGAAGGGAAGACATAGAGATTCTGGAGTCTGAAGAAATGAAAGATAAAAGAATGATGAAGAAGGGGAGCCACACAGCCCCAAAGAGTATCATCAAGCAACCACAATCTTTAGAATGAGTTCCAGAAGGAGAGGAGACAAGGGGGTCAAAAATATTTGAACATTTATGCAAAACTTTCTAGCCTTAATGAAAATATTAATGTTCACATTTAAGAAATTCAAACTCCAAGTAGGATAAACTTAAAGAGTTCCATTTCCAGATACATCTTAAATAATTGAAGGCAAAGACAAAGAGAAAATCTTGGAAGTCAGTCAGAGAAAAATGATTCATCACAAGCCAAGTGTGGTGGCACAGGCCTGTAATCCCAGCACTCAGGGAGGCTGAGGCAAGAGGAATGCAAATTTAAACCCAGCCTGGGCAATTTAATGACTAAATGAGACTGTGTCTCAAAATAAAAAATAAGAAGAGCTAAAGCTGTAGCTCAGTGCTAAAGTCAAAAGTTCAATCTCCAGGGCCACAAAAAAAAAAAAAAAAAAAAAAGAAAAGAAAGAAAAAAAAAGACATCACTACATACAAGGGAATCTCAATAAGATTACCTGCTGATTTAGCATCATTTGGCCAGCAAGCTCTCCACCCAACTCAAAATCTTCCATGCATCCTTCTAATCAGTCAGCCAACTTAGCCATCTCTTATCCATTTATTTCATCCTTCTACACATCATTTCACATATCCATCCATTCACTTGGCTATAGTCAGTCTATACACCCACCTGCCCAAATACTCAAATAAACATCATCATTTCACTTATTGTCTATCTGTTCACCAGTCCAGTTATACAGCACCAATACACAGATGTTTAGTCAGGGAATCTTTGCGAAACTACAGAAGCTGTCTCAAGAGAGAGTTTGCAGGAAGGACTCTATGATTCTTTCTCCTTACCACAGTGGGCCAGCAGGTCTTGATGAAAATCTTGCAGATCCGCTCGGATCTCTTCAGGGAGGGGACAATCTTCCTCATCTGCGCCATCTTTGAATTGCAATAGCATGTTGATCTAGGGGAAGGTCAACAGTTTGAACAAGGGTCAGAAGCCATAGAACAGGAACTCTGAGATCAAGAACCAAAGGTCCCATTATAAGTCCCTGTCTAAGATCATGAGCCAAAGTGTGTGTTAGAGAAGAACATCAGGGAGATTAGGAAAGCGGTCTGAATGGGGTCAGGGTCAGTCTCTAAGGTCAAGCTGATTCACAGAGCAGTAGGAGAGATAAATACATCAGTTGTTCAAGGGCCAAGTACTGGTTTTGAGGTTGAGGACCACCATGGTCAATCAGGAGAGAGGCTGAAGCTGGGGCTTAACCAGTGCAACTAACTAGAGACAGGGGTCAGAGGACCTGTTCCTGGGGCGGGGAGCGGAACTCGCGGGTACGTCTTGCAGTCTCAGCTGCGCTCATGGTGAAGGCTTTCATGAGGAGGCTGTAGCGGTCCCGCTGGTTGGCCTGGAGCTTGTCCACATAGCGCTCTGCAAAGGCTGCCAGGGACTCCACACGGTGCTGCAGCTCTTGGTCACAGAAATACTCCAACAGGTGGCACATCTATGGGAGGACAGCCATAGAGGAGGAGGGACGGCTGAGAGACCAGGGGGAGCTCCTTGTAAATCTGCCTTCTCCATGACCCTGCTTAGGTCCAGCCACCGCCAACTCTGCTCAGACCCTTAAATCAGTCTCCTTTCAGACAGAAACCACAGAGAGCATTCCAAGCCAACACTGCTCCACTGCTTTAAGGACTTCCACTTCCCCACTGCCTCAGGACAAAGTCTAAACTCCCAAACTTGTGGCCCACTAGACCTCCAGATGGATGGACACTGGGAGACAGAAAGAACCAACCTACCTGTAACTTCACAGACTCTGGAAGCTTCATCTGCAGCAGTCCCTCCTCCAACTCTTCCTTCTCCCCCTCTGCTGCCTCCTCTTCCTCTTTTTCTTCATCTTCTTTCTCATGTGCTTCTTCCTCCTCATCTTCCTCTTTCTCCTCTTCATCTTCTTCTTCCTCCTCTCCCTCCTCCTCCTCCTCTTCCTCTTCTTCTTCTTTGAATACTTCCGGCTCAATCATCTTCAAGATTTGTTTCACATCCTCATCGCTAAAGACACCCATTACCTGTAGGACAAGGTCTGAGTCCTTCACTGTGACCTATAAGGTCTGCATAATCAGTTCCTGCCCTCACTTACCTGCGTCTCCTGCTTCTGCACATGTCAGATTCATTCCTGCTTTGTCTGATAGCTTCCTTCCACAGGCAGAAAGGCATCTGCTTCCTGCCATCCACCCTCCTTTCTCCCAAGGTTAAACACGTATGACTCTGGGACAGGACACGCCCTATACCTCAGTGAGACCCACAGAGCTCCCAGCACATACCACCAGCTTTTGGCCAGTACAATAAAGATACTAATATACAGATATTTGGGCAACAAGATGGAAAGTAGATGAAAGGGAAGAAGAGGAGGAGAGAGAAAGATGGAGGCAGGGAGAATGACTGGTGAGCTAAATCAGTAGACTGAATGGTAGAGGTTTGAAAGGGAGATGAAAGAGTAAATGGATCATGATAGAGAGATGAAGATATCATGAGTGGATGCATAATAGGATAAACAATGCATAGGTAGGCAAGTAGGTGTGTGGATGGTTTGACAGATGCATAAGCAAATAAATGAGAGTACAGATAAAAAGATAAATGAGAAATAGCCATGGGAATGGGTAAGGTAGGTGGGAGGATGGATGAATGAGCTTATGCATACAGGGTTGGGTAGATATATGGATGAATGGTTATAAGAATACATGAATAAAGGAGTACATGAAATAAAGAATGGAGAATGGATGGATAGGTGTAGACAGCTGGGTGAGTCTGTGGGTAGAGAATAGGTGTTCACACACAGGTATGGGAAGTACAGATATGAGGGAAAGGTAAATGGAAGTGGAGGAATGGATGCATCTGTGAGTGATTACACCGGTAACAGACAGTTAAGGGGGATGATGGATGAACTGATAGGTGAATGAATGGAAGGATGGATGAGCAATGGATTGAAACAGATATGTGGATGGATACGTGGGTAGAAAACAGGACAGCAAGGTGGATGGACTTGTAGATGGGAAGATGAGGGTATATAATGAATGAATGAATAAATGAGAAGATGAGAAGGTGGATAGAGGATGGACGAATTGATGAATGAATGAATGATGGTTGGATGGAGAATGCGAAGAAGGAAAAAGAGATTAATAAACACACGAATAGGGGCTGGGGATTTAGCTCAGCAGCATAAGTGCCTGCCTGGCAGGCACAAGGTTGAGAGTTTGATCCCCGGTACTAAAAAAAAATGAAAAACACATGAACAGAAGATAGACAAATGAGTGAAAGGAAAAGTGAATAAAGGATGGATAGTGGAGGACCCATGAAAGATGGGTAGATGGATAAATAGGTAGATGGATGAGTTGCATGTATAAATGGGAGGGGCTTTATATATACATGAAGGAATTATTTCAACTGTAGAAGAATGGGAGAGGGAAGGAGAAAACTATTACCAGCAAGGTGGACACAAGCTTGAGCACGGGCACGAACTGGAACTCCACGGAGCCCCCAACAGGGTCTCGTGCGTGCTGCCCACCATCTCGCACAGCCTCTCCCAGCATTCTCAGGGCCTTGTCCCGCAGGGCCTCCAGAGGGATGGCGGGGCTGAGGCGGGCCGGGGCTTCTGCTGCTCCAGCCGCTGGCAGAGCCATCACAAAACAAGGAGCTGAGAAATGGTGTGGGGGCCTCAAGGAGGTGGTGACTCCAACGCCAGGCAGGCCATAGTGGCGAGGACCATCTTCGGAGTGGTGTCCAGGTGGAAAGAGTGTGATGGCGCGAGTCTCGGATGTGAGGGGCACGATGTATTCAGAAAGCATGGAGCGGCGGGTGCGGCAGGCGCTTTCGAGGTGGATGCTGATGAGGAGGTCGTAGTAGCCTGCACGTAGAGGACCCGGCAGGTGTGCGTCCTCCAGCGTGTGCAGCAGCTGTGCCTGGTCCACATGGCTGCACAGAGCATGGGCCACACGGTTGTTGCCCAGGGCGCACACTGCTCGGTAGAGGGAGAGGGTGTGCGAGTGGAAGCGCTGCAGGTCCAGGCGCTCAGACAGCTCCAGGATGTCCATGCACCTGTGATGGAAGTGAGGAGCACAGGCAGGGACAGAGTGGGCAGGGATGTGGGAGACGTGACACAGACCACAGAGAGGCAAAGAGATGCTAGGTCAAAGTTGTTGCTTTAGCAGGAAAGCCCTGTGTTCCACAGGGTCAGGGCTCCCCCAGGGCTCTGGAACTGTCTAGCAGTATTCATCAGTCCTACAAGTCCCTAAGGGCTGACCTCCACCTATTCTTTGGGATCCCTAGGATGACCTAGGACTATGGGATTTTTGAGAAGCTGGCTAAGATCAGGTGACCTTGAGATGTATCTAGGATCCCCAGATTGGGTTTGAAGCCTTTCTGGCAAGTCTGGGCATCCTGGTTATGTTTGAGTGCCACTAGAATGTCAGCTCCACCAGGGGAGAACATTAATGCCTGTTTTGTTTTGCATTCCCAGCACCTAAAACAGGACCAAGGACATCACAGATACTCAACAGATATTTGTTGAATAGGTCAATGGGTGCATTTAGGGCTACCATGAATAGATGTGGGCATCATGAATTATATGTGAGCATTACTAGAATGTCACTTGGTGCCAAAGGCTTTGTGTCACCAGATTAGAATGCTATTGATCACACAGAAGGAGCCTAGAGCTCTTTGTCAAGTGAATGAGCAAAGAAAAAATGAGGCATGTCAGGAGCTACTTGGATCCTTGGCTATGTGTAGAGACCTTAAGATTTCCAGGCATGGGGCTGGGGGTTTAGCTCAGCAGCGTAAGCGCCTGCCTTGCAAGCAGGCAGTCATGAGTTCGATCCCTGGTACCGAAAAAAAAAAAGGAAAAACAAAAAACGAATAAGATTTCCAGGCATCCATATGAACACTATGTAGCCCTGGGTGTGTCTGGGGCCCTTGGAGTGGGTTGAAATCTCCATGGGACATGTCTAAAGCTTCCCCAAGTAGTGTTCTGACCCCAAGTCATCAGCTAGATTCCTTGATGTGGGTTTGGGCTCCCTGAGATGAGCTTGGGCCCCTGCAGTGTGAGTCTGGGGGCCCTAAGGTAAGTCTGTGTCACTGGGATGTATCTAGGGGCTCCTAAGGTGGATCTAGAGCCCCCTGGAGTATTATCTTCAGAGGCCAGAGCTGACTCATGGTCCCCCACATGGGGCTCTTGCAGTGGTCTTGTGGTATGAGAAGGCACTGAGCTCTATCTGACCCCAGAGGGGTGACAGCATCTGTCCCGATGCCATCAGGCAGGCTCTAACCTGTTCTCCTCAGGGATGTGCAATGCCATCATGGTCAGTGGCTCCTGGCACTGCACAGCCCATCCAAGCCGCTCGCCAGCGCGCCGTGTGTCCACCTGCAGGAAGTGGTTGGGCATGCGACTCCAGGAGACTGGCATCAGCATCTGCACCTCCAACCGCGGTGGACATTGCGGGGCTGGGTTCTTGCGCTCACTCACGAACATAGCAGCAGACAGTGGCATGATGTTCTGGGGGTGCAGAATCATGCATGGATCAGGATTCTCAGCCCTCCCCAACCCTGCACCCTTTCAGAGTTATCCTCTCACACCTCCCACCTCAGCCCACCCGAGGAATCACCCCTCCCTGCACTGTTACCTTCTGCTTCCCCAACTCAAACTGGATGACATTCTGGTTGGTGGGCAGGACAAAGACAGCAGGAAACAGCTTTGTGTTGGGTTCCACCTGCCAGGGCAGAAGAAGGTAAGGGTGAGGATGGGCTGGGGGTTCAGGACTCAACCTCAAATGCCACAGTCAATCCTGTAGATCCACACTTGGACACTGGGTGCTACACAATGGCTCTGAGGTCACCCTTGGGCTCTACTGCCCCTGATCCAGCATACACAGAATAACCCATAATCTCCAAGAAATGTTTTCTCTGGTACTGGGGGAACTCAGGCCTGAACTACACACCCAGCTCTTTTTAAATTTTTCCTTTTGAAACAGGGTATCATTAAGTAGATAAGCTGCCCAGGCTTGAACTTTCAGTCTTCCTGCCTTGGCCTCCTATTGTTCTGAGGTTACAGGTTTGTGCCACAATGCCGGGCTTCCTCAGCTGCAGCTCAGTGCACATGATGCCCCCTCTAGGGGTGTCTTTCCTATTTCTGTCTAGCATACTCATTTTTCCAGAACAAGAAAGACCAGCAGTCTTGGGAGGCTGAGGCAGAAGGATTGCAAGTTCAAGTCCAGCTTGAGGGATTTGGTGAAAATGAGACCTTGTCTCAAAATAAAACCTTATTAAAAAGGACTGGGAAAAAAAGAAAAAAAAAAAAAAAAAAAAGGATTGGGGATGTGGCTTATAAAGGCCCTGGGTTCAATCTCCAATAGAATACACACATAGAAAACACCCACCCACCCCAGCTTCTCCGTGGTACCCACCCTGCCAATCCCCCACTCAAATAACACTTTCTTACAACAGTCTTGCTAAAACCAAGCCTGAATCTAACTACACCTCTAGATCCAACCTCCAGTTTATAGGAATAGAGGGGACAGAGGAAAGTTACAGGGATACCACAGGGACCGTGGGCAAGAAGACCAGCTCTCTCTGGGAGTTAACGTGCACACCAATCTTCTCTGGGATCTCAGTAAGAGGCAGATTCAGATCCAGCAAGTCTGGGGAGGGGCCTGAGATTTTGCTTTTTTAACAGTTTCCCCAGAGGTGCCGACTTGCAGGCCTCACGACCACTCTTTGAAGGCACAAACAGCCTTCCTTCAATAAATACATTTTGAAAGGGCAAAAAAGAGGTGGAGGAGAAACCAATGTAAGAAAAGAGACTGGAGGCACGAAACAACCAATTAAAATATGTCACGATGGGCTGGAGAGAAAGCACAGCAGCGTAGCAACTGCCTAGCATGTGTGAAGCCCTGGGTTCCATCTCCAGCATTCCAGAAAACAAAAAGAATATATATATATATATATATATATATATATATGTGATTTTACTTTGATTCTAGTTCAAATAAAGAAATAGTAAGAAGCCATTTTTGAGACAACCAGAGAAATTTGAACATGGGCTAGATATTTAATGATAGGAATTACTGGGTTTATTTTTTTCAGGTGATAGTGTATTATGGTTATGCATTTAAAAATAATCCTTATCTTTTAAAGATACTGAAAAGAGATGAAACTACATGATGCCTGCAATTTCCTCCAAAATCCTGCAGCGGCTGTGGGAGGGAAGTAGGCGTAAAGACGAAAGGAGAGTGTGTGTGAGTGGGTGGTTGAAGCTGTGTAATGCAGACCTGGTGGTTCATTATGCTATTCCATCTTTGTATATTTCTGAAATTTCTCCATTTAAAATAAAGTTTTACAAAACCCATCTTAGATGGATTAAATGATAGCTACATGGATAAATACATGATAAAGCCAATGTAGTAAAACATCCATGGTAGATTTTGGTGGTGGTTACAGTTCCTTCGGTGTTACTGTATGCTTCAAAAATACACTTTTAAAATGGGCATGGTGGTACCTGCCTCTAATCCCAGAACTCAGAAGGCTGAGGCAGAAGGATTGCTATGAGTGTGAGGCCATCCTGCGTTACAAAGTGAATTCAAGGCCAGCCTGAACTGCATAGTGAAACTCTGTCTCAAAAATATAAGAAAAAAAAACATTTTTTTCATAATAAAATGTAGAAAATAAAAATTCTATCTGAGGATTTGGGATCATCCTAGGATTCCTCTGATTGGTGAAAGATGAGAGAGAGCCACCCAGCCCACGAGGGATTAAGAGCTTTTCTCCGAGGTCAAGCTGTAATCTGTCTCCTCCATTCTAGGCCTGGATTTAATGCAAGGTTCAACTAGGCAGTCTCCCTAGGGCCTCCCAAGGACAGAAGAGGAGCTATTTTTGTTCTGTCTCTGTGGGGCCTGGCCTTGGAATGGGTCTAGAAGGCTCATCCTGGGATGCTGGGACATGAGGGTGCTGTTGCTAAGTTGCTGAGGGCTAGGCTCACCTGGAAGAAGGTGTTGCTCTCTTTGCCATTGGCTGTAAAGGTCATCAAGCCAGTAGCCAAGTCTACCAGGCATCCAATGATAAGGTCCGTGTGGCTGATCCTGCCCTGCTGCCCAGGGCTCACGAAGTCCCCACCCCATACCATGTAGCAGTTGCTGCATTTGAGGCTAGAGGGGACAGAAGTGATTACTGCGTGAATCCTCAGTCCAGGAGCTCTGCACCCTGGACCCACCCCATTTCCCCAAATTCCCTGTATATAATGATCCCAGGACCGCGGACTATACTGAACCCCTTCACCCCAGGCTCTGACCCTTCAGAATTAGAATCGTTACAGGCTGAAGGGAGATGGGATTGAAGGAGGAAGGAGAGAAGAGAGGGAGGAATGCAGAAAGAGGGAGAAGAAGAAAACACAAAGAAGAGAAGAGGAGGAGAGGAAAAAAGAATGGGAGCAATTCAAAGCAAGGGAACAGGAAAGGATGAGGAGGGGGAGGAGGAAGCTTCTGAGCCCTGAGAGGTTCTAGAGATCCCTCTTATTCCAAAGGGTTTCCAGGTCCCACAACCAGGCAGCCACAGGATTGTGACTGGAACTCAGCTTCCTCTTGCCTGCCTCCCCCGGGATGTCCCCGCCCTGGTACCTGCTGTGGACATTGCCTTGTTCGTCCCCCATGGTCACCGTCACTGCCCGGACCTTGCTGAGATCGAAGTTCATATCGTGCTGATGATAGTCAGGGGTGACCCAGCCCACCCACACACAGCTGGGCTCCTGACCGGCGAAGACCCTCACGGAGTAATAGTACTGGGGACACACAGAGGGATCAGAGGTCAGTCAGAAAGAATACTGGGGTTCCCTGCAGCTCTGAACTGATTTCCCTGGATTCTCATGACATAACAGAAGCATAACAAGAAGTGGCAGGAATTGAGACCCCTCACTTCCATATCTTTATCTGTTTCTGTGACTTCCAAAGCATTTGTGGATTTGGGAATCTCTTGGGATCTTTCTGATATTCTTACATCTAAGTCCCTGCCCAGGTTACAGCAAGGAAATGAATAGTAACTCATGAGTAGCTGTAATTCTTTACACAAAGTAGCTCACTTAAGTGTATTATGTGGGTACCATTTCCATCTCACTTTACTGATGGGGAAACCGCAGTACTCCCATAGGAGAGAAAGCTCAGAGCAGTCAAGTGACTTAGCCAAGTGGCATCTGGGTGGTCCATGATCCTAAACACTAGGCTGTCTCATAAAAATTCCAGTTTGGTGGATCTTAAAATTATATTGGGATGACAGTGAATTTTTCTACCCAGGGATATATGAGATGGGTTAAATAAATTTGGTGTCCTGTATTTATATGTGTAGACTCAAATGGTGGGTACTCCCTGGATTTTAGGGTCCCTAAGAGCTTTATCAGTGTGTTTCATCATTTCATTGTGCTCCCTGCCATTTTTAGGTCACCAGTTACATGCATTAGGGTCCAAAGGATTACATGCTTCTGAATTTGAAGTATGCTATACTTTGTGACTTTCTGGTGAATACTGAGATTTCCCCAGCTATAGGCATTGCAGCACTGGAAATGGGAATTCCTGAGCTATGCTGAGAGGTCCCCAAAGCTGAGGGCCCCCCATTCGCACTGTGGTTGTGTTGAGGATGATTTCAGGGTCATCACGGTCGTCAGTGGGCACCACATCGTGAGGGAGCCGGGGCAGAGTAGGGGTGGCTGGCGGTTGGGTCATCATGGCAGCCTTCTTGGCCTTGAATAAGAAACTGGTAATGGGAGGAGAGGCTGTTGTGAGAAGCTGCTGTCCAGCTAGGGCCCTGCTCTCCCACCACAACAGCCATGACCCTCTCCCAACTGCACCTGTGTCTACTACTGTCCCCAACCCCTCCCCTCAGTGGGCTAGGACTCCAAACACCCCAAGTCTGATCCACTCTGGAGGTACTGCATACTGAATCACCCACATTCAAAGCCTTCTGGGAATACAGGATTTCTCCTTGGGAGACAGACATACAGTGGTCCCCTTAAGTCAGTGTCACTCATCTGAGTCCCCCAGATGGCTGCTAAATGCCCTTGGGAAAGGACAATTCTTCACCTCATGGCAGTTCTACACTTCCAGCAGCCCCACATTGTGAGGACCAGCAACGCTGTCATTTCCAGATACCCCAAGAGTTGGAACTGCATCCCCCTGAAAAGCACTGCCATGGAGGGAGCCATGCAGATTCCCTTTCATTTTGACACCTCCTCAGGGTCTGCCTTGAAGTAGTTTTTAGGGATACATCTGAGACATAGGAAGGGTCCCAGCTGGTTTCTCACTAAGATATCTGGGGGATACAGTAACCTGTCCCTAGACACCAAAATCCCTTTTAATGTCATGAATAATAAAGCCCACTGCTTGAGGCTCTAGGGAGCCCAGCAAGTACGTAGGATAGTATAGATCTCCATACCACACAGTTCCCCAATTTTACACTCTCAGGGATACCAGAGCATCCCTGGAAAATAATGGAGTACTTAAGATAGCATCCCTCAGTATTGTGATTTCACTTGACATATATGGGATCACTTTGGGTTACACTGGGGGGGGGGTCTCAAATTGTTGAGGTTGCATAATTAGCAATCCCAAGACAGATCCCAAGCCCCACTCGCGACTCACCCTCTCTTCTTGTTCTTCTCTGTGGTAGCATCCTTCTCATTTTCAGCCCTGGCAGGCTGGGCCTCCACCCCAGCCTGGAGGGTCCCCCCTGGGGCTCCCTCCTTGGCAGTTCCTTCCTTGCCCCCTTCAGCCTCTCCCCAGCCCCCAGCTGAGCGGCGCAGGTTTTCATAGTCGGGGTCAGGCTCTGCTGCCCGGGCCTCGTCCTCAGCAGGGGGCTGCAGGCCAGGTGGTGCCAGGGGGGTGGCCCCTGCGGTGCAACGGAAGTGCTGGTGGAACTGAACTGGAAGGCTCAGCCGTAGAAAGAGCATCTCCACCAGGCTGTTCTGGGAGCCCCAGGTGCGGTGGGTGAGGCGTAGGCAAGGAGGTGTATCCACGGTGCCATCCATGCGGGCCACCTAGAGGGGGCAGGAAGCACTTGAATGGGGACAGTGGCCAGGCCAGGCCACTGATCCTCTACCTAGTTACACATGGAGCCATCCATAGGCTTCAGAGCCCCTGGGTAAATATTAGCCAAAGATGTCCCCTCTTTTGAGTTAATGAAGCTCCCTGCAAGGAACACAGCTTGGCCATGGGGTACTTTGGCCCTCTATCAACCTCTGCTGGTCACTTTGCACAGTGGCAACCCTGCCAGTATAACAGCATCGCCTGGGGAGACTTTCAAACCCTACCTATGTAGAGGACTCCAGAACAAGCAGCCAGCACACAGGTATTTACTGAGCACCTACTGCATGCCGGGCTCTATTGTAGGTGCTGGGAACACATCAGGGGACAAAATGAAGACTCTGCCTGCCTGGGCTCCCTGGGAGATCCCTGAGAGAGGGAAGTTCAGAAGAATCAGAGTTTTGTAAAAGTTCCCCAGGTGAATTTTTGCTCATTTCCATGTATGAGGAAATGTAACGTTCAGAAAAGTATGCATATCTTAAACTCAGCATGAAGAACTCTCACAGAACAAGGTTCTAACAATGCAGCGGAAGCTCAGTCACACAGAATTCAAGTTCCTTGCAGGCTGAGAAAAGGACCCAGTTTGATTTGTGCGGGAGAATGCATGGTCAGTGCCTAACCCAAATTTAACCATAAGAGAGAAGATACTGTCAGGCATGGTGGCACATGGCTGTAATCCCAGCTACTGAGGAGGCTGAAGCAGGAAGATCTTGAATTCAATCCTAGCCTGGGAAATTTAGTGAGACTCAAAATAAAGTAAAAGGGCCCGGAGATGTAACTCAGTATCTCTGGATTCAATCTCTAGTACCACCAAAGAGAAAAAAGGAAAAGACAATGAAGCCTGAAAATTGAGATGCATGTATTAATGAAGGACTACTAAAATCACATAAACTCAAAAACTCAACACAATAATAACTAGTAAGGGGCCAGGGGTTTTGCTCCATGGCATAAGTGTCTGCCTGGCAAGCATAAGGTTGTGAGTTTTATCCCTGACAGTCCAAAAAAAAAAACAAGTAAAAGAGATGTCAAAATGTTCTTAGAAATTTGTATTTCTTTCTCTTTTCTCCCTTTCCCTCCTCCATTCCTCTTTTCCAGTACTAGGGAATAACCCAGGTCCTTCACATTTGCACTGAACCACCTCCCATCTTTTAATTATTTTGAGGCAGAATCTCACTAAGCCACCTGATTTCCCAGCCTGGTCTCCAAGAATGCTGGGATTACAGGCATATGCCCCCACTCCCAACTGGATTTATATTTCTTTAAACCTTGCTCTAGGATCAGGTAGTTATAAGGATTAGAAATTTTCATTGGGGTCACTTCTTTTCTATCATCTTTTTGAAGATGCAACACCTAGGACTCAGAAAGCTATAGTCTGCCAAAGTTATATCCCAAGTTATATCCCAAAAGGCAGCCTCAGGAGTCCATTACACTGACCCTTTCTGCGTGGCTTCTGTGCTAACATGGATGAGAAGGAGAAATCAAGGAGAGGTGTGAGAAGAGCGAGATTTGGAGGCAAATCAGAAGGTCCTGGCTTTTACTGGGGCTTGTCCTCACCTCATAGTGGGGGTGGTCAAAGGGCACTGGCTCAAACTGTGGGAGGCTTTTGCTGAACCAGGTGGTGACCGGCCGCTGCATGTTGATGGCAAACGGCTCGAAGCCTTCCTGGAGGCCGCAGATGGCGAAGAAGCGCAGGGAGCTCACATCCTGGCCCAGGTTCAGGTGACCCACCTGGCCGGGTCCCAAGCTGCAGACGGGCAGGAAGCCTAAGGGAAAGGGATGGACAGCAGGATGAGTAGGTGGGCAGGGTGTGCAACACCGTGGGGAGGAGGGCTGTGGAAGGGATAGCAAGAGACGGAGTCAAGTGCAGGTTTAAGTGAGATAGAGGCAAATAGGGATGGCACATGCAGTGTCCCTGCTCTCACCATCCCCAATCTCAATCTCCCGGAAGGCTGTCTCAGAGCCTGAGTCGGACATGAGGACCTCGCCATTGAGAGTGAAGATGATGGTGTTCTCGGTGAGGTCGATCATGCAGCCAACAACATCACCTGACTGCCAGGGACGCCCAAATGGCTCACTGCCCAAATGCCAGCGCTGGCCCTGTAAGGGGAACAGGGGAGAGACACATAAAGCAACACTGAGTTTAGGACATGGAGGCAGAAACGGAGTCACCCAGTGTCCCCATTTTTTCCCATGTTTGCATCCCTGATCCTTGGAAACGCCTTCCTCACTAATCTCTGCAACTCCTCCCTGTTGTCTGAGTCTCCTGCTGTTCCCATGGCTAGGGCCATGTCGACCACCAAAATGGAATTGGGGATTGATGACAGTGGCAAGTAAAGGGATAGAAAGGAAAGATGTAGCTAGCAATGTCTTCCATACAGTCCCATGTTTGCCCATTTAACTCTACAGAATAGAAGGGGGGATAATTATGGGTGAATGAGAACATTGGTATAGTATATAGCTGGACAGAGGAATGGGTAGAAAATTGAGAGTCCACATGGGTTGGATGGAGGGAAGAAAGGAAGTGTAAGTAGATGCATGGATAGATGGATGGATGGATGGATGGATGGATGGATGGTGGATGGATGGTGGATGGATGAGTGTGTGGGGTAGATGAATGGATGGATCTATGAGTGGATAGGCAGGTGAATGGATGCGTAATGGTAGATGTAGAGATGAGTGGACAGAATGAGGCACTGACAGAGGCAGGGCTAGAGTGCAGGGTTTGGGGAGGGACCATAGAGGCTAGCGGGAGGTACTTACGCGGTGCCCATTGAAGACATAGGCCAGATCATCAGCTCCCAGCTCCACATCAGGCCTCAGTTCAGGCCTTGCCCAACCCACTCGCATCTCGCCTGTGGTGACTGCCTCAAACTCAAAGTACCAGCGGCCACTCTGCACTGCGTAGGATTTCTCTGCCCTGAAGATGCGCACCCGGTCCCAACGAGACTGGTTCTCCACTTGACCTACAAGTGAGCCCAGCCAGAGTTAGGAGAGGCAGGGTGAGAAGTGACGCCTGAGACATCAAGAGGCTAGTGGGAGAGACCTTGGGTAACTGGGAGGAGAGAAACAATTTCTTGGTGTTAGAGGAGGATTGGAAAAACCTCAGACTAGTGAGAGGGGCAGGAGGGACCCAAGAGAGATTCCTGTCTTGTTAGAGTCAGACCGCGCAGAAAGCAGAAAGACTGACAGAGACATGGGGGGTGGGGGGATCGGTCCGTACCCTGATCAGGATTATCATCTGGGATTAAGGATCAAGGCCAATGTTTAGAGTCAGGGGCTGAGAGCAGGAATGGGGTGGGGGGTAGAGTCAGAGTCAGGATCAGACCAGAATAGAAATCAGGACTGCAATCAGGAGGTAAGAAAGTAAGGATGAGGGATCACGGTCAGGGTCAGAGGTCAAGACTGGAACTGGGAGTCCCTGAAAGCTCAGGGCTGGATTAAGGATGAGATTAGAGATCCTAGGCCCCTGGCTGGGTGGCTCTATGTTGTAGCTAAAGTCCAGAAATAGGGGCCAGAGTCAAAGGTAGAGTCCAAGAGATCAGCACTCACTGGGCTCCTGGACTGAGTGCAGGGAACAGCTGAGTCAGATCAAAGTCAGTGATGAGAGGAGGCTCACGGTCAGGGTAAGGGAAGAGCAGGAGTTTAAGGGAAGGGTCAGCGCTCACTGACCTCCTGCTCAGTCCACTCAGCATTTCAGATGTAGCCCATTCAGGGAGTGAGTCAGGTCAGGGTCAAGATGGGATCGGGGTAGGGACGAGGTCAGCACTCACTGGGCTCCTGGTCAGGCGGTTCAATGTTGTAGCCGTACCCCAGCAGGGTACGCACAGCCTGGCAGAGGCTGTCCCGGTTGCTGCGCTTGGTGGCCTCATCCAGCAGGCGGTAGGGCACGAGGCGGGGGTTTCTGCGCGCAGGGATGTCCTGTACAGCGCTATAGCTCCAGCCCTGGCCCACACGGTCTCTTGCCCACACGTTGTGCCCATTCTCTGCCAGCCGGTCCACCAGCGTGGTCTGTGCGGGCGTCAGCCGCACGTGGCTCAGATCCAGGGGAGCTGGCTTGTACCCATTGCTCATCATATACCTGCGGGGTGGGAAGTGCGTAGGATGAGCTCTGCTCCCCACTGTGGGGCTCTGCATTATGGGATCCTGGACTTCCAGGACCCTTACCTCTGAGCTTTGAAATTTCTGACCTTTGATCCCTCTCCTCTCCTTTTCCCTTCCCTCCTCTCCTCTTCTTCTCCTTCTCTCTCCTCCCCCTCCCTCTCTCCCTCTCTCTTTCTCTCCCTCCTTCTCTCAACAGTAGTGGGGTTGGAATCCAGAGGTGCTTTACTGCTAGCCACTTTTATTTCATTTATTTATTTAGTTAGTTAGTTTTGGCATCAGGAATCAAACTCACAACCTTGCACTTGCCAGGCAGGTGCTGGGCCGAGCTGTAACTCTGGCCCTTTATTTTTATTTTCAGACAGGATCTTGCTAAATTATCCAGGTTAACCTTGAATCTGAGATCCTCCTGCCTCAGCCTCCCAAGTAGCTGGGATTACAGATGTATGCCACCACACCTGCCATGACCTTTGGACTCATATCAAAGTTCTAGGACTCCCTAGAATAAACTGAGATCTTTGATTCCTGACCCTAGGATCCTGTGACCTTAGCAAAAGCTTTGGCATCACTAACTCTGGCCTCTCTGATGCCTTCATCTTGATTTCTGGGAGTCTTATCTTGACCCTGACATTGTTTGGCTTTGGAGTTTCTTCAGACTGTAGACCAAATCAGTTCTAAACTTCTGGCCTTAGTATCTCTGACCTCTAAATGAGGCCCTCTAATCCCTCACTATGATCTTAGGATCTGCTACACCTCCAGCAACCTCTGCCTTCTCTCTGTTACCACTGACCCTTTGCCGTGAACACAAAGATGTCCCCTCGGCTTTCTCAGGACAGACCCTGACCCTGTACCCCACTCACTCCTCTCCTCCTCTCTCAGCCCTGGACACTCACCTCTGAGCCCTGACTGCACGGCCCCTCATCTCTGACCTCAGTCTCCCCACAGGCCCTCGGCCTCCTCAGGCCCCACTCCACTCCTCAGACAGGCCCCGGGCTGCCCTCACTCACGTCTTGGGGAGCTTTGTCTTCTTCAGGTTGTCCTCCGCCTTCTCGTCCGCCATGCCCACGTGGCAGCCCAGAGCCAGCAGAGTCCTGGGTGGGGAGAAAGGCCTCTGAGTCTTTACCTCTCTCTGTCGCTTGCTCTGGCTGTTGAAATGTCTCTCTCTGCCCTCCTCCATCTCAGTCTGTCTGATTTCTGTCCTTCTGGTTTCTTTGTCTCTGTATCCCTTTGACTATGTCCATTTCCCTGTCTGCTTCTGTCTCGGTATCTCTCTCTCTACCTCAGTCTCTCAGGGCCCACAACTCAGGGGCTCAAGTCATCCTCTTGCCCAAGGAGCAGGGATTACAGGTACACACCGCTGCCTTTCTCTCCTGTCAGTCTTGTCTCACACTCTTGTCTGTCTTCCTCACTCTTGTATCCTCTCTGTCAGTCCCTTTCTCACTCTGTCTGTCTCCTCCCTCTCTTCCCATCAGCAGCAGGCCCAGTCCCTTGCTCTGTGGCACCCCCTTACTTGAGTGTCTCCCCAGACATCTGCAGGTTGTAGTTCCTCTCGGGCTCCGGGAGGCTGTGGAAGTCCACGAGGCACGGGTGCAGCCTCTTGTTGTCATCCCGAACCTGGAAAAGCCCTGCGCTCAACTCCTTGGGCTCCCTGCCCTCCCCATCCCTCCCAGGCTGTGACCTCCGACTTCCCAGTTACTGCTGCTACCCACAGCCCTGAAGCCCCAGGCAGCGGCCAGCAAGGCGTGCCGCCTCGCCTCACCGGGCCATAGGTCCAGCCCTGCTCGATGCGCGTCAACGCCCACAGCTCATGGATGTTCTCAGCCAACTTCTCCCGAATGCGCTCCAGGTGCGGGGGCAGGACGATCTGGGAACGAGGGGTGTTCCTAAAGTCCCTGACATCCCACTACCACCTCCACCATTAACCCCTCATCCCAAGAGCCCAGGAGTGCCTAGCAGGCCCCTAGGATCCCTCCCCACGCTAGTCTTGACTCCAGGGTTGGTGCTTAGATGAGTGAGGTATAGCATTGTCAGGATAAAGGATCATGTCGAGACAGGTCTGTCTCCCTCTGTGGGCCAGGAGCTCCAGGAGGGCAGGGCCAGGGCTGCCTTAGTCTCTGCTAGTCCCTATCCCATCCCAGCCCTAGCTAGACCCAGGGGAGATGCTCAGGACCTATATTCTGAACGGACAGAAGTGTCGTTCCCTTTTCTGTACAGTGGGATTGGTAATGCTTTACTCATGACACCTGCCTCATATGGAGTCAGCGCAGTCCTGCATGTAAACTGCTTGGTGTTATGCAGATTTAGGGTGGAAGTCAAAACGCATGGAAGTCAGAAACTTTTTAATGCCTCAAGGAAAAATCTCTATTTGACCTCTTGTGATGGATCACAGTCAAAACCAACACACTAAAAATGGTGCATGCACTCCCATAATGCTAGCAGTCTGGGAGGCTGAGGCAGGACGCTTGCAAGTTTGAGCCCAGCTTGGGCAACTTAGTGAATTTGTCTCAGAAAATAAAGAAGGGCTGGGGTTGTAGCTCAATGCCAAAGTCCTGGGTTCAACTCAAAGTATAAGAGATGAGAAAGAGACAGACAGACAGAGACAGAGACAGAGACAGAGACAGATGGACCATGACCCAACAAATTGTAGTGGATAAGACCACAGGTTTCAGAATCACACCTTCTATATTCATATCAGCTACGTGTGACTTGGACAAGTTGTTTAACCTCTCTGGATCTTAATTTCCTCAGCTGTAAATCAGGGATAATAGCAGTCCTTGCCTGACGGGGCCAAGGCAAGGACTCCCTGAAATTGGGGTTCTGCTTTGAGACAATCCTTTGCTTCCTCCGTGCCTCAATTTCTCCATGTGTTAAACAACAGAGTTCCCAGCTTCCAGCTCAGCTCCCTGCTCCCTCACTCCTAGGACAACTTGCCTCCCCAGAAACCCCTATGGGCAGACTGTACCTGGACAGTGTCCACGGGACAGGGCACAAAGTCCGTGTGTGACAGGCAGCGACTCGGGCCCACAAGGTGGGGCCCCCGAGGCCCTTCCCGACGATACTCCTTGATGGGTTCAAGATGGAGCCGTTCCCGGGGGAGCACTGCTTCATGGCACGGGGCATAGCCAGGGGGAGGGAGGAACTTGAATTCACCATGGCGGCCACCAAGGAGAAACCGCACCCTAGGAAATGAGAAAAGGTACCATGAAGGGGTACAGGGGTGGGGTGGGGGGTCTGTGGTCACAGGAGGATACAGCAGCAATTCTAGAATTAACAGGAGGTTCAAGGACCTCAAGTCCCTAGGCAGTCACAGGGTCATGGAGGTCATTTAGGAGTCAGAAAGTCTAGGGTCAAAGGAATAACATCAGTGAATGCCATAGGAGGATCCAAAGCAAAGTGCAGGATCATCGAGAAGCTTGTGGTGAGAGGGTCTGTTAATGCAAGGTCATGGGAAGGGCATTTGGATGAGACATTCTCCCACCAGGTCAACAGAGAGAGCCTCTGGGAATAATGGCAGGTCGGGGGAGATCAGAAGAAGTCATTTTAGGAGTCATTAAGAGTCTGTTATAGTTATGAAATAACCATAATCTCCACCTCTAAATCACATTCAGAGAACGAGGGAAGGCAGTCACTAAAAAAGGACTGAGTTACTGAGAGGACTTTGAATTAACTATGATTATAGGGGGTCACTGGGAAAGTCTGGGTCTATTGGTTCATCACTGGAGATCTTGGCATCATTGAGAGATTATCAGAAGAGGACAGAGCCATTGAAAAAGTCTGAGGTCGGGCTGGGGATTTAGCTCAGGGGCTGGGGATTTAGCTCAGCGGCATAAGTGCCTGCCTTGCAAGCAGGCAGTCGTGAGTTCGATCCCCGGTACCGATAAAAATGAAAAAAGACAAAAAAAAAAAAAAAAAAAAAAAAAAAAGTCTGAGGTCACTGGGGGATCAAAGAGGGCCCATGGTCATAAGATCATTCTCAGACTCTGGAATCATTGAAAGATTCTGAGGTTATTAGAATCATTGGGAGGTTACTAGATGGTCTTGGATCATTGAGACATCCTGGGATAACCTGAGGTCACTATATGGTTCTATAGGATCACATAGAGGTCAATGCAATGACATGGAGTTGGGAGAGCCAGAGGTCATCAGGCTCATAATAGAGTCAGTGTGGCTTTCATGTGGGGGTTCTCTGGCCACCGGTCAGTCCTGATGACAGACTGCTCTGTCTTGACCTCATAGGAGTCCATAAGTGATGGCTGGTCCCTAGAGTCAGTCTCCAGATCTGGGATGGATATTGAACAAAGTAAGTCCTCACTTGATGCCAGCTGAGAAGCTGACGACAGGGAAGAATAGCCCATCGAGATTGAAGGCCTCAAAGACACCCTGCACAGGACAGCCATTGATTCGGAAAGAGATGGATGGCACGCTGAGGTCCAGGCAGCAGCTGACCACATCCTCAGGGGCCAGGAGGTGCTGTCCTGGAGAAGTCACTGGACGTGCCACATGTCCTGTACCAGGGTCACCAAAAAAAGTCTGAGTCAGAGGTTCCATGGAACAGTAACATAGAGACCAGAGGGAAACATTGGAGGGGTCCTCTGGAGACTGAATTTTGGAATCCCTAGTGGTAAGTATACCCATGGAGAGTCCCATAGATCTAAAATTAGATGCAGAGGGCAGGGCTCCCCTGAGGTTAGGATCCTGGGAGCTACAGGGTCATAGATTAATATCCTCCTAGAATTAAGGTTATGGAACTTTTCAGGTTGCAAGTTAAATAAAAATCAGAAGTCATAATACCCTGGGAAATCTAGGATCTCCAGGGTCAGAGGTCATATCTTCTCTGGGGTAGAGTTCTAGGGGCTATGAGGAAACAATTCTTTCAACTTTCTGGAAGATTTAGGGTTACAGTCTTAGGAAACAAGGACTAAAGGGTCAAAGTTTGCCTCTTTTGGAATTCAGAGTCCTGAGAACTCCAGGATGTGTGGTCAGAGTTTTGAAAATTCTGGGGTCAGTGATCAGGGGTGAAAGTCCCTCAGAGGGATTCACGTACCTGTCCAGAGATGCAGCCCATCGAAGCCGTAGGAGTAGAGGTCATCGCCGACCCCGTTGCCGCCCCAGCCCTCACCGCCCCCAGGGTAGGGGCTGTAGCCCTCGGTGAGGGCCCAGCCCACCCGCAGGTGGGTGGCCTGGGCTGTCAAAAATGGATCCACTTCATCCACCATCACCTCAAAGTACCATTTGCCATACTGTGTGGTGCCCTCTGCTCGGCCCACAAAGATGTTTGGGCGGATACTGCAAGAGAGATAGGACAGGAGAGATGGAGAGCAGAACCAATTAAGGGAGGGAAAGAGGCAGAGAGACATCAAAAGACAGAGAGATGAAAAAGAACTAGAGAGAAGGAGATGGAAAAGAAACAGAAACAGGCAAAGAGAAAAAGAAAAAAACAAAACACAACAGGGAGAGGGAGAAAGAGGCAGAGGCAGAGCAGAGGTAGAAATGGAGTCTGGGGCAGAGAATCAGAGGAGTGGGGATCCAAGGCTGAGCAGGGGCAAAGTGGACACCTTACGCTACAGATGAGGGGAGAGACATCCATCTAAGCTGGAGTCTCCACGTCAAGGAAAGAGGAGAAGAGTTCGGAGCTTGCAGTTGGGCATCAGGAGCCATACCTGGTGACATAGTTGATGAGGTTTGTCTGCAGCAGAAGCTCGCGGCCAGGAAGCAAGTTTTCAGTAATGAGATCTTGGTTGGAGCGCACGGCCACACCATTGCATACACACAGGGAGCACAGCACATCCAGGACCTGGAGGTTAAGGTCAGAGGTCAAGAGCAGGATGATACTGCAGCAGGGGACCATGGAAGGACCAGGGTGGAAAACCAGAAGGCAAGGATACCGTGTTCAAACAAGACATGGAGATTTTGCCTAAATGGAAATGGTGAGACTGGAAGGGAACAAAGAGACAGGTCAGGGGGGTCAAAGAGGAAGATCATGCTGGGTGAGGAGGCAAAGTCTGTAATCCCAGCTGCTGAGGAGGCTGACACAGAAGGATCAGAAGTTCAAGGCCAGTGGGTAACTTAGCAAGACCTTGTCTCAGAGTAAAAAATTAAAAATAAAAATAAAAAGGACCAGGAGAACCACCAACAGAGTGAAGAGACAACCCACAAAATGGGAGAAAAATGTTTGCCAGCTGTCCCCCAGACAAAGGATTACTATCGACAACATATAAAGAACTCAAGGGGCTGGAGATTTAGCTTAGCAGCATAAGCATCTGCAAGCAGGCAGTCGTGAGTTCGATCCCCGGTACCGATAAAAAGGAAAAAGACAAAAAAAAAAAAAAAAAATAGTAAGGGACCAACCTTGTGGTTCCTCCCATGCTTGTCCAGGAGAGAGATGATGGATTTGATGTGGTTCTCCTGGATGATGTTCAGGACCTCAGGACTCTCAATCAGGACACAGTACAGCACCTCCAAGATGCCTGCCCAGGAGCCAGCAGGAGAGGTGAGGTGGTGTTGCTCTCCCCTCCCCTAAGGCCCTGTCCCTCTCCCTGGTCCTCCTACCAGATGAGGCCTCCAGGCGATCCAGCTTGCTGACCAGCCAGTCCAGGTTTGTGGAGAAGAGGGCACAGTTGGCACGATTGCCACGGATCAGAGAGGCTGAGGAGGCCACAGGGGTCAGACTCAATGGGATTGGGAATACGGAGTACTCGTGGGGAAATTAGGACTGAGCCCCCTTACCCAGGAGTTCATAGAGCAGGTTCACAATCTCTTTCCAGGACTCAGCTGCCTCCTCCCCTGCAAATTCAGCGAAGTGAGCAGCAGTGGTATAGACATTTAGGCGGTCAATGCAATTCAGGACCAGGGTGAGCATCCCCTAAAGTGGGAGAAACAAGGGCTGGGGTCACCAGAAGAGTTCCAGGGCCCTGATTCTTTGTCTTGCTTGGATTTACTAACTCATATCTTTTGGAGGCTATGTGTGGTCTGGATTAAACCAATCCCTTTAGCTCCATGTCCCCATTCAGTCCCATCACCCTCCTCTGCTCCTTGGGTTCCCAAATCTGTGCTCATCTTCTCTCCTGTCACCAACATACTATGCTTTGACTAACATCGAGACTGAATTAACTGCACTCCTCTTTTCTGCAGTTTTCTTTCCATCCTCCTCACTCCCAAGCACTCCACTCCTGCTCCTAACTGGTCTGGTTCACTCTCCACACCAACCATTAGGGTTTTTTTTTTCCCACATTCTGCTTGTCTACTTCTTAATCCTTCTTTTATTGTGAATGATAACACACATACAGCAAAGTATACAATATACGCATTACTGATTCTGATTATTCATGCAGTTACATTCTGTAAAGTTGCAATGAATATTCAGTTACTAAATACTGAACCATCCCTCCTAAGAGAAATACAGGAAGTTTCTGTGAGCCTCTGGTCATGATTTTTTTTGAGATAAGTTTTCATGTATTTTGCCAGGCTAGTCCCAAACTCCTAGACTCAAGCAACCCTTCTGCCTGAGCCTCCCCACGTGGCTGGCACTACAAGTACACATTACACAACACTTAGCTTCTAGTTACAAATTTTCATCAACCAATCATTACATAACTACTATGGTTGGAATCCAATATGTCCCCCATAGATACATTGTATTGAATGCTTAATTGTGCTGATGGCATTAGGAAGGTGACTGGATCATTATGACTCCAAACCATGATAAGATCGTAATCTGGGGCTGGGGATTTAGCTCAGCAGCATAAGCGCCTGCCTTGCAAGCGTGTGGTCGTGAGTTTGATCCCTGGTACTGGTAAAAATACAAAAAAAAAAAGATCATAATCTGATGATATCATTGGAAGATGGTGGAAACAGGAGGTGGGGTCTAGTTGAAAGGAGTGGAACACAGGGGTATGGCCTTGGAGACTGTGTTCAGTTCCCAGCCACTTCCTCTCTCTTTCTTTTTCTCTCTGCATCCTGGCTGCTATGAGGTGAGCAGCTTTCCTCTGCCATATCCTTTTGCATAATCTTCTATCTCACATAGGCTTAAAAGCCATGGAGCCAGCTGATCATGGACTGAGACCTCTGAAGCTGTGAGCCAAAAATTGTTCATGGTATTTTGTCACAGTGATGGAAATGTGACTAACACCATAAACTTGTTTCAGGTGTATTTATGTTTAAAGACATTTTTATTTAATTTATTATATATTATATATATTTATATATATTATATATATTTATACATATTTATTTAATCTATTATATATATTTATATTATATATAAAATCTGTATTTAATCTATTATAAACTATAATAGGGGGGCTGGGGATTTAGCTCAGCGGCATAAGCACCTGCCTTGCAAGCAGGCAGTCGTAAGTTCGATCCCTGGTACCAATAAAAACAAAAAAGACAAAAAAAAAAAAAGAATAAACTATAATAGATTATATGTAATGTAATATATTAACTTATTCAATATATTAATTAACTACATATAAATAAATTATACATTAATTTATTTAATATATTATTGACTCATTAGCATTAAATTCATAACCAACAGCCCTATATTTCATGAAACTTAGCTAACTCTAAAAGGTAACTCCTTGATGAGACACATCCCAACCTTTTTTTTTTTTTTCAGATTGAATCCAAGATTTTTGTACTGAGCTATATCCTAAGTCTTTTTTTGTTTTTATTTTGAGACAGGATCTTGTAAGTTGCCCAGACTGGGCTTGAACTGGTTATCCTGCCTCAGCCTCACAAAGTGCTAGGATTACAAGATATGCTCTGCACCCAATTCACATCACAGCCTCCCAGCACTTAAAATGTTAAATAGCATTGTACCACTTGGGAGTCATTTTAAATAGTAAAGTGGGCAAGGACAAAACTGCAAAAAATATGGAGCTAAGTATACTGCAAAAAGGATACTTGTTTACAGAAACAAGAAGGCAGAGGTTTGCCTTGTTCAGCCTCAGGTGGGATTCCATGCTCACATCAGAAAATGTAAATTTCCTGCCAGTCTAGCCAGGCATGGTGGTGCATACCTGTAATCCCAGCATTCTGGGAGACTGAGGCACATGAATGGTGAGTTCAAGCCCAGCCTGTCCATCTCAAATAGGGGGTTGGGGGAGCTGGGATGAATTTCAGTGTAAAGTACTGGGATCCATCCTCAGGACTGTCAGTACTGGAGGGAAAAATCTATCGAATGCTTGTATAACTGTGACTCAAGTCAAGGGAGAGAACACTGTGGCCAGGGATATAGCTCAGTGGCACGGTGCCTGCCTGGCAAGTACAATTCCCATTACCCAAAAAAGGAAAGGAGAGAAGGAAGAAGGAAAGAACAAAGGAAAAAAGGAAGGAAGGAAGGAAGGAAGGAAGGAAGGAAGGAAGGAAGGAAGGAAGGAAGGAAGAGAAAGAAAGAAAGAAAGAAAGAAAGAAAGAAAGAAAGAAAGAAAGAAAGAAAGAAAGAAAACATTGCAGCCACTCAGCAGCTTCCTGTGCCCCAGGCCCACGCAGCCCTCCTCACTAAGAATAACCTCTGTCTTCATTTGTGCAGAAAGCCCTTCCTCACTTCTGTTTTTAACATGTTATGTGTGCACCAATAAACAGTCTAGTTGAGAGTTGCCTGTTCCGAATTTGAGATATACAGCAAGCCCGTGGGTTATTGCTTTCAGAGTCAAGCACAGTGATGCATGTGGCTGTGGTTTCTCTTCATTGTCACTTCCAAGGCTGGGCTGTGCTGTACTTATGGCTGTATTCCTGGAGCCAAGCTAGGGCTGCTGATGGACAAGATTACAGTTTCAGGCCCTTACAAATATTCTGCTATGACCATTTTAGACAATAGTCCCCTCCCTTGTACATGGCATCACTTTCTACAGTTTTAGGTATCCTGTCACCTGCAGTCCAAAATATTAAATGGAAAATTCCACATTTTGTTAGAGATATCACATTCACATAACTTTTATCACAATAAATTGTTATAGTTGTCCAGTTTTACTATTGGTTGTTGTTAATGTCTTACTGTGCTAATTTATGCATATAAAATTTATGATAGGTAGGTGTGTATGGGAAATGACTGTATATACAGAGTTTAGCATTATCCGAGGGTTCAGGCATCCAATGGGGGTCTTAGAGCCTATCCCACATAGATGAGGAGGGACTAACCTATCTCTGTTCATGAACCCATGACACTAGTAAGACAGGAAGTACATTCAGGTAAAGAGCACAGCCAAAGTGGAGTCATAAACTGACTCTGCCACTAATTTATTGTGACTTCAGAAGACTCAATTCTCTAGTGGTTCACCAAACCAAAGACCTCATCATGGTCTGGTTTTTGTCACCTCTCTGCTCTCATCTCCTCCCACTCTTCCCCCGATTATTCTATTCCAATCATCTCTTGCTCTTTCTGGAACATGCCAAGCACATTCCCACCTCAGGGCCTTTGCACATGTTCTCCCCTCTAACAGCTGCTACTCCATGGGGTGTACAGTTGGCTCCTTGGCTCCTTCTCTTCCTCAGGTCACCCTGCCTGAGCACTAGATTTTAAACTGAAAATCCCAGTACTCCCCACCTTTTCCCTAGTTTATTTTTCTCCTTAGCACTTATCTGCCTCCCCCTGCCAGGTGAACTTTGTAAGAGATTTTTTTTTGTCTGTTTTGTTTACAGCTGGCATGCTAGTTGAGTAGGTGATTGTTATTTAATCTCTCCAAGCTTCCGTGGCTCCATCCTAATATGGGAATTACAATCCCCAGGGGCACGTAAAGCCCTTAACACAGAGTGAAACCTAAATTCAAGGCAGAAATAGTGTAACCACTCACACTTACAGAGCACCTACCCTGTGCTGGTACTGTTCTGGCTAGTATATACTGTAGTAATTCCAGCCTATAAATAACAGCAGTTATTATTGTCCTTTATGGGGTTCTTCCTCCCCCAAGAGGTTGGGAGTCCTTGGATAGGAGGGGGCCAGGTTGAAGGCCTTTGAGTGGACACCTCCCTTCTGCCAATGAAAGTGTCAAATTCCTGACCTTTGTCCAGGCCGCTAATCCCAGTCCTTCTGTCTCCTCTCACACGAAGAATTCAGGCTGACCTTTTTCCCTGTCTTCTAAGACTCTCCGCCCCCAATTCAAGCTGAGGACCTTCCCTACTCTCCTGCTGCGAGCCCAAAGATCACCCACGCCCCACTCTAGGTCTGTCCTCCCGCCCCAAGGCTCCACGCTCACAGATGCGGCCCCTCGAATCCGCAGCCCCACCCCACTCGGCCTGACTGCTCCCCAAGCCTCGCCTGGCAGATCTGGCCTGGTCGAGGAACTTCACACACGCACCGCCCCTCCCTCGCTCCACCAGGCCCGCCCCTCCTCTTGGCCCCGCCCTTCAAGCGCGCTGAAAACCCGAGGCGTCCTCAGGCCTCCTAGACGCGGGGTAGGGGAGTGGTGGGGTGCTGGGGTGGGGACCCACAGCACCTCCTCCTGGAAGAGGCTCTGGCGGTTGCGCAGGCTTCGCAGCTTGCTCTGCTTCTCCTCATGCTGCAGCTCCTCTGAGGGCGGCTCGAAGTAGCCGATGAGGTCCTGCAGGCTCAGGATGACGCTCTCTATGGGCAGCGCCGAGCCAGCTGGGGGCCCCGAGCCCCTCGGCTTCCCGCTGAAGCTGTCCAGGCCCCTGCGGAGAACACAGCTGTGAGCCAGAGCTCCTCCTGCCCCCACACACCCACCCCACTCCCCTCCGCAGGCCCCAACAGGGCTGGGCAGAAACTGGGAGGGAAAAGCCTTGACCCGAGGTCACTCAGCGGTTGGGACTGGGACTCCATGGGAGCCGGAGTCAAGCTGGGAGGGTCAGGGTCAAGGCTCTGAGCTCTGAGGTGTGGCAGGGGATGATCTAGGCTGTAAGGTCAAAGGTCATGGTTGCCTAGGTCACATTAGGAGTTAAATGCTCAGAAGTCCGGGCTTTAGAGACTAGGGGCCGTGCTAGACAGGGCCATGATGTTAGAGGCCTCCAGAAATCAAAGCAGTCAGGAAAGGGAAGCCAGGGGCCTGGGGTCACCCCACAGGCTGGTGGCTGCTTACTTGATGAACTGGTTGTACAGGCCTGCAGTGCTGTGGATCATGCGGGCGGCCTGGGACTCCTCGTGCTGGCAGCGGGTCAGTGACAGAGCGTCATCCATGTGGCCTTCCTGGTGCAGCATGGCCTGGGTGTGAGGAAACAGAAATCAGGAGGGATTCAGCCACCTCACAACTAGGACCCCAACCTCTGCTTAGAGTTTAGTCTCACAGCTGCCCCCTACTCTACAGAATTTCTCTGCCAGTCTCCCTGGTTTTTTTTAATGCTCTTCCTCTGTCTTTCTGTCCTGTCTCCCTCTTTCTGTATGTCTGTGTCTCACCTCTATCCCACACTTGTCTTGCCTCTCCCTGTCTCTCTGTCTGCGTCTCCCTGTCTCTCTCTACCTCTATGCTTCTGTCTCCTCTGTCCCCTTCCCTCCTGGCTGTCTCCAGACCAGACTGTGTCCATCACTATCTGTCACCAATTTACACAGCTCCTCCAAGCCTGGGGATGTAGCTCAATGATAGCCCACTTGTTTAGCATGCACAGTCCCTAAGGAAATAGAGTGCACCCCTAGCACTGTGGGAAATACCACCCACCCCAAACTTAGCATGTTCCAGGTGGAAAAGCTCACCACTTTATCACAAGGCGAGTCCATCCAGCTACCAGCTCTGCTGCTATCGGACGCCCACACCTTGTCCAGCCCCACAGCTGACATATCACCTACCTGGGGCAGGATCCCACCTGTTCCCTTGGGCCCTAGGCCCTGCCTCTGCATCCCCTACTTCTGTCTCCAAATACAGGCCTCATTTTTACAGAGGCCTCCACAGGCTTCCCACACATCCACTCGGTAAGTCTTTATTGAGTGGCTGTGCTCTAGGCGTGACAGGAAACTTAAGATGTCTGTCCTGAGCTGACACTTGAGTCCCTGTCCCATTTAATGGTGCTTCCACTTTTGTTGCTGCTCAGAGGAAAAAATCATGGCATCAACTTTCTCGCTGTCACCTCATATCAATCTATCAGCAAATCCTATTGGTTCCACCCTCAAAATACAACCAGAACCCGCCCCGCAGTCCCCACCTGGCTCCTATCTGCTATCATTTTCCACCTGTACCATCCCAGCCCTCTCCTCCTGGCATTCAGTTCTGCACAGTTAGACTAGGAACTCAGAGCCTGAGAGTCAGATCACCATTGTGTCCTGCTCAAAACTCTCTTGAGCAGGGCTGGAGATACAGCTCAGAAGCACAAGTGCCTGCCTGGCAAGCACAAGGTCTTGAGTTTGATTCTGGTATCAAAAAAAAAAAAAAAAAAAACCTCTCTCTGGTGGCTCCAAACAGGACAACAACTAGCATCCCACCATAAGCATCCCATCTCCTCTTTGTCCTCCTCCCCCACCAGTTGCCCCTCATTCACGGTGCTCTAACCACACTGCATTCAAACCCCAGGGCCTTTGCATATGCTGTTTCCTCTGTCAAAAGTAGCTTTCCAAAAAAAAGTAGCTTTCTTACTCCTCAACTATAAAACTGTGAACTCCATCAAAAGCTGTTTATTCATTGTTCCTAACCTAGTGGGGGCAGGGAACTAGTCTACCCAGCTCATCCATTTTTCCCACATCCACATCCAGACCCACTTGAGTACTCAAAGATTGTTTATTAAAGGTACTCTCAATCTGTCCTTATCTGCCTTTTGTGTCCTGTCTCAATTTCTCTGTTTCCAAGTCTTTTTGACTCTGCTTTTCTTTCTTTGTGTATATTCCTCTCTCTCTCTCCCTCTTACATTTTCCCTCTCAGTCTCTGTCTCCCCTCCTCAGATTCTTGAAGCCTGAAGCAAGACCACCCAGCCCCTTCCCATGCCTGCCCCTGCACTCTCTCGACAGGCACGCACCTTCTTCTTGAGCACTCCCAGCCGCAGGGCCTTGGGGTCTGGGGCAGCGTAGGTGAGCCATAGGCCTGAGGCCATGTGCTGCACAAAACACAAGGACTCCCCATATTTGATCTCCGGAGGGCCCATACCCTCCACGTCCCGCTTGGGAGCCATATCCAGCTTCTCCTGCAGGGGCAGGGTACAGAGGTAAGCCTTCTCTGTATAGTGGCCCCCCACCACCACATCAGCAGCGTGGAAGCCGAGTGGAGTTCAGAGCTCTTCATGCGGAAGTCACCCCGATACCCACAGACCTTGGAGACACGGAAGCAGAAGGAGGTAGCCTTGGTGTGGGCCTTGCTGGCATCAACCACCACCAGGCCCTGGTCCTCAGTGAGGGCCAGGTACCGCCCGGTGGTGACATGCCGAATGCGTAGCGGCTGTCCCCAGCGCAGGTGGCTGCCGCTCCAGCTGAGAAGGCAAAGGTGAGGAAAGTGAGGGGTGCCCCGTCCTCCCTCAGACACCACAGTATGGGCCCGAGATTTCTCAAGTCCCCCTCTCTCCCCAAGGATTTTCTGAGCCTTTCTGGGCATCCTCAAATCTTCCCTGGGACCCCTCAGTCCTACCTCAGATGCTCCAAACTTCCCTCAGGCCCTCAAAGGTTCTTCAAGGCTCCCTGGATGTTTCCAGTGCCCCCAGTCTATCTAGACCCCTGCACTCCCCAGTCTCTTCCTTGGGAACACCCTACTCTGCCCCGAGACCTCCTTTTGCTCCAGGACTCCAGGATCTCCAAGCACCTTCGTCTTTCTCATGAGCTCCCCAGATTTCACCCCAGATGCTCCAATCTCATCCTCAGATTTTCCTTGAAGACTCTGTGCCCCCTCCCAGGCCTCTTAAAGAGATGCAGGCCCCTCCTTTAGCCCTTCCCCACGGACATACCTGATTCTCAATGGCTCCAGCCTCCAGAGAGAGCGAGCGTGGGTGCACACAGATCCTCCCTCGTAGTAGACAAGTCTGAGGACATGAGAGAGAGAGAAAGGTCAGAAATTCAGGCTCCAGCCCCACCCCCAAATCTGAACCTAAACTCCCTTAACAGGTGTGCTGTAGTTTAGATCTTGAGTGGTCTCCTGAGGCCTTGTGTTGAAGGCTTGGTTGCCCAGCCCTGGTTGCTATTGGGAGGTAGCAATACTTTAGGAAGTGGGGCCTAACGGAAGGAAGTTAGGTCACTGGGTGTGACTGTTGCTCTGGAAGGGAATATTGGAATGCCAGGCCCCCATTTTCTCCTTCTTTTTTGGTTGTCGGCTGTGATGCCATGAACTGGCCTCTGCCATGTGTAGCCTCTGCAATGTACTGTGCTACCACAGGCACAGGGACAAGAGACCAGAGATTGAAACCTCTGCAACTGTGAGCCAGAATAAACCTTTTCTCTTATTAAGTTGATTAATTAGCTCAGGGTTTTTTTTTAATAGAATGCTAACACAGAATCCAGCCCCCCAGTCATCTTTCCTCCCCACCCTCATCCCAAGACCCCCAACAACCCATCCCCAACCCAGACCTGCGTTGGTCATCACTGTCAGCAGGTGAAATGGTCAGACACTCATCCATATGTCCATGAAAAAGACGGAGGACATGGCCCCCTGTCACATATCCTGGAAAGGAGCAAGGAAAGGCGGTGGTTATGAAACAGGAGCCCCAGAAAGACCCAGAAGCCAGGGTAAAAACTGGGGGCCCTGTACATCCTCTGTGAAAAGCCAAGGGCTGGATCTAGGAGTCTGTAGTTGACAGTCTGAGTTTCAGGGTATTAAGAGTCTGAAAATCAGGTCGACTTTAAAGCAGTAAGTTGGGTATGAGATTTGAGGCCTGAGGTTGGAGCTGTCGTTATACAGGGCTGAGGGTGAGGACTGGGAACCTGTGGTTTAGGATTCTGAGTTTGGACTTTTGAGACTAGGGTAGAGAATCTGGTCAGAGAGCTAGTCTAATGTTTCCTGGTGATCATTCAAAGCTTTGGGTTTGGTACTTGGGTTTTGAGGCTAGGTGATGGTTGGGTCTGAGGCTGGGGTATGGGGCTTGGGCCAGAATTCTGTGCATTGATTTTGGAGGTCTGAGGCTGGGGTCTGGTTTGGTAGTCATGCATTTGGAAAGAACTGAGCTTTGTAGTTAGAAGTTGACAAGTCTGAGTTTCAGGGTCTTGGCTTAGGGATCATGGTTTAAATTTCAATTTGGTTCTGGCTTACACATCTAAAGAGTTACGAAAGTTAGGGGTCAAAGTTTTGGGGGCATTCTTTGAACCCTTCTTTGAGGACCTAAATTTGGGAGTTTTTGTTTTTGGGGAGGTAAAGAGGGAGGGCTGAGGCATGTAGGATAGCTTTCGGGTCTGAATTAGGGTTTCTGGTTTGGAAACTTGAGGTTTGGATTACCAGGTCTGGGCTTAGGAGTCTGAAGTCATGGTCTGTGCTTGAGATGTGAGTGATAAGCTCCAATTATGAGGTTTAAGCTTTGGATCTGGGTTTGGGGGCCTGGCCTGTAAGACTGAGTTTGCTATGAGAGCTTTAGTATTTAATATTTAGCTTTAATATTTTGGGGTTTGAATTTAGTAGTCTGATACTGAGTTTTGGGTTTGGGGATCTGCACTCTAGGACTCTGGCTTTGGGGTCAGCTTGGAGATCTAGCTGAGGTTGTAAGGCTGAGTTTGGTATGTTTGAGTAGCAACACCGAGGATCTGTTTTGGGGGAGTCTCAGTTTAGAGGCCAGAGGCCCAGGGCCCTCACCCTCTTCACAGCAGGAGCAGATGGGGTTCATGTTCCATAGTGTCTGCATGAAGGAGGCATCAACCTGGAGCTCTCCACTGGCGGTTGACAGGTGCTGGGGGCCACCAGGATATGATCAGGATGATGGGCAGAGGCAGGCAAGAGATCAGGCCAGAATCAGAGTGGATCCCAGGGAACATACAGATTGGAGGCAGAAGATTTTGAGGTCACAGATCAGGAAACCAAGATCAAGTCAGGAAATGGGGGATCAGAAAGCAAAAAATTTAGATGTCAGAGGTCAGGAAATAGAAAATTGGGAGTCAGGATGTTGGGGTCTAGAGACCAGATAGACAAACCGATGGTGAGGATGCAGGGCTGAGTCTATGTGTCCCCAGCCCTGTAAGAGCCAGCTGGAGGTGGCATCACTTACCAGGTAGCGCTCAGATGAGACACTGACAAGGATGAGGTCATCTCCTACTCGGACCTTCTCCCCTTCAGACCTCTGCTTGGAGGCTGGGTGTGTTGTCCACCAACAAGCTTCTCCTATAGGCAGTGGTGTGTTAGACAGGGGGCTATCAGGATGGTAGCTGCCCAGAATACTTTTCCCCAGGGCATTCCAGGCACTGAGCCTCCCAGTCCCTGGGCTAATAAATCTATTACTGCCACCAACTCTCTCTGTCTAGACTTCCCCTGAAGTCTCCCGTGTAGTACATGCCCACCTCTATGCCCAGACCCTCTGCCCCAAAGCCTCCTTTCCTAGCTCCATGATGGTGACATGCCTGGCTCTAGAGTTCTGCAAACTTTCTGCCCCCTGACTTCCTGCCTCCAGGTCCCTATCACATCCCCACCCTGAAGCCACTGTACCTGTTGCATCTTCCTGCAGTCCCACATCAAAGGCCAGCTTGTCAGTCATGGAGCGGGAGGTGGTGAGACAACTCAGGTACTAGAGTTGGAGAAGAGGTTCAGTCTCCTCCTGGCAGGTCCCCCATCCCCTGTCCACACCCCTTGATGATGCACTCACCATGCCACTGTGTGCATGTCGGAGTAAGATGGCATGGCCGTACAAGAGTGTCCTGTGTCCCCCACCCTGGGATGACTGCAAGGAGGGAAGGTACAGAGTAAGCACAGACTCCAAGAATCTCAAGACTTCCAAAACATCTGGCCTAATCACAAAAGAGAATGTGCTCTCCATAAAATACGGTGCTCAGACCTGGAGATAAGGAAGCTTCAGACCCCAGCAGATATTCACCTCAGTTTCCCCATCCATGGATCAGAGGCTGTGTCTCTGAGGGGCCTGGAGGTATACTGTTCATATTCCCCAGAGTCCACTCTATCCTTCCTGTCTCCTCTACCTTGTTGATCAGGCCCCAGAGTCATACAGAGATGGGTATCTTCCAGGTGCCAAGGATACTCAAAGAAGCCCCAATATCTTGTGTTCCTTAAGGCTCAACCCCTCTGCTCTAAGCTGTCATAACCTGCGACCACTGTGTGCTGCCACACCCCATCCAGAACATAAGGAGACTCAGCCCTTTTTGGAGTGAGCCAGTGTATCCAGTGTGCTTGATGGCATCATGCCTCTGCCACAGCTCTCACATGCCCATGCTCCATGGGGGCCATGTGATAAATCCATATGATCACATGGCAGACCCACTCCTGGACTGGAGGGGACCCACACTTGGGATGGGGAAAGGTAAAAGGAGAGATTCCATGCAGTGAAGAGATGGGGTCAAGGTTGGAGGAAAGGATGGGATTGAGGAGAAAGGAACAGGTGAGGAACATGGGGCTCAGAAGCCTCCACACCTTCCTTCCTTCCTGCTGCCTGCCTGGCTTATTCTGGGCTCCACAGTCCCTGACAGCTGGGGTGGGGAAGAACCTCCAGCCCCTGTGTACAGGATGTGGGCCCAAGCAGCAGGCCTGAGGTCAGGAGGGATGGGAAGGACAAGTGGCACCCAAGGCCAGACCTACCCACTTATCCAAATTGAGGGCCTGTGGGGGCGGGGTAGAGAGAGGAAGAAGATCAGATGATAAGTGACCTCTAGGTACCCTCACTCATTGCTGTCCCTGTGCCCTGCCTGGCCAGAGGTGGACCTTACCTCCACACCAGCCTCCACAGTGTTGGCCAGCATCTCCTGCAGCGCTCGGACTGATAGCGACTGCTCCAGGATGAAGCAGCAGATGGCCAGGTCTGGGGGCACATTCTGGGGCGGGGAGCAGGCTTCAGTGGAGGCCTGAAGACTCCCAAGCGCCATTCCCTGGCATCCCTCTTCCCTCGGTCTGGATACCCACACATAAGACACCCAGACCAGACCCCACCCAGCCTCACAAGAAGCCGCTGCCCCTGCCATGACCCTCAGACACACAGACCCTGCTGCAGTGCAAGTAGCCCCGGCTCTGCACCTTCCTCACAGATAACCCCAAATCTCCCCATCCCAAAGGACGCACAGTCTCTGGCCTTTCCTAGCACATTGTCCAGATGCTGTATTAACCCCTTTTGCCCCTCAGACCTCAGATATGGACACACACTGCTTTACAGGCACAAGAAGTTCCAATCTCACATCTCTCACCTCATTCTCCCATCCCAGCCAGCTCAGATTCTTGAACCCCCAGCCCCTTAGGCACAAAACTGTGCCCCTCAACCCCTCTCATTCACAGCCTGCGACCTCCTCCCCACAAAACTCCACGTCCCCCGCTTTCAGCCCCAAGCCCCCCATCCTGTCCCCTCCTTCTCAGCCCCTGAGTCCATCTCACTCTCTCTCCCATGCAGGTTCCTTTGGCCTCTCAGTTGCCTGTGCCCTCGGTCAGCCCCTGCTAGCTTCACCCTCAGCCCAGACCCTTCACTCTTGGATCCAAAGCCGCTGGCGCCCCAGCCCCCTGCCTCTCAGAGCAGCTTCCCTCTGCCCTCGACCACCTTCCTCTCAGACCCCTGCTAAGACTCATGCCCCCACCCCCTCAGACGTCCTCGGCCCTTCCTTCCACGCGCCCCAGACTCGGCCCCTCAGGGTCCCCACCTCCTTGGACCTCAGGTCCTCGGTCCTGTGGCTCAGTTTCCCTGTCCTTCCCTCTCGGGTCCTGCTCCTAGACTCTCAGGTCACCTCCCCCTTGGACCCAAGGCTTTCTGCCCCTTCAGACAACTGTGGAGAAAAGCTCTGAATCAGCAGTTCCCACTTGGCCTCCCCCCACTCCGTGTGCACAGGATTCCCCTAGACGACACCCAGTTCCTCAGACCCCTCAAGCCCCTCACCGCAGGCCGCTCACCCCCACCTCAGGCCCTAAGGCGTTTTCCCACCTCAAACCCCACCCCTCTAGAAACCTCCATTCAACTCAGGTCCCACCCACCTCAGTCCCCGCCCCTTCTCTTTTAGCCCCGCCCCTTTCGCTTCCGCCCTGGTACTCCAAGCGGAGTCGCCTCGCCGCCGCGCCTACCTACCTGTGCGTTGCTGGTGGGCTCCAGGAAGCAGAGGCGGTTGCCGAAGCCCTCCGCGGCCAGGCAGAGCTTGAGCTGCTCCTTGAGTACCGTGGCGCTGCACTGCAGGACCACTTCATCGTCCTGTGGGGACCGAGGGGAGGGCTTGTTAGTGAGGCCGGGGCGTGGGGACATCCCATACATTACATGCTTCATACCGCTTGCCCCATGCTTCTCCTTGTGGGTGAGGCAACAGCTGCTGAGAACACACCTGCACACCAGCCAGGGTTGGCAGTTGAGCCTTAAGCCTATTCCTAAAGGTCCCACGAGATGAGAACCAATGCCATCCTATTCTGACACAAATGTATTTTATTTTGAAATGGGATCTTGCTGTGTTGCCCAGACTGGCATTGAACTCCTGGGCAAAAGCGATCCACCTGCTCAGCTCCTGAGTAGCTTAAGACTACCAGTGCCCACCACCTCATCGGGCATCATTCCATATTAAAATGGGGCAGTTTGCCAGGCGTTGTGGTGTCAGCCTGTAATCATAGCACTCTGAGGCAAGAGGATCGCTACGAATTCGAAGCCAGCCTGGGCTGCACACTTGAATTCAAGGTCAGGCTGCAGTACCTGGCAAGACCCTGTTTCCAAAACTAAAAAATAAATCAGTAAGTAAAATGGGGCAACTAAAGCTCAAGGGTCTCACTTTGTAGCCCAGGCTGGCCTCAAATCTATGGTGATCTTTCTGCCTCAGCCTCCCAAGTGCTGGGATTACAGGCCTGCACCACCGCGCCAGTTTTAAATGGATTTTTAAAATTCATCCTTCTCTAACTTCTCTTTTGTGCATTTCTGTAATGACATCTGGCATTTGTAGAACACTTCCTAATGGCATCCAAATGTCTTGTGCGGGCCTGGATGGGATCCTGGGTGGAGGCAAAGTGCAGTGAAGGATGGGGACAGAGACAGTTGTCAAAGCTGAAGAAAGCTGTAGATTAGATAACAGTGGGGTCACATCAACACTAAAGCTTCCGGGGCTGGGGATTTAGCTCAGCGGCATAAGCGCCTGCCTTGCAAGCAGGCAGTCGTGAGTTCAATCCCCAGTACCGATAAAATGAAAAAGACAAAAAAAAAAAAAAAAAAAACCACTAAAGCTTCTGATTTTGATAGCTGTGTTGTGGTTTTATTAAACAAAAAACCCCACCTTCATTCTTAGGAATCATATTCTGAAGTATTGAAGGGTTGTAATTAAAGGTATCACATCTGCAGCTTACTCCCAGTTCAGGGGAGAAATATGGAAAGAGAAGAAAAAAGATAAAAGCATGTACACCAAACTAACATTTAGGAAAATTCAGGGGAAGAGATCTTTGAACTCATCTTGCAACTTTTCTATAAATTGGAAATTATGTCAAAGATGATTAAATTAAATTTTCAAATAAAAGTCTTTTGTGTGCTAGGTCCTACTCCAAAAACGTGACATGTACAAATTCATTTAAGCATCACAAGAAACCTATGAGGCAATTCCTGTTCTGGAAACAGGAGAAACTGAGGCCCAGAGAGGCACAGTGAATTGCATAGTTATACAGCTGGTATAACAGCATGGCTAGGATCTGAACCCCAATGAGTGGCCTTACACCACCACCTACAATGCGATCTAACGTTACAAAAAATGGAAACGTACATCTGTATTGCAAATTCTCTGCTAAACATTTTTCTGCTAGAGGTCTTGGTCAAAACTGACAGAACTCTGGTCCTCAGCCACTGAGTAACATCATACTTATTCCATTTTACAGCAGTGAGAAATGGTTCAAATGGTAGGATGTCCTAGCCAGGCATGCAGGTGCACACCTACAATCCCAGCAATTGGGAGGCTGAGGCAGGAGGACCACCATGAGTTTGAAGCCAGCCTGGACTACATAGTAAATTCAAGACCAGCCTGAACAACATAGGGAGATCCTTTCTCAAAATTCAACATCAAGGGGCTGGGGATTTAGCTCAGCGGCATAAGCATCTGCCTTGCAAGCAGGCAGTCATGAGTTCGATCCCTAGTACCGATAAAAAGGAAAAAGACCAAAAAAAAAAAAAAAAAAAAAAAAAAATTCAACATCAAAAACCAAAGCTAAACAAAAAAGATCAAATGGCCTGTCCAAGTTCATATGGCCTCTAGCCTTCTAAGCATAGCATACAAACATGTTCCCATTTTAGGCTTCAACCCATATAGTATGTCCACCCAGCCTGAGGGGAAGCATGAGCTGATTCAGGAGCCCTATGACTGCTCTGTCCTGTGACCTGTAACCCTGACCTCCTAAGCATTTGTGTATTGATAGTAATCATTTAGCTCAGACAGCATTAATTAAGCATTTACTGGCTGCCAGACCTTATGCTCAGATTAACAGGTATTTGTTGGACACCTGCCAGATACTGTTCTAGGGACTAAATTTAGAGCATTGAATAAAGTAGACAAAAAGCCCTGCCCTCAGAGAGCGGTCATCCTTGTGGAGACACAATAAACAGATGAATAAATAATTTTTTTCAGTTCTGAAGATTGGATGGATCCAGGGTCCTTGCATTGAGCTACATCCCCAGCTTTGTTTTGCTTTATTTTGTTTTGCTTTGGTTTTTAATTTTGAGGCAAAAGTTCACTAAGTCACTACGTTGCCCGGACTAAATTGAACTTGGGATCCTCTTGCCTCAGGCTCCCCCACAATGCTAGGATTACAGGCATGCACCTCATAATACATAATTTTAATGTCAATGATAAGCATTATGGAAAAAATAATGCAAAGTGATGTAAGAGTGTGGCTTTGGGGTAGGGATGACATCAGTGAGGGGATGAAGTGACAGGCTCTCCCAGGAGATGACATTTGAGCTGAACCTTGTCCAAATAATGAGAGGGAGGTAGGCCTGCTCATCTCTGAGGGAGGAAGGCTCCAGGAAGAGGGGGCAGCCTGTACAAAAGTCTGTGGCAGGAAGGTGCTGGGGGTGGAGAGAAACAGCAAGGGGGACAGGATGGTGGGGATGGCAGGACCACTGTGCGGCCCGCGAAGGGGAGGAGGTGATGTGAGAGACACTTGCATGAACCCCTTAAGTCCTCACTGGACTCCATTTTCCACATGAGGAAGCTGAGGTGTAGGGAGAAGAATTAAAATCGCTTGCTCAAACTTAATGAAGATGAATGGCAAAGCCAGTATATAAAGAGGCAGAGAACCAATCACTGTACCATCGATTCTCACTTTCTCCTGCATCATAATGAACGGGAGAAATGTCTTTTTTCTTTCTTTCTTTCTTTCTTTCTTTCTTTCTTTCTTTCCTTCCTTCTTTCTTTCTTTCTTTCTTTTAGACAAGATCTCGGTATGTAGCCCAGGTTGGTCTCAAACTCACAGTGATCCTCCTGTTTCAGCCTCCCAAATGCTGGGATTACAGTTGTGTGTTGCCATGCCAGCCTGCGAGTGGTCAATTTTAAAATACAATTTCCAAAGCCAGGCTCACAGCTGCTGAGTCACATACCTATAGTCCTAGGTACTTGGGAGGCTAAGGCAGGAGGATCACTTGAGCCCAGGAATTCAAGACCAGCACAGGCAACATAATAAAATCCTGTTTCAATTTTTTTAAAAAAATAATTTAGTTTAAAAATGCAGTTTCTATCCAGACATAGTGGCACACACCTGTAACCCCAGTACTCTGGGAGGCTGAGACAGGAGGATGGCATGTTCAAGCTCATTCTGGGCAACTCAGAGACTTAGCAAGACCTTAGCTCAAAATGCAAAGGACTGAGAATGTAGCTCAGGTGACTCAATCTCCAGACAGGGAATGGGAGGCAGCTTCCTTGCTGCCCAGCCTCATCTTCAGCTCCATCACCAATGCCACTTGGTTCAAGGAACCTGAAGTCCACAGGGAATCTGTAGTGCTCTCTCCTTGGAGGTTCTGACTTCAGCCAGGCTTTGGGAAGCCTTAGCCTGAGTAGGGCTAGAGATCACTGCCTATCAAATCAGTTTGGGAGCTCAGGAGGCTGAGGCAGGGGGATCATTGTGAGTTCAAGGCCAGCCTGGGCTACATAAGTGAATTCAAGGCCAGCCTGTGCTACATGGTGAGATTCTGTTGCAAAAGAAACAAACAAACAAAAAATAAATCAGTTTGGGAGGACATGGCCTCCATGCTTTAAAAGTGAAATAAAATTGTGCAAGTACAAAAAATAACAATGAGGGGCTGGGGATTTAGCTCAGTGGCATAAGCGTCTGCCTTGTAAGCAGGCAGTCGTGAGTTCGACCCCTGGTACCGATAAAAAGGAAAATGACAAATAAATAAATAAATAAATAAATAAAAATAAGTATGTATGAATGTTTGTGGGGTTGTCATACGGACAAAAATTGGAGACAACCCAGATGCCCATCAGCGAGTGAGTTGATGCACAAACTGCAATATAGTTATCCAACCGGGATCTATTCAGGAACAAAAAGGAGTGCATTCATGATACACGAATGTCAAAAATACTATGCGGAGCACTCTGGGAGGCTGAGGGAGAAGGATTACATATTTGAGACCAACCCTGGAATAATTTAATGTCTTAGCAAGACCCAGTGTCCTGTGGCACATGTCTGCAATCCCAACACTTGAAGAGGCTAAGGCAGGAGGATTGCCATGAGTTAGAGGCCAACCTGTGCTATACAAGTGAGTTTATGACCAGCCTGAGACCCTGTCTTAAAATAAAGAAAGAAAAAAAAAAGGCACTGCATCAAAATAAAAAAGAGGTCAAAGTGAAGGTTTTCAACTGCCAAAAAAAAAAAAAAAAAAAAAAAGCTAAGCAGTAGGAGAAAGATAAATGCACACATAACGTACATGCAACTCTAGAATTGACTAATGGACTTTCTAGTGACATAAAGCAGATACACAGGGTGGTTGCTGCAAAGAGCAGGAGGGATCTTTTGGGGTAAAGGAAATGGTACGTGCCCTGATTATGAGAGTGGTTACATGAGTTTGCACAATTTATCAGAACTTATTGAACTATATAACACTTAAATACAATTCATTGCATGTCAATGAAATCAATATTTTCATAATGTCTATGCATATGTGAAAGTCCTAGGTTGCAATGCAGAATGTGTTTCTCACTGATGGGACACTATTAAAAAGTTTGAGAAAAGTACCCACATGACTCTGTAACTTTCAGAAAAACAGACGCAGTCTGGGACCAAGAGATGCTGGGGCCAGGCCTTAGAACCCTAACACTGGCTACCTTGGTGCATCTGGTAAAAACAGAAGGTCTGGACCTCAGAGATGCCACTTCCTGGCTTTGGGACAAATGGCTCTACTGCTTGAGGCTTTGTTTCTTTCAAATCTCCCAGGCAGATAAAGATAGGGCCCTACCTCAGGACATAGGGCAGCATGAATATAATTAGACGCTTCAGCAGTATGAGGCCCTGGGCACAGGGCCTGGTGCGAAGTGACTGCTTAGGTGTTGGTGGCCACAGCCATGGTCTTTTTAGGGCTATGGAAGGCCCAACTCATGGTATCTGCTAAGAGGCCAGGGCTGGGCAAGAGTCTCTCTGATGGCCTCACATCCAGCTGTCCCCTTCCTTCACTGCCAGCCCCAGCTGTTTGTTCCTCCCTCCTAGGAAACCAGACCCTGCTCACCAGGGTCCTATTCTGGGTCCGGAATGCTGTGTCAGCATTTCCTGCATGGACTCAAGGCCAGGAAGGACAGAGGAGGGGCAGTGCAGGGTCAGCAGACCTGGCCCAGAGGACAGAACATCTCCCTACACCCCCACTTCCCCATACTCACATACCCATTGGGCTGAGCCACTGAGAGGGACAGTGGAGAGAACGGGAGATGGATAGCCCCTCCCCCACGTCATTGCCTCCCTGTCCGATGCCCAGGGCCCAGCAAAGAGGACTATTCTGGGAAAGACACCTGTTGTTCCAATTCCCATCCCTGCCCCCAGCAGGGGATCAGAGATTCAGGCAGAGACAAAGCTAGAGAGACAGCAAAACTCACAGGGCCTAAAGCCAAGCAACAAAAGGCCGAGCTGCAGACTGGAGGCAAAGATGGAGAGACAGAGACACAGAGATGTCCCAAAAAGACAGAGAGGGAGAGGCATCATCCATAGACCCTCACAGACCATTAGCAGACATATTCATTCATGCCTCCCAAAACTAAGAAGGAAAGGAAAACTCAGGACTTAAGGGACCCCTCAAGAGGCCCCCAAATTCTGGGAGTTGAGTAGAGTAGAGTCTTCTCACCCATCCCAGCCCCCTTCCCAAGAATTTAAATAGGTCAGAGCCCGAAGCAAGAAGGAATGAGGGCTGGGGTGGGGGCGGGGAACAGCTAAATTAAGCCTAGGAACTAGAAACCACCTTCCCAAAGTGCCTGCTTGCAGGGTAGAAGGAGGGGGTGCTCCTTGAGTGGCCCCCTGTTGTCAGAGACAAATTGTGCACCTCAGGAGACAAAGTAGCTTAAAGAGCCCCCTCCTCATTCTGTAGTCCCAAATCCTAATTCCCTGTAGTGAGAAGACAAAAAGACAGACAAGTGACAGTCACCCAAAGACACAAGGAAAGAGATCTCGCCCCTCAGAGACCACCAGCAAGCAGGACAGAGGCATTCAGAGACAATCGCTCAGAGACCCAAGTAATCGCCCAGAGACTGCTAACCTAGAGGTACGCACCGTGCGAAGGAACTGGACCTCGTCCTCGCCCTCTCCTCCGTCACCCATGGCGTCGAGGCCAGTGAAGCCGGGGCTGAGGTCTGGGGGATGCCGGGAGGGGGCCGCAGGCAGGGCGGGTGGGCTGGGGATGGGCTGGGGTCAGAGCCCTTCGGGCACCAGAGGCACCCGCGCGGTGGATGGAACTGCGAGGAGGACACGCGTGCTGGACAGAGATGGGAGGATGTCTCCGCCCCCCGACCCTCATTGGACCAGGATGCCCAAAACACGCCCCCTAACTAGAGCCCCGCCCACAGCCCTCAACCCTCAGCTGGAGATGTGACCTGAGTGAGGGTCCCTGTCTTAGGCATACTTGCGCTTTCCTCGCGGGGAGCAAGGTGCCATCATTCTGCTGTTTCAGAGAGCGAACTGATGCTCTGTGCTCTGGGCTGGGAAGCCCTTGCTGGATGTCACACAGCACAGCCAGAATGCTCCCTGGCATCTTCTGACCTCACACCTGTGATTACAGCATTCGGGTAGGCTGAGGCAGGAAGATCTCAGTTTCAAGCCCAGGAGCAATTTAGCGACTCAGGGACACCTGGTCTCAAATTTTTAAAAAATTTAAAAAAAAAAAAAGGAGGGGCTGGGGATTTAGCTCAGCGGCATAAGCGCCTGCCATGCCAGCAGGCGGTCATGAGTTCGATCCCCGGTACCGATAAAAAGGAAAAAGACATTGACAATGAAGAAAGAGTGACGAAGAGCAATGTCTCTAAGACAGACCATCTGGGTCTTAAACTCAGCTTTGCCACTCACATGGTTATCTTGGACAAGCTACTTAGCTTCTCAGTGACTTGGGTTTCCTCATCTGGTAAGGGGTTACTATGAATGGTTTCTACCTCACAGGGTTGCTGGGAATTAAATGAGAGGGCTTATTCATTGTGCTTGAAAATGCATGTGGTAAACGTGTGAAGGTTGCCATTATTATTGTCATTATTACAAACTAACTGATGAAGCTGAAATAATAACCACAGCAGATGCCTCCTGTGCACCTGTTGCGTTTCAGGAGCCAAGTTAATATTTTATTATATCTCTTAATTCTGACAACAGTCTTGCTATTATTCGTGTTGCTTAGAGAAGAAACTAAAACGGGGTTTCTGACTATATAGTGTTAAAGATACAGCCCAAATAAATCCTGTATCAAATGGGGAGGGGAACAAGGGAGTGGGATGGGGAAAAGGAAAAAAATCATGCAGTCCTCACAGCAATCTTGTGAGGCACATCCTCTAGCTGTGGCCATTGTGCTTTGTTTTGTTTTGTTTTGAGACAGGGTCTCACTATGCAGTTCAGGCTGGCCTTGATTTCACTATTGTAGCCCAGAATGTCCTCAAATTTGCAACAATCTTCCTGCCTCAGCCTCCTGAGTGCTGGGATTACAGGCCACCACAACCTGTTTAGGTTTCTTAGCCATTATGCTTTACTGCCAGGATATTTGCATAAAATCTTCTAATCAAAAACACACAGTTGCCAAGATCAGACTCCACCCCCAAGTTTGGACCCAAGTTTGGGTCCAAAGAATACTTTCCTTGCCTTTCCTCACCCTTCCTCACTAAGCTAGTCACCCCTTTATGTAGATAGGCGCCGTGGGCTCTGGAGCCTAGTGAAAGAGCTTGATAATCTGTTTCTTCTGGCTCACTATGCTGCTTCCTGACTGTGCTGTGCTTCGGGTAACCCAGGCAGGAGGGCTATGGCAGTATCCTAAAACTGACAGGTGTGAGCTCTGCAGGCCCAGAGCAGGGAATCCATGCTCCTGAACCTTAGTGCCAGGCAGGCAGATGACTTTGGGACTCAGAGTTCAGTTTCTTTATCTGGAAACTAATTTGGAAGAACCCTTATGGTGTTGTGAGGAAGATTCTATGAGGAAATCAAAGCCAGGTATGGTGGCACATGCTTGTAATCCCAGCACTAAGGAGGCTGAGACAGGAGAATCACTACGAATTTGAGGCCAACCTGGGTTACAAATTGAGTTCAAGGCTAACATGAGCTACATAATGAAAGTGTGTCTCAGAAAGACCAAAAAAAACCCCAATTAGTACCTACCATATGGCAACTGATTAATACAGGGGGACTATTAAAATTATTAGCATGTAGTGTATATACTGTTATGTAAAACATTAACCTAAAGTTCAGTGAAGTCATAAAGTGCTATTTAATGTATAATAGATTGCTAGGTATTGCAGAGTTAAACAGTAGTGTTAATACAATAAGTTTGCATAAGTTTGCACTACATTTTAAAATTATATAATTATGCATTATATAATATAGTACATATTTATGCTAATACAATTATGCAGCCCCCATACAATTTTGTTATATCTCAAAAATGTTTTTATTACATCTCATTCATCATACTTTATGTAATTGTATAATAAATATTGTTTTCCTTAAATTTTTATATGGAATTTAAAATTATTCTATGTCACCGTGGATTATATCATAAGATATTAATAGTGTTTCTCCTCTCTGTCTGTCATCACTGTGTGCTTGAAGACTTACCCACGTGACTATATGGACACCTGGTTAGCAGCAGCGGTCACTTTGCGGGACTGCTTGGTGATAAACACCTTCCATTTATTCATGCACCACCCCATGGGTGGGCACCCAAGTGCCCCTAGTTTCTGGAAAATAGTGTCCCCTCAGGGAGCTGAGGGAGGAATTTTTGTGTACATACTCCAGAGCTGATGGCTGGTGCATATGACCATGCACACAGTTTGCCTAAGTGGTGCTGAGTGCCCCCACAGGGGAGCTGTCCCCTGTCATTGCAAGAGGGATCGGGTCCCCATATTCCCAACCTCCACCTGGCATTTTCCAGCTTCTAATTTCTGTGAGGCCTACAGGATGACATGCTGTTCTTTTAACTGGCTTCTTCTTTATCAGTGTCCAATGATTTCTCCCATCTTCTCAGGTGTCTTGGAGTTTTGGGGTTCCTTGTTGACTGAGTATGCTCTTGTTCCACTTTTCTATCTAGTTGTTGGGTTTTTTTCTTTTTTGCTGACTTGGAGCAGTTCCCTGGACATCCAAGATATTTTTGCATTGATTTTAAATATTGCAAATATTCAAGTTGATTCTAAATATTGTAAACAATAAGTTGCTCAGGCTGGGTTCAAACTGGCAATATCCTCCTGCCTCAGCCTCCCAAAGTGCTGAGATTACAGGTGTGCCCTACCATGCCAGGATGATCTATGTGCATTCTAAACAGAATGAGCTCCATACCTTTCTAAATGTGGTATTGAAAGAAAAAGAAAAATTTAAAATTATTTCTCTTGGCAAGAATAAGAAAGGAACGAAAATATATTTCTAAGAGAGCTGTTTGAGCTGGGTGTGGTGGCTCACGCCTGTAATGCCAGCACTGGGGAGGCTGAGGCAGGAGGATCATTGCGAGTTCGAGACCAGCCTAGGCTACAAAGTGAGCTCAAGGCCAGCCCGAACTGACCCTGTCTCAAAAAGACAAAAAAAAAAGAGAGAGAGCTGTTTGGTTGAATTGTTTAACATATCAGGTTTGGCAGAATCATACTACTGTGACCCATTTATTCCACACCTGGATGCTAAACTACAAAATTGTACCCTTTTGTGTTTACTAAAAGCCAAGTGCTCAGATAAAGTACAGCAGGGCTGGTATGTAGTTGGTGCCTGATTAGCATGGCCAAGGCCCTGGGTCCTATCTCCTGCACCACCACAGAAACCAAATATTCACTGTGGCATTATTCATAACAAACTCAAGGGAGCAACTCAATTGTCCATCACAGAAAATGTGATCAGTATGTCATGGAACTGTCACACAATGAAAGACTATACAGTAAGGGAGGGCAATGGGGGCATGGGGAAAAAGTTATTAATTAGATCATTAAGAGATTATGATGTGGATGTGGTTTTATGGAGATGAAAAAGTGCCCCCTGCACTCTGGGAAGTGAACCAGCAGGTTGTTTTCGTTTTTTTTTTTTTTTAATTGGTACCAGGGATCGAACTCATGACTGCCTGCTTGCAAGGCAGGCACTTATGCCACTGAGCTAAATCCCCAGCCTCCAGCAGGTTGTAATAGTATATATGGCATTGCTGATTTCATATCTTCAAGAACACACATACAGCATAATGTGTAGATCAAGAAATTGTCCAGAATGCTGTACTCTTATTTAAGTCTGTTTCTGGGACTGAGATGCTGAGCACATTTTTCTTTTTATTTAAAGTTTTTGTTTCCTTCTTTGTTGTTTGCTTTTTGTGGTAATAGGGATTAAACCTTCGGCTTTTGGGTCCTCAAACTGAGCTACATGCCAGCCCTTACTTTTCATTTTGAGCCAGGATCTCACTAACTTGCCCAGGCTGGCCTGCGACTTGAAAGTCTTCTTGCCTCCACCTCCCAGAGGGCTGAGATTACAAGCGTGACCACCACATGCCAGCTTTAAGAGTGCTTTTTGACTTGTTCTACCGTAAAATATTTTGAAGCACAGAAAATTAAGCATTTCTGTAAGTGAGGTGGTAAAAATGTTAATTACCTTGATTTCAGTAATCATTTTACAGTGTACACGTATCACAGAACAATCCCAGAGATGTGGAGCCAAACGAAAGAAACCAGCTACAACACATGAGTCCATGTATCTACAGTTTAAAAGTAGACAAAACTACTGTTCCCCACCAGGCTCGCAGTAACTTGTGGGAGGTGGTGTTAGCAAAGGGCACCGGAGGACTCAGGGAAGATGAAAATATTCTCTTTCACCTTTGTGTGAAAGCCAAGTGGCTTTGCTCAGTCGGTGACAATGATTCATCAGCCTAAATACTTAATAATGTGTGCTCCTTTTTTGCACTTCAATTAAAAAATATGACAAGCCCGACACACTTAGGTAAAAGAACAAAACTCATACTCAGAAGAAAAGTCTGTCTCCATGGATGCGCATTTGTTTAGATAAATGTACGGGCATAGCTCCAACGAAACCTTGTTAGGTTTTTACATGTAATGTTGGTCACTCCTGCCTGAGGCTGACGATGGACGGGAGGTTTATCTCCACTTGCAATGTTTGTAGAATGACAACAGTGCATTGAGTTAATATTTTAAAAGCTCTTAGACCAGTGTATGGTGCACAGTAGGTGCTACATAAAGCGGCATTGCATTAAAAGAAATAAAGTAAAAATGTTTGCAGGGTACAAATGGTATCCTTAAAACTAACCCAGAAATAAAAGAAACAGAAAAAATGCACAAAGTATTCTGTCTTGTGAGTTTCCAGTCAAACTCTTGTGCTTTATATACAAGAATATGTCTTTACAGAAATACGAACTTTTCTTTTGAGTGTACATGTGTTTTTACATAAATATTAGTCATACTTTTAAAACATTGCTTTTATTGAAGTATGACAGTGATGGGTCTCAAGACAAGAGAGATGGGGAGATAGCTGAGAGCTGGGCTGGGCGAGGGGGTGGGGGCAGCAGTGCCGGAAACCTCAGCCTGCAGGGATCCCCTCGTGGGGGGAGGGGAGCCTTTGGTCTCTCCCCAGCCTCTTCCTTCCCCCTGGCCTGGGGGTGGGTGGGGAGGGGCAGTTCCTCTTTCCTTCCCAAGCTCTAAGGAGGCCCCAGCTCCCAAGGGGCTGAGAAGTTGGAACCTTGGCCAGCGGGGAGGAGTTGAGTCAACTCCTGCAAGCCCCCCCCTACCCCATCCAGGGACCATGAACAGGAAAGACATGAAAAGGTGAGAGGACCCTCCCCAAAGAGCCAGGGAGCCTCCAAAGCTCCTGGGCCTCCGGCTGTGTGGGAAGTTTGGGGGACTACTAACCTGGCGGGTAGGATGTCTGGCTCCTCTGAGACCAGGCTGAGGGGGCACAGGCAATGAGTTGTTTCAGGGAGTCCAGAGCCAGCCAGAGCTGTGGCTGCTTAAACATGTGTGTCTGAGTCCGGTCCTCTGAGGAGCTACCTTGCGTTCCTTCTCCCTCTCCCCACCCCTCCATCCCAGAGCCCTGAACTGGGTGTTCTTTCCTCCCCGGAGTCTAGCTCTGTCGCAGTGGCTGCTCCCTAGGCTGGAAACTCCAGGGTGCTCAGGGCCCTGCCCCAGGACAGGGGAAGGCGACTGCAGGATGAGGTAGCTAGCTCCCTGCCTCTTAAACCTCTCTGGGCTGCTGCAGACACTAACAAGGCACTGCCAGTCTGCAGGTAAGCGCCAGAGTGGCTGCCTGTGCCGGCAGGTTCTGGGGTGGGCTTCTGTTTCCCAGGCCAGCTTGCCCTCCTGTCCCCAGAAGGGCCCACTGGGTGGCTCCCCCAGCACTCTCACCGGGATTCTGAGGAGCAAAGTAGTTCTCCCGCCCATACTATTCAACAGTTCTGTGGTGGGAGCCTACCGTTTCATTTCCTGGCTATTAAACTAGTTAAGTTACCGAGCTGCTCTGTGTCTTAGTGTCTTTTTCTGTTAATAGAATAATCATAGACCCTGTGATGAAGGGCAGCTCAACCTGAGCATATAGCAGAGCCACGCAGAAGGTTGTAAAACGCCAGTGACTGGGCAGGATTCAGCTCTGGATTCTGTAGGTGGGGAGAGGGCCGGAGAATGTATTTAAACCAAGCTTCCAGGGCACAAGCTTCGGAAGGGTTGGGGACTGTGCTTTGAGAACTGATCTAGAAGGACTGTTCAGCCCTTCCCCCACACCTAGTCACTACTCAGTAATGGCCTTTTTATTTTTATTTTTTCAGTACCCAGGATTTCCCACAGAGCTGGATCCCCAACTCTTATTTTTAATTGTGAGACAGAATCTTGCTCGGGTTACTCGGGCTGGGCTGGAATTTGTGATCCTCCTGCTTCAGCCTCCCAGAGTGCTGGGATCACAGGCATACATTACCACACCCAGCTAAGTTTTTTTCAATATCCAATACCAATCTTCTGAGCAGTGCCTTTGTCCTGAGGGTCTTCCTGTTTCTGGCTTAGCCTTGGTGCCACAGAATTCTTCTCTACCCCCTCCCTTTTTCTCCTCTGCCTCCAGTTCAGGTTTCCCACCTCTGGGACATTAACTAGCCTGGGCAGAAACCAACTTTGTTACTAGCATTTTCAAGAAGCCAGGCAATGGGTGTTTGTAATAGTTCCTAGGGAAGATCCAAAGATGAGCCTCACTTTGGGAAACTAAGGACCAGAGAATAAATGACTCACAAAAGGTCATACAGCCAGTATAAATTTTTCAAAACCCTCCTCCTTTGTGTGTGTGTGTGTGTGTGTGTGTGTGTGTGTGTGTGTGTAGTACCAGGGTTCAAACTCACAACCTTGTGCTTGCCAGGCAGGAACTAAACTCCTACCCCCCTTTTTTGAAGTTTTGAGACAGGGTTTCACTATGCAGTTCAGGTTGATCTTGAACTCACTTTGTAGCTCAGGCTGACCTCAAACTCACAGTGATCTCTTGCCTCAGCCTCCTGAATGCTGGGATTACTGGCATTCTGGCACTGAAACCTGTTCCCTTCTTCCTTCCTTCCCTCCCTCCCTCTTCCTCCTCTATCCTGTTTTTCCCACCTGAAGCAGGAGCTCTGGAGACCACCAGGCAGAGGGAGTTATTTTTAAACTCTCCTTGAAGCTGCCTTAGCTTCAGTGACTGCCTAGTTCCTAGGAGCCCTGAGGAGGCCACTGTAAGATGGCACTTCCTCTCTGAGCTCCAAGTTAGGGACCCAAGCTGGAGGCAAAGACTCCAGGACCTATAAAGCACTAGCTTATACTTGGGGGAGAATTGTGTCACCTGCCTGGGGTAAGGGAGGAGGACAGGAGAGATAAAATCCCAGGAGCTTCCCTGAAGGAGTCAGCTGAGGAGGGCTGAGCCAGAAGTCAGCCTGAAGGCTGAGCCTCCTTACAGAGCCCTGGGAAGGGGAGGAGTGATGTTAGGGCCCTTCCTTCTTGATTCCCTGGGAAGTCCCTAAGAAAGTTTCTTCCATGAAGTCTTAGGACAGAAAATTTGGGAGCAATGGCTGGAAGAGTTCTTGTGATTCTTTGGAGGGTTTCCTGTGATTTCCTGAGAGCCTCTCTTATGAGTCCATGGTAGATCAGGAGTAATTCTGACTTTGCCCATGGGAAATTTTTCTTATGATTCCTTGGGGGCACTGGAGGCACGAGGAATTCTGAGGGTCTGCTCAAAGAAGGGACTTTCCACCGGGTGTGCTGGAGCATGCCTCTAATCCTGGAACTCTAGAGGATGAAGTAGGAGGATTGCCATGAGCCAAGGTCATTCTGGGCTACACAGTGAGTCCAAGGCCTGAAATCCAAAGCAAGAGCCTATTTCAAGGGAGTGGGGGGACTTTCATAATTCTCTGGGGGGTGTACCTACAGGAAGTCCCACCAGGAATGCTTCCGGAAGGCAGGGGGGCAGGACCGGCCTCAACAGGCCCGGCGCCACAAGACATGCCCCAGCCCTGGGGAAATCACGAAGGTCTTGGCTTCCATGAATCTCGGCGTGCTGGCTGAGACCAGCTGCAGCGAAGATGAGCTCCTGGAGAAATGCATCCAATCCTTCGGTGAGTGACCCCACCACCCTGACCCGCTTCCCACAACAAACACCCCCTCTCTCAGCCGCAGTGTTTGGGGGGTAAAAAATGCGTATGTGAGTTGGGCATGGTGGCAGACGTGCTTATAATCTCTGCACTCTTTCAAGCCCAGCCTGGGCCAGTTGGTGACTTAGCAAGACCTGTCTCAAAATAAAAACTAAAAAAGGCTGGATATGTAGTTAAGTGTAAAGGCCTTGGATTCAGTGCAGGGGAGGGGGAACACAAATCATCATCACTACATTAAGAAACATTTGCATTCGTTTTTCTCCTGAGACAAGGAAGGGGAGCAGGACTGATGCTATTTCCACTTTTAACAAGACTTGCCAGGCCCATACATGACACAGATGAGGAAGCTGAGGTAGAGGGAGCACAATCCATAAAGAGCATCACTGTAGAGCTGGCACTTGAACCAGACACTCCATTGTCCAGGGGCCATTCTGACAGAGCCCTCTCTGCTGCCCAGACTCAACCGGTAGCCTGCGCCGCGGGGACCACATTCTCAACATGGTGCTGACCATGCACAGCTGGGTGCTGTCTTCCACTGACCTTGCTGCCCGTTTGCTGACCTCATATCCTCCCAGGACCTGGGTGGAGGGGGAGGGCAGAATCCTGGGAACTTGGGAGATGAAGACAAAGGAGCAGGTGGGTCTGGACACTGACAACAGAGCCTTAACTGGAACTCAAGTACCAAAAGGCCACAAAGGACACACAGGAGCTGAGGCAGCTGCAAATCTGTCACCTGGTCAGGTAAGGCTGGATCAAGACCCCACCCTCATGAACCAAGATTCCCATTTTGCCACCCTACAAAAAAGTAGTTCTCAGGGAGCTCCAGATCCACTCCCTAAAATTCCCTTTGAGTCCCCCCTGGCTTGGTACCTAAAACCCTAAAACCCTCCCAGTTCTGCTCCTTAGAACGCCACCACATCCCCTAAATTCTCTACTAGCTGTCAGACTTCCAGCTCTGATCTCCCCAGCCCCACCTCCTACATGTCCCAGCCTAGCTCCTGTGACCCTCACAAGATTCTCCCCAAACCTCACCCACAGGGACCACACTGTATTTCCTGGGATGTACCAACTGTCATGCTTCCCAACAGTCCTACTTCTAAGGGCCCCCTCCTGTGACTCTCAGATTCTCCTAGCCTGTGTTGACACCTCCAGTCGTACCCCAGAGATTCCCCTAGCCCTCTATTGCCCCTCCAGAGACCCAAGCACACATGCAGATACCCCTAGCTCAGCATCCAGAGGTTCCTCAGCCCAAAAGGCCCCTTAGGAGACCTTCCCCACCCAGCCTCATCCCACTTGTCTCTAAACCTCTCTCAGGTACTGGATGACCCGACATCCAGAGGCAGTGCACCAGGATCCTCAGCTGGAAAAAGTTATAGCACGTTTCTGGGCCACCGTGACCCAGGAGGGCAACTCGACTCAGAGGAGCCTAGGAGACACCTCTAACCTGTGAGGCACCCCCATGCCCCCTCCCTATCCTACCCCAGTCTGCCATTTCCCACCACATCCCCAGGCCTTCACCCCTGTACCACTCCAATGCTTTGTTCCTCTCGGCCCCCAGCCTGAGCCCTGGTGGCCCTGGCCCCCCACCTCCCATGAGCAGCCCAAACCTGGGCAAAAAGTGCAAAGTATCCTTGCTTTTCGACCACCTGAAGACAGACGAGCTGGCTGAGCACCTTACTTATCTGGAGTTCCAGGCCTTTCAAGCTATCACGGTGAGAAGTCCTCTCCCTGCCCCCATCCCTTCCTGAGCAGGACAGAGATGGGGATCAGAGGACCTCTTCATGGGCATGGGCATGCAGCTGGGATCCTGTGGGGAGGGTTTGCTGAAGACCTGGCCTGTACTTACCACTGAACAACAGCCCTAAACCCAAGCTGGGATCTTAAACTCCTCAACTGTCACACGGGGGGAAATGGGTTTACTTGGCTGAGCACAGAGCCCCGGGTTCCAGTCCCATCAATTCCTTCTTACCCGAGTAGCTCTGAACTAGTTTCCCAACCTCACTGGACTCACTTGTAGAAGTCATATTTCCCTGGGTGGAGAGAAGAGTAAAAATCCTATTTAGAAATGCTTGTTGCAATATCTAGCGTGTAGTGAGTGCTCAAAATTTTTATCAATTATGAATTTCCTCAACAAGCATTTCAATTTACTATAACTCAATTTCCTCATCTGTAAAAGAGGATATTAAAGTTCCTGCCTCACAAGAACAGAGCCTGATCTAGAGTAAATGCTGCCTGGTAGAATCATTTGAAATTGCTGTTTTTCACCTACCAAAATGTCAGTGTCATGGGCGTCAGTGTAGATGTGGGTTATCTAATGACATCTGGACATCACTAATCCAAGGCATGGTGGGGATCCAGTTCCCTAATGTGAAATGAAATCTTCCTGAGTCTGTGTGTGTAAATATACATATAGATGGTACCGTGGGTGTGGATGTGGAATTACATACCATTGAGCAGAAAAATAGAAATTGGTTTCAAGTTCTTCCCTTTTGCTTCCCTTTGTGTACAAGCCAGGTATGAGTTAAAGAGTATACACTGGGTTCCTGCCCTGACTCGTGCTGGGCATGAGTGTGACACTGGGCAAATTACCTACCCTTTCTGTGCTCCAACTGCCTCTTCTCTAACATGACACTAATAGTATTAGTCCACCTCTTAGAGTCTTTGTTGTTGTTGTTTTGTTTGGTACCGGGAATCAAACTCACAACCTCCTGCTTGCCAGGTAGGCACTGTGCTGCTAAGTTATATTCCGGTCCCTACCTTGTAAGGTTTTGAGGATTAAATTAGTTCATATGACTCAGTGCTCGGAATAGTACCTGACTTCGAACGTTTATCCTTAAAAGATCATCATGGCAGCTCAAGGGATAACAGATGACAATGGTCACTCAGGCTGGGCCAGGCTAGGACATCGGAGGTTTTGAATGCTAAAGGGTGAGATGTGAGGGGCACGGCCCAGCTGACTCCCACTTCATTCCCAGCCCCAGGACCTGCGGGACTACGTTTTGCAGGGCTCGGTGCGGGGCTGCCCAGCCCTGGAGGCTTCCGTGGGTCTCAGCAACAGCGTGTCCCGCTGGGTGCAGGTCATGGTGCTGAGCCGTCCCGGACCTGCACAACGTGCGCAGGTGCTGGACAAGTTCATTCACGTGGCACAGGTGAGGGCACCCCGCCTCTCCGCTCGCTTTCTGGGCGCTCCTACGGGCCTGGGCACTGCTAGCTACCTGGCCCCTCCCCCAAGGCCGCTGTCCTCAGCTCTGACCTTCGCCTGTCTCTGCCTAGACATCGCCACGCCCTCCCCATCCTTCCCCAGTGCTTGACTCTAGACTTGGAGTTAACTGAGTCCCTCCTGACGCAGCCTCCCAAGCCCTATTCCATCCAGGGTCACAGTCTGCCCTTCCCCAAGCCGCGGCTTCCCCAGCCCCGCCCCTCGTTGCGCCCCTCCCTTTTGGGAAAAGGGAAGCCCTGCCGCTGGGCCACGCCCCTTCGCGTATTTCCAGGCACACCGCGCCCTTCCTCTGTCCTCTTCGTGTTTTTTTTTTTTTTTTTTTTTTTTTTTTTTTTTTTTGCTTCCTCTTGCTGGGGCCTTTGCAAAACGTGGGGGCTCTGGCATCGGCCAGGGGTCCCTATGAGCTGAGCATCTTCCATTTCCTTCTCTCCTCAGCAATTTCCGCCCTTCAAACTTGGAAAGGGAAAGTTTAGGGAATCTCCAGTACAGGTTTTCGTCCTTCTGACCCTCCATGTCACTCTGGCCCGTTCACCTCTACCTGCTTCCCACCTTCCACCCACATCCCACATGCCTTTTGATGTCCCTCGCTGGTGTGATCCTAACAGCACCCTGATCCAGAAGCCTGACGCCCTGGCATCTGCCCTGACATCTGTCTGATACGCACATGTATTCCCCATGTCCATCCAGCTCCCCCACTTTGTCTGTCTAACCTCACATTGGCCCTTTTCCTGCCTGGCATACCTACCTTCTCTCACCTGTCTTGCCCGTATCCACAATGATCCACACACATACTTGAGACTGAGTCAGCAGCTGCCAATGAATTCCACCTTGGCTGCCCTTGGTGACACCTTTCATCTCTGGTATTACCTTTCTTCCTAGAGGCTCCACCAGCTGCAGAATTTCAACACACTGATGGCAGTTACGGGGGGCCTGTGTCACAGTGCCATCTCCAGACTGAAGGACTCCCATGCCCACCTGAGCCCTGAAAGCACTAAGGTGAAACCCCACCCCACTCTCCAAAGTTACAAGTGCTCAGCTATCCTGAACCCCACATTTAATTCTCCAGCCACCCTCAATCCCTGCCAAGCTCTGGAAACACCTGAGGGCATGGCCCCTCAGAATGCCACAGACCCGGAGGCCGGATTCCTCCTCCCTGTCCAGGCCCAGGCACTAACTCCTCTGTCCTCATGGGTCTGATCCTGAGCTGGCCTGGAGGGAGACAGATGGGAGACATGCTGACAGCTGGCCGTCCAGGTGGCCAGCTATGTCAACCAGCTAAAGATGCCAACATTTGGGCCATCCATGGGAATAACATAGGTTGGATGATGTCCTGAGAAGTATCTGGGAAATGAGACTAGTCTGGTGTATGGCTGCAGTCAGGGAGTGGTAAGAAAATGAGCGGGGGATGTCCAGAGGAAGGTACATGGCCTGCACTGGCTGGCCCAAGATGTTTGGGTTTTAAAGGCAGTGGGGAGCTGGAGAAGGTTTGGGGGTGGTGCTAACACCCGTGATCAATCTGGGCTTTTAAATTACTGTAGCCTGGGGAATGGTGGATGGTAGGGCCTCTCAGTACTTTGAGGGAGATGCTAAAGCCAATGTGGGTTAGGGAGGGGCTCAAACCTAGGAAGGAAGCTGCCAGGACCCTTCCCTCCAAGGAGCTGGAAGCACAGCACTGCTTTCTCTCCTAACACTCCCCTCCCACACAGGCCCTGCTGGAGCTGACCAAACTCCTTGCCTCCCACAACAACTATGTCTCCTACCGCCGCACCTGGGGTGGCTGCACAGGCTTCCGGTTGCCTGTGCTGGGTGTGCACCTCAAGGACCTGGTGTCCCTACATGAGGCACAGCCTGACAGGTTGCCTGATGGCCGCCTGCATTTGTCCAAGCTGAATAGTCTCTACCTGCGACTGCAAGAGCTGGCAGCCCTCCAGCAGCAGCAGCCCCCCTGCAGTGCCAGCAAGGACCTGCTGCATCTGCTCACGGTGAGCAAGGGAATGAGAGTCAGACACCTGGGTACTGAGGCTCTACAGGGCGTTGAACAAGTCACTTAATCCTTTGGCCTCAGTTTCCCTATCTACAAAATGGGAATATTTATAGGACCCACTTCAGAGGGCAGTTGAGAAGAATCAACAAATATAATTTATATATTTTTTTAAAACGAAACAGAGTACAGTGAGGTGAGCTCTAAGTGAATGTCACTTTCCTGTGGGTTCTGTGGACCCAAGTATCTCCTGATCTTAGCTCTAGAATTATATATGTGAAACCAAGACTGTGTGCTTTTTTTGGGGGGGGGGGCAGGGTCTTGCTATGTAGTTTAGGCTAGGCTTTAACTCACTATGTACTGCAGGTTGCTTCATGTGCATGGTAATCCTCCTGCCTCAGCCTCCCAAGTGCTGAAATTATAGGTGTACATCCCCTTACCTAACCCAGTTATAGGTTCTGACATTTTCATACCAATAGTTGAAAATTCCAAGTATTGACATATTTGGAATTTAAGCAAAAAGCTGACAGCTACTGATCAGTTTGCTATGTGCCAGTTACTGTATTACCACTCCACAGATGACTTCATTCCAATTCATAGTCCCACACAGTGGGGATTCTTCTTGTGTTCATCCAACAGATTTGAAAACTGAGATCCAGAGACATGAGATCATTTGCCTACTGTCCAACAACAGTAAAACCACTGTTTACATCAAGGCAGGACAGCTTCCTAGAATGTGTGTTAGTATGCTAACAATTGTACCAAATCTTAAAACTGAGGGCAGGAAGTTAACTCTTCTTTACTGAAGACTCTAACAATAAAAAACTCTGAGGGCTCTGTAACCTAAGACAATAAAGGTGAATTTTCAGATGCTAAAATTAGAGTTTTACTATGTTTGGCACAACCTATGCAAAATGAAAACATGGGCTCATTGTTCTAAATTATTAAAAATTCAGGGCCCAGGAATTTAGTTCAGCAGCACAAGCGCCTGCCTTGAAAGCTCAAGGTAGTGAGTTCAATCCCTGATACACACCCCCCCACCCCAAATGCAGCTGGGGATACAGCTCAGTGGCACAGTGCTTGCCGGCAAGTGAAAGGTCATGAATTTGATTCCAGTCCCCAAAAAAAAATTCAACCCAAGGGCTGGGGATTTAGCTCAGCAACATAAGCACCTGCCTTGTAAGCAGGCAGTCATGAGTTCGATCCCCAGTACCGATAAAAAGGAAAAAGACAAAAAAAAAAAAAAAAAAGATTAAAAAAAAAATTCAACCCAGGTCTGATAGTGCACATCTGTAAATGCAGCACTCTGGGAGGCTGAGGCAGGAAAGTCACAATTTTGAGTGTAGCCTGGGCAATTTAGCGATTTAGTGAGATCCTGTCTCAAAACATAAAAAGGGGGGCTAGTCATGTATTTCAGCCCAGAGGCCCAGGGTTTAATCCCCCGTACCCTACCCCACCAAAAAACAAAACCAAACAAAAAACCCAACTGCTCTTCTGTAAGACTGATATTCTTGAGGGAGACAGCCAAATGAAATCAAGTGACTAAGTCTTATTACTTTTAGACAAGGGTTAGAGACAAAACTAAGGCCAAAAAAGGGGCCCAGCCGGTGTGATGGCACATACCTATGATCCCAGCACTCAGGAGGCTGAGGCAGGATTTATGGGAGTTCGAGACCAGCCTTGGCTACAAAGTGACTTCAAGACCAGCCTGAACTGCATAGTGAAACCCTGCCTCACAAAGATTTTAAGTAAGATTTTACAGTTTTAAGTAAGAGCATCAGAAGGCCCTGGTGAGAATGAGGAGAAAGCAGAGGTAGTGCAGAGTGTGACTAGAGTGTGAGCAACAGAAAGCCTGAGCAATCTCTGGAGGAGTTTTTGAACAGAGAATGAACTTGGCTTGGTGGCACACACCAGTAATCTCAGGGCTCTGGGAGGCCAAGGCAAGCCGATCTCATGAGTTTGAGTCCAATCTGGGCAGTTTAGTGACTTAACAAGACCTTGTCTCAAAAAAACCCCAGTACCACAAAAAAACAAAAAAACAAAAAAGGGAGGCAAGAGTGCTGGGGATATAGATCAGGGCCAAGACCCTGGCTCAATCCCCAGTGCCACAGAAAAAAGCACAGCGGAGTTCCAACAGGAGGGTCTGTAACACCTGCCCACCCCCAGCTCTCCCTAGATCTCTTCTACACGGAGGACGAGATCTACGAGCTCTCCTACACCCGCGAGCCCCGCTATCCCAAGAGTCTGGTGAGCCGGACCCCTGGCCTGTAATTCTCCTGCTCAAGCCTGTGCACCAGCTAAGCCCCTCTGTCCTCCCCCAGCCGCCTTCCCCCTTCAGAGATCTTCTGGTGGTGGAGTGGGCCCCTGGTGTGACGCCCAGGCCAGACAGGGTTACCCTGGAACGGCACGTGGAGCAGCTGGTGGAGGTAGGAGGGACTGCAGCTGACAGAGGGCACCAGAGCCTCCTGCAAGGCCTTGAAGGGTGGAGGACACTGGACTGTGGGACTGACCTGGATACTGGGCCTCACCCTGCCCTCTCTGCTCCTCTCAAGTCCGTGTTCAAGAACTATGATCCTGAAGGACGTGGCACCATCTCTCAGGAGGACTTTGAACACCTCTCCGGCAACTTCCCCTTCGCTTGCCATGGGCTTCACCCACCCCACAGCCTGGAGTGAGTGGCCCTGACTTCTGGTTCCTCTGAAGATGGGGACCCTGGGGTTGCTGGGAGAAGGTACCCTCGTGCTGAGGCACAGTCTCCACCCTAGGGGCGGCTCCTTTAGCAGAGAGGAGCTGACTGAATACCTGCTCCGCGCCAGCAGCATCTGCTCCAAGGTGGGCCTGGCTGTCCTGCACACCTTCCATGAGGTCGCCTTCCGAAAGCCCGCCTTCTGTCACAGCTGCAGCGGCTTCGTGAGCACCCTGCCCTGTTAGCGCCCACCAAGCCCACCTTCCTCCATCTCCCTTGACACATCTCAACTCCTTACAGCAGCCAACTCTGCCGTGGGCAGCAGGAGGGGTTGTCCCCATATCCAGATAATTCTCAGATTCCAGAAACATACCCCTAAACGCAAATAATCTGCACACTTCATATAAACCCTACACACTGGACATTCCTAGAAAATCTCTGAATTACAATTAGGGGCCAAATTCCAGATAATCTCTACCTTAGACAATTGCCAAGCCATGCATATCTAAAATTCCATGGGTAATCTCTAAAATGCTATATAATCTACACACCCTGAGTAGATTGTGTCCACAGAGAATCCATCTCCAAATTTCTAGACTCTAACTCATCCAAAGCCGTTATATTTCCAAACTCAAGGGATCCTCTAACTCTGGATTATGGATGGGTTTCCTACTCTCCAAACAAACTAGAGAATAAACCTCAGATTACTCCCCAAATTTATTCTTTCACCAAGCCTGGACTGAGCATCTCCCATGTGTACACCACAGAAATAATGTAGTCACTGTGCATAGAACAAGTTAATCAAACATTTGATTAACTTCAAAATTCACAAATGCTAATAGCCTACATGATTCCCCAAGCTTGAGGTGGTCTCCAAATTCCTTTCATTCAAGTTAAACCATCAAATTCTTGAGGATTTTAAAAACTTGGCAGTTTCCCTCTGGCCAAGCCCAGCCCAGCCAGCCCAGAGCTCTCCCTCCTCAAGCCTAGGTGACCCATTCTGCTTTCTCTTCCCAGCTCTGGGGTGTCACCAAGTATGGCTACCGCTGTCGGGGTGAGTGGGGTATCCTAGAATGAGAGGGATGCCAGAGCCTGCAGGCTGAAAGATAGAGGTGCTAACTCCTCTTTTTCCCCCCAGACTGTGGGCTGTGTTGCCACAAGCACTGTAGAGACCAAGTGAGGGCAGAGTGTAAGAAGAGGCCAGGGGCCAAAGGTGATGCCGGACCCCCAGAGATGCCCATCCCACCCACACCAGCTCCCTCTGCCAGCTGTGGTGAGACCCAGAACCAAGCAGTGCTGAGAAGGGGACCTGGTGGATGGGAATTACTTCTAACATCCTGCTATCATATGCACATCCTTTGTTGCTCTCCAACAGGCTCAGAGGAAAATTTCTCCTACACACTGTCCCTGGAACCTGAGACTAGATGCCACCTTCACCATGTTTGGACCCAGACAGAGCCCCCACACCCTTCCTGAGAACCAGAGATGGTGAGCTGGAACTACCCTCTACCCCCAACTGGAAACCAGCAAATTTAGGGAGTCATGGCAAAGTAAAAATGTGTAAGAGGTCCTACTCACCCAGATGGGAGGGTATAGATACAGGTCAATTTCTAATGTTGACAGGAAACTACAAGTTTCAATATATAGGGAAGAGGGATAACTCCTAGAACAGGAAAAGATTTTGGGGGAATACCAGTAAGATGACAAAAATAAGGTCAATTATATCAGGAGCTACAATAAATATTGGTGGAGTAAATTTCCCTAGTCAAAGGTAGAGACTCAGAATTGGTTTTTTTTTTTTTTAAAAAAAGCTAGACATGGTACTCTACACCTGTAATCCCAGCACTTGAGTGACTGAGGCAGAAGGATTACAACTTTAAGGCCAGCCTGCACTACATAGTGAGGAAAATAAAAGTGTAAAACATAAATACACACACACAGTCCACCGGGGACCTGCTTTCATCCACTTAGCCACACTCCAGGTGAGGTACTGCTCTTGGAGGTAACCATCTCCTAGTCATCTTACACCCCCTTCACCACCTGTCTTCCTCCTTCCAGGTCCCCCTCCCAGTGACCACCCCACCGTGTATCTCATCCTCCAAGCTGGAATCCTAGACATCATCTTGGGCTCCTCTCCCCAGTCCTGTCCTAGAACCTCCAAAGACAAACCTCCTACACACACACACTGCCTTTGATGAAGCGGCCATCACCTTACTCTGCAAATGTTTTCTGCCTTTGCATCACAGTGTCTACTATGCATACTCCCTTTTGCCATACTTAGCATCCAGTAGCTTCATTTTGGGTATGTGCAGATTTAGGCATCTCACCAATGTCCTAAATACCCACTGCACAGAGGAGGAGATTAAGGCCTGGTGAAGTTAAACTGCTGGCCCGAGGTGGCAAGGCCCCAAGGGTGAGAAGAGGATTCGAATCCTGGTCCTCAGTTGGTGTGGTGGCACACTGCTGTAATCCGCGCATCCTGGAGGCTGAAGCAGGAAAACTGCTGCAAGTCTGAAGTCATCCTGGCCTGTAGTGGGTTCAAGGCCAGCCTGAATTATAGTGAGATCCTGCCTCAAGAAAACAAAAACAGAAATCCTGATTCTCTAGACTTGAAACTCTAGGCCAATGTGCTCCATGGATGCTGGTGGAGGGCAGAAAGGGCAGGACTGGAGTGGACAGAGTTCTGAAAAGTGGGTCACTGAGACAGCAGAGAAAGCTGGGAAGGACCTGGAACTTGGAGCCTGTAAGCATGAATCGGGTCCCATTCAACTTCTGCTCAGAACCCTCTATAGCTCCTCTCAGTCAAGGGCACAGCCAGTCCTCACTGTAGTCCCCAAAGCACATGATCTACTGCCACGTCTCTGATCTTGCCTCTTTGCCCTCTCACTCATCCTGCTTCAGCAATATTGGCCTCAGTTGTCCTTGAATACTACCCTCAAATACTACCTCAGGACCTTTGCACCAACTTTCCCTCTGCTTGGAATGTTCTCCCCATGAGGCCCCTGAGCTCCCTGTCTGGCACTTTAATGATATCCCCTTAGTGAGGCCTTCCTGACCGTACTCAAAGACATGGTCCTCCCCCTACCAATTCCATGTTCTTGTTTTATTTTTTCCATAGTGCTTTTCTTCTCTGACAAACTATATATTTCACCTGTTTATCTTGTTCAGTGTCTTTCCCCTCACCAGGAATGTCAGCTTTAGGTGAGTGAGGACTTTGATCTGTATCTTCAACTGCCATATCCCCAGTGCCTAGAACAGAGCTGGCCCAGGGTGAAAAGGTGAAAAGTCCTGTCCCGTATCTGAGTACGTCCTTCCCTACACCTAGAGGGACAGATCTGTTGCTGAAGAACCTAAGAGTTTGCAGAGTCAGAGGGGCAGAGACCCCCACCCCTCCACAAACTTATGTACCTCTGACCTGGCTCCCACAGAAACAGGTCCTATTGTCATTGAAAATTAAATTTATTTTCCAGAGAACATGGCTCTGGTGTTGAGTAGTGGATGGGTACACAACATCTGGAGCCTTTGGATTAGGGGAGAAGGGCTTGGATGTCAGGTGCCAAGGAAAACCCTCAGACTGACTCCCCAAAGATTACCAGTGCCAGCAGCAACTCACAGATGCCCCTAACCGCCTTTACTTCTTCTTCTTCTTCTTCTTCTTCTTCTTCTTCTTCTGGCCCCAATGTTGGTGGCCTGCCTTTCGCCCTCCATCTTCTCTGCAGCTCTGCCAGGTGGGCATGGGTGCCTCCAGCTCACTTGGGCGGCCTCCTCGGTCTGGCACATCACCCATAAGTACCTGAGAGTTGATCAGACTTGAGTTTCAGAGAAAGAAATGTATCTTGGGTAAAGGGAACAGCTTGAGGCTGAAGAAAGAAAAGCAAACATTGACTATTTGCGCATAGTAGGTGGACTGGTGGAAGATGCAAGCATGGAGCTGCTAAGGGCCTCGAGAGAAGGAAAGTAAAGGAAGGGTGGTGCAGAAGTTGAGAGTAGCTTGATTTTCTGCTTCATTTATGGGCTTTATACAACATTTCTAGCAAAGTAGTGGTTTTTTTCTAGGTATCCTTCAATTTGTGCACCAAAGTTTAAGACTGCTTAGGCGAAGTAGGAGACTAGATACTTTTATCATTAAAACAGAAAGTATTTCTAGGGTTTTTTGTTTTGTTTTGTTTTGTCTTTTTGAGACAAGGTCCCGCTATACAGTTCAGGCTCGCCTTGAGCTCACTTTGTGGCCCAGGCTGGTCTCAAACTTGCAACAGTCCTCCTGCCTCAGCCTCCCAAGTGCGAGGATTGCAGGCAGTATTTCTGCTTTAAAGAGCAATTAAAATACAATACAATCGACAGGGTGAGGTGATGGGAAAGGAGTTTAACCCAAAGCTGAAGAGGAAGGTGCTGACTCACAGGAGGACTTTGGTTTCAAAGCACTGGGGAGCCATGGAAGGGTTTTGAAGTAGGAATTCCACGGCCAAATTCTGGGGTTTGAAAGTTCCTTCCAGCTGTCTCAGGAAGTGGGTAGATTAGGGGTGATGAGGCCAGAGGCCAGGAAGCAAGAACATGGGAGCAAGAATCAGGAGAGCAAAAGACAAGTGTGGACCAGGGCAAGGGCTGAAAGGCCAATGTGAAGGCCAAGGATGCTGGGCCCTTTCTCACCCCTAGTGCCCACCTTGTTTATGGCACAACAGGTCCCTCGGCGGGCTGCCAGACTGGTAGCTGGAACCAGTCGAGAAAGGTCAGCTCGAGCAGCCAGAACATGTGAGATGGAGACATCAGATTCTGGGGTCAGGACCTCTCGAAGTGGGGTCAGCACTGCTTTCATAGCCTTTCCTTGGGTCTAGGAGTGGGACACATAGAGAAGGTACGAGAGCACTCCCCAGCTGGGACCTGCCATCTTCCCCACTCAGAGTCACTGTATGCTTTGGATAGGGTTTGTTTTCCAAAGGGTGATGTGCTAGAATCTTGGTCCCCAGTGAGATGGCATTAAGCAGTGATGGAACCTTTAAGGTGGGGAGCTAATTAGGTCATGAAGACATCGCCTTTGAAAGGGATTAATGCCAGTGTTGCAGGAGTAGGTTAGGTTTCACTGGCTACTAAGAGAGTTAGATGTTATAAAGTGAGCCACACTAATTTGTCGGCTTCCGTGTTAGCCACTCTTGCATGTGCACTTACTGTGATCATTTCATTATGTTGTGATACAGCATGAGACCCTCACCAGATCTGGGTGCCCAAGCTTGGATTGCTTGGACTACTCAGCCTCCAAAGCCACAAGCCAAGATAAACCTCTTTTCCTTATAAAATACCCCACCTCTGATATTTTGCCACAGCAACACAACAGACTAAGATACCCTACTGCCTACATTACTCCAAAGGTGAGTACTAACGACACGCCTAGCTCAGAGCTAGAATCTCTTGGAGGCTTTGAGATTTTAGAAGCCACAAACCTTGTAAGTCTAAAATGGCCTGTGCCTCAGAACCTTGAACAGGTAACATTCCTGGCCCTCATTCCTCCTCACTGCAGCGGTGGCCCCACAACTGGGCCTCCCTACTCTTGCCAGGGTCTTTTGCCCACACCTCTGCCCGATCAGTCCAGTGGAAAGCAGATGTAGTGAGGTCCAGGCGTCTGAGAAGAAGGCAGCGGCGGCAGTAGTACTGATCTTTCAGGCTTTGGGACAGAGACTCCAGTGCTTCCTGGCAGAAAAGATCTCAGTCATACCAGGGACACCTCTCATCCCCTCTTCCAGATGTTTAACACAGCCATGTACAATCTTACCCATCGGGGTGCATCCAGTGGGTTGTTGAGGAGGGGCAGCATGGACCCTGGGGGCAGGGAAGGCAGCAGCTCAGAGATCTGATGGGAGAAGTCAGAAATCAACTGAGGCAGAAACAGGACAGACAGCTCCGTGGACCCCACAGTTCCCCTCAGCCCACAGGGCCTAGGCCATAAAACAAGAATTGTGGCTACAGCTCCGGGGGAAAAAAAAAAAAAAAAAAAAAATCTGGTGGCTGGGAACTCTGAGGCAGCTGCTTCTGGAGAAATAATCCTCTCCCCAAGCAAGGTGGGGTAGGGAAGGGACTGGCTCTCTACCTTGGCATGTAATTCCTGGAGTAGCTGGCTAGCTGGGGTCACCAGCAGGGGTAAGGGCAGTCTTAGGGCTTGAAGGGTGAGGACTAGTTCCTGGACCATGTCAGCTCCTTCTTTTGTTTCTTTTCCAAGAGGAGGCATAGGGCTGGAGTCCAGAGTGGACTGCAAGCACAGGAGGCGGGCAGCCTGGAGCTCAGAGCAGAGAAAACCTAAAAAATAGGAGAAAAGATCTTTGCAGGTGCAAAGAGGGAAGGCTGCTACCTCACCACTTTGTAGTCCCGCTTACCCAGGGCCCAGGCTCCCCTCAAAGTAAGCATCACTCGGGAAGAAACCACCTGCCCTGTTACTTCCATTTCAGTCCATTCGAGCTTTCAGACTCTCAACAAGATTCTAACCGTTTGTCGGTCCCCATTCTGATCCCACCAACCTCATACCCTCTGGTCCGCCTCCAAGTCCTGGCTCTGCCCCCCGCAGCTAAAACCGCCCCCTCTGGAGGCGCTGGCCTTGCCCACTTCCGCATCCCCAGGCCGCGCGAGGGGCTCACGCAGCAAGCGTGTGCTAGCGCTCAGCTCCAGCAGCTCCGCCGCGCGTCCCCCGCCGTACAGCGCGCGATCCGGGCAGTGCAACGCCCGAAGAAGGTCGGGGAGCTGCCGCAGAAATTCCTCCTCAGCGCCGGGGCCTGCGAGAGGCGGTAGATGTCAGGGTGCAGGACACGCGACTCCACCCCTCCGGCCCTCTGCTCCCCACGCACCGTCGCCCGCGCTCAACACCTCGACGCCCTCATCTTGTCGCTTCAGGGCGCCCAGGGTCGCCAACTCCGCCACCAGCTGCGCGCACAGCGCCCTGAAGTCTGGGCACGAGGTGCTCCACGACGCTGCCTCCGGGAAAGTCCCATACCTGCGGCGAGGCAGGGATCAGTGCAAAGCCTTTTCCGCCCGTGTCTGAGGCAAAGCCGCCCTCCTGCACCACCCCCGGCACGCCGCACACCCTCTTACCCCAGGGTTTGCAGGTCCCGGGACAGCGCGGCTAGCTCCGCAGTTCCTGCCTCCGCCCCCTCCATGGAAGGGTCGCCTCCAGGCCCAGCGCGCGCCCCCTTCCGGCCGTTTGCAAGCTCCGCCCCATCGCCGCACCCGCCTCGCGCTGTTATGGCCCCGACCAATCAGCGCCTCCTCGCGGAGGAACTTTACGCTCCAATTGGTGCAAGAAAAGGCGGAGCCTACCCCCTTAGGTCCACCAGTGCGGTTCTTCAAATCTGTCAAGGGCTAGAAATTCCTGAGCTTGCTGGAAATCCTGGCACTTTGCGACCAGGCTAGTGAGGGTCGCTGTTGTGATGACATATAAGCAACTTCTCTTTCTTTCGATTACCTTCTACTTTTAAAGCACCTCAGAGAAAATTTTGTTCGCCCAGTTTTGTGCCAAACTCAAAAATTTGCCTCACCGCTCACACTCATGACCTACCCTTCCTGAATTACAACGTGCCCCTGAGGCCTTCAGTCCTGTGCATCCCTAGTCCTTGGATAAGGTAGAAGGTGCGACACACCATCTTAAACGGGAGATTGCACCCTAGGAAATGGGTAGGCAGGATTAGGGTTTAACTCCACTCACCAGCTTCTGTCCAAACTGCTTCCAAAGGATAGTGATAGTACCTATTCTTAAAATTCTTGATGAGGATTGATTAGTTCTTATATTAAAAATTGCAGGGGCTGGGGATTTAGCTCAGCGGCATAAGCGCCTGCCTTCCAAGCAGGCAGTCGTGAGTTCGATCCCTGGTACCGGTAAAAACGAAAAAGACCAAAAAAAAAAAAAAAAAAAAAAATTTGCTTAAGAGACACATTGGATTTGCTCAAGAAGAACAACTAGGGCTTGGGATTTAGCTCAGCAGGGATAAGCGCCTGCCTGGCAAGCACAAGGTTGTGAGTTCAATCCCTGATTTTAAAAAAAAAAATTGTCTAAAAAAAGCGGGGGGGCTGGGGATTTAGCTCAGCGGCATAAGCACCTGCCTTGCAAGCAGGCATTTGTGAGTTCGATCCCCGGTACCGATAAAAAAAAAAAAAAAAAAAGAACAAATAATTTTTTTAAAAGAACCGGGCGTGGTGGCACACTCCTGTAATCCTAGCACTCAGGAGGCTGAGACAGGAGGATCGTTGCAAGTTCGAGACCAGCCTGGGCTACAAAGTGAGTCCAAGGCCAGCCTGAACTGCGTAATGAGACCTTGTCTCAAAAAGACAAAAAAAAGGGGGGTGGGGTGGGGATTTAGCTCAGCAGCATAAGCTCCTGCCTTGTAAGCAGGCAGTCGTGAGTTCAATCCCCAGTACTGATAAAAAGGAAAAAGACAAAAAAAAAAAAAAGACAACTAATACACTGAGCATTTAATGTCTACTACTAAGCTAAATCTTATTCTGCATTTTACAGAGGAATTTTATGGAAAATCATAGTTACAGTAAATTCATAGTGGTGCCAGGACTCAATAGTTACTTCCAAATTCCAAATTTTAACCACTGAGCATAGTTACTACTGCCAATGAGTGTGTTGCTATATTTTGCTATATTTTGTTCCAGTTCTTATATCTCCTTGATTGTCCTCATTTCTGGGAGTAGGAGTGGGCTGGGAGCCCCAGGAACTCAGGAAAGAACAGGGCCAGAATTTATTTATCAGGGGCAGACTCTGCTCAGAATCCAGTGCCTCTATACTCCTGCCTACCCCAAATCTGGCACTCATGGGGACGTTTATTAACCCAAATCAAACATTAAAAATTGCTCAACTTGGGGATGGTTGTACATCCCTGTAAGCTCAGCAGTCTGGGATGGACAGCAGGCTGGAAAGTTCAAGCCCAGCCTGGGCAACTTAGTGACTTAGGAAGACACTATTTCAGGAAATAAAGACTGAGGATAGGGTTTAGCACAAAGGCCGGGGGTTTGATACCCAGTAACATAGACACACACACACACACACACACACACACACACACACACACGGTGCTCATTCCAAAAATTTGTACTCCATTTGTTTGTCTAGTACTTGAACCTGGCACATGCTAAGCACATACTCTCCCACTGAGCTCTAAACTGTATCACCAGGTTTGATTCCTTTCTTTTTTTTTTTTTTTTTTTTGTCTTTTTCCTTTTTTTATCGGTACCGGGGATCAAACTCACGACTGCCTGCTTGCAAGGCAGGCGCTTCTGCCGCTGAGCTAAATCCCCAGCCACTGATTCCTTTCTTTATATCAAACCCCATATACAAATCTGTGAGCTCTACCTTCAAACTACAAAGTGAGCTGGGTGTGTAGTGCACACCTGTAATCCCAGAACTCAGAAGCCTGTGGCAGTAAGATTTCTATGCGTTCAAGGCCAGCCTGGACACAGAATGAGTCCAAAGCCAGCTTGAAATACCTACAAAGACCCATTTTAACCACCCCCACACACCCTCTGACACACGCATATGCTATGGTGGAAAAATGTGTTTAAATTTTAAAAATGTATTACAGTGAAACACACGTTGCCATCAGTCTCCCTCAAGGCAAAATACTCTGCCTAGCTTTGAACACACTTATCTCATTATTCTTGTACTTTCTGAAGCAGTTCTAGAAGCCCTTTTTCTTGGATGTCTTTCGTTGCACAGTCATGGCTGCCTAGATGTCCTGAACTGATCCAAAATGTTTACCTTTTATGGTCATTTTGACTCTGGAGCAGAGCCAGAATTCACAGTTGCCAGATCTGGTAAATAAGGTAGATAACAGCACGTTGTAATGTTTTATGAGTTTGTTGGATGGCACTTGGCAACAGCATTCACTGTATTTTTGATCACACCTCATAAAGACACTTCTGGAAGAGGACTTCCAAAACTGCTTCAGAAAGTGACAAAGCATTGGGATAAATGTGTTCAAAATGAGCAGTCAATTCTGAGGGGGTATTAATGCCAATTTGTCTATTACTGTAATAATTTTTAAAAAGCATAGACATTTACCCTATTTTTCAATGTGCCCTTGTAGATCAGTACCGCTGCCTTCTCTCTGCTCCCCTGCCCTCCTCCTGGTCTCACCCACCATTGTCTCCTGCTGGGCAATCGCAGCAGCCTTCCCTGTCACCCAGCCCCTCCTCCAAGTGTCTGACAGCCTGTGAATCAGTGAGTCAGAGTCCTGTGGCTCTAGCTCAGGGTAAAAGCCAAAGTCCGAACAATGACTGCAGGGTCCCACAGATCTGTCCTGCCACCTCTCTGCCCTCTTCATCACCTTTCTTCATCCCTTCTAGATACTCTAGCTCCCTAGCTGTTTCTCAAACAGACAGGCAAGCTCCTACCTTGGGCCCTAGTGTTGGCTGTTCTATTTACGTGGAATGCTCTTCCCTGCAGACAGGCATGGACCCTTTACTTCCTTCATGGCTTTATTAAAATAACTATTGAATGAGAGCTAACCTGGCCACTCTGGCGAAGAGTGCCTATACCCCTTGTGCTCACTTTACTCATCCACTATGTATATGACATTTTTAACAGATTAAGTCACCTACTTAATGTGTCCCTCTCCCCAATACACAGTTTATAAACTCCTGTGTGAAGGATTTTTGTCTGTTCTGTGCATTGCTTTACCCCCAATGCTTACTACAGGCCCTGGCACATAACAGGTACACAATGAATGTACTTGCCGAGTGCCTGCATATAGGGAACTCAGCAGGACAGTTGGCTTGAGACTGAAGGATGTGGAAGGGGAGGGAGAAATGAGATAAGTGGTTAGTGTGTCACCTTTGCAAGTGGACAAAGCACGGCAACAAAAATAAAGAACACAGACTGAGACTTTGTCACAGACATTTCTTGGAATGGATCTCATGCCCCCCTCCCCCATGACAAGGCTGAGACTTTGGCCCCCATCTTCCCAGCCTGCACTGATGCTAACAATATTGAGGTCACAGACTGGCTTGGAATCAAGATCAGGAAGATAAATGTTGTGGTGCCACCCCCAAGTCTGGGGGCCAAGCATCCAATCTGAGGGGCAAGCAGCTGGAAAATTGTGCCTGGGGGTTCCAGGGTCTGAGGTCTTCCTGGCTCCCAGGGCAGCCCTCCATGTACCCCTGATTTGGGGGCCATAAAGGGTAATCATGGATCAGAGGTGGGTATCAGCAGGGAGCGGGACTGGGAGACCTGGCAGAGGCGGTGCTGGGGGTGGGGTCTAGAGAACCTTCCCCAACCCCCACCACTCCATCCAAAGATCCCGCAGCACCATGCACACTCTGGTCCCCTGTCCCACCCCTCCCTAAAACGAGGTAGGTTAAGAATAGAGCTCCCCCCCCCGCCCACAATGGGAGGGGGAGACCGAGGCACAGAGAGGGGGATGGGGACCCAAGCTGCCCCAGCCCCCAGTCCCTCCGCCCTCAGCTCTGGTGGGTCTGACAGTGATGAGAGCTGGGCAGAGTGGAAATGGGAGGGACACCCTCCCTTCTCTCACCCATCCCAGGGTCTGATTGGGAGAGCTGAGTCTCACAGGTTCCGGATGCAATAAATAGTTAATAATTTAAAAGAATCCATAAGAGGATCTATCCCTTGAACTTCCCAAGGCCATCCAAATCTGGGTAAAGAAGAAAGGTATGCACATTTCCAGATGTTTAGGGGCCAGGTGCAGGTCCCAAGCCTGTGGAATAATTGAGACCGTCTCACTCCAAGAACTTAGCGCCCACCATTCAGGACACCAGATCTTAGGTATCCTGAACATGTCATTCTCCCCAAAAGGGGAGCCTTATAGGGCCACAGAATGAGCTTTCAAAAGCAATTCCTGACTGAGATGGAAGAGGTTAATGGAAGGATGAACTTGGGCCTGGGTTAGGGCTCAAGGTCGAGTTTGGAGGATGACAGGGCTTCCCACAGAGTTGTAGCTAGTCCAGAAGGTGTCTATGTGCAAATCAGAAAAAGGCAGGCCTTCTTCTGAAGGCTTAGTGAGGCCGGCGGCCTTTGCTGTGTCCCAGGCACCACCACAGCTGTGTGCTTCTGCTTAGCCAACAGCCTGTAGTATTATCTGTAGTGGTGCTGGGCCCTATAGGTGAAAATGGGGAGTTCCAGGGGATTTGGGAATACAGGAATCTGAGTTCAGAATTACTGGGCTTTCCTCATACAATGAAGGGCAATTCTGAGGATTGCTAGGGACTTGAGCTATGGTCCTTGGGACCAGAATTCCAGAGTCTGGAAACTTGGGGCTTCAGGAGGCCACAGAAAGCAGAATTCAAGGGACAATAGTTAGAAGATTCATGAGTCGGGACTGGGGAATCAGTGTAGAGGCATTTTGGGGTTTCATAGGCTACAGAAGTTTGAGGTGATAGAAACCTGGAATATAAAGGTACTAGGGCTCTGGAAAATCTTAGATCTGAATGTCTCTAGCATAGAGGAACCAAGATCTTAGATCAGGAACAATTCCAATGTTGTGGGGCTTGAATCCTGTAGCTGAGGGGTCAGTGGCATCTTGGAGTCTTGGATCCAGTGCTCTTAAAGCACCCTAGGGTCACTCAGGAGCTGAGGGCCAAGGGATCAGAGGTCTGTGTTGCCATGATCATTGGACATGAGGGATGTGGGGCTAGAAGGAAGCCAGAGATTGATTCTGGGACATTTTGGGTCTCAAAATCCTGTTCCACTGGGACTGGAAGAGGGCTATTTGAGGACTTGAGACCAGTGTCTTGGCCTGAGGTGCTAGTGGCCTGTAGTCATACAGCTGGGGTAACAGGCACCTCAGAATCCATACATGAGAAACAAAACTACCAAGAACACTGGTTTGTGGTGAATGGGGGTACACAGAGATCTTCAGAGAATCTAGGGGTCTGGTATCTGGAGCCTGGCTTAGGTTGGGATAGGCCTCCCAAATCACTTTGCTCGGAGAACATCTCATTTGAGCACATCCAAGGACTCCATACATCTTAAGTCTGCTATCTTATAGCATCTGGAGTCATCTGAATATCTTGATGTCCTGGATTGAAGGTTAGGTCTGTGGGGACTCATGAGTGGGTGGGCTCTAGGTCAGTGTCTGGTGATTCCAAATGGTATCGGAGTCTCAAACCCAGGAGGGTTTGGTGTCTCAAGGATCCTGGGGCTACAGAATATGTCAGATGTGGGTACATTAGGTCTCAGGTGAACATTCAGGGACCATTTGGGGGTGGTTCTGCATCCTCTGGTCACAAGATCTAGGAGTAAGTGGTTACGGGTAAGCTTAGGTATTAGCAACTCCTGACTGATTCTGGGGTTGTAGTCTAAGAGTTCATGGTGCCAGGTATGGCAGGGGTCTGCATTGGACATGTGGACAGAGTCAAGAGTTTGATGTCCCAGTGCCTCTCTGGGAATTTGTATATTCCCCAGGGCCCTCTGAGATGCAGAGTCTGGAGATGTCAGGAGTCTCCTCAGTAGGGAAGATGGATGGAGAACCCAGAACTCAGAATCCTCGACAGACATCCTAATGATGCTGGGTCTAGAGTCACTCAGTCCTAGATTTGGGGCCCAGTTCCAGGTCTGGGATCTCTCAGTCCAAACTCAAGCTCCAAGTTCCACATGTGCCTAGGTTTGAGTTTTAGGTTCAAATCTTGTCTAGGATCCTGGACCCTCAATGCTGGATCCTTGGTCTCGCCACCAGACCCACCAGGCAGTCCTCACCGTGCCGCCTCTTCGTGGCGACCCCCACAGCCGGCACAGCCACACCGAGCTGCAACCCAGTGGCACGCGCGCAGGGGTGCATAGCAGCAGAGGCAGGGCACAGCCAGCGACAGTGCAGCCAGCGCAGCCCAACGCGCAGCAGGACGCGGATGGCCCGGCTCGCAGGCACATGGGTCCGAGAAGTCGCCCTCTGCGTCTGACAGGCAGTGGTAGAGCAAGCTCTCGGCGCACCACAGGCAGCTGAGACGTCGCACCAGCAGGCGACCCGGATCCGGGGCCTCAGCGCAACGGCCCCCACGCCCGTCTGCGCGGCGGCGGAACAGGGCTCGGCAGTGCACACAGCGTGCAGCCTCCTCCGCCTCTGGGGAGGCCTTGGCAGGTGCAGGGGTGGGGCCCGGGCCCGGGGGTGGGCGAGCTGGAGGTGCTGGGGGCATAGACTCGGTAAGAGGGGCAGATAATGATATTGGGGGACCCAGGGCCGCGCCTCTCAACGTGCCAGTCTTGGCAAAGCGTACAACACAGGTGGACAGGGCGAGGGGCGCCGGTGGTCCAGAGCGCCGGTAATCCTCATAGCCGCGGCCACCCCAGCCCAGACCTCCTGCCCCGACCACAGGCTCTGAGGGTTCTGGAATCCCCGTGAACGGTAGTAGCGGTGGGTAGCTCTGCAGGGCAAGGAGATTTAGTTAGTGAGACCTGTGACTCACCCACTGCCACCACAATCTATCTCAGTCTCTGAAGAACCTAGAAGCTGGCTCCCAGTGACCCACGACTGGGAAGCTGAAGCAGGAGGATCATGAATTCGAGCACAGCCTGGGCAACTCAGTGACTTACGGAGACTCAGTCTCAAAATTAAATTAAAAATGAAAGAGCAGAAGATGGGAGGTAGCTCAGCATAAAGGCCCTAGGTTCATTTCTCAGTGCCGCTAAAAATTAATAAATAAACAAATAAAAACAAAACTCCCAGACCCAGCTACAGCCCTCAGACTTCCAAGGATTCTGCTCCTAAAATCCTTCTGAGTTCAGGATTCAGACTTCCAAGACCACAGCTTGCTCCACATTCAAGATGTCTCACTGGAGCTGGGGATTTAGCTCAGCGGCATAAGCTCCTGCCTTGCAAGCAGGCAGTCGTGAGTTCGATCCCCGGTACCGATAAAAACGAAAAAGACAAAAAAAAAAAAAAAAAAAAAGATGTCTCACCTTCTCTTCCCAAGACATGTGAAGGAATCCAGACACCAGTCCATACCTTGAAGATCTAGGTCTTAGTGGCTTAAGGCTCTCAGTTCTGCCACTCAAGAGCCAGGGGTCCCAGCCTCAGCGTCTTCAGGTCCTGAAATTCTGGACCTTGGCCACCTCAGAAGGGAATCAGTCCCTGGGCCCCTTTTACCCTTTGGAGTTGAGCTTCCCTATGTAAACTAAGCAGTCTTTTGTTCTGGTTTGTTGTTTTGGTCTGTTTTTTGAGACAGGGCCTTAGTTCAGGCTGGTCTTGAACTCACTATGTAGCCCAGGCTAGTCTGGCACTCAGCAATCCTCCTATCTCAGCCTCCAGGCTGCTAGGATTACAAGTGTGTACTACCATGCCAAACTAAACAGTTCTAAGGAGCCTTCCCATGAGTATCAGCCTCTTCTAATATACCCAGAAAATTGCCCAGGTCATCCCCCAAGCCTTTCTGAAATTCAAGAACTCCCCCAAATCTCAGAGTGCAGAAAACATCTGGAAGCCTCTCCTCAACCCTTGGAGAATCTCAGGCCCCTCTCCCCACCCCACTCAGCAGTCAAATCGGCCATTCCCTGTGATCTGTGTATCTTTTCTCACACTGCTGGGCCTCAGCTCCAACCCCACTAGGGACCCCGAGCCAGTCTCCATTCCACCCAGACTTCCGCTGGGGGTCATACCTGAGCCAAGGAGCTGCGGCGCTGGGGGGGCGTGGTCGGCAGGAAGGCAGAGGCGGACTCCACGGTGACAATGGGGGCTCCAGCGGTGGGAGGCGTCTCCTGGCGGCTGTGACTGGAGGAGGAGTCGCTGTCCACGTGGGACTGGAGGGGAGATAGGCGACCTCAGTGTAAAGAGTCCTTCCCCAACAGCCCGTGCCCCCACAAAATCTCCCTCCCATTGAGAGCAAGGGCTCTGGGGCCGCGCAGGCCTGGGTTTAAGTCCCTCTCACCTCAGAGCTCACCTCTGAGCCTCAGTTTCCTCCTCTGTAAAATGGGGATCATAATAGTACCTATTGGTAAGGATGTGATTAGGACCCATTGTAAAGGGCACAGAGCGTGCCCGAAGTACAGGAAGAGCTGAAAATGGTGGTTATTATTATTAGATTCCTCTTCTTTTTTTTTTTTTTTTTTTTGGTCTTTTTCTTTTTTATTGGTACCAGGGATCGAACTCACAACCACACACTTGCAAGGCAGGCGCTTATGCCGCTGAGCTAAATCCCCAGCCCCTAGATTCTTCTTCTTAACTGCTCAGCTCACAGAGCTACAGAATGCCAAACGGTCTTCTGGCTTCTCCCTCTCCCTTGGCCATTCAGTCACCTTCCTACTTCATTCCCACCACCACACCCTTTGGGGACCCTCACTCCCACCATGCTCTCCTTCCTATCCAAATCAGGCTCTAGCTGAAGCATCACTTCTCAGATCTTTAGTTTTTCTTTCTGTAACCCAACCAAGAACTTTGCTGCATCTGTCCATTGCCTTCAGTATACATCTCTGAGCACCATGACACGCAGGACACAAGGCCACTGTACAGGTCTGAGCCAGAGCAAAGCATCTTTTGAATAAGAGCACCAAAGACAAGAACTGCCTATGCCCCACCTCGACTTCCCATTATCCTGAGATTCTCCCCCTTTTCACCCTGGGAACCAACTCCATTCCTCCAGGTAGTCTTAGCAGTTCCCATTGTGACCAGCAAGTAGCAAAATGTACCCAACATTCTGTGCATTCTTTCATTCATTCAATTTATCCAGTATGTTTACTGAACACTTATGGTATACAAGGCACTGTTTTAGGCACTGGATATGCAACAACACACCAACAAAAGATCCTTGCCTCTGGGAGAGAGGCATTACACCAATAGATAGGAAAACTGTCTTCATGGCCCACACCCAGTAGCAAGGGACAGAGTGGAAGGATTGCCTAGAGTGCAAGGCCTGCCTGGGCTACGCAGTGAGTTCAAGGCTAGCCTGAATGCTATAGAGACCTTGTCTCACAAAAGAAAAAGAAAGAAAAGAAAAGAAATAGAGGCATTGGGACATGGGAAAGGGTGTTCCAGACAAAAGAAATAGCTAATGCAAAGGGTTAAAGACAGGAATGTGCTCAGAATGTGTTAGGAGTGAGAGTAAGGAGGTCAGGGTGGCTGCAGCAGCATGAGTGGGAGGACAGGACCCTGGGACCAGACGGTGTGGGATGTCAGGTGTCACTGTAAGGACTTCATCCCTTACCTTTAGTGAGCAGGAGCCCTGGGAGAGTTCTGAGAAAAGGAGGGCTGTGATCTAACTCAATAATCATTGGAGCCCCCAGGCTGTGGGGAGGGATCAGAGAGTTGGGGGTAAGGTGGAGCTGGGGGGTGACAACCAGAAGCTGCGGAGACAGTCCAGGTAGGAGATGAGGCTGGACGGTACCAGGTATGACTATCGTGAAAGTAAAGCCATATTCACTAACAACATACTAAGAAGCATAAAAAATAAAAGGAGTCAAGGATGATGCTAAGGTTTGGAGCTTGAGTACCTGGTACACAAAGTTGTCATTCATGTCATCCTTAATATACTTTCTCCTTTTTTCTTTTGTAGTACTGGGAATAGAATCCAGAGCCTCACACATGCTAGGCAAGTGCTCAACCCCTGAGGTGCACCTCCAGCCCCATTTTCTTTTAATAGTTTGTTGTTGTTTGTTTTTGAGACAGGGTTTTGCTATGTAGCCCAGGCTGGCCTTCAACTCACAGCAATTCTCCTGCCTCAGCCTTCTGAGTGCTGGGATTACAGGCATGCACCACCATGCCCAGCCCCTTTACTTTTAAAATTTATTTATTTTTAAAGTCTATTATTTTTCTCTTGCTTTTCCACATGACACTAAAAGTTCCAAGAAGAAAGAAACTTTGTTTTACCCAATGATATATTCTCAGCATCTAAAAAAACATTGCCTGGTATCCAGGAGGTGCTTAATAAGTACTGGTAAATGAATGTGTGAATCACTATAGAAGAGCAAAACTAGATTAACTGAGATCAAATTGACATTAATAGTATAGGCTTAATTTTGTGTCCCCAGCGTGCGTCCTGGTGCTGGCACAGTAGGTGCTCACAAATGTTCTATAGACCAGGAACCACTCCCTTCTCTCCCAGCAGGGAGGCAGCCCAGACTCACCGTCAGAGGGCAGGGGGTCTCTGCAGTGTCCTGAGAGGGGGAGGAGGAGGAGGAAGAGGAAGGGGTGAGCGAGCCTGGGCAGGGAGAGAGGCAGAGTGAGTCCCGGGCCCAGCTTCTCCTACCCCTTCCCGAGCCCAAGTGCCTATCATTTATTGCACTCACACTCACCTCGGCCCAGGGCGGCCAGGGCAGCCAGTAGGCTCTTCTGGAATTCATCAGCCTCAGCAGGACTCTGAAACGTCAACCCAAACTTGCAGTCACCCAAGCTCCAGTGGTGGAAGATGGGGTTCACTTTGTTGTAAACCAAGCCTGGTCTCAGGGTGCATTCCAAGGTAGTCTGAGGGGCAGGAAGGTCTGGGTCAGACACTCCTTCCCCACCCTGTGACTCCCCGGCGGCAGGGTTTCTGCATACTCCAGCAACCTTCCAACCTTGTTGCCCAATCCCAAGTGTACCCGGTTCCCTGATATCTCAGGACAACTCCCCAATTTTATGGAACCAGCTCCATTCCTCCAGGTATCCTGGATATTAGGATGCCTCTGGGAGAGAGGCATTACACCAATATTCTCTAAAATCCCCAATCCCCATATTTTTCTAGCATCTTCCTTTAGTGCCCCGGAAAGAACCCCCAAACTTAGCCTAAAAAAATCATTAACCTCTTTCTGATAACCAACTATTCCTCCTTTTGACTCAACAGTATTCTTCGGACTTTACTGAACATGTCAACATATTACACTTAACCCCCTTCTAAAGCCTCAATAATTTTTTGTAATCTTACCCCAAAAGCATTCTGATTACACTTCTTCTGATGCCCTCAATGTTGCTCTGACACCTTAGCTGTTCCCTCATACCCCTGCCTAACATCACCTCAGTCCTCCATACTGCTCATTCCACCTTTCCAAATCCCACATCATTCATTCCCTGAGTTGAAATGTAACCCTTCCACCAACTCTTTTTGCTTTTCTCTTCTTTTATTTTTCGTCCCTCTTCCTTTTTGACTGGATTTTGCTGTATGCCCCAGGTTAGGCTGGAATTCAAAATCCTCCTGCCTCAGCCTTTTGAGTGCCAGGTTTAAACAAGTGTGTGCTACCACACCAGCCAGTCTCCCCAGCCTTCTCAAAACAATACAAATCTTCCTTCTACATTCTCTTTCCAAATCCTACCAGACAGGCCCATTATTCCTGCTGAATGTGCAATGCCTGCCTGGCTGTGAGGTCCTGAGTTTGATCCCCAATACCCTCAAAAAATAAAGTCTCCTTCTTGCAGAACCCAAACTGACATTTCCAAGCAGACCCCCAGCAAATGTCTCCAGATACTTAGGGCAGACAGGAGTCACTCTCGTGGTGTAGGGCCATGGGAGGGTTCTGAGAGAAGGATATGATCTGGGGGGGAGGGTGAGCAGGGCTTCTGTGAAACAGACTGAGGTTGGGTGGGGGAGCAAAAGGGGAGTAGGGAGACCAGTAAAGAGGGACCAGCAGGAGATGCAGTGGGCAGAATCTGCCTGACACCCCTCACACTCCAGAAATTCCCAGCTCTTCTCCCTAGGACAGATATTCACTCCCACACTCAGCACAACCCCAGGCCAGGAGAAGTCCTGACTCTCCTCTGCCTCCCAGCCCCATTCCCCTGCCACCCCAGGGTCCCAACCGACCCCACGCCCCAGGGTGGCTCACTTTCTGGTCCCGGAGGCGCTCCCCGTGGATGACGTAGTGCCCCTGGTGGGCCCCCCCCTCGGGCCTGGCCCCTCGGACCCGACACACGCTCACCTGGCTGAGGCCCCCGCCCCCCACAGGCAGCCAGCCCCCACTGGAGTCATCTCGGGCCATCACCACGGCTCGGACCCGCACCATGTACCTGGAGGAGGTGAGGAGCACAGGCACAACAGTCAGTGACCCCCAAATCCTGCTCTCCCGTTCAGTGTTCTCCTAAACCTGGTTTTCCCCCTATCTTTGTCTTTTACATCTGGACTCACTGCACCCTTGGCCACCAACACCCCTCAGGCCCACTTTCTTCTAGTATGGCTTTTTTTCCCCCCTATGATATCTCTTCTTATGTCTACCTTTTTTCCCACAATTATCTCTTCTCTCCATAGCCACCTTTCCCCCATCTTTCCCATCCCCACCTCCACAGCCTGGGCCTTCTACTTCCCCTCCCCCTCCTGCTCATCTCTTCAACCCTGTCTCCTTTCCTCTCTGCACATACCCACAGCTCCACCCATGTCCCCCCTCGCAGCAGGGTTCCTGCGCATATGTATTTTCTCGAAGCCCATCAACTCAGCTCCCATTCCTCCAACACTGCCTCCGCACCCTGTCGCCCAGGCCACTGGCTGGGTGAGAAACCTTGGCTGTCTTCCCCCCACCCCTTCCCGGATTTATGAATGAGACCGGATGCAAAGCTCACTGAGTCACCCAGCAACGGGGAGATGGGCAGGGAGAGAACCAGAAATGGCCAGAAAGAGGCCGAGAGATGGAGGCTAAGGAAGCCAGAAATGGGCGAACGAAGAGATCTTGGGAGCATTTCATTCACAAAAATCAATTCTGCTCCTTCAAGTCCCAGCCAAAGGAAGCGAAGGGAGAGAGATGAGGGAATTGATTCCCCCTCTCCAGCACCCTTCAGAAACACTTTACCCCGCCCCCCAGCTCAAGGGGACCTAGCCTTCTGCCCAGTAATCGGGATTAGCGTCCACCCAGCGCAGGGATCCCGGCGTCCCAACCTTAGAGACCCAAGACACGAGTTCTAGCCCCCTCCCCCACCTCCAGGGTGCCGGGTTTCCCCAGTCCTTCGAGAGGGAAAGGGGCAGCCGCAGCGCCCCCAGCCCCCTTTTCTCAATGGGATGGGATTTTGTGAATGAGCAGTCACGTGACGCTGCTTCCTTTGTCCGCCCGCCTCCCCCGACAACAGGTGAAGCAGGGAAAGAGGGCAGGGGTCCCCCCCCAGGGCCTAGCTGGGATGGGGCACCGAGATTTCAGGGCACCCTATGCTCCCCACACATCTGTGTTCCCAGGAGGAGTGGTCTTTGAAGTTTCTCAATGATGAGGGTCCAGGACGAAAATTTGTGAATGGGGCGTCTTCGGACGAAGTCCAGGACCCCAAATGGAGACTGGTAGCCTAAATGGCTGCCGCGCAGTTTAGGGGCCACCACCCCCTGGCCCTCCCGGGGGGTCCGCGAAGGGCCAGGGTGCACAGCAGGCGCGGCGCGTTCCTGGCCGCCCCCTCTTCGGGTCCGGCTGTCCGGCAGCCCCCGCCCCCTCGCCGCCCTCGGCACCTGCCTGGGAGGCTCCGGCCGGGCTCCGAGCGGCGGCGACGCGGCCTCCTCCTCCTCCTCCTGCTCCCTCCAGCTCCCTCGCTGGCTCCGGCGGCGCTGGAGACGGGCACCGGGAGCCGGGGCGAGGGGGGAGGAGGGGGAACCTGGAGGACGGGTGGGGGGGAGGGGGCGGTTGGGGGAGGGGTGAGAGCGAGACGGGCGCGCTTGCCCGCTGGGTCCTAAAGCCCGGCACAAGCTCCAAGAAATAACCCCCAACCCCCTTTTCCTCAGGATCCAGAGGAGATCCCCCAGTTTCCCACTTCTTCACCTCATTGGTCCCTGGTGAGGACGAGGAGGGCACAAGGATAGAGCCTGGTCTCTGGACTCCAAAGAGGGTGGTCTAGGATTTGAGCTAAATGGGAGAGGTCGAACCCTGGCAGAGTTCGAAAAGCTGTGGGACAAGCAGATGCCTCCCCAGGGGGCGGGATCGGAGGGTCTGAGTGAGGACCCTGCAAGAGGGTGCGTCAAGAAAGGGGCGGGCCCACGGTGGATAGGTTTGGGAGCGCCGAGGAGAGTCAACCTTGAAGAGAGGCAGCCAATCCTAAAAAGGCGGAGCTTTAGAATACATTCCCTTATGGGCGGGGCAGATGAAAGCGCTCCCCCCCAAAAAAGGAGGAGCTAAGTAGCCAGGTTCGCTGTGGGCGGGGCTTTGGGAGAGACTACCGGAGAGGGGCGGAGCATTAAAAAGAGGAAGGACTAAAGAGAACCTTCTAAAAGGGTGGGGCTGAGGACTCGAAGGCTGGGGACTAGAAAAAAGACACCCAAATATTTCAAAGGGGGAGCCAGGTCGGTAAAGGGCTTGGCGCAAACAGGCTCAGGAGGCATGGCCTCGAGCCAGGAGGCGGGGCCTAGGTCTCAGAGTCCGCTGGAGCTGTCTCGCTCGCGTAGCTTCACCGCATCCCGGTTCTTTTCCGTTATTTTCTGCTACGGCCGTTCCCCGCCCTATCCTGGGCCCAGGGGGCTGCGATCTGAACTTGGGTCGGCTGGAGGAGTCAGTGAGTGGAGTCTTGTGGGTGAAGGAGCCGAGGCAGAGTTCGAGGAGGGCTGGAGTCTGAATCTAGAGAGGGCAGTGGGAAGAGTTTAGGAGTGAGGCTTGAGAATCTGCCCGTCTGCGAATGATCCACAGAGAGGGAGGGCGAGTGGAGGCCTAGACTGAGCACTGAGAGATTAGCACGATCAGAATACTTGGTATAGTACTTGCTTGATAGAGGCGGGGCCAAGCTGGGGTAGAGGTTTGCAGTGATGAAGGTCTACTCCCTGAAAATCAGGGTGGGGCCCAGTTCTTCGGAGACTGTTTAGAGAGCAGGGACAAAAGCTTGAGCTTCTAGACACTACCATCATTAGCAGTGTGGCCTGAGAGACCGACTGGACAACTGGCAAGATGAGTCTTTTTTTTTTTTTTTTTTTTCCTGCGGTACCAGGGCTTGAGCCTGGGGCCTTCACATTGAGGTACATCTCCAGCTTTATAAAAACATTTTGGAGTAGGTGGATAAGTTGCCCAGGCTGGGCTTAAATTTGCGATCTTCCTGCCTCAGCCTTCCAGAGGACTGGAATTACAGATGTAAGCCACCGCCTGGAGACCCAGGCATGGCTAACAGTAGAGATGTGATTTAAACCAAGGAAAACAAGATAGAGCATTAATACATAAAGGGATTGGGAGTCTAGTATCTGAACAGCGGTATGAGGGGCCGTGAGAAAATAGACAGGAGCTATGAGACTCAGGGGAACAGGTGACTAGCGACCAGCGCTGAGTGAATATTGGAGGACAGGGGCGGAGCCAACGCAGACCGGGAAGTTCAAGAACAGCCTGCACTTTTGGGTCCCCGCAGCCTTGGCTCATTGACTGGCAGTTTTTCTGATCACAGTTCCCGATCTCTGTAGGAAATGGGGAACGTGCAGTCGGAGCCGTCCGCGGGCGGGGGCTCCCAAAAAGAGCAGGCCTCAAACCGCACCTCTGACTCCCGCCGGACGTCCCTGGTGCAGCCCGAGGTGACCCCCTCCTCCCCGGCAACGCGCCTGGCTCGAGGGCTGGGTGTCTGGTTCCCTGGCAGCTCCGCACCCCCAGTACTCCTGGTACCCCCGGAGCCCCAGGCCTCACCCTCGCCCCTGCCCCTGACCTTAGAACTGCCCTCGCCAGTGACGCCCCCTCCAGAAGAGGCGGCTGTGGCCGCCGTCTCCACAACGCCCCCGCCCCCCGTGGGGTCTCTGCTGCCCGCGCCTTCTAAGTGGCGAAAGCCCACTGGCACTGCGGTGCCCCGAATTCGAGGCCTGCTGGAGGCGAGCCACCGCGGCCAGGGCGACCCTCCCAGCCTCCGCCCGCTGCCGCTGCTGCCCAGGCAACTAACTGAAAAGGACCCTGCCCCGGGAGCCCCAGTCCCAGCTCCGACGCCCCCGGGACCTCGGAAACCGCCACCTCCGCCACCTTCCGACTGGCAGCCCTCGAGCGGTAGTATCACTCCAGCCCTGGTAACCTGCGCCACCGGCCCCACCGACAGCCAGGCCAAGCTCAGCGCCGAGAGCCAGACGGCGGGCGGGGTCCGCGAGGGGGCGCCTCCCCAGGCGGGCGAAGGCGAAATGGCCCGCTCTGCCGCTTCCGAGTCCGGTTTGAGCTTGCTGTGTAAAGTCACGTTCAAGTCGGGGACCACCTTGTCCCCTGCGGCAGCCTCAGCTCCTTTAACAGCCAAAACCTCCCTCGGAGGCGGCAGAAGCGGGGGACTCTTCGCCACCTCGGGCGCCATCTCCTATGCCCAGGTCTTGAAGCAGGGACCCTTGGCGCCTGGAGCTCCTCGACCTACCGGAGAGGTCCCTCGCGGGACACAGGACACCGAGGGCGGGGAAGGAGATGGTGAAGGGTGTTCTGGTCCCCACTCGGCGCCCGAGTCCCACACCCGGGCCCTACCGCCGCCCACCTACACCACCTTTCCAGGCTCGAAACCTAAATTCGACTGGGTGAGCACCCCCGAAGGTCCTGAACGCCACTTCCGCTTCAACGGGACTGGCGGAGGCATCGGGGCGCCCCGACGGCGTGCAGCAGCGCTCTCGGGGCCCTGGGGCTCCCCCCCACCCCCGCGAGGGCAGAAGCACCCAGCTCCGGGGCCCCGGAGGCCAGCACCTGCCCTGTTGGCGCCGCCTATGTTCATCTTCCCGGCGCCCCCCAATGGCGAGGCCGTGCGCCCCGCGCCTCCTGGTCAGCTGCAGTCACCGTCGCCACCGCCGCCGCCACCTCCGCCACCGCCGCCACCTCCACCACCACCGCCACCGCCGCCGCCACCACCACCACCGCCACCGCCCAGGGCACCAGCCACACCACCACCGCCGGTGCCTCCGCCCACATCGCAGTCGCCGGCGACCCAGCAGATACCAACGGCAGTGGCCCGCCAGCCCACTCCGCACCCAAGCCCTGGCCCCAGCCCTGGCCCCGGCACTGGTCCCGACCCCAACCCTGACCCTGACCCCGACTGCGACCCTGGCCCTGGAGAGTCGGCCCCAACTGCTCTTCTACCCTACACAATGGCTGCGGATCAGTCCCTGGCTCCGGTCCCCGTGCGGGCAGTGGCCCCACCCCTATCTCCGGCCCCACCTCCATCTCCATCCCAATCCCCAGCCCCATCTCCAACCCCATCCCCAGCTCCTGCCACCACCACCACCGAGCCATTGACCCCCGGGCCTGTGCCTGTGCCCGCGCCCACCAAGACTCGCACACGCAGGAACAAGGGTTCCCGCACCTCCCGAGGGGCGACCCGTGAAGACCGCACGGCTGGAGTTGGTTCTCGCCAAAAGTCCACAGCAACCACGACTGAGAGCAAGGGCACTGGCAGCAGGGCGGCTCTGGCTGGGGTAGCTAATTCCAGTGCGGTGCGACACTGGCCACCCTTCCAGGTGCTTAACTCTTGTCCCTGCAAGTGTTACTGCCGCCACCAGCCGCACCATCGCCGCCTGCCAAGCAACGTGTCGGCCTGGTGAGAGGAGGTCAGAAAGTGGGAGGAAGGGCAGTTTTGGCAGTCTTGAGTCTAGGCTGATCTTTGACCCTTTTCAGCTGCATCTCAAACCTAGCTGATCTCCAATCCTTCAGCACTGCCAGGGAGCCTGGATCCCACTGACCACCAAGTGGAGAGAGTGTTACCTTGCCCTAGTCCCTTGGAATTCAGATCCCCCAAGCCCACTCTGGCCCTTTTGTTACTCTGGAACCATGAGAAGCTGGACCCATCTAGCCTGACCCTACTCACTGCCATGACTCTGTACCTGTTTGTGGGCAGAGGAAGCATATCCTATACTTTTTAGGGATAGGAAGATGTCTTCCTGAAACCAAAAGGGAGTCAATCAATGTAGGACTCCAGAGATCCTGGACACCTGGAGAAGCCCTGGCCTAACTCCTTGGGACTCTTGTAATTTCTCATTTTAGGACCAATGGCTTTGACCACCAAAGGACACTTATCACCTACCCTTGTGCTGCAAAATCTATTTGATTCCCCAGACCTAGAGGGCACACTGCATCCTCTACTTCCTCTTTACCCCCATACTCAAATCTTTGGATCTAAGCCTGGCTCTGATGGGTACCCTGGTTCAAGATGGGACTCTACCCTGGACCTCTTAGGGCTTCAGTTGGGGCACCCATCGTAACTGTCAAGCCCCTTCCCATTCTACTAGATACATCTCTGTACAAAGCTACCTTTGGGATATCCACACAATCACCAAGAGCTTCTCTATTCAGATGGAGAGTGAAACTCTAGAAGGGGTAAAGGCCTAGTCACAGACCCTGCTGATTCTTCTTTCCTCTCAGGCTGAGCACAACCACCAACCATTTGAGCGAGCCACCCTGGGTCACCACCATCAAGCTGGCTGGCTCCCTTGTAGCTGGGCTGGAGCACTATGACTTGCAGGCCACCCATTCTGACTGAGTTCTGTCTGTTCAACACCCCCTACCTCCCCCTCCATGCCAATAAAGTATCCAGCACACATGGCCACCAGTCACTGCTGTGGGCAGTAGGGTGGGGCAAGGCAGGTTTCACGGGAGGTGGTAGCAAGCCCATGTCCCAGCCCCGACCTTTTGTTTAGCGGGATTATACTGGTAGCCCACAGATTCCATTTCACATATCATTTGAAAAATTATTTAATCCATTTCCAACATTTAAAAAACTGATACTACCTCTTTGCTGAAAACAAAACTGGTACCCTATCCAGCACCCTCATGTGCTCCCAGCTAGTTGAAACAGTCTACCAGGGACCTGTGCTCTCCTGTAAGTCACAGGGCCACTGGGCATGTGTTTGAAACCTGAAGCAAAGGCTACTGGATAGAGGCTGATTGGCTGGAGTGTTACCTCCAGCCTCAAAAAGTCCCACCATACTGACTAGGGACACGTGGGCTTAGAAGAGCAAATGTCAATCCAGCTTTATTGAAGGATACCCTGCACTGTGACCGTTTTAAACAACTATGCCGTGCCCACTCCCAGGATCCAGTGGGCTCAGACAATCATCTCCAGCTGCCGGGCGTACTCGATAACTTGTTTAGCCAGTTCCGTGGAGGGGATGGTGGTATCTTCTGGCTTCTGCTGCTGGCTGGCAAAACTGTAGTAGTTGTTGGGCCCCAGGACCCACCCTCGCTGCAGGCAAGAAGGAAGAGATTAGAGACCAGTGGGGTGATTTTTTTTTTTTTTTTTGTCTTTTTCATTTTTATCGGTACCGGGGATCGAACTCACGACCGCCTGCTTACAAGGCAGGTATTTATGCCACTGAGCTAAATCTCCAGCCGAGTAGGGTGATTCTAAAGGCAGCCTCCCCACCCCATGGAGCCACTCTCTGTATTACACACACTTACTCTCTCACACACACACCACGGCATCCTTTTCTCACCAAGCCCCTCTACCCACACCACTCCGGGCAAGAACTTCACACTCTATGCCTCAGTTTCTCTATGTTGATAAAGATTAATTACAGTCTTCTCTAGATTGGCTGTGAGGATTCAGTGAATCAAAATCAAAATAGCATCATTCAGACTCCACTTCACCTACTTCCATGGTTTATCCATATGTTCACTAGGGTCAGCCCAAGAGCTACCATATCCAGAGGCACTACTCCTGCTCAAATGTGCCAGCAAAATGAAGTCAAATCTTATAGGAATGGCTGCTACCTCTAAGAAATTCTAGTAAGGGCAAAAGCCAACATGCAGGTACCAGGTGCCATGCTAAATTCACCCTATGTGTCAGCTCTGGTACCATTCTATAGAGGGGATTATTTAAGGTCACACAGCTGGATTTAATCCTAGGAGTCTCTCCTCTAGGCTCTAGGCTTGCTAACTCGGCCATTAGATAGTGTATCCCAGGGCTTTACAGCCCCTTGCCCTGTACTCCAGCCACCTTCTTGGCATAGTCCGTCATCTTTTTGGGTGTGTTGAAGAAAAGAATCCGGGTGGCCTCAGTAAAAAGAATTTTCTCATAGGCCTTTTCAATGCACCCAGCAATCTCATCCCTGTAGGAAGATAAAAAGGTTCTCATTACTAAGCACCGACAACCCCATATCCTGTCCTCCCAAGCCTAACAGGTGTCACCTCTGAACCTTCAGCATTGGTGGATGGAAATGTTCCCATCTCTTCACCAGAGACTAAAAGCAGGCAAGTGCCACAGGCATCTGCATCTAGATTTCTCTGACTCCCAGAATTATGGAACCAACCATGGACCCGAATCCCCCTCTTAGCCACAGGACTTAGGCTGTCTGAAACCCAACTTCAGAGTCCCATGAGGGGATCTCTTCACAGAAGAGCCAGCTCAGAAGGATGCTGCATCCTACTTCATAAATCCCATAAGGGAACCTTGTATCCATCAAAAGACACTGTGTGCAACACTCAAGTACCAAACAGCAAGACATGAAGTGATCAGAATGGAGACGGCATAAGGTCAGAACAAAACAGTGGCAGGGAGGAACACATCCATTTCTGAGATGTCATATCTCTCAGGTCTGGTATTTGGGAGAGTTAAGATATTCAGAGCCGGGCGTGGTGGCTCACGCCTGTAATCCCAGCACTCAGGAGGCTGAGGCAGGAAGATCGTTGCCAGTTCAAGACCAGCCTGGGCTACAAAGTGAGCTCAAGGCCAGCCTCAACAGTATAGTGAGACCCTGTCTCAAAAAAGACAAAAAAAAAAAAAAGACATTAAAAAAAAAAAAAACAAAAAACAAAAAACAAAGGCTGAGGTTGCAGCTCTGCAATACAGCACTTGCATAGGATTCATCCCCACCACAAAACAAAACACCCCTAAGCCAGCCAGCCTGGGACACGGAGCAAGTTCCTCTCAAAAAAAAGAGAGAGAGAGAGATATTAAATGCTGCGTCAGGATTGATAGTGCATATCTATAATCTCAGCACTGTGGAAAGCTGAGGCAGGAGGCTCACAAATTCAAGCCCAGTTCAGGCAACTTAGCAGGACTTTCTCTTACAACATATGAGTGGGGGAGGGTGGGAGGTGCTGGATATGCAGCTCGGTGTGAAAACCCTAGGACAGTGGTGATGAACCTGTGGTACACATACCACAGTAAGCTGGTTTGTATCACTGAAAGCTCTAACACATGTTTGCCATCACTGCCCTGGAAGCAATCCCGTCTCACAGGAAAACAACCACAAACGCATCTTAAACCCATGAGACTACTGCTCCTCATCCCTACATCTGTGGGCTTGCCTTTGTCACTCAAAGAATAGAAATGCACTTCTATCTGCTGCTTTGCCCAAGTGAATCAATTCAAGGGACTTGTACATCGCACCCACCTGCTCGCATTACCACCTATGCACACAGCAACCAAAGGAGCTGGTAGGGGACGGTGAACCCATTGTAGAGAAGGGAAAACAGAGCATTTCACTGTTTAGGCGCTCTGAGGCAAGGGCCTGGGATTCATGGCCACATCCCTTGGTTGACAGAAGGGCTGGAGCACTTCTCACAGAAGCAGCACGGCTCCTGCCTGATGAGCTATCTGGGTACCATGCACAGGTTAGTCTGACACTTGTGGCTACACATGGAAATGGCCTAGCACGAGTGGAGATCTGTTGGCCACCACGGTGTAAGCAGCTTTGGCTCACAGGAAAGGGGAACCAGAATACAAGGAAGACATGAAACGTGCTGGCCTACCCAGAACACCAGTGACCAGAACAGGATTTGAACTCAGGGCTGTGCATTGCCGGGGTCCAACTTCTTTTGAATCAAGGGTGAGGCCCCCACACACCTGATAGTGTCCAGCAGGATGTCGATGAAGAAGGTATAACTCTCAGCAGGGATGTTCCCCTTAGCCAGAAACACCTTGTTGTAGCTGCCCTCCATCAGGTACTGCAAAGGCCAAGGATGAAAAAGAAGGTGAAGAGATAGCACAGGGGCTTCCCTAACTCCTGGTATCCTCATAATCCCCATCCTGCCCGGACAGCCTAGCCACATGGCCATTCACTCCCCAGATTGTGCTCCTTCTTTGGCTTACACACTCTCACTCCCCCAGCCTACCCTGGGCCAGTATCTAATTATCTCACTTTCTTTCCAATTACAGAAAGGATACAGCTGGACCAAGTCCAGGCCAACCCTCTACCCTGGTACCCAAACTGTACTGCCTGCCCTGCCTGCTCTCCTCACAGACAGATCCTCCCCACTCCTTAGTCAAGAAGCAGCTTCCTCACCGCGGCTCCCAAGGCTTTCCCCTGGCCTCATGCACCTTGTCCCACAGACATGTCTTTTCAGCTGCCACTCAAACACAGCATAGTTTTCTGCCTCTGGATGCAGCACTAGCCGCTCCCTCTGCCTGGATTTCCACATGGTCTGCTTATCAGCCCTTTCAAGTTTTCCTCTAACCTCACCTCTTCAGTGAGTCCTTCCTTGATCACCCATATAAAAATCCATTCCTGCCCGCCAATCCATACCTCTTGCATTATTTTTCTCCATAGCCCCAACACCTGACAGACAACACAGGTTGTTCTTTAGTTCAGTGTCTACTTCTCTTTGCTGTCATCTCCACCAGGAACAAGGATTTTGTTTGACTCTGCACAGTCTGAGAACCTATCATAATGCCTGGCATACAGCTGGGGCTATTTGTTGGGTGCACAAACAAATGAGCCTGTGGGTTTGGCATGGTAAACCCCAGGCACTACTCCAGAAAATCCTCCCTAATATCTGTCCCAGCACCACTGCCTTAGCCAGGCCCTCCCTCCCCTCTTCCCAGCCTCACTTGTTCGAGGGACACAGGGTGCTTGATGTAGACATTGGTCTGGATATCCTTGGCAGGCAGGCGCTCCAACTCTGTGTGGAACTCAGCCACGCGGTTCTGAGACAGCAGGAAGAGGAGGTTGAGGCCCAAGAGCTGATGCATGTAGGCTGACTCAGGGAGCTGCTCCCTGTGGACCAGGGAGGGGAACCAAGGTAAGGAGGGCTTAAGGATCCACCAAGTGCTCCAATGCAGAAGCCAGGGACCTAAATGTCCCCTTGAAGGTACGCAGGATCTTGAGTTTCAGATGAAGACACTGAGGCCTACCCAAAGGGCCCAAGGAAGTGACTAGCTTCAGTCAAGCGACTGAATTTCAATTTTCCCAAATGTAAAATGAGTCAACGGATCGACAATCTCTATCTCATAGAGGTAGGTTAAATGAGTAAAGATTATGTGAATTAAACAACCCAATCCAGGTAAAATAAACACTGCCTAAGTGCTATGATTATATAGTGGAGGAAATGAGACTTAGAGAGGTAAAGACCACATAATCATTAAATGGTAGGATGTCTCAAAACAACCTCACTGACTTCAAATTCCTATTATTAATCCAAGCAGGTGTCAGGTTTTTTTTTCGTTTGTTGTTTGTTTTTACAAATACAATCTCATTATGTAGTTCAGGCTGGCCTTGAACTTACTGTGTAGCCCAGGCTGGCTTCAGATTTGCAGCAATCCTCCTGCCTCAGCCTCCCAAGTGCTGAGTTTATAGGCATGTACCACCAGGTGCAGCTATCACTCAGTTTTACATTCCTCATACATCCAGTGAGTT